CCGCGAAGTGTCCTGAGGCCTTGCGTGCTCAATGGGTAGCGAAGCGTAATGCGTACCTAAAGTCCGGGCGGTGGAAGGTCACTAACTCGGGTAATGCCTGCCCCATGCTGTTGATATACAAGCCAGGGACAAAGCAACTGCGGACGGTGTTTGACCTGCGAGAACGGAATAAGAACACTCGCAAGATGGCGACGCCGATGCCTGATATTGAGGGGATATTGAGGCGTGTGGCTTGTCGCCGCTATCGTTCTACAATGGACGGCAAAGATGCTTATGAGCAAATCAGGATTGTGCCTGGACATGTTGCGCGCACCACCGTAACGACACCTAACGGAAATATGGTCTCGTTAGTAATGCAGCAGGGGGATTGTAATGCGCCGGCAACATACCAAGCGCTGATGAATCACATCTTCGGCGCACACTTAGGACAGTTTGTAGACGTTTATCTTGATGATATTATTGTCTATTCGGACACATTGGCTGATCATGTTCGGCATGTTAAGCAGGTTATTGATATCCTTAAACGAGAGAAGCTGTACCTTTCCGAGGCTAAGCTTCACTTTCTGCAGCGAGAGCTTAAGATCCTGGGTCGTATCGTCGACGACGACGGCATTCGGATGGACCCCCATAAGGTGGATTCGGTGTTGAAGTGGAAAGTGCCCACGAACCGAGACTTGCTGCGAGGTTTCTTGGGTGCGGTGGGTTATCTAGCCGACGACGCAGCACGTATTCGCATTCCCATGGGAGTTCTGGCTGCGTTGACTGGGGATCGCGTGGCGTTTCGGTGGGAGCATACCCATCAACGCGCATTTGACGAAATCAAGGCCTGTATTGCTCAGTTCAGTGAGCATCGTCGCAAACCATTGGACTATGGGAAGGACGCACCTCCTGTTTGGATCGCAACTGATGGTTGTGTTTCTGGAATCGCAGGCGCGGTACTTCAGGGTATGGACTGGAAATCCGCGCGTGTGGCTGCCTTCTATTCCGCGAAATTGAGCGCGCCTCAGCAGAACTACGCAACACATGAAATTGAGATGCTGGCCGGGCTGGAGACAATGATGCGACATCGTGAGATTCTGCAGGGCGTGAAGTTCAAATGGCTGACTGACCATCGGGGCTTAATTCATCTGCTGAATCAGAAGGGATTGACGGGCCGTCAAGCTCGATGGATGGAGAAGATGAGCGAATTTGATTTCGAACCCATGTACATCGCTGGGACGGACAATGTGCTGAGCGATGCGTTGTCTCGAATCTACTCGAACGACGCACCTGGAACAGTGCGTTCGGCTTCTGAGTACACCTCCTTCGATGACGGCCTACTAGTGACAAAGGGAGTCGGCTCTTATTCGGCGCCAGTACTGGTGGCAGACGAGGGTCGTATGGCTGGAACGGCTCCCGGGGCCGCGAACAACGCCCTGGGTGTAAACGTGCTGGATGTCGATGGTGATACTCCCAAGCAGGCGAAGGAGTTCGCTCGGCGCATGGCGGCCAAACCGTTTGTGCTACACGGACCTCGAAGGAGTACCGCGCATGGTGCTCATCGCGCAACGTCGCCAACGGCAGGCTTGTCAGAGAAAAAACTTACCATTCGTATCCCACGTATTGACAAGCGTGGTGGTGGTGGTGGTGGTAATGTGGCGAAGGCGCCAACTCAGGGTTCCGCTGAGTTTCACAACAAGGACGTAAGCGGAAGCAAACCAGTCCCTGCCAAGCAATACTCAAGTACATCGCAGGAAGGAGGCGCCACAGAGGACGTGTCACTGCTCGGTGTACTGACATCGAGGCATGATGGAATTGACCTCCGGAGGGCTCTTGTGGGGAAATACCACGGCGACTCTTTTTTTCGTTTGATTCTGGAGAACCCGAAGCATTATAAGAACTTCGTGGTGCGCGAAGGTTTGGTTTACATGAGGGAGCGCGGCAATGAGTTGTTGTGCATCCCGAATGTCGTAATTGATGGTCGGAACATACGGGAAATAGTCCTGAATGAGGCCCATTCGTTGTTGGCGCATCTTGGACATGCTAAGACGTTGGCATACCTTCGGGACCATGTGTGGTGGCGGGAGATAGTCAAGGACACCCAGGCGTATTGCGCATCGTGTACTGTCTGCCTGCGTTCGAAACCTAATAATCAGCGACCTTATGGCCTCCTTAATCCACTGCCAATGCCACGTAAGCCCTGGGAAGTTGTGGGCATTGACTTCGTCGGTCCGCTACCTGAGTCGAGTGATCGCGACGCGACCTTTGACTCGATTACTGTGGTTATTGATTTGATGTCGGCGATGGTTCACTTGATTCCCAGTCGTACGAATTACACAGCGAAGAACGTAGCAGAATTAATGTACGACCGTGTCTGGAAACTGCATGGATTACCCTCCGCTATTGTCAGTGACCGAGATGTCCTGTTCACTTCCCAGTTCTGGCGCGAGCTACATCGTCTGCTGCGCACGAAATTACGGATGTCGAGCGCGTATCACCCAGAATCCGACGGCGCCACTGAACGCGCTAATCGCACAGTCACTCAGATGATCCGTCAATGTATTGAACCTAGCCAAAAGGACTGGGTTTTGCGCTTACCCGCTATTGAATTTGCAATCAACTCAGCACGATCTGAGTCAACAGGGTATGCGCCCTTCTTCCTGAACAATGGTCGCATGCCTAGATCGTTATTGTGGGATTCTCCTAGTAAGGACGAATTCCCCGGAGTTCGTGTCTTTGCGCAACGTATAAAACATGCGCTTATGTCCGCACATGATTCTGTTCTGGCCGCGCGAGTTAAACAGACACGAGACGCAAATAGGAAGCGGCGGCCTGCCCCTTTCAAGAACGGGGACCTGGTGTATGTTTCTACCAAGAATATCACGTTCCCTAAGGGATTAGCGAGGAAGCTCCTGCCGAAGTTTGTGGGACCTTACCGTATTACGAGAGATTTCAAGAACAATTCATTTGAGGTTCGGTTGCCAAGTGAGCTGCTTCAGCGCGGAGTACACAATGTCTTCCATGCTTCATTGCTAAGGATGCATATTGCGAATGATGACAGACTGTTCCCAGGTCGGTCATTGGATCAGGTCTCGAATCCTGGGATTGGCAGTAAGGAGTGGGCAGTTAAGGAGATCATCTCCCACTACGGTGCCGGAGAAGGGGCAATGTTCGAGATCCTGTGGGCCTCAGGTGATAAAACCTGGATGGAATATGATCAGATTGCTCACTTACAGGCTCTGGAACGCTACTTGGAGGCTCTGGGTGTTCAGAACATTGCGAAGCTGCCTAGAGGTTCGGGGACCCCTCCCGAAGGTGATCCTCAAGTGTTTATAGGGGGAATTCATACTGCCCCTATTCGAAAGGTATTTAACCGTGAGCTTTGCTCCCAATGCCGACAGCCTTTGCCTCGCCGTCTCTTGGGAGTAGTACCTGCAAAGCGTACTCAGCATCTTGCAACATCGTCTTCATTTTCTCTACCGAACTCGCCTCGCTCCCATCGCCCTCAAATGTCTGCCCCGGTCGGAAACAAACTTTTCCATCACCATGTTCTCACGACGTCACCTGCCCTTGACCAGTTCGTGATTTCCATTCCTACCTCCAACGAGGTCATCACTCGTACGGCTGCGGAGATCCGCAACTACATTGTCATTCATCATCAGGCAAAATCTGGGAACATACCCTTTGCTGGTGGTTTGCCGTCCGACTACCTGCAGTTCGCCCGCGCCTACAACCAGGAGCCTAACATTTGGGCGAAGTTCGCGATGCCCAACGCGAACGGGTCTCTCATCGTGTCCGACCGCGACCCCCGTGCCCGCAACTTCGGATTAGAAGACGATAGCCTGACCCAGGCATTCTCAGCGCTGCTGCCCGTTCAACATCACACGAACAATCGTAACAACCACACCAACAATCATAACAACCACACCAACAATCGTAACAACGGCGTCGAAGAACGCGAGCTCTTCTTGCAGCTCTTGATGTCTCATGCCAACTCGACTTTGTCCTACAATAAAAAGAAGGCTCGAGGCTCTCATCGACACAATCCGGTCGCCACCAGGAGTCGGCCCCAAGGCACCATTTTGAGAACGCTAGTGCCTGCGGCAGCTGCCTCTGTCCCTGTGGTTAGCGCTGCTGCCTCCACTGCAGTCCTCGGTAACTCTGTGACAGCAACCATCATTGCTAACACGACTAGCGGTGGTGAATCCCCTACGGAGAATTCGAAGAAGAAGAACCTGCGGAAGAAAAGGGTTGCTGGCAAAGTGACCTCCGCTGTCGAAGAAGGTGCTGCCGATGAAATGATCGTCGACTATTGCGAGGATCTCGAAGGCGGACCTGTCGCATCCTCTAGCAAGGCCTGAGCGCACTCGTCGACACGAGTCCGGAAGGGCGAGTGTAACGACCGGGCAATTGGCGCCTGGTCCCGTCGAGACTTCCTCGACCATCCCCAATTCCAATTCCCTCAACTCCACCTCATCCATGATATTGTTTCGGCTACGTTAACTCCCAGTCGGCCCTCCGTCATTTCCAATCTCGGATCCCCGACTATTCCTTATCATATGTCTGTCTACTCCTACTCTACCTATAAAAACCCTATAGATACTTTGTATTCAATAGCGTTTCTTGAATCGACGGTTATTCCTGTCACCTTTCGAGCGACCTCAAAACCTTCCTATTTCGTGTGCCGAGACTATTTTCCCTTTCGGGAATCTCCTCGTCACACCTGGGAACAACAGACAGGAATAGATGCACACCCGTTCCTGAAGTTTAAACGTGATGATTCATGACACGAACTATATGCTTGCGCCAGAAACTCAAAGTATCTGGATGCCATAACTTCCCGGTGGGTTCCCCTACGTTGAAATATTGCAGGGGAACGTGCGCTATGGCTCCGGCCACCATCAACACGACACGAAGAGAAATAATTACAGGGGAATGCATAGAGTTGAGCACCTGCGTACTCGAATATATGCACATGATGCTCAAACGAAAGAACGAAGTACGCTAGTGCTACCAAGACCTCAATGAAACTCAAATAAACGTTGAATCACTGTCTTCGGGATCGTATCCTTCAAGATGTCATTGTAATAATCCTGTTGGCTTGCAATCTGGCGGTCCATCAATATCTTACGGCACAAACAGCGCATCGTGGGCGCTCACCTCGGAATGATACGCTTGATAATGGCCTTCCATCGCAATCCAACGCTGGCGAACCTGTTCACTGATTTCTGGATGTTTTGCGTAGTATTCGATGGTGCCCTTCAAACGATCTACGTCGACCCGTAAGCTAGTCCACCAATTGACGAACTCCGTCACAATGTCTATGAAATGGTCAAGAATGGCTAAAGTCACGTCAGTCAGGCGGTTCTCGTCCATCTTTCGCAGTTCTGTCAATGAGGAACCTCTCTTAGGTCCTTGCTTGAGTCCCCTCGGAATGAGGACATACCTTGGGGGGTCACACGATGCGGGGCCTCGTCCCCAGCATTTTCTCCTTGTGGTAGAGGTATGTTATTTGGGCTTATCCCCTTCATCGTCTGAACGCCACGGTGAGTGCTTTGGATTCCGTTCTTCGACACCGTAGGCTCACCTCATATAGTGATACTCGAATAGACCTGAATCTCTTCAAGATGCCTTGTACATCCTCGAGCGCCTGGTTTGCTGTGTCAAGCATAGGTTGGACAATCCAATCAACACAGTCATCCTTGAGTGCTAGTGCATCTGCAGCGTTCCTCGAAATGCCCATTCCCTTCTCGGCAATGCCAATACTGAGGTTGATCGTGGTCGCGTAAGCGAGAGCTTGCTTAACGACAGATTTGTACATCTTTCTTTTCGCCTCGGTGGCCGACGAACGGAATATCCTCTTTTCCCTTCATTCGGTTTGTCAGGGACAACGCAGAACTATGACCACGAACATGCTTACTTGTACGGCTGATACTTCTCGCAGAAGACCTTTAAACATTCAAACGTCTGTCTGTTTGTGACAGTTAATAATTTGACTACGTCCGCCTGCGACGCTTTGTGGAGAATATCGCCACCTGGTGGTGTGGTACTGTCGTTTGTGCTCGAATCTGACGGGGCAGTAGGGGCCGGCATCTCTCGCAGTGTCAGCGGACTGTGTCTACGCTTGCTCGTATGCTCTTGATTCCCGGTGCGTCAATGTTAGTCTTTTCTCTACATGTACAATGGGTTGACTTACTTTGCGAACCGCCTTTGGGGTGTATAGGTTGTTTCATCCAACAAAGGTGATGATATTGTGGAAGACGAGGCCACGCTTCGAGGGCCTTTCTACGCTTGCTACACTCCACATGTCTACTGCGAGGTGAGTGTGCGGGTCGCAACGACCTGCTTTACAATCGATGGATCTGAACGATTCTTGCTTGATCCTCGCTAAGGGAGGGCATCTGCCGAACGACATCCCCTTTGCCCTATGACACCTTTTAAGGCCTTGATCCCACAGTGCAATTTCTCACCGGGTGGCAGAAACGTGTTCCGATCGTTGGCGGCGAAGGTCTTGCGATCAAATCGAATCGTCTACAGGCTTGCCCAAAGATTCATACACCCAACCCATGATCCTCCCACCACACAAACTGTCTACTCGATCCATTAAATCCCTGGTACTTGTGTGCGTTTTTGGCATGGTATGCTGCATGATGCCCTCGTTGGGGTCTTACAACAGTAAGGCGGGCATTGTCTGAAACGCATGCCAGCTACTTGACATATAGTAGCAGCAACTCGAGGTCCACACTCACCTCTCCATGAGGTCCACTCCTCCGCTGTGAATATAGTACCCTGGGCACATTAAAAGGCTTCATCGAACTCATCCCACCTACGTACACACAAGACACCATGGCCTTGGACTCTACCCCGTCGAAGACGCAGATAGTAAGTCTCTGGCGACATACGCCCATCTCAGCGGAAATCAACGATGTGATTACAGATGCCCATAGATCTAGCGAGGCCGGTTATTTCCCTTGCAGAGAATATCTCCACATCAATGTCGGCCCTCTACTCACTCCATGCTGCGCTATACAACGTCTACGAGGAGACTTCTCCAGAAGTACTCAAGTTTATCGACTTCAAACAGAAGATTACATCTAGTTGGGAGCAATGGGCTACCTTATTGCAGCAATTTATGGGATTCGCTCGAGACTACGTCAGTGTTTGTCATTCCTTACAGTTGGACACCTTCGTGGAAAATGTTGCCTCTGCGAATGCCATTCTTTCGAGCGCCCAAAGAATCCGTCGAGAAATGGCCAACAACCAGCAGGCTTACGAAGGGTTGATTCAACAATTCTCGTCACTAGCTACAAGCTTCGGCCGGGAATTCTCGGATGCGAGTAGTGGAGTCAATGGCGGTATGTATTCGATTTCTTGAGTTCGGCTGTGCACAATCTGACCATGCGGCCAGCTACTCCTGGACTCCAACGCCTCAGACTTTTTCAGGCTGCCCCCCATCGTGGTATTAGCGAAGCCTATGTAGCGTCCGTTCGTGCGCTAAATGAATCCAACACCCCCATCCGCGACATCTCTATCTTCTGGGAAGATCTCACCACGCACCTCTCCAAGATTGCTAGATCTAGCAATTTAATCAGCAAGTTGAATCAAGAGCTCTATTTTCAAAGGCAAATATCGACGTGGACCTCGTTCCACGATACTCTGATCCGTGTCGTTGAATCTATATTATCATCATGCGACGCTTCCGCCGTTTCGCCGATTAACCAGTCACACCAATGGAAGAAGCTTCTTATCCGCATGCGGCCAAAACGTAGACTGTCGCCAGGGCTGCCACCCTCGTGAGTTTGATTGTGTGCCACAGATATTAAAGTGTTCGAAATCGCCTCCTTTTATAGCACTCAACCTAATAGTATGACCCCTTCCGGGATGTCATCTGTCGAGGCAGCCGAGTCTCCACAAATCTTGATGAATCCAAACAAATTCGATGTCCAAGCTATCACCGACACGAGGTCGACGGTGCACGCTTGCCTCCATGCTCTCCTTGTTCGAGACACACTCAGGCGCAACTTCAGGAAGGGTAGATTTCGAGTAAAGGAACGCCTTTTACGCCAGATATCTGCATATTTTGATTCACTCCCTGACCTCGATGAAGAAGCATTCTCCGGGGTGGTGACTTGTCAGTACGTTCGGAAGTTATTGCAAGCTCCAGAAGAACGGAGCGTCGTCGATGAAATACGTGACTCGGCACTGCTCGCGGCTGATACGACGGCAGCGACACTTTTGCAATACGAGGGAATATATCCTATCCTACGCGCCGTAAGTTGGATCACTTCTCTCGCAATCATAGGCATCTTAGTTCGAATAGGAAATATCCAGGAAACGGACGGGGAAGAAGGCGGATATCATATTACCGAAGGAATTTATATTGCATGGTACGTATGACTTTGGCACGTTTCCATGAGTCTTACTCTTCTTTACTTAGACCTCGAGGGCGTGCCAAGCCGAATGCTTCTGACCTACACGGGCGTCAAGCTGAATCAGCTAATCCACCAACAGCAACAATTTCACATGTACTGGGGCCATCTGGCCATAGACGCGGAACGCTTTGACAGCGTGATAGATTTTGACACTAAGGCGGTCTCCGACAGTTGGCGTACACAGGAAAAACACCTACGTTCATATGACGATAAAGTATGTTGATGAGAAAGTAGTCTGTCAACAGTTCACTAAATACTTCAACTCTTACCAGGCGCGCAGGGCGAAGGAGTTGGTGACTGCTACTCACTTGTCACCTAGTAGGCACGATTGGCTTCCTTCGTTCAGGGGCTTCAGTTGGAAACGTCGAAAAACAGTGGATGATGTCGGTGCTGCTGCGAGCGAGAGTAATACCCAGTAGTGCCACTTGATGTGTCGACCTATTCTACGCTCAGTCTTCATTAATCTATGAATATAATGGGATTGCATAGCACGAGAACCAACGTAAAAAACCTTGATTATGAGTGTCTACAAAAGGTACAGTATCTATAGAGGTTCCGCCTCATTCATGACTCCAAACATCACCCAAATACCTACGCCTTAGTTGCATTCTTCGTACATTTGGAGGTCCATTGCTGCAAACGTTCCTTAAGGCTGTGGCCTTTATGAGCGTTCTCAGCACGAGGATCCCTACGCAATAGAACATAGTCCGTATTAAATATTGAATACCTAATTGTACACGCGGAATATGACATAAAGGGCAGCACTTACTCGCCCTTCCACTCGGAGAGAGGAATGCATTCCCCAGTGGGGAGCGGCACTCCGTCCGGGTAGCGGCCGCCACCGACGTCGGCGCTCTCGAGGAGGTCGCGAATTTCCTTTACGTCGGTTGGAGAAAGCTTCAATTCGGCCCCACGGGAGTTCTCTGCGAGGCGTTCGGCATTTCGTGTACCAGGGATAGGAATGACTGAAGTAAAGGCAAGGTTAGATAGGCATATCTGCGAGAAAGGCGGACGTACAGTTGTCGTGGGAGGCAAGGATCCATGCCAATGTAACCTGACTGGGTGTGGCATTGTGCTTGTCGGCGATGGCCTTGATCTTATCAACAGCCTCGAGATTCTTGGGGAAATTCTCCGCGGAGAAACGAGGAAGCCATCTTCTAATGTCATCTTGATCGAAGTCGTCCGGAGACCTGAATCTATAGTACGATGCGTTAGAACTCGACTCGAAGAGAGGTGCACGACTGATGATACCTTCCGCTGACCAACCCGCGAGCCAAAGGAGAGTAACAGACAACGGCTACTCCAGCTTCTTCGGCAGCCTTAGCGAAGCCATTCTTTTCGATTTCGAGCTCGAATGGGCTGAACTCCATCTGAACGGCAACGACCTTCTCACCGAGCCCCTTCACGGCGCGCGCACGCTTCAAGGTATCGACATTGCACTCACTCAATCCGAGCCATCGGATGGTGCCACTCTCCACGTACGGCCTGAGAGTTTCCAAGACGATCTCGATAGGTACTTCGGCGTCGACTCGATGTTGATAGTATAAGTCAATATAATCAGTCTGGAGAGCTGCCAAAGAGGCCTTGACGCGCTCGCGAATGTAAGCAGGTTTGCTGTTTGCTTGGTGCTGCTTGGCTGGGTCTGTCTGCGAAAAGTCCATAGCACCCCATTTGGTAGCGAGGAAAATCTCGGATCGGCGCCCAGTTTTGGCGAACCACTTGCCCAAGATTGCTTCACCTGCGTGCAGAGTAAAGTCAGGGGTTGAACAGGACAGGAGGGGTGACTGCCACGCACTCTCTCCGTACATATCAGAGGTATCCCACAGGGTGATACCACGATCGGCAGCGTATGTCAGGGCGTTATGGGCAGCGGTTTCATCGATTTTCCCGTAGTATGCACCGATTCCTGTCGAATGTAGGTCAGTGGCATGATCAACCGCGACAAGAACGTATCAACTGACCCATTGCACCAAGGCCAATGGCGCTGACTAGAGGGCCATTCTTGCCGAGACGACGGGTGGGAAAGGTAGACATTGTGTTTGAAAAGACTGAGGAAAAGTTGTTGCTGGTGTATGTTCATCCTCCTCAGCTGCTTTTATAGCTATAGCCTTCATAGCTCAGCTTGACTTACAAGCTCAGGGTCATGATCGGCTCGACAGTGACGAATCGCGAAGCCGGCGGCTAATTGACCCACAGCTGCTCACAACAATCACCCATCCAACCCCTCCCCTTGCATAAATCTAACGCAATCCCCATGCAAGGTTATGGGTAGGCCAGTATACATCGTAACCCTCGCCCTCCACGACAACTGACGGTAAGGCTTGCCTTGTTCCAATCGACTCATTTGGCTAGCAGTCAAACCGAGTCGAATGTCGAGCGATGATAACAAGTCCACGGAATTGTGATGGATCGAACCGACGAAGGAATGCAGTAAGACGGCTGCTGTGGGTCGGCAACGTGGTTAGCAACTGGCCGCTTCTTCAGCGACGGGTCAAGTGATTTCGACCTCCGCCAACAATTTCATTGTGGTGATCAGTGATCAAATCAGCACCTCCATTCCAACGCCTTATCTGCGCGGATATAGGTTCCAGTGCCTGGACAGCTGTATTAATCTGTACATACAGGCCTCCATATAGCGCTGGGATGCTGCCGAGGATGAGGACTCACCTGTTGTAGATGAGACAAGTGTGAAACCGCAGTACCTGGAGGGTGAGTATTCCGAGGAGGGAAAGTACCATCGATGAGGGAAACAACGCGGACGCCGAGACATCATGTTGGATAACAATCTAACCATCAGGAAATGGCATCTGCTCCGTGCTCGCAGTGTACATACCAATCTGCTACTTGGGGAAATTCATGTTACCCGAGGGCCCACTCTTCCTTAGCTGTGACCCCACACCGGCCGTCGATAACCCCATCTACTAGAAAGCCGCCATCTCGCCACCGGGGCGGATAACTTCCGAAACATTCGGCAAACCAGGACCATCAACGTATCAATATCAATGACAATCAATCTAAGCAACATCCCAACGCACCCTCGGATCGTTAATGGCGGGCTGGGTCGGATAAAATGACACAATCCATCAGATAAAGTAGAAGGGTGGTTGGGTTAGAGCGGATTTAAGATGGCAACGTACGTCGATATGCAAGCACGAGTTGTGCACAGGTACATCTTGACAAGGAATGTCGATATGTATCGATGAAGAAGTGGGGCTAAAACGCAGGGCATGCTGATAATGACGCCATGAAAAATTAACGATTAACGGATCCTACTATAAGCATAAATAGATAGACTGGATGAAGCGAGGGCAAGTTCAGCGAGTGCCAAAGGAAAATGTGAAACAAACGGACCAGATATATCAAGCTACGATAAGTGTCCTAAACCAACTGCGTGAAATGGACGTGTGCGGACGACACCGAAGCGAGTTGAACAATCTGTCCGCCCACAGCACCAAACTCAGGGGTAGACACCAGACGTACGTGTTCCTGGAATACCCACACAAACGTCAATATCGGTGGACCTAGCGGTCAACGATACGAAACTTACATCAACGCTCTCCCAGCCAACAAAGTCTTTCAGCTGCCCCTCTACTTCGACAACCTCACCCCAATGCCCCGCACCGAACTGCCCCGTGACGCCGTCGAGCATAATCCTCAGTTCATCGACTACAGGCGCCAGTTCTTCAAGGGTCTTTCCGGGGAGTAAATCCATCGTGGTGATCTCTGTTAGAGGAGCGAAGAGGACGTCGGTGATGTTACCGTTGGGGTGGACCGTTCGCACTGTGATAGCGCTTGATGGAGATGCAGACGATTGGAGGAGAGTTTCAAGGTCGGAAGCAGCAATGGGAACTTGGCTGACATCGTCATACACTACAAACGAAGTCAGTGAGGGGGAAGAGGGATAGAGATTTCCGGATTTCCAGAAACATACATATCACCACATATCCAGTCTGCCCATCTTCAACTTGGACACCATGGTATGCACTAAATGGCGTCATTATATTGTGATAGGCGACGAAGATGTATGGCCCTCACCGAGCGCCTTCAGTGGAAAGACCGGTGATAGTTGCAGGTGGGTCCTCGATGAAAGCGGTAGACGCGGTGAACGTGGCGACAGTCACAACAACAGGTGGAGAAGGCGTCGGGTTGCAGTCGTCTCTGCGCAGCACGGAAATGGGCAATGCTAATGTGGCGGCCGCCAACACGGCAAGGAATGTTGTAACTGCGTAATAGTAACATGAGTGTGAGCCGTTTTATCACGCAGATCTATGCATACCTTTGAATAGCATTCGTTCTTCTTCCCTAGCAGCGCGGTGGTAAGTACGTTCTCCCAATACGTCGAGCCTTGGCCGACTTTATACCGTCCCATGGGGTATGTAAAAGGTGCATGTGGGCGAGCTCGTCGGCGCAGAAACCGTCACGCGATGTCGGCTGAGATTCATAACACGCGTAGACACTGTACGGAGCAGGCACGATCCTTGTCAAGCCGAGCCTTGACCAAAGATGGCTGGTCCTGTAGAAAAGACTGATAGGCGATTCAACGCGACAGTATCAATTTAGTTACTTACCGGTAAGCCAGACATTTATTCCGCAAACTCGGGGCCGAATAGGCACTCTGGCGCGCTCATCAAGGTCTTTGGATGTACCCGAAGGTCTAAACAGTGGTGTAGTGTGCATTAGATTGATTCGCGTAAAGTAGTAGCCGCGTATGCCTTCGCTTCTACGAAGCTTTCTAGCACTAGGCTGCATTTCCCCAGTAATACGACTGGCCGTAGAATGACCATGGCATGAGTAATGACATAGCCCGCTCGACGATGGTTTGAGGAGAAATGGGACTTTGAGCGTGATTTCTTGACGTGTTGGGTAGTTCAAAGCTGTGAGCATGCCTGCAGTTTGGGTTTGGAACCAAAGCAGCAGTCGTTGGTAACAAATACAAATTTCGCACAGTCAGCAAATATTTCACACAGTCAGAATGTCTACTAATAGTCTGACGTTGGACATAGATCTACCAGATCAATCGATCATTACTCTTCAAAGCTTCAAGCTTCAGCGCTTCAGGACTTCAGTCTGTGGGTAGATCTCTTAAATTGAGTGTTTTGCTAAGAAAGTGCCAGAAAGCACTGATTATTCACATTTTATATACATCGTCTAACTTGGTGCAAGACTCAAATAATCAAAGAGAAAAGTGGACATAACAAATCCAACCTATACACGACGACGGAAAGTTACGAAGGCGTTGGTGGGAAGCAGGGTCATCCTGGCGATCCACTGGGTCAAGAGCTTCTTCTGCTCGGCGAAGGGCTTGGATCTTAGAGCAAATGGCACCCCTACTTCGTACCTCTTGATCACGTTGGCGAGGAAGCAAACACTCTCGGTCATAGCAAATCGCTCGCCCATGCACGACCTCGGGCCGGCCGAGAACGCGAGGTCTACGGGGTAGGTTAGCCAAAGGTGACGATGCGCTGGATCCCTATGACGACTCACATGCATCGCGCGGCCAGCGATGAGTGTCGGTATCGATGAAGCGCTCAGGATTGAATTCATCAGCGTCGTCACCCCAGTGGATAGCTAATGGAGGCGTCAGTCGAAAGTCATCACCTATACGATGTCTGCACTCACGGTTGTAATGAAGGCCTATGATGTCAATTACCGCGAGACTGCCTGCCGGAAGGGTGGCGGTGAATTCTTGCACCCCGCTGACTTTTCCTTGCGCATTTTGTGTGAAGGTACGCCCGGTGATTTGTGTGTCGACCGAGACCGGAGAAGCTACGCGAGGCACAGGAGGGAATAAGCGAAGGGATTCTTGGAACACGGCCGTGGTGTAAGTCTAATATAAGCTTGTTAACGTTAATCAGTGGGAAGGTCGAAGAAGTACAAACCAATTTAGCCATGTAATCTTTGTATTCCTGGATGATCGCCGTTAGGGATGGCTCGATGGGGGATAGTGAGGACTTACCGATGCGTTGACGGTATCGGCGTTGGGTGCCTCGCCGGGCCATAGTCTGTTGACTTCTTCGCAGACCTTTTGTTGTGCTTCGGGGTACAATGCGAGCAGGATCAAAGTGAAGCAGAGGGAATGGGCGGAAGTTTCTATCAAAGGAGAACATCAGGGCCTGGACCGGCAACCATGAGAAATCTCGAACCATGACCAGCGAGCAAGAACATCTAGATCCCAATCAACAAGTGTATCAAGAATATTGTCAGACGTAGCTTACGAAGATATCCGACAACATCTCATCGTCCGTGAGCTTGCGGCGCACCGCCGCATCGTCCTCCTGGGCCATGTTAGCCTGCACCAAGTTTTGCAACAGCGCAGCATCCAAAGAAGCAGCGTTTCCGCCAGAGACCCAGTCGCGGGCGTTGGAGATGAGATCGAGCATATGTAGCCTCAAGGCAACGAAAGACTCCCGAGTTTCCTTCAGGACGGGGCTGACTTTAGGTACGGGGATGAGGTTGAACAGGGTGAACATCCAGTCGGGGGTGAGAATTTTGGGGACGAGGTTTTCGACGGCGGATTTGACGGCAGGGCGGAATGGGATGTGGTGAGCCTTCGAGTTTTCCAGGGCGGTGTCGTCTGTCCATGAGTTGTGTCTGCCAAAGGCAGCCGATGAAAGGATCAATAGCGCTACCTACATGTCGGAATCATTAGTTCAATATCCCTACGTTAAATAGGAGAGAACGTGCCTCCGTTGCATCCTTGAGAAGGTCAACCTCGAACTCTTTGTTGCCGGGGTTATGCGCATCGAGCTGTGAGAACCAATCATAGACGACGCGGGTAGAATGGTGCCAGACAAGGATGTTATTCGCCTATAGAAGGTTAGAAGCGCGTCACTCAGGAACTGAGTCAGTACCAACATCGTTGAATGCTGGCTTAGCAACAGCACGGTGTCGTTTCCAATCTGTCCCTTCGGTCGCAACCATGTTCGGGCCATACACACTGACAACGTTGTACTAAGAGCATTGTGAGTCCGAGTGCAAGTGGTAAGAACCGGAGTAACTCACCCCTTCTAAGTCGCGTCTGAACGTGTTTCGATTGTTCGAGATAGTTTTGAGAGCCACCGCATCAGAAACCCAGAAGGTAGGTCTTGCGTTGGAGAATAAGGCAGAGCTAACGACTGTGCTTCCGTACTTTGCGTATGCTGCAACGACGGCTTGTAAGTCCTGTACCATCTACCTAAGGCTGTCGTCAATCAACTCACCTGTATACTTCGCGTAGTAATCACCAATTCGACCGGCAAGGGGGAAGAAAGGGGCCAGAACAGGGGCCCCAGAGCGAAATGGATGAAGCCACGTAATGGCGCCGCCGGGGCAATCCCTGCCCAAATAATATGGATATGTGAGTATCAAGCCATGGCGTAGGAGCAGCAACCTACCCCACTGATTTCAGCGTTCGCCTCACAGCGATTGCCTTCTCGATGGCTGTCTTGACAATCCAGCAGATCGTGAAGGTCGTCACCACTTTCACCGCATTCTGTGGGCTGAGTACGAGAGGGAGCCTCAGGCTTGGGTCCGTCAGTGGTAGGCTCGACATCGTGTGGTAGGGTAGGCTGACGGCTTAATGCAGAGATGTCGCTGGATGGACTGCAATAAATATCAACGGCAGCGGAGATACACTCGTCAAAGGGATGATTCTTATCGTCCCATCTCGGCGCGGAATGCTTCTGTGAGGAGGCGTTTGACCACTAGAGTGGGAGCTTTCCAGCAAATTGTACGCGAGGGCCTCGATGTCGTGGCCTAGAAACATGTCACCATGAGATCTCCCCGCAGAGCAAAGCACTAAGCGAGAGCACCCTGACAAAGTGGTAATCATCTTGGCGCGACTTCAAACCATCATGAAAGTACGACACATCGCGTATTCGACTTTCCGCTATGGTAAAGGATCCTTGGGACAACAGTTGATCATTATGCATTATAAGGCCGTTCAAACTCCGTGCCAGGCAAGAGAAAATGGCACCCATAAGCTCCAAGCGCGTCTCTTTGAATTGGAGCTGTTGCCATTGGAGCGCGGGCTCCTCGTGTGATTTCCTCGTCCTTCAGAGTGTTGGTTGACAATGTTCGGCAGAGGGCCGGACTGTAACAAGTTGGTGCCGCCATCACGCGTCACTGGTGTGTGACAAGTGACTGGCGAAAAACCAGCACAAGCGTTTGAGAGACCTTTGGTTATGATTGTCGACGGACACTAAGGGGCGGGAGAAATGGTGAGCCACGCCGCTTGATTAGGTATCTCTGGAAGCTGAGCTGATGATTTATCGTTTCTGCTTCGTCAGATATCCTCACCTGTCGACGGGCGAGTCAACCATCCAGCGCTACATCTTGACAGTCAAATTCCAAGTTTCTATACGCTCCTATGACCAGTGAGAAGTAGAATCCACATCAACTCGCGAATACAATGAACTCGTCGAATACAACTCGGCATTCATCGATATCGACCCTTCATTGAGCCCGTTCGGCGATAAAAGTGTACAAGTTTACTTAACGTATTCGTCGATTCATTGCAATGAAGGGACGGACGAAATCAAACCGTATCCATCACAAATATCGTAAAAGACAATGGACTGTTTGAGGTATTACTATCCGCTCGCCGTCGCCTTTGGTCCGTATCGCTTAGTTTACTGAACCGCTCATTCGATGACTGTCTGGCCATCGCTAGGGTATCAGCGTTTACGATGATGATTATACAACAATACAACAACGAAGGAATACGAAGGGAGGAACTGAAACCCACATGATTGGATATGAACGTTGCTGGGATTGCTTTGCCTAGCACCGGTGGTCACGGCAATCGACTCCTTTCACGATGTAAGTACCGACATTCCGAAGTGTCTTTATCCCTAAACGATTCTTTGTGCTTTGAATTTCTCGCTGAGTACAAAATGGTCATTTTAAGGCTGACTAGCGCTGACGCGGGAAGGGGAGTCTGTGCCAAAATGCCTCCCCTCCAGCCCCACTATCGCAACCTCCCAAACGAAGTCCTGCGCATGATATTCTCGACACTTACTGACACACATCCTCGTCGCCCCGAGGCCCTTTACAATCTACTCTTCGTATCCCGCCGTGTGAACGCCATAGCGAAGCCACTCTTTTACCGACACGTCGCAATTTATTGCGGTCTCCACTATTTCGGCACAGAAGACGATTGCTTAGGCTTTCAAGCATGCTTGCATTCACTCGCAAGGAGCATTGCCTCTGATAGTGGCGCATCCGGTGCATTTGTTCAAGCTCTTAACCTCTCGATCCCCGAGCGCACCGTCGCAGATGGGCACGAGAGGTGGCTAGGCGAGACCCTAGAACTCCTCCTTCCCCACCTCCCTAACCTCCGCAAGCTCACAACGTTCTACATCGGCGCTGCTGAATGGCCAACCGCACACCTCTCCCTCCTTCCCAATCCGGCCAAGCTCACGATCCTCACTGTCAACATCGTGCATGACTACCCCGCATTCCTCGAGTTCTTACGCGCATGCCCGCTGCTGGAGTGCCTCTACGTCGATACGGTGGAGGACAAGAATGGGATCCTCCCGGAGACTATACCCCCAGACGTGATCCCGCGTCTGCGCGCCGTCTGTTGCAGCCCCGATTTCCTCTACTTCTGCATCCTCGCCGGACGCCGCATCGAGCATGTTAACACTTTCTCTGACATGCCTTTCGCGGTCTACGGCAATGACCCCGACATGGACGCGCTCGCTGCACCGATGGCTCTGGTACGATCGCTGGCTGTGGAAGGATCGATAGCCTGGAAGATATTCTCCGCGCCAAAGTAATCGCCCCGTACTCGCACGTGGAGTTCCTCGCTATTGGAATAGAAGATGTAAGTCCCACAAAGTAGTCACTCCCACATATCAAGCCCTTCCTCACGCGAAATATATATGTACCAGGAAATCGGTGTCGGTGATGCTCAGACGATGGGGGAGCTCTGGTCTAAAGAACTACGCTACATCTATCTCCAGTGCGAGGGCTGCGTGCCGGACCACGATGCCGTCGCGGAGGCGTTTCTGGTTGCCATGCCATCATTGGTTATCCTCGATGTCGAAATCTACCGCAAAGGGGCTTCCAGGGTGTCCCCAAGATGCATACGATACCTTCGAGGAAATCCTAGAGAGAAAAACACGGACATTCAGTTCGTGTTCCCCATCTGTGACGATCTTCAGGAACCCCTTTGGGTGGAGGAAGTCGAAGATCTGGGTGGGTGACGTCTCTTACTGCCTGCGTTGCACGCAGACATTGACTGTGGAAACTCTCCAGTGAACCATCGATTGAAAGGCATCGCTGGAGAGCCGCCGTCCCAAGACTCATGAGTGAGAATACTCCTTCGTTGGTCTGTATATAACGCGATATATGTCATGATCGAAACAGAGATCGACAATGCACGTACTTTGAAATCTAAGCCACCTTTCGATTTACTTGTATTCGTGGCCCGATGCGCAGCTCCCACTCCGTGATTGACGCCTCAAGATCACGTCGAGTATTATTACTCTTCTACGAAAGAAGCCTTCAGATATCCGTGGATTTAAGCATGAGATCCTCCTCCTTTTTCAGCACAAACGCTTGGCTCAAGGACTTCCGACGACCTTGGAGCTAAGTCGGAACTTCACCGCCTCGAAATCTCCCTCTCCTATTCGCGCCATCGCTAAACGTTTTCATTGCTGCCAGTTCCGAATTTGTCTTGGTCGGGCGCAAAACCCAAGATCTTAGTTAACGGGGCGTAGGATTGCCATCATCGGTAGGAATTTCATTTCTGGTGAGCACTCTTCCCGCGATTTGGACCTGTTCTTCAATAAGTAATTTAAAACATCGGACTTGGGCAGTATAGAACTTCTGGACCTCTCAAGCTTGCTCACTGGGCGAATTATTGGACATTGCAGACGCATGTGCCTTCCGTCCATCAGGAGTGCCACGAGAAGCTGAATGAACTACGCTTGATTAATGTCCATAGCAATAATATACGCTCGATTAACGCTGCCACACGTTCTACTGGTCCGGAAATTTCTACTTCCTCGACTTTGTGAGCAGAGGCATCTTGATTCCCTCCTGTAACTTATCCTTTATCATAGGGACCATGATGGCGCCCATAATCCTCATGACCTCGACTCCAGGGGGCATCGAGAACTCAAAGGACTCCATGAGCTGGAAAAGGACGGCTTGCATCTCAAGAACCCTATATCTCAACGTCAGCACAGTCCGTCGCATTTTACCGCCGGGATGGGGGCTTACGCAAAGTTCCAACCAATGCAACCCTTGACGCCAGCGCCTTGCAGGAGATTGACATCAGAATAGACATCATGGTCTTGCAAACGAATACTCACTGAAGGTTAATCTACGAGCGTGTAGGCTTCAGGAGGTGTCTCATGACGGATGAAAGGATCTGACTTACGTGTTTCCGTAAAGCCCGACCGGTATTTGCTTCTTCTGATTGAGAGTCAAGAATCGAGCGGGATTCCATGAGTCGGCATCGGCGCCCCATACTTCCGGCAGTCTGAAATACGAGATGGGTGCATTGGCATGTACAGCCCACCGGAGAGACTTACCTATTGTAGGATCCAATGCAGAAGATAATTCTCTGGCCCTTGCGGACGGGGACTTCAGTAATCACATCGCCAGAGCTGGATGTGATGGGCTGGGACAGTGGGATGACGTCGTCGACTCCAGAGTTACGATAGAGCAAAGGTGAGATCGCATGGTACCGTAGCCCTTCCTACAAAGGGATCAGAGTCACCAATTTGTGCCGCGATTCAACGAACCTTGATGATTGCATTTAAGAAAGGCATTGAGTCGTAGTCCGCCGGCGTCAATTCTCCATGGTTGAGGCTTCGGACGTGGGCAATCTCCTCCCAGACTTTGGCTTGTTCTTCGGGACGTTTGGCAAGTTCGTAAAGAATCCAGGCAATAGAAGCAGCCGTGGTATCGTGTCCTGCCAAAATTACGGTACTGAAATGGCGTCAGGTCAAGTAAGGTACAATGCTATCTGAACTTACGCCATCTGAGAAAGTACCTCGTCTTCGTCCATCTTCTTCTTCGGGTCGTCGATAGCGGGGGACCGGGCTGTAATGGGGTCAAAACGACAGACGAGGAAGGCGGACATGGTACTGACCGAGTAAGCTGAGAATATCTTTCTTTGCAGCGTAGTCCGCAGAGGCGGCCATGTGTTCGTCCAAGAGTCCGCGAGCAATGCCCTTAGAGAATTTCTGGAAGTTGGCGAAACGAGCGTCTTCTTTCGAAGGGAACCATGTTGAGTAGTAGTCACATAGGTCACCGATCCAGTTGGGCATGGAGCGACGGAATGCACGGAAAAGGATGGTGCGTTCTGTAGGCATTTTTGTGTCCGTGCTACGAATCCTTGTAAGATGAGGGCGAGACAGTTTTTGAGAGAGTCTTACAAGAGCGTTTCTAAGATATGCGAGAAATCATCAGATTTATTATCCAAAGCGCCGAAGCGGTAATTGAAGGCGCCTGTAAGCTGGGCATTTAGACCGGTATATAGTAATAGAAGGAAGACACATACCCTCGCCAATTATGTCTAGAGTAAGCCTGGACAACCAGTCGTAGACATTGATTACCTTGGTCTCTCCTTGAAGAGCAGCCTCCCATCGGCTTTGCAACTAAAGATGATTCATTAGGACGATCGGGTAAAGGACAAAGCCAAACATACGCGATCAGTGCAACTTTGGAAGAGAGGCAAGAAGCCACGAGATTGAGCGGCGGAGAAGGCAGGGTTGAGGGTCTTTCTATGACGCGAGTGGTCGTCACCTTCAGCCCAAAGGATACCTCTGCCAAGTAGTTTCTTGAATGCACGCTGGTTATCCTTGGATCGAGGGTACTTGTAGTTCATCTCGTAAATATGTTGAAGCGCACGCGGATCGGCAACCATGAGAATTTGTTCCTGATGACCAATAAGTAAGAGGAGATGTCAGCGATGGGGAGAGCGTACGCCATAGCAGCCAGCGGAGCGGAAGACGGTACCGTAGCGCTTGGTCCACTCTAGTTCCAAGGTGCATGCTTCGGCATTAAGAAGATCAAACTCATGACCTATGAGAGGTAAATGTGAGTCTCAAGTCATCAGGCGGCCCGTTGAACACACCAAGTAAGGTGGATTTGGCAGGAGGGCCCCTCAGAAACCCAAGAGCGCGTTTTTTGCGGAAGAACAGAGTAACGCTCACGAACGCGAACGCTAAAAGAACGTAGACTGCGTCAAGCTGGGAGGACATGTAGAAATGTAGAAATTGAAACCTAACGCTTGTGGCATACCGGAATATATAGATATCGGAGGTCATATCTTCAGCGCAGCAAGAACGGAGTCCTAGGACATACGGGATCGACGTTCGTTGCATTTCTCTGCCTAGAATGCAGGGCCTTCGGGCTGCGTATCTGTTAGCAATCGCTTAATTCCGCGCAAAGACCATACTTACTACCAGGGTTGAATTGATGAACCACACAAGCCACAAATGTTGATTATAATAAGCGATAACTGAGCTGGCACTATTGTCGGTTGATCCGTCTCCCAAGGTGTCTCCCTCGGAGAATACTGGGGGGGACGGGGACATGACTGATTATCATCTCCAGTGGCGTATCTGTCCCTCAGGTCGGGTCATCGTGAGTTTTCCGTTGAGTTACTCATTTTGTCTCGAATTGATAACGAAGTTTTCTAGACTGTCGTGGTCCGTCACTTGAATCGCAAGCGCCCATTTAGTCTGGGGGAAGACCGCTGACGTAAGCTCTCGACTCCGACGTGACGCAGAGCGTCGAAGGCTGTCGAAGGTCGCAATCTGAGACTTGCTTCTAGGATCGCCGCTTCCTGGCCTCCATCACGTTTCTCCAAAATGATAACCATCCGACTAAGACTACAAGCACTAGATCCCTCGCTTATAGGAAACTTGAGTGTCGCCTATCGTCCGCCTTCACGCCGATGCACCTCTGAACTTTGAAGCTCCAGCGCTCGCAGGGATTCCAGGCCAGTAGCCACTCTCCAGGTCCCGCTATATAAGCACCGACAAGGAACCATATGCCCCCCTTCTCCATAATTCACGATGTGGCAGAAGGCCTGGTCAACTGCGATAGATGCCGCTCTCCTCCTTTCTGGTGCCATAGTTGGAACGGATATACCCCAGTGTAGACTCCTGCCCGGCGACGTAGCGTGGCCGAGTACAGATGCTTGGTCGACATTGAATAACTCTATTGATGGTCGCCTCATCAAGCCTATTCCCATCGGGGCCCCATGCCACCACCCCAATTACGACGCAGAGCAATGCGAGATTGTCCGCAAAAATTGGCGTCAACCAGCCTTCCAGTGAGATTCAATCTTGTTGATGGTGTATGTCCTTTTTAGCTCAACGGAACTATAGTGAACTCCATCCGTCCTCTATTATGGATCCTATTTTCCTGAATAAAACGTGTGATCCCTTCACCGATCCGTCTATCCCATGTAGTAGGGGTCCATACGTGGAGTACACTGTCAATGTCACCAAACCAGAACATGTCATCAAGACTCTGAAATTCGTCGAAGAACACAATCTTCGCTTCGTAATCAAGAACACAGGCCATGAGTAGGTCCTGTGTCTTCGCGGCAATAGGACGCACGTACCTAACGTCACCCTTCTAGCTACATGGGTAGGTCAACTGGAGCCGGCGCCGTGTCCGTTTGGATGCATCACCTCAAGGGTATAACAATAATCGATAATTACGACTCTCCGTCTAGCTCGTATAAGGGTGCAGCCGTCAAAGTCAGCGCCGGAGTAACCGGAGAAGAACTTGTCGGTGTAGTCGATAAGCATGGTCTTGCTATTGTCAGTGGTGAATGTCCAGTACGTCTCCATATTAGGTTTCCGGTGGGCAGTTTCTCTGATTCCAGACATTCGTTAGACGGTTGGCTTCGCCGGCGGATACATCCAAGGCGGAGGTCACTCTGTGCTTAGTTCGAGATACGGCATGGGGGCAGATCAGGTACTATCATACGAGGTCATCACCCCTGGAGGCAAGTTCGTGACCGCGTCTCCTACCGAGAACGAAGATCTTTATTGGGCTTTAAGCGGCGGGGTATGTGTCTTACTATATATATGACGCCTCGGGAGCTAATGGTAAATCCAGGGAGGTGGAACGTACGGAATCCTTTGGTCTGTCACCATCAAAGCGTACCCAGATGTTCCCGTCACCATCGCATCTCTAGCATTCGCCACCCAGGGTATCTCACAAGACACCTTCTGGAAAGCCATCGCCGCTTACCAACACAATACTCCTCGCCTCACTGACGCGAAGGTTTTCTCCTTCGCTGTCTACTCTCTTGCCGGATTCAGTCTCGACCCCGTCTTCGCCCCAGGCCTCACTGTTGACGAAGTCAACGCGCTCTTGAAGCCATTCATTGATGACCTCAACGAACTTGGCATCCAATACATGCACTCTGTCAGCAACCATCCCGGATATCTTGCTGCTTTTTCGAGCGTCCCCGCCTTCCAAGGCGCAGAAATCGCCAACTTCCAGATTGGTAACAGGTTGTTACCCCGGCGGTTGTGGGAGGACGAATCGAGCTTCGAAGATTTGATGAATACGTTGAAGTCCATCGCAAATCAAGGTGGTGCTTTGCTGGACATTGCTGTGAGACCGACGCTGGAGGTAGCTGGGTACCCGGATAATGCTATCCTCCCGGCATGGAGGAACGCTGAGCGTACTATGGGTGTCATTACGTAGGTCATCCCTATGCTCGCACCACAGCCGTTGTACTAACTCTACGCCTCAGAATGTTGGATGATCACCAAAGTTTGGAAAGCATCTTTAACGATCAGCACAAGGTCACACATGAATTTGCCGAAGCTCTACGCAGACTTGCCCCCGAGGCGGGCTCCTATCTGAACGAGGTAAGAAGTAAAGTACCTTCGTAGACGTAAGTCGCTGACAGTTACTGTCAACAGGCTTCTCCAATCGAACCCAACGTCAAGCACGCGTTTTACGGCGCCAATTATGATCGTCTTCTACAGATCAAGGATAAGTACGATCCTCATCAACTGCTGTATGGATCTATCTCAGTGGGCGGAGACCGTTGGGAAGAGACAGCCGAAGGGCGACTGTGCAGGAGAGATACTTCCGGTGGCATGATTATTCAATTCAGGCGTTACTTAGAGTCGATGAAAGGGGAACTATGAGGACTTGGCTATTTAAAACCAGTAAACACTTCTCATATACATATGTAACGAATTCGAATGAAGTCCTTGATTTACTAGCCTACAATTCCTCTCCTAGGCACCGGAATTCAAATCACAATCTTTGCTATCTGGTGAATAACTAGCTTCTGCATAGCGCACCTCTCTCGAACCCTTCGGCACCACGCAAAACAATGGTACGAGATGAATTAGTAAGCTCATGAAGCGTCTCTTCTTAGGGCTCCTCCGGAGGGAAGTGATCTTGTCATCAGAAGCACGGACCAAAAGCGACTGCACTTGGCGAATCTAGGAACTTGAACAGTTAAAACACCTTCAACGCAACGAATATCAGCTATCTACCTCTTTGATGCATTTGCGGTAATGAGATACTTGGAGGTTCCACACATTTATAGGAAGCTTGACCTGTTCGTCGCCCAAGAGATCCTGGATGTCACTTCCATTCAACTCGAGAGTCATCTTCTCCCAAAATATGAGGAATTCCTTCAGTTTCTCGATCAGAGATTCTATCGCTTCTTGCGCGTGCGGGTCGTTGTCTAATATGTGATGATGAGTTACAGCCGAAGAGACCCAGGGATTGATTACCTCCAGCGTTCGAGTTGGTCTGCCGGTCCTCTGGATTGCTGGACCTGCACTCGCGGCCTGCCTGAAGTCCCGACTTGAGCGATCAGTGCGATTCGTATACTATCAAGGGCGTACTTCTAATCTTCTGGCGTCCGATTCGGGCCACAAGGCAAGAGCCTTATCAAGAGTTGCTTTGGCCCGGGCGGCTGAGTCATGCATATCCTTCCGGGTTCCTTGAAGATTTCCGGCGCTGGAGTAGAATAATTCCCCGGATTCTGCGACTTCAACTACCCATTGAAATGTCTGGATATATTGGCCTGGCACTAACCTACAAATATAGCATCAGGGTGGTAGTAATATTTATGCGCCTATACGACTTACTTGTCGTCGTATAACTTTTGAAGGCAGCGTGCCACTCGCGTGGAAGCTCGCGAGACTGAGGGGACGTCAAATTGTTCCTTCGAAAGTAACAGGTATTCCCCTTGGCGAGGGTGAAGAGACGGCGGGGGAAGCATAAGCAATTTTGGAGGTAGCCCGTTCCTAGAGTACCGCATACTTGGTCAGCATCGTCAACATATGGCCCTCTAAATGAAACCTACTTGAATGCGGGAGCTACAGTCAGCATTCTCCTCACTGGAGAATGCTTCTTCGATCCGATAGGAGGGTCTACCGTGAGCGCGTCACAGCTGGTAGTTATATCGGATACTGCCTGGCGGACAATGTCGTGGTATTTGGTCCACATCCTGACCGTTGTCTCCTCTGTAGTTATCAGCGTGTTGATGCCCAATTCAGCTTCGGAAATGGCGTGCAACGTTGCGTGATGTTTGGCCCAATATGAGGCAATATCCTCGAGACACTTGACGGATGATTGCAGCGCGCCTAAGAGTGACGTGAATTCGTGCATGATATTTGGAACTCGACCTTGGCTGTCGGTGGGCTCTTGAGAACGACCGGGATGGCGAGAGTTCGAGGCCTCCTGTGCTTTGGCCAGCAGTAAGCTTAGTGTCTCCTTGTATGACACCTGCAATCTAGACGCTCGCTTCATGATGGAAGCGGCAGTGGAAAGCGTAGAGCTTGCAATCGCTTGAACTTGAGATATTTCACCTCTCTGCAGTACCTCGTAAAGGCGCCTGCAAGTCCGGAGATGGCCAAGACATTCTCGAAAGAATTCCAGCCATGCCTCCCATTGCTGGCCAAGTTCTTTCTTCGTCACGGATAACAGCTGGACGTGATTGAAAGATGTGTCGCCCAGGATTCCCAATACGGCATGAAGGGAGTATAGATGCGAAACCACAGTAGACGTATTCTCTGCCAAAGATTCCACAGGGTCGATTTGTATGATTCGTTGCTGTGAGAACAGAGGTGAGTCTGGATAGATAATTCGAGAGCGAGTAACTTACGGTTTCTTGAGTTGCATCGGGAGCTTCATGGGTTAGCATGCTTGCCATTATTGAACCGGAGGGTATCTTTGCAGCTACTATCTTAGACTACTTGTTACCAAGCCACTTATGAGGCACCTTTCGCCAGACCATGCGTCGACGGCAAGTAGCCCCCTCAACTCTGGCTGCGTGTAAACCTCATGTACCCTTCGCTGTTAATAAATGCAAAACATGAAGTCACTTGCCTTGGTCGAGCGTCTATATTGAGGTTTCGGAACACGCCACACGAACGCCACACACAGCCTGGTGACTTTGCGAGATAAGGGATTCGACGAAACCGAGTGAATCGAGAGATTAAAAAACCGAGGCCAGCGTGAGGGGATGCAGGCCGGTAATATGGAACCCACGGCATATATCACGGACACACGTATGCTGCATCAAGGATGAGATACATGATATCGATTGGAGTATAAACTCAGTGCGGAGGTGAAACCCTATGTAACAGTTTCCCCTGGCACCTCATAGAACTCAACGGCAACAAAAGACAATCTGCAACAATCGCACCCACCGATGAATTCTCGACGCAGAGAGGCAGATCCGGTCAACATGCCTAGGGAGAGGTAAGCAGTATATCCACATATCCAAGTGGGTAGTCGAACCTCAGTCAATAGGAAAATGCAAGAACAAACGGAAGTCGTCGCATTATTGACGAAATCCAATCATAACATGTTCTTGTGCTTGAAATTGTTCTCCGAGAAGCATAAGTACATTGATTTTGCACGATCGATGTCAATACGACACTCACGAGCTTGGGCAGGAAAGCGGGATTGTTCAAGAGAATGAGGGGACTCACCCCGAGGGAGAAGGCGTACGAAGAAGTGACTCGTCAAGCTGCCGGTTACCTTAAGGTTGTTGAGTCGAGCCTAAGAGTTTCTTTGGTCGGAATATCGATCACAAAGACAGCGATATCCCTTCTAGAGACTCCGACGCGCAATCCGGTCCAGCTTATGGCGGGGTTGAGGTCGCATGCAGAAGAATGCCGATTGGAAGCACAAAACATGGAAACCGAATTTAGAAAGGTTCGAACACAAATCTGGAGTGTGAGCTGGAACCTAGGAGATCATATCCAACGAATAACGCATCCACAGATTAGCCAAACGCTGGGAATCTCTTACAAGACCAGCGACCAGGATGAATCCAGCACTGTGGAAATAGAGAGTGAGTATTACCCTCACGCTCGTGGGAATGAACGCTTTTACTGACGGGGACTCAAGAGCTGCGCGATATGGGCGATGTGGACCTCTTCGATCTGTTCGCCCAAGTCATTAACCAGTTAACGGGTACAATTGCAAGATTTGTGGCCTGGTGGGACGATGCGACGATCAACTGGAAAAACATCAAAGAGCACATGATAACTTTCAAGCATGGGAACGACGTCTTGATTAAGGAATGGAGGGATCTCCAGCTTCAGTATCAACTATACAGGGAGGAGGTTAGTTTGATGACATGCATCAGAAACCCGATGACTTACTGTACCGCAGATTATGGCGCAACAGGATTATTATAGTTCGAAACTCAAGCCGTAGGCTCCTTGCGCAGCAGCCAACGCAAGTCTTCAAATGACGACTACTGCCTGATATCATTCTTGAACAGTATTACGATAATGATTATGACAGCTGATTGCTATTCTTGGGTGACGATGCCCTTCGGTGCTATGGGTTGATGAAGACTTGTATTTGTATGGAAGTTGAAGGCGCAGGACTCCGTTGTGGGTATCTCGTTGAAATTGGTTTGCGCGAACCGAACAAACGAGCGAGTGCGCCGTCCACACTGCAGTTCCTCACCTAGTCCCGCTATCGACAGCGTTAATCACTTCTACTACCCAGTTGAACTTGAGTTCCGGCCGTACCTTTATCGTTAATTTTGTCGCGCCGCACTCTTGCCAACCTTGAACACAGCTATTAACGACACGTACCGAACCTATACAGCCCGCAAATGTGCCCCTGTTAGTCCCTTGCCTTGGCACCACCGCCCAGGATGAGCGTGCATCTGGAGTAGTAAAATTAAATCCAAGTTTCTGAAACGAACAGGCCATGCTGCAGCTGCGTGGCATATTATCGATAAGCCAGCTTCTGCGACATCAGTGTCCCAATTCTTGTGGTGATTGAGGAATGGATGATGATGATTTCCCAATACGACATAAAGCATAGTCGTAAGTAGTTCGTATTCCAAACAAAATTTGCAGCGACTTACCGTGGGAATTGCTGTACAATTTCGACTATGCCGTCGCCAGTCACCAGTTCGTCACGCTCTTGAATGTTGAACGTTGAACGTTGAACACTCACAAGTTCAATTAACACTAAAGCATCCGTGCGCGTAAGCCTTCTTGCAATATCATTAGTGGCGAACATATCGAATGTTATTCGAACATCTACTCCGTCTGTGTAGCTAGTCTGATCAGCCGAAAGCAACCGCACACGCCGTCCAGCATCATGGAACACAACGACTCCGTATCGACATTCAGATGTTTCTGCATTTGGCCTTTTTTGTCCCGTAAGAGACCTTCCCAAAAAATGTCGTCGCAAAGGCTGGATTTCTCACGTTACAGACCCCTGGATGTCCCTCTACTGCTAGCTTGCCGTCTTCCTTGCCTCGCGCTAGAATATCCCCGGAATCGACGGAGTCCTACAGCCAATGAAATATCACTCGAAGTGTTAGGGAGCCATGCTCTGAAGGTGAGTTTCCCCTGAGCGTCTAGTATGTCAACGATTCGGTTGTTTTGTATACTTCTAACCCAGGTTCTAACAGGAGTACGATCGTCCTTGTGACTTCATAACACGGAGAACATGGATGGAACGACGCCTGGGTGAAGGGCAGGGGGGGCTGGCACTTGTCGTGGGGCGGACGGCACATGTATGTTGGTGCATCGTGGATGAATTATATATTCAGCTTAAGATGATCAGTATTGGTTGTATCCACAATCTTCCATACACCTCAGCCAATGGAACCTCAAAGCGCGGAGGCGAAGCCCAATGACAGGACTATTAGCAGGTGAGTACCGTTGTTCATAAGTGGGTGTCTAACTAACGTCACCACGTACAAAGCGTCACGCAAGTTCACGAGAAAGCCATCCAGGAATTGACGAAATCGAACCGAGCTTTCTTCTTGTGCTTAAAATCATTCTTTGAGAACCATAAGTACGATATTTTTGGATCAAATTTCTCCTTCCACTAAATCAGAGACAGGAGAGAGGGTTGGTTGAAGAGACTCGTAACTTCTTCAACGCCAGTCGACAAGGCGTATCAAAGTTTGCACCACCACGCTGGGAGTTTCTTCCGCCTCGTGGAGTCTAGTATAAGGGTTTCGTCGGCTGGAGTAGCAATCACAAAAATGGCAATATTCCTTTTAAGCGCACCAGCCGGCCCTCCAATCCAAGTAATACAGCTAGCGACACGATTAAGGCCGTACGCAGTACAGTGCCGTTTGGAGGCTAAGAAAATGGAGAACGCCTGCAGAGAACTCCGCACACAGATTATGGATGTGAGTTCAAGCCCCCATTCAAAACATGGAACTAATTCGGTCATAGACGTATAAATCGGTGGGGTTCGAAGTAGAAAGTTATAACAAACACGACATGGACAACACAGATGGTAGGTATACAGTTGCATCTATGTACAACGGCTATACACTGAAACTGGCAAAGCGCTGCAAAACATACAAGATGGAGGCCTCCTCAAAGCGCTCACCGATTCCGTTGGCCAGTTAGCGGATACAATCACGAAATTAGTGAGCTGGTGGGGCGACGTGGAGATCGACTTGAGTAATATCACCAACCTGATAGACGTGAGCCGGGGTGTTTCGCTCTTGATTAGGACATGGGAAGATCTGCAGCGTAGTTATCAGCTATACAACAAAGAGGTTAGTCTGATTGTGCAATGCATGCTAGGAAGTCGATACTCACCATACCACAGATTATGGTGCAACAAGATTATTACAAGTCGGAATTGCGATACGCACTCCCTAACCGTGGGCTTCTTTCGTTCTTTCGCAAATGAATGCGGCTGATATCCCTCGTAAATCACTGCATGTAAATTGTTTTGTATATCCTCTGTTCTAAGTTATTACTTAGTGATGTGTTCGGATGTGCGACGATGAAGTTCTCAAAAATAAGCGCCAGAACACCAGCGCGAGCCGAGGCAATGCCGATGCTTGCGCCCAGCGCTAAAAGAGCAGGTTCTTCCTTCAGGCTTCGGTCAACTCTTCTCAACCTTGATGCTTGTGCCATGTGACATGTCCACCGTAGTGCCGGTGGTTCGATGAGACACTATGGTAGAAATGAGGTAGCAGACAGTGGTGTCTCTCATGGCCAGTGGACTAAGAATTCTCGTAATTCTTGGAATTTCTCTACGCGGTTGCAGTGGCTCGCTGACCAGGATAGCTCTTCCGCAAAGTGCTATCATTGAGGCTGCGATTTGCACCGCCATCCTCTGGGAAGTTCTATACGACATAAGGCCCGTAGCCTCGTGCTATGTCAAGATTGCGGCTTCTTTGATGTGTCGAAGCGACTTCCATCGCGAGTTTGGCGTGTGGACAGATATCTTTCCGCGTTTACCTCGTGTCGTCACCTGCTCTACGATCGTTCCTTCGAGCAGGTAACCCACTATCTGCTTTTTGATGATAAATCGATGACTCACTCATTCCCTTCGCCAAGGTGCCAGGATACGCAATCTCAACGGCGGAGGATAACGCGACCAAAGTGAATGCTTCGGCACTTATGTCTTCGATCTTATAAGTTCGTTCAGGGTCAGATTCATCATTACCACGATGGCAGTCGCATTCCCAATTGCCCTGACTATCTTCGCCACGTTGACTATTCGCTTTCTCGCAAAAGCGCGAAAGCGGAGTAGTTCGCTTCCACTGCCTCCGTCCCCTAAAGGACTGCCGCTTCTAGGTCACATCCTAGAAGTACCAAAGGAGTACGAATGGAAGAAATATAGCCAATGGTCGAAACAGCTTGGTGAGCTATAATTTACTCCTCGTACTTTGGTAAAGTTTCGACGCTTTCGTATCTTAGACACCGATATCATCAGCTTGAATATGATGGGATCCACTGTTATCGTACTGGACTCATTGCGGGCTGCCGAAGATCTATTAGCAAAGCGATCTTCATTATATTCTAGCAGGCAAGCATCTCTCCGTATATTTCTGGTGGATGGGCGTCTGATGATTGATCGTACGTACATAGGCCAAGTATAGTGATGCTACGTGACTTGTACGCCAGTGTTGCTGGCTTTGGCTGACCCCTCGATTAATGTTAGGATGAAATGCGACTGGTTGCTTACGGTCCTTCCTTATGACGATCGCTGGAAAGTGCGTCGCAAGATGCTTCAATCAGAGTTCAATCACGTCGAGACGATGCGATATCAACCACACGAGTCGAGATATGCAAGGGAGCTGCTGCAACGATTGCTGGACACGCCGGATCAGTTTATGGAGCATATCAAATAGTAATTGACCTCACGCTCTAATTTTGCAATATTCTAAATTAGTCGCAGTGTGACCGGCGCGAAGATCCTCTCTATATCCTACGGCATCGATGCCAAGCCTACCAATGACCCCAATATTTCCCTCGTAGACGAAGCCGTTGATGTCATCAACAGGGCCGCTATTCCTGGCGAATATTTGGTCGAGTTACTCCCTTTCCTACTGTGGGTGCCCGACTGGATGCCGGGAGCTGGCTGGAAGCGAATGGCGAAGAAGTGGAAGAAAATCACTGATGAAATGCTCGAGAAGACGTATATGCGAGCGAAAGAGAGCACGGTGAGTGTGTTCTTATTTTCCTAAGATTACAAGATTACAATTATAATAACCGTTAACGTTTGCCGTAACGAAGGCTCAGGGAGAAGCCAAACCTTCGTTCATGTCCTATTGTCTGGAAAAGATGGACCTGGCGGAGAACACGGAAGAGCAGGAACAAGTGATCAAAGAAACCACCGCTACCCTTTATGCAGGTACGTGTTCACAACCAAATTCCCGGGATCGGTCCGCGTTACTCAAACTGACTATCCACAGGCGGCGCGGATACAACAGTCTCGGGCCTATACACATTCTTCCTCGCCATGCTTTTATATCCTGAAACTCAAGCCCGCGCTCAAGCAGAGTTAGATGAGGTTCTCGATCGCAGTAGGCTTCCTGACTTTGGTAACGATGAATATGAACTGCCGTATATCAAGGCAATAGTGTTAGAGGTATTAAGGTGGATGCCTGTTACGCCTTTAGGTTCTTCTTCTCACAGTGCTCTAGCGGAGTGATAACTAACGATGTAACAGGTGTACCACATCTCGTTACGCAAGAGGACGAATACAAAGGCTATCGAATTCCGGCTGGCTCTATTGTATTTGCGAACACGTGGTATGCTCCCCTAGACCATCTCTTCCTGCTCCGTCCTATATCATTTCTCCATCCGCAGGTCAATCCTACACGATGCAGCCGTCTTCTCGGACCCAGAAGCGTTCAAACCTGAAAGATGGCTCAACAAAGAAACGGACGCAAACGGCAACGTGAAATGGACAATCGATGAAGGCCAGTTCAAGGATCCAGATGCTGTGTTTGGGTTCGGTCGACGGTAGGTCGTTCATCGAGGCGTTTAATAGACATTCGTGCTGAGTGCGGGCTATTCCAGCATATGCCCAGGCCGCCATTTGGCTGTTTCGTCCCTTTGGATCGCAGCGTCTACCATTCTATCCGTGTTCAATATCACCAAGGAGGTAGGCAACGACGGAAAAGAGGTGGAGCCCAGGATGGAGTACAACAGCGCGTTGATATGGTGCGTTTTCATCCTTGTTTCCCTCTTGAGAATCCCATCTCAGAGCAAGCCGCTGATGGTTTCACACTGCAAATGAATAGCCACCCTAAACAGTTCAAATGTTCGATTAAACCACGGTTCCCTGAAGCAGAAGACCTTATTCGCGCTTCTATACACGAGTATTAACGAATGGATGACTCTGTATTCCCAAGAATATTTCATTTCCTTGTTCAACGGCGCGAGGTCTACAAGAGTCGAGAAGCATACATACGGCATGCTGACAGGTATGGAGCAACGTCAATAATCTTCTACACAGTTGCGGAGTGAGTTCATGTACCTTCTGCGACGGCAACGTGACCAGCCGCCCGTGTCGTCGCGGGACGCTGGCGCAGAGCAAGGACACAAGTACAGCTACGCGCTGCAAAGCAGGTACCCCTTCGTCTCAGTTTGGTCTAGCGCTTCTCGATTGACTCCGTCTCCCTCAACATCCTAAGTCTCGGTGAGCCTAGGTTTAGGGAGTCATAGGCCTCCTGCTGCCTGCTGTTTGCAATTGAGACGTGCGCAACCTGTGTCTAAGGGTTTATCGGTTATACCTTCACTATCAACCCGAGACACGTCGACCCAACGAGATGGTGGGGATCGAGATATCTGAGTTACACCACAAGGCACGTGATTCCTCAACTCCATTTCGCCTGGTTCAACTTGCTTTAATGCTTGTACTTATCTAGCCTATGTGTTGTCGTCGGCTCGAAGAGGGTCCCTTGGTGGAGGCGACAGTCTTCTTCTCAAGCGACAGCTCGTAGACAGGCTGGTTAAGAGCCTAGTTTATACCAAGTTCATGAGCATTTCTCCATCTCAATCAAGCATGGTAGATTTGGTATGGTTGCAATACTTCGGCCCATCACGTATCGCTCGACTCATAATCAGGCCACGCTTCCTTTCCCTGCACCTGCAACAGCGACACACCTTAATCTTTACCTGGAAACACACGTGTACAACGTGGCACTGCGACCTACGTTCGGACTACATGCTGTAACATCGTGGAGGGCCATTTGGTACATAACAGCTCTCGGATATGTTCATCATCCAACTTAAAATCCGCGTAAATGTCGTCTCGAAAAATGATCACAGCTGCGCCTGCTCAAAATGCCCAAATAGTGCGTACACATGCTCTCCCATAGGATAATAGTAACTGATCAAGATATAGCACCCAATCGAGCTCGCTCGACCTCTCACGTCGCTCGCGGAAAGTGTGTCCAACTCGATTGCACCCCTGTATTCGCTCCATATTGCGCTGGCGCAAGCATACGGAGAGAAGTCCCAACAAGTCCAGTTATTTTCCAAATCCAAGAAGATCATTGGCGCCGAGTGGGAGTCCTGGCTGTCGTTTCTGCGGGAGTGCATAGGGTATGCTCGAAATTACATCGCTCTATGCCAATCTCTGCAGACCGGCAGCCCCATGCATCACGAGAGCCTCACCCATGCGATTATCTCGCACCTTCAAAAAATATGTAGCGACATTGAGCGCTTGAGAAAATCGTACGCCGCGGCTGTCGAACAATTCGCTTCTTTGGCCCAGACCTACAATCCACCAAGTCGGACCACGACCAACCATGGTCGTTCCAAAACTCGGAGAGGCCCCCCACGGATCAACTTGCCCGTTATTCTTCAAGCCTTCGCGGTTACGATGAAAACCCTACGAACGTCGTCCACACATCTTGGTGTTCTGTCTGCGTTTTGGGCGGATCACTCTTCTCGATTGTTGAAGATGTCAGCGGCCACAAACTCGCTGAAGGCTTTCGTACAAAGCGGGCGCCTGCCCTCGGAACTCGCCACGTGGACGAAATTCCATGAAGCTCTTCGTCAGACGTCCTCCAACATCACCTCTTATTGCGATGCTGCCGCAGTCACGCCTATCATACCCTCCGGAAAACTAGGAAAGGCCACAGTGAACATCAGGTCAGAGCCCGTATGTTCGCTCGTAGCGTGGACATTGTTTATTTACTTCGTTTTATTTAGTTTCAGCATGGATTGTAATGCGACACCTCTAGATGGCTCAGAGAGATCAAAGATACAAGAAGCAGGCTACTACGAAGTCTTGACGGCCCCATATCAATACAATATGTCCGACCTCATTAAGCTCACAATGGAAATTCAGAAGGGGGTAGAAAGGTTCGCATCTGAATCCCGGTACGCTTATCCCTATTTATCCTCAAATCTTGACCGACAATCCTGTCAGCCAGACTCCCAAAGGCTTGCCGTATCCTCTCCAGTCCCAGATAGATAAATATAACTCTACTGTGCCGGAGATCGAGAAGATCGCCGTCGTTGGTGCAGCTTTCTATTCCCTCGTTCAAGAATTGGGGAAGAAGAACGACGCAGCGATCGCGTCTTCTTTGCTGAGTCATGCGATGACGGTTCGTAGCTGCCTGCGTGTTGTACTTCAAGAGTACGACGGAATCCATAGCCGAATAGGCAAGGCAAGGCTGTCACCGTAATGTTGTTTCTCTTTCTCACGACGTCCACAGGAGATTGCAGGTCGCTCGGCCAGGGAAGATCGATCGACCACAGAAAAGCAAGGTACGCAAGGTAATCTGATCCTAATTCACTACCAATAACCACGTACGCTTCGCGTAGGACCAAACACGGGGATGCTCCAGGACTTTGTCAGCCGTCTACAGCAACTTATACAGAGGTTGATTGATCTCGACCACTTCTGGTTTGGATTGCTTGCTGGCGTTGAGTACCTCAGTGTCAAAGGTTTGATTGATGTGACCGACAGAAATGGTCAAAATGTCGTTTGGGACAGGCAAAGGGTCGATTACGAACGATATAAAACCCAGGTAATGCATCCATGCCACGACAATTAAACCGATACACTCAATGACCATAACCAGGTGCAAAGTCGCGGACTGTCTTCAGGGGAGGAGGAACGTTTTTCGAAAGGCTGGCGTAGATTTTTCTGGTGCGTATATACTTCGAGTCTATCAAGTTACCTACATCAACATTAATCACTTTCCGTCATAGCCTGGCCTGATCTCATATGCTATCTTATCATTATGGTGTTTATATGCTATATCGCTCCGTCGCCTTCTACTATATTGTGCCGTGCGCGTAACCGTAGTTACTAGTATATATCCTGGACTCTATTTATTATATGCTTATCTTCATGCACCCTATAATCGCTTACGCCTCGCATTATTTTTCATGTAGATTATCATGGCATTCGTTGGTTATGTTAAAACTACCGGAAGTCTAGTTTGGCGCTGAGCCGAGCCGTATAACCATTGCGACACTGCATTCATAAGACAAATTCGTCGTCCTAAGCGGGAACGAACTCCACAATGCCAGCCTCGCCACCATCCCACAACCTCTGGAAGCGAAATCCGCTTGCTTCCCTAGGAAACCACTGAGTTAATCAGTCACATGACGAAGATCCGAACAACGTACCCCAACTTGATGAACTCGTCGAGCGTACGTTCTTTACTATTGAACTGGACCATCATGTTCATATCCTGTTGGTAGAGCCTCCTGTTGGCCACGCCGTAGTTGGGTAACAATGGTGCAGGTGCCTATAATGCGAGGTATGAGCGCTACGAAATGAAGTTTTACCGAAGGTCAGACCTGAGATTCCGATGTGAGTCCTCCGCGGGCGATATATTGCACGACGAATTCATCTAGCGAAGTTAGACACCGCTGCTGCGTCTGACTGAAGCAGACAGTGCTCACTGATCAACAGTTTGCTGTTCGGACCTACGGACTTTCTTACATTCTTCAAGATCTTAAGACAGTCGTCGTCGGCCCAATCGTGTCTACGACAAAGCCTTAATGAGTAACACTGATTCGCATTATTGACGTCAACACTCACAAAACGTGTCGCAGCTACACAATGTCCAGGAAACGCGCCTCAATACAAGCAAGAACTAGGGAGGTTGCAAGGGCGTACATAGTATATTGTGCCGTTTGTCACAGGTGTTTCCGTTAGGAAATCAAATCCGATGAAGTCGACTTTCTTCTCTTGAATGGCAATCGGGTACTCTTTCTCCCAATACTAATGATTGATTTAACGATATCTATTTGAGTCATTGAACGAAGAAAGTACTTCTCTGCCTTGTACAGCGACTGCGCGAGTATCCTGGACGATGACTTTGAGAGTTGGAAAGGCTTTAAGTAAATTAAGGGTGGCATGACCGTTGCCACCGCCAACGTCGACCACAATCGCATTAGCAGGAAGGCTGCCCCAGGGGTAGACTGCAGGATAGGAGTAAGACAACACCGTAATCATCATTGAACGGGACACTTACTCTTTGGAAGCATTGCCCTCCCTGTAACCTGTGCCCAGCCGACCATGGCCTGCCCTATCGTCTAGCGAAATGATTAAAATCGTATGCGAAGGACAGGGGAAGAGTTTGTACCTCGAAAATCTCTGTTCGCTCGGGCTGCATTATTCGAAGGTGAATGAAGAGGGTAAACATGAGAAAACGGTACTCTTACGGCACCGTAATAATCGAAAGCAGAAACTCCATGAGCACGATGGAAGGCACAATCTTCCTGGCGGTACGACTTTCTTGTTGTAGGGTCCTTGAAAACATCTCCCAAAATAGCGGCGCATTTCAAACCTTCATCTGTCCTGAGATATAACGTCAGCGGGGACGATATATTGGAGTGAGAGATGTCATGGTTACATCTGGCGAGCAAGACTCGAGACAGGATCAGTCGAAAGTAATTTCATAGACAAGCGGTTGTTGGCGAAGACGTTGGGTGCAACTGACAATGTTCGCGTTCGCTGATCAAAACAATGAGACATGCATGAGGAACGCTCACCTTCCGTGTAAACATGATTCGTCGCTAGTGTTCTGAGGACCCGTCCCAGCTTTCCGGGATCCTGGTCACTGAGACGCCCAAGCTCCCCAACATGTAGACCTTTGGGCTTGTCAAGGAGGTGATCGGTAATTTTCGCATCCAGGGCTACACGCATGCACACTGGCTCCATGAACTGAAGTGAATGGTCTTGACGAATACCCATCAATGAATCACATATCGCAAACTCACACTATACGCTTTCTGTGCAGGAAAAATAGATGAATAAACCGTTTCGGCCTTCAGTTTTCCATGCAAGCCGCTCACATTCGTTACAACATGACCAGCACTTGCCACCGTGGCGCTCAGCTGTGCACAGGCAGCTTCGGTAATCTGTATAGCGGTTTTCAGTTGATCTGAAACCAGTTCAGGTGAGTAAAACGGGTCTTGTCCCGTCGAGTCCAAAGCTGGGGGCGCGTGTCCGGCCTTCGCGTACTCGGATGTCACGACAGCAACCGAGTCAGAAATGAGTTTCACAAGAGCGCTTAGGTCGTTGGGGTGGGTCGACATCTCCTGGTTTCTGGACAAAAGGAGTAGCTCAGTCTGAGGAAAAGAGGCGAGCTCAATCCTATACGAATGTACACCGAGAATTTTAAGTAAACTGTGATGTGAAAGTCGTACAGCGAGCGGATCAGGAGAGCCGACACTGTTGCGGGAGCATGGATGATACTAGGTGCGAGTACTAAGGCCTGAGGACAGAGCTAGCAGTGCATCCCCCTCGGACATGCGAGGAGGGTTACACAGGCCTAATCATTCAAGAAGAATGTGGTGATGAACGGTTGGTAAACTGTGCACCGTGAGAAGAATATGAACCAACTCTTCTTAATTCATTCTCGGTTCAAGTGCGCGGTTTGATCCAGCCTTCACAGATTGCACACACAATCGTCACCATTCCTCCAGAGAACATGCAGAGATGAACACGCGTATCTCACGACAAATGGATCATCACAGTTCCGAGCTTAAGGTGGGATTCAGAATGATCTGGTCGACTCATGTGGTCGACTGTTACAACGCCCTACTCCGGATTCACAACAAGTGTTAAATAAGCTTCGAAGGTTTCCCCACCGGCAGTATGGTTTTGTGTGGGATCAGCAAAGTTGCTTTAGGTCGAATTACATAGACTCAATCTTTGCCTCATGATAACCCCCGCCACGGGGATTTTTCCACAGGCAAATAGCATGTCAAGTTATTGGCATGTCCGCGGGGGTATAGTTTAATCCTCGTTTTTCGCCCAACTTCAAGTAAGTGTCATTGATATTGTGCCTTGTGATTGAGCTGATGGACAGAGGGACTGACCGAGCACTGGAACAAGATGTCAACATCTACTCGAGTACAGCCAAGAGGTGTCATGAACTCTATTTGATCTTTTCCTGTAAGCATGTAGACAGAGTTTACCTGACGGAGAATCGCACCGACGCCACATCGCTTTCTGGCGTTTTGCTAAGAACCTAGTCAAGGGAGTTAACGATGGGACATTCTATGATAGTTCAGATGGGATCGAGGGAGAGTTCAATCTTGTGCGTTGCAGGCTCGTGTGCAGTATCGGATAGCCGTCGGGCATGAAACCACAGGACAGGTATCTCTTCATACTATGTCTGAGATTTAAACGCTCTCACATTATCCGAGGGCACACGCAGGTGGATTGCTCCCCCTCTACACGTCCCATAAGGTCAGCTAATAATAATGGATGATGTACACATGTCCATTCGCACCTTCTCCCCGGCAGGAGTTGCGAGTTTCTATATGAATTGGGGGTCCATTGACTTTCATGGGATTTCTCTCATAGGATATCGATCTTACACCCCACAGCCCGCGATGAACGACACTCACTTCGACGTACTTGTTGTTGGTATGGGTCCTGCAGGACTTATGTGCGCCTTATCCTTGGCGAAAGCAGGGATCAGGACCAAGATCATCGACAGGAGGTAAACATATATATCACCTTGCTTCGTGCATTGGTCCACCACCGTGACAGACCCGTTGAATGCCAATCTTACTGTAGGGCGCCTGGAACGCAGTACGGTAACGCAGATGGTATTCAGCCACGAACGGCAGAGATATGGGATTCCTATGGAATTCTCAAAAGGTTCGCCGAAGGCTCGGTGCCTGTCCACGCGATGGTTAGTGCTTTTCCATCGGCTCATTGTCAGTGTCTGACCTGCGAATTTTCGACCTCTACTCTCCTAGGTGACCTACAACCCCGAAGTCATCAACGGTGAATTGAAGCTTATAAGGTCGCACCCAGTCCGCAGCATCGTGGTAGACAGCAGATTTCCCCACGAAAGGACGGCTGGCATTGAGTACATTGAAGGGACATTGCGAGAAGCACTCCTTGAAGCTGGTGGGAGCGTTGAATTCAGTACCACGCCAACGAACGTAGAAGTAATGCCAGAATCGCAGTCGGACTACCCCGTAAAGGTAAATCGTCCTTTCTTGGTACTTCGTTCACATCCACGATCGTCAATTCAATCTGCGCTCCATAGGTTACTTTAGAGAAGCTGGCGGCACCGATGGACAATCGAGACGACGATGGGGTCCTTAACCAAGCAGCTTTCACAGAAACGATCCAAGCCAAATACCTGGTAGGCGCTGATGGTAAGCATCGATTACTTCTCCAGGGTCAACTTAGCTTAGTTCCTATAGGCGCAAACTCGTGGGTCCGCCGCTTCTTCGAGATACCATTGGAAGGGGATTTGACAAGTGGGTACCGACCAGCATGGTTCTAGTGAAGTCCCCGCTAAAAGTCACCACTCTAGAATCAGTATGGGGGGTCGCCGACGTCATCGTAGACGCGAACTTCAGCGATTGTCGAATGAAGTGTATTATCACTGCGCCAACGGGCACAATCATCGTGGGTATCCCCAGTATGGCGAGACCTCAAGCTTCGATCTGATGATCACCGTACAGACGATCCCTAGAGAAGGAGAGAAGATTCGTTTCTATGTGCAGATGTCCCTCGACGATTGTCAACTCACTTCCGATGGACGCGTCGATAAATCATATCTATCAAGCGAAGCGGCTCGCCACAAGGTCATAAGTGTACGTCCAAGGTATCTACCCAGGAAATCAACTTTAATTCCCCCCTGTAGCGAATACAAGCAGGGATGTCACCTTTCGAAGTGAAGTTTACGGAGGTCTTCTGGTGGACCATATTCGCCAGTATGTTGAGCCCATTTCTTTCGTTCACCTCGTGTACCTGACTATCATTTGACCAGTCCCCCAGCGAGTCGCGAAGCAGTTCTCAGTTCATGACCGTGTCTTCATTGTCGGCGACGCGTGTCACCAACACTCCCCCAAGGCGGGACAGGGAGCAAATGCTGCCATGTGCGATTCGCATAATCTTGGTGAGCGTCCAATGAGCCATGTGTCAACACAACTCCAACTCTAACGAGTGATCTACAAAGGGTGGAAGTTAGCACATGTGATCAAAGGATGGGCCTCGCCAAATCTCTTGCGGACGTACGAGGTCGAACGGAAAGGTTACGCCCAGCAACTTATTAACTTTGACAAGGAAATCTCAGAGACCTTGGAAAGAGATCCAGAGAGCTACGAGAGGTTTGAATTCCGACTTCCGCACAGGACTTGTTGTTAACCGATCTACGCCAGGGTTTTGCACCGTCAAAACATGTTCACTAGGTGAGCTTGTCGCTCATTCGTTCCATATGACAGCTGAGCGTCGAGATGTCCAGTGGGTTGGGAGTCCGATACAACTCGATGCTCATAAATCAGCCATCGTCCTCCCACGAGGGAGAACAAGGAATCACAGCTGGCAGGTACTTACCATGGTGCCCCATCACTCGACTCGCCGACTGGGACTCTATGGATATGCAATCGTTGATAATTTTCGACGGACTTTGGAAGCTACTGATTTTGCCAGGCGATATTCGTTCACCAAACAACCTAGCTGAGCTCGCCCGAACGGAGAAGGAATTAACAAGATGTGTCGGAGTACTCAAGCATGCAAGCTTGTATACGATTCTTGATAACCGAGAAGACGAAGTCCAATGGACTGACGTGCCGAGGGCCCTTCGTTCGTGGAAGCGGTACGTATGTAGCTTCCAAACGCGGATTATCGCACTGATTCTCTACCTCAGTGTCTTCGTCAGTGGCCGAAAGAGTTCATTGAACGTATACGAACTCTTGGGAGATAGTAAACTCGGCTCACTCGTTTTGGTCCGACCCGATGGTTATGTTTCCATGGTTCAAGAGCTATCTCAGTTCAACGGCGATGAACTGACTAGATTCTTCCTCGGCCTGTGATGTTTCTCGTCTACACATGTGAGCTTGCCATGTCCAAATCGATTCCCCTAAGAAAAAGAGAAGATCTGAATTAAGAACGATGTGTTTGGGTTCATACGTGCTAAGGAACGCGTTGCATAAGTGGCGATGCCGTGAGCGGGAGCATACCGGCGACAGGTGATGTAACCCCGCACGACCCGCTAAAGATTCGTATCGAGGAGAAGCGGAGGAGGAACTGCTTACACAACACTGTCTGGGTGATTGATCGATTACAGCGTATCACCGCCGTTCAACCGACTTCAGCAGATATCTAGAGAATATGAACCACATGACCATTGTGTTTAGAGCCTGGTGGTACTCACCACGGACTCAATACAACTTTTTTCATCACCTGTGCCCATGGAGTGGACCATCCAGAAACTTGGCAGTCGAATGAGAGTTCGCCGATGTTGATGGCAGGTGGGTTTTGACTTGGGTGCTAGCCAAGTTCAAAGTGCGCTGATGACAACTATTTCCCACAATTTACGCCAGTCAATTCCAGAATCCTCCTGGGGTTCCTCACCGACGACTCTGAGAGCAGTCCCATGCTGAGCTTACATTCATGTGCGTATACAAATAGACGGCCTATACCGGGACGAACTCCACGATACCTGCCTCCCCTCCGTCCCACAACTTCTCGAAACGAAATCCACTCGCTTCACTGAGCTATAATAAGCAGCGGAAGTCAATCACAATGAAGGTCGCGTACCCTAACTTGATGAACTCGTCGAGAGTGCGCTCTTTGCTATTAAATGAAATCATCATATTCATGTCTTGTTGGTAGAGCCGCTTATTGGCCACGCCGTAGTTGGGGAGCAATGGTTTAGGTGCCTGCAATACGAGATATCAGGACTGCAGAAAGAGTCAAACGCAGGGATATCTGATCCAGACCTGGGTATTTGATGCGAGTCCTCCACGGACGATATACTGGGGGACGAATTCATCTACCGATGTCAGTAATCTAGAGTTGAACAATATCGGCGATACATACTGATCAAAAGCTTGCTCTGAGGGCCCACAGACTTCCGTACGTTTTTCAAGATCTTGACGCAATCATCGTCAGGCCAATCATGTCTACGATGACGCCTTGTGAGCGACAGTGAATCAGATCAATGTCAGGTACGTACAGAACGTGTCGCAGCTACAGTGTCGGGGCAACACGCGTTAGTTAAACCGAAAGCACACGACGCCTTCAAGACGTACGTAGTATACGGTACCTCCCGTCACGGGTGTTTCTGTGAGGAAATCAAACCCTATGAAGTCGACTTTCTGCTCCTGTAGGGCACTTGGGTATTCTTTCTCCCAATACTAATGGTTCCATGAATGTTAGTATGCTTTCTCAGGCAGGGGACGTACCGCTTTGCCTTGAATAGCCGACGCGCGAGTGTCCTGTACCATGATCTTAAGAGTCGGGAATGCTTTGAGCAAGTCAAGCGTGGCGTGACCATTGCCACCGCCAACATCTACTACGGTTGCATTGGTGGGAAGGCTACCCCATGGGTAAACTATAAAACAGGTGTTAGGAACACAAAATATACCATCATGATTGAAGTGCTGTACTGACTCTTGGGAAGCATCGCCCTTCCGGTAACCTGAGCCCAGCCAACCATCGCTTGCCCGAATCTCTGTCAACACGTTGAGTTACTGCGCAGAGATCCGAAGCTAATAATACCTCAAAAGCATGTGCTCGTGCAGGCTACACCATTTTCGCGCGTCAGCAGACGAGCGTTGCGTGGCGAGAGACATTCTTACGCCCTCATAGTAATTGAAAACGGAGACTGAATGGGCGCGCTGGAAAGCGCAGTCCCCCGCTAGGTAGGACTTGTTTGTTGCGGGATCTTCGAGCACGTCGCCCAATACCACTCCAGCCTTCATCACTTCGTCCGACCTGAAAAGGAGCGTCAGAACACGCAGGTCGATTATAAAACGAGACATTTACATATGACCAGCAAGGCTAGAGACGGGATCAGTCGAAAGCAATTTCATAGAAAGGCGGTTATTAGCGAAAACATTAGGGGCCACTGTGGTTTGCATTGGGTCAAAGTACGATGATCCACAGCAAGAAAGGCTGACCTTCGGTGTAAACATGGTTCGTCGCAAGCGTTCTGAGGATACGCCCAAGTTTCCAGGGATCCTGGTCACTGAGACGCCCGAGTTCATCAGTGTGCAGTCCTTTGGGTTTGTCGAGAAGGTGATCCGTGATTTTTGCATTCAAAGCGACACGCATGCACACCGGTTCCACGAACTGACGAAATGTGTCAGGCCATGTCCATAAATGCATTGCACATCGTAAAACGTACGTTGTACGCTTTCTACTCAGAGGAATAGGTTAGCAACTTATTCGGGTCATCCAGTGACTCGCCTACATTCGTTACGACATGTCCAGGACTTGCCACAGTGGCGCTCAATTGCGCACAGGCAGCTTCGATAATCTTTATGGCAGATTTCAACCGCACGGACATTAATTCGGGAGAGTGGAATGGATCTTGGTCGATCGATTCCAGCGCAGGAGGCGCATGCCCGACCTTCGCATATTCAGACACCACGACAGCCACAGAATCGGAGATGAGCTCGACAAGGGTTGTAAGATCGTTGGAGAAGGCAGACATCTTCGCGGAGAGCGTGAAGAGGAGTAATCGACGACACCTGGATGGTCCTGAGAGGGTGACACGAGGAACCTGTAAAGGGAGATCAGGAGACCCGAGTGTTAGTCAGTGGACAATGGGGGTACAATGGAACTTGGATAAAATTGGATGAAACCAGTGGGCGATCAAAAATGTCCCATCGGTACAAGTAATAAAGAACGTAATCCGAAGGGGTTTCGCACCTGGTGAAGGCTATTATGTCCCACACCCACTCACCGACATTCATGGTTCAATCGTAAAAAATTCGGAAAGCGATCACAGGATGTACCGATCGAATTGATCTCTTGTGATGTAGTACATCCCAGGACACGAACGAGTTGAGGGCCACGCCGCAACGCAGCGGCCGCCGACAAAATTCAGGAGGCGAGTCTTCTTTCAAGTTTCCGCGGGCTGTTTGAACGGTCAGGCACTCCGAAGCAGGAATACGAGCATCAACGTACCACAGATCTTGCATTCAGCACCACTCATACCCTATGCGATGAGCACGGGTTTATTCACTTGTCGTATGGAAGAATCGTGGGCCCGGCCCTACCACCAGGTTCTTATCGCTGTGGTGGTCACTGTCGTCTGGCGTCCCAGTGAATGCTGAAAGAATCGCTTGCCCCTCGTTCAGTAAAGCTGATAAGTATGAGGATGGCGGTTCGGGTACATGTATCGCATGCAAGCAGCCTGCAGTACGCTTGAGTTTGTCTCTGAGCGCTTAGTCCGAGTCTATGGTCCGGCCCGTTCTGTCCGTTACTTGGTTGATCGAGCTCGTCGGTTACCTTGATCATGTCCGTTATATGTGCTATTGGATTGCGGCTGAGGTTTACATGTCGAAACCCAAAAATGACGACGGTTTTCCGCCCCAGTTGGTATAATCAACCTCATCGAGGCGCGGAATAGACAGATGGCCCTACGCTGGAGCAAATTCTATAATACCCGCCTCGCCACCATCCCACAACTTTTCGAAACGAAATCCACTTGCTTCGCTATCATAGTATTCAACACGGGGATCTGGTGAAAGCAATGGTCGCGTACCCCAATTTGATGAACTCTTCGAGTGTACGTTCCTTACTATTGAATAAGATCATCATATTCATGTCTTGCTGATAGAGCCTCTTATTGGCTGCCCCATAGTTCGGAAGCAATGGTGCAGGTGCCTACGGTGCAGGAATGTCAGAATGTATCAATCAGAGGCCGGGTATAATTCGCACCTGAGCGTTCGATGCAAGTCCTCCGCGAACGATGTACTGGGGGACGAATTCATCTAAAAGCAAGGTAACAATCTTGCCTTCATTCAGGTAATGTGAATTGTACTCACTGATCAAAAGCTTGCTCTTCGGGCCTGCCACCTTCCTCACGTTCTTCAGAATCTTCACGCAATCGATATCGGGCCAATCGTGTCTACGGCGACACCTCAGTGAGTCACATAGAATCTAGTCACTTAAGGTACTCACAACACATGTCGCAACTGCACAATTGAGGGATCACAGCCGTCAGTCCGAACAAGAACGACAACACTTTGATGACATACATAGTATACCGCACCACCCTCCACAGGTGCCTCTGCGAGGAAATCGAAGGCAACAAAGTCGACTCTCTGTTCGTCAAGGGCGGTCGGGTGTTCTTTCTCCCAGTACTACTAACTCGATGAGTCTCTATGCAGATCTTTGGGCAGGATCATACCCCTCTCCCTTGTATTGCTACAGTGCCAGTGTCCTGTACGATGATCTTAAGAGCCGGAAATGCTTTAAGCAAGTTAAGTGTGGCATGGCCATTTCCACCACCGACATCAACGACTGTGGAGTTAGGGGGAAGGTCTCCCCAGGGGTAGACTGCAGAATCCTTACGTATCAGAGACGCTTCCTTGATAAAAAGGCAACATACTCCTTGGAAGCATCGCTCTGCCTGTAACCTCCGCCCACCCAACCATGGCCTGGCTGAATCGCTAGAGATCTTATGAATATCGAGTCACGAAGCTGTAGAAGTTTCCTGAACCTACCTCGAAAAGTCGTGCTCGCTCAGGCTGTTTCGTGGAGGCATCAATGGATATAGGTAAGTACTCCCTGAACAAGGAATCTACTTACAATCTCGCCATAGTAATTAAAAGCAGAAACTGCGTGGGCATGCTGGAAAGCACTATCTTCGAGGCGAGACGATTTGCACTTTACGGGGTCCTCGAAAACATCACCCAATACCACAGCCGCTTTCATGGCCTCGTCCGACCTATTAGGGGAAGTTAGCAGGCGAATTTCGCGAAGTATGGCATGTACATGTGGCCAACAAGACCGGAGACAGCATCAGTCGAAAGCAGCTTCATGGAAAGACGGTTGTTGGCGAAGACGTTGGGTGCGACTGAGGTACGTGTCAGCCCCAAGTAGACAGTAACCGGCGACCTATTCGTGGAGACAACTGACCTTCAGTATACACATGGTTTGTCGCCAATGTTCTGAGGATGCGACCCAATTTCCTGGGATCCTGGTTGCTCAAACATCCAAGTTCATCCACATGTAGCCCCTTCGGCTTGTTGAGAAGGTGATCTGTAATTCTGGCACCCAAGGCTACGCGCATGCACACTGGCTCCACGAACTCAAGTAATTTGTGTGTGTCAATGATCATCCAGGCACATGGCAGGTGTTGCGGGACACACATTGTATGATTTCTATCGAAAAGAAATGATCAGCTACTTATTACTTTCAACATCTAAGACACTCACATTCGTGATGACGTGTCCTGGACTTGCAACCGTAGCACTCAGCTGCGCGCATGCGGCCTCAATAATCTTGATTGCGGTTTTCAATTGCTCAGAAACTAACTCTGGAGAACGAAAAGGATCTTCGGTTGTCGACTCCAGAGTCGGAGGCACGTGTCCAGCCTTCGCATATTCGGACGTCACGACAGCCACAGAATCAGAGATGAGCTTGGCGAGAGAGGTAAGGTCATTGGGAGGCGCAGACATCTTCTCGTTGCTTGTGAATGGGAGGGTGAAGTTCAATCTCTTGTTAGGGAGTACGGCGTCACGATCGAGTGGTTGGAGTGATCCAAGACCAGGAGCGAATGACGGGAGTTCAGTCGCACCCGAGGAGTTATTGCTGTTTAATTTAGGAGCCTACATCCAAGTTAACCGCTGGCTTCGAGTACTAGCCCAGCGGCCATAGATCAGTAGATACAAAAAGAACATCAGCGCCTTATGGCCCACTGTGGGGGCATCATGCACACCCACACTAAACCATACGTAACCTTTGGCCTTTTTTTGCCCTTTTGTCGCCTGCCAGTGAGGGATCCACATAAATCATGACGAAGGGGAGTATATCTGTTTTTCGGTGCAGGGTTGAAGGGGTTGGCTCACCCTCCGTTGACATCCATGCTCGGTTCAAGTTCCGTCGCGTTTCAGTATCTGGATCTTGGTATGCCGAATGTTCTTGGTACGCCGAATGTACTTGCACGCAGTCAACTGTTTCCGAGTCCACATACACAGTGCCCCACCTGCCAGATTGACTTTAAAATGGTATGCATGGTCTCGTCATGGACGACGAAGCGCTCTACTTAGGATCATGAAGACTTTCTTCACTTTCGACCTTGACTGGTAACCACGTTCTACACTCCTTTTCCAGGGGACGGGCATATGAAACGTTGGTTGAACGCACAAGGACGGACACCGGGGGTACGGCCTGCCGAACGGTAGGCGTTCGGGGGTCAAGAGGAACTGGGCTTCATTTGATTTAGAATACACACATACATACATTAGCAGCGCAGACGTCCAACACGGGGGAGATCCTATAGGACGATAAACGGGAATCAAAGAAATGGTCTCATCCCTTGCCAGATCACCCAGTGGAGATTATCTTGCCGACCTGTACATGATGGCCTTAATCCAATAATGATGCAGAGTGTACTATCATGGTGCGCATGTTCAGTCGAAGAATCTCGCACCTTATACCCCGTTAGATGTTGGAAGCGGTGATGTCTAACACTGTTGTCACCGTGTTTGTGATTGAGATGGGTCCCGCAGGCCTTCTGTGCGCCCTATCGTTAGCCAAAGCAGGGTCAGATATCGATAAAAGGTACTGATATGTCATTACTTGATCATTTCTTCCGCAGCGACTCACTCGGGTGGCGCTCCTTCTTTAGGCTTGGAACGCAATACGGCAACGCCGATGGAGTCCAGCCACGAACCTTGGAGATATGGGATACCTATGGCATTCTCAGAAGGTTCGTCGATGGCTCTGCACCTGTGCATGCGATGGTTAGTCCTTTTTTATACGGTCGTACACCCTCCTTACCTGACGCCTCTCTTCCTAGGTGACATATAACCCGGAAGTTGACAATGGTCACTTGAAGCTTGTACGGACACGACCAGTCCGCAACGTTGTCGTAGACAGTAGATTCCCATACGAGCGAGCGGCAGCCATCGAACATATTGAAGGGAGATTGCGAGAAGCGCTCCTGGAAGCTGGTGGAACCATCCAATACAGTACCACTGTGCGTTAATAACGCACCAATGGGGACAATCATAGATAGAGAAGGAAGTAGTGAAATGTGTCGGAGTGCTCAAGCATGCGGTCTTGTACACAATTCTTGATAACGGCAAAGACAAGGTCCAATGGACGGATGTTTCGAGGGTACTACGGTCTTGGAAGTGGTACGTACACTGCTCCTATTATCGTAAGTGTGTCGTACTGACTTTGGATCTAAGTGTCTTCATTAGTAACCAAAAGAGCTCGCCAAATGTATACGAATTATTGGGAGTTCCTCAGCGAGGTGCCGTCATTGTGGTGCGGCCTGACGACTACGTTTCCATGGTCCAAGAAATAGTCAAGTTCAACGGCGATGAACTGACTGGCTTCTTCCTCGGCCTGTAACGTTGCCTGAGTTTAGATTGTCCATCAACGGGGCAGAGAAAACGTAACATATGGGAGTGCCGGGCTTCCACCGTCCATGGGGAGGCTATTTAGCAATGTAAATGTGTGGTGTTCTAAATTAGTTGACCGAAACCGGACTGAGACCCAACTGAGACCAAGAAAAGGTGTTCTATAGTAAGTATGCTGACCACAAATACACCAGGTTAGCGGGGTCGCACTCAATCTTTGATTGACAATTGACTCGTGATGTCGATGAATGCTGAGTGCTGAGCGCTGAGCATTGACAATGACTATGTTGAGATGTCAGACTGAGAGAGCGACAGAGTTCCCCGAGTCTTTAGGCGGCTCGGTCGTGGCGTCATGTGATCGCAGAACCGGAGTAGACCGGGATCCATCCAAGTTCGAACGTAGTACAAAATTTCAACCGCCCGCGACAGGCTCACGATTCCATCGACAGGTTCCGGAAGTCAGGCTCACATTGGAGTCCCGAGCGCGCGGGTGGCTCAGATGGCCTTGATAGTAATTTGCACCTATCCGACACGCAGGCATCACGCAAGTTGAGAGCTCAGAACGGTATGCTCGATCCCTCTCAGTGTGATGATCTGGCCACTTACGACAGCCACAATATCAGAAGTAAGCCATCAGGGGGGTATGGGTGCCTGTGGGGACAATATTCTTCTGGTCAATGCTCACAAATGTCTTATGGTTATATCACTGGGCCGTGCTTTTAACTTCCATCGGGTCCTATACAAAGGAGAAGGTCGGGGTTAGTGACGACAGTGTGTGAGGATCGAAATCAAACAAAATTAGGTGACCACTGACTCGGAAACCAGTGAGTCGACCACATACTCAAGGAAATAACCCGAAAAGGTTTCACTGCTCTCATTATCCTGACGAGCGGTAGGAGGGAACGATTGAACTGATGGAGAATTGTATTGAGGTCGGTGAATGATACGGGCGTTATGCGGGCTGGGTTTCGCTATTCTCAGTATCATATATCATCCCAGTTGGCGGGTTATTTATGATCTGATCGACTGATCAACTGATTCATCAGAATAGATTTTGTCTTGCGCTTTGGTGCCTTTGCTTTTCGGGTCAACTGTTTCTCCCGCGCTGGATGCCACGCCCTTCCTACCTCCGTAGAGTACTCATGACGATGTTGGCCCATACCTCATTGGCCTACATGATCGGTTTGAACAGGACTTAGCTGGCACTGATGTACCTGTGGCGAACAATTCTTGCCGAGCTGACACCCATAGACACGGATTACCTCCTGGATTGACGTTAAAAGGTTAGTACACTCCCACTGTCCCCACCAGGAATGTCATGCTTGATCTAATCAAAGGTTTTGTGTGCCAGGATTACCACCCACCTCGAAGTCAACATCATGGTTGCAGGAATCCTCAAGTATAAAGTGCGATGACCCTAGTGGAGAGTCAATAATGCTCGATCCTCTAGTGAATGCCTTCGCTCACCTGTAAGTGTGCCACAAATACAACGTCGCATCTGGAACCGACATCAGTTCAAGTGTAGGAAACTACAAATTCCAAACAGCAAGTTATGTCCTCTACATCTATGACCATCGTGAGTAATGTATGGCTTCAACTGTCTCGTCTACAACCCTGACTACTGTATCCTCCGTAGTTTTGACGTTCTCTGATGAGGTGACGTCAGCTAGCATTGAAATTATATCGGTTATCAATTGAACTCTGCTACATAGGTCGACAAAATTTGGCACCAACCTTTCACCTTCGCTTCCCTCTTATTCTACATAAACCGCTACATCACTCATTGTCAATTCATCATCATACAAGTTGGTACGTACTCCCCACCCTTACTCTGTCTCCATCTCACGAAGTGTGCCGGCCCAGAGTTCTATGAGACAGAATGGCCTATCTCGGTCGGTCTTTCCCTCTCGCATATTCAGATTCTTTTGCCTCTGACCTTATCCATAGGTGTAAGTGTTTTGGTCTTCGTGTTATTCTTGCCGCCTCATCATTCTCCTAGGTGTGATCGCTATGTCAAATTCGCGGGAGCGGCAACGATGTGCTTGGTCACCAGTAGGTTGTTCTTTCGCTATTCCTGGCAACGTATTAAGATTGCCGTGGTTCTAGTTGCGGAACGTACGTTCTTGGTCATCAGGCACGCACTTTACTTAGTCGCATGCATCATAGTGGTTATGATCCTCCGAATGTATGGTCTCTATTTGGGGAATAGATTCATTCTCTATTTCCTGCTCGTCGTGCTCTGCGGCCAGGTCGTAGTAATGGCATATGCAATCAGCACCGGCATCCGTGAGTAGGACACCTATCAGTTCTCGTAATTCGCTTCACATAACCCAAGGTGTACCCCTTCCCCCCGGGTTCTCTGGCTGTGTGTTGACCGGAAGGAATACTTGGTTCGGTGCGAACCCATTTCAACTTCCTGGTGTTACATTCTTACTCGTTTTCTAGCTGGTCTTTGGGCGGCTCCTTTGGTCACCGATTCCTGTATATTCTTACTTACCCTATGGAGAACTATCCGTTTCAAAAAGAATAATGTTCAAGCGAGGTGCGTACACGCGCTCTCCAGTCACATATGATTCGCTCAAATCACGCTGACTTAGGCTCATGAGTATCTTTCTGCGCGATGGAACACTTTACTTCTTTATCATCTTCGGAATGAATCTCATGAACTGTTTGATTTATTTCGTGCGTCCCTATCATCTCCTATGTATACAAGTTGACCACAATGTACCTAATTTTCTTCAGCTTGCGGTTGAAGATCTCAAGGCAATGGGTGCAAGGTTCGTAACTGGATACAGACGTGAACTGTGTCTCACGGTGCCACAGTATAAGCCAGATTATGACTGCAATTCTTATTGCTCGCCTACAGCTCAATCTCAAACGCACGGGCCACGCGCAGTCGAGTCGCATATCCGCATCTAGGATAAGCGGAAACCCATTCGTACAACTGTCTCCAGCTCAAGCAGTTCACGGAGGGACCGATACTCGCACCGACTATGCGTCATTCTTTACGATCGGAAACCTGGCCGAGGACGTCAATGACTCAGAATTTGCGACTCTCGACAACGCCAGTTTCGATGGGATTAAGGGAATTGAACTTGGAAGGCCTTGATCCACTGTAGGTGTTGATGTACACGATATGTTATGTCATTTACTTGCGTCATTTATTCATTTTCAAGTTTGGTGTATTTGGGCTGATCGATTGATCTGTGACGCAGTTTTAGTTGCTTTACTTGAAGTTGAAGTTCAGCACTCGGCCGGCGACTCCCCCTTATTTTAACCTCTGAGTCCGGAGACTCTGCACCTTTTGACGTACCTACTGTCGTCTCACCGGGCCGTGAATACCCGCCATTTTTGGCGGAGGCTGCTTCCCACATACCACATAAGAGCCAAAAGGACGCCGAATGGGACAGATATGGTCAAATCGCAGGCACAATATAGCTCAACGTAGTGGGTTGACTATGGTCAAGGTAGCTTCGTATCCTCAACCGAATCAAAAGGACACCAGACGAACTCGTAATGGCCATTATCGACGTGGTGGGAGATTTGGACTTCTGAAATACGTATAGACGAAAATGCTCTCATTTAAACGTATCCGCGTCAACTTTATGAGCCGAGAGCGCAATGGTAACGACTATGAAGAGCATGTCTCACATAGTGAGCGCCCTCGTAAACGCAGCCGTCAAGTCTTCGTAGTACTGTTCTACCCCCTTCATCTTCGACGCTCCACAAGCACCACTCTCTATATGTTGTACAAAGCCCGAGATGAGTTTAAACTCCCTCCCACATTTTGCCTTGGGGCACTTGAACTCCTTGTCGTCGTGTGCTGGGGAGTTGAGATGCCTGTTAAGCGCACGGAGGGATGTGAAGTGGTGAGCGCAGAATAGGCACACGTATGACGATGTGAGGACGTCGAAGGAGTCTTCGGTGGCAATGAGAGTCGTGATAGTAGTGTCTACCGGCTCAGTTTGAATGGATGGCCCTTCGATGCGATGAGAGACGGAGATGGTTGGGATGATCCTGAGGGAGTGGATGGCGGCCGTGACTTGGCGGCGGTTTACGCCGTGACAACCGCTTTCGATGTGGAACGCCACCCCCGATGGGCTCTTGAATAGTTCCTCGCAAAATGGACACTTCATGTCGCGATCTTTATGGGCAAGGGAGACGTTGTGCTGCAAATTTGGCGGGGCTTTAATAGTCTTGAAACTAAGCGTAAAGAAAGCTCACTTGGGCAAACGCCGTTGACGAATGAAAATCACGAGAACAAATGAAGCACCAGTGGTGGTAAACGGTATTTGTGAGGTGATCGTTGAGAGTGGTGATATCGGGGAACGCGAGATTACAGCGCTTGCAAACTAGCCCCGCATCTTCGTTAACCAGATTAGGGCTCAAGGCAGGGAGACTAGCGTAATCTACTCTCGCGTCGATATGATTGAGCTCGTTGGGGCTCATTTGGCTACCAACGGACAAAGTTGCAGGCGTCCAGTCTGGATGACTCGAGGAATGACGGAGATGCTATTATGAATCGTGTTAGGTCCTTATCATGAAGACATCAAAGGCCGCTCACACTGTCCAACGCCATCTGGCTTCCAAATCCACGACGACAAGGAATGCATATCGTACCGTGCCATTTTGCTAAGCAATGTTGGTTCAGCGCAGACTGGGATGCAAATCTTCGGGTACATCCTGAGCAAGAGAGCATAGTAGTCAGCCAGGAGGGTTAGGAAAGGCACCGAGGCCCACCTTTTTACAGCTTTCGCTGGAACTGTTGGCACGTTGGTGCCAAAAAGGCTTTCATTTATGCTTTCCTCACCGCGGAGCAGAAGCCAAACACGAGGTGTAGGGTGCGCCTTCAAATCCATCTCCCTTTCAATCAAAACTTACAATCTGAGGGATGGCAACTCCCCTTTATGGCCGCAACAAATGACTCGGACCCAGCGAGCAGTGCAGCAGTACGATGCCCACTACTGTGGCAGCCACCAATTTCAATGCCTATTGCAGTGAGCCTAAGTGAGACTGAGGCTGAATCGAAGCCGCGGTGAGCCTGGTTTTAGACGCCCAATGTCCCCGACTTACACTGATGGTCCGAAGCTGCCCCATCTCCCGTTGCTAATGGAGTAATGCCGCCAAAAGGCGACAGTGGCCATTCTGCATGAACTTTCATTAGCACTCTTGTAACGGACACCTACCAAAAGATTGAGACCATGCCTTCCGAGCCATGGTCAGGTTGAACAACACCATTGATATACTTCCAAAGAATTGAACAAACTCTCGGTTGCGTATCGGCATATCTCCTTATACTGCATCACTCATCAGCACACATGTTAGGTGGTGAAGCGTAGCTGATCATATCACTGATACAGCTCCGATATTTTGATCAGGTTCCACCGTTCAGATTTCCGTCAACTTGGATAACGATGCGGCAAGCCGTCGTCCGACGGATGTATACTCCGGCGCCCGTGTTGAGTTCCCGATTTGATTATGAGCTATGGCAGGACGAACTGCGCACCCCTCGGGTCAATTGCGCATCATACAATCAACGAGGTGCATCGTCGCTTCTACACAAGCTAATTCGTGAGTTATTTCCTGGGCCGTTTGCTCTACGCTTTATTCATGTACCTGACGCTCTAGGGAGCTGATCCGATTGTAGATTGGGAGGCGCAAGCAGTCGATAGAAAAGGGTTGGGAGGTAGCTTCCTTGTCGTCGCCTGGAGGGCAAAATCAGCCATGTTGCCCACTATTGAGCATCCTCATCAACTTCGCAGACCACAATGGGTGAGTTCGTGCGGTGGAGGGACCACTCCATCACGTGTCGTGTTGTGGTCTTATGTGCCACAATTGGACGGTCTGCCCTCGCTCTCTCCACTACCACCACCATCTTCAGCATGCCCGGTAACTTCGAAAGCCTTGCTGTCGAAATACAGGATCTCATCCTCGAGAATCTCGCTGGGGACCAAGCATCATTGTATCATTGCCTTTTTCTAACGCGTACTACTCGTCGCATCGCAGAACGCATCCTCTACCGTCACGTCACCCTCACCGCCACTCGCCAGTGCCTTATGTCGTTCGCTAACTTCGTTGAAGCATCTGCTGCGTCATCTGCCCCCCTCAATAAATACGTGAAACGGCTCACCATCGTCTGTCCTTACGACATGCACACGACGCGTAAAGCGTGCTGGCATCTTCGACGCGTCCTTCGCCAACTTCCGCGACTGGAGCACTTTGAGCTAGTCGACGACGAAGGATGCGATAGAGAACCCGACTGGCTGGACCGAATTAACTTCCTCAGGGAAATCACTATACCTTTGCGCAGATTCTCGTGGGGGAGGCTCATTCGTCTGGATAGTAGGGACAGAGTGTCTCAATTCCTCAACAAGATGCCTTCAATCGAGTATCTCGAGCTCACAAAGATGGAGCCTTCGTCCAAGCTGAAACTTGCCGACGACTCGCTCCCGCGGCTTAAATTCCTTAGCAGTTCATCAACCCTCGCCACAGAGCTCGTCTTGACTAGGAATATCGAATACTTGGATACTTTCGGGCTCAATATCGACGCAATTCAAGAGGAAATCCCACGCGCGAACCATGCATTGAGGGCACTCTCCCTTCACGATATTCGCACCTTCCCCCAGTACATCGATTGCCTTCCCAACCTCCGATGCCTCCATCTCCACTCAGCAGACAGAGATATCCTTGAACCCGGATTTATCACCGCGTTGAATGCCCAGAAAATCAAGCATATCAGGGCCTGGTTTACCTGCGAGGACGAAGAAAGTGTGGTCCTTGAGCTGTTCGAGGCTGTCCCCTCTTTGCGTGTTGTTGAGAAAGAGGTACTCGATGAGGCCGTGGATATCAATGTAAAGACCTTTGAGCGATGGGAAAGGGAGGGAAATCGTTCCGTCGGGAAAAGATCATATACCCAAGGAGAAGAATGGCACTCTGGTTGGGAAATGGAGGAGCGCGTGGATGTTTGAACCTCGCGCTCATCTTGATTTTGCTGATTCTTATCTGCATCAATTATGGAGCTGGAAAGTAGTTGAGAGGGAACGGAAGTATATCAAGACAAGGGTATTTGTACTCATAATTGTGATATAGACAAGGTATGCATATGTTTCATAGTTTCATGTAGTTCGTAAAAATTGCGTACCAGACAGCAACAATTACGCAGAAAGCAGAACGAAGCACTCTTGTTTACAGGTTGAAACTGAACTGAAGGACCCTAAGCGTGTGCATAAATAACCAGTTCTCGCCCTCCCAACGAATCAGCGGACACCAAGACTTTGTCCATGACTTCGGTGACATGACCTCTATCGAAATCCCACAGTTCAATGGCTTGAGTGCCGCCGGTCGAGGCAATAGCACTAATCGTGACGCTCGAGAAATAGGTATTGAAGAATCGCACGAAATCTTGGATACTCGCATGTTGCTCCTTGATTGCCCCCTCTAATGAGATAAGCGGAGGATTTGTTTCGGCAGGGGCTACGAGATTATTCATGATGTTGGATAGATGCGTGTATTCATGTTGAGAACGACGGATTTGGCCTACATAAATGATTCAAAATCAGGTGAGGATTAAACTAGGGGGCGGGCGAAGAAGTTGCTACTAGACGTACGTGGAGAAGGGAGCTTCGACGCGACGTCCCGCCTACGCTCTTCGAAGGTAGCCTTCGTGTTCTCGGATTTATCGGCGAGAGCAAATAGTTTCTGGCGGATGATCCGCGAAGTTTCGTCTATCGAGTTGCGACTGTCGTGGGATTGCTGCGACTCGCTGATGCAACGAAGCACATCGTGAAGAGCCTCGCACTCTGCCTTGAGGCACTCACGGATAACATCTATATTTCGATCCAGAGATAGGCGATGTTTGGGCTTCGCATCGCGCGCCATGATGTCGAGGCGATGATAAGCAATGTGGTACTGGTGTGTGGATTTGGTGATTGCCTGAAGGAGGAAAGGGAAATCATCCTAGACACGGTGAGTCGTAAGATCAGGAAAAAGAGCCTTCGAGGGAGCTATACTCTATTGCGTACCTTTGGCTGCACGGCTGAGCAGCAATACCGGTTAGAATCTATATATTCTGTGTGTAAGAAAATTACTCACTGCTGATACGCTGCATTGAGGGACAGTAAGCGTGCATATTATTGAGGAGGACAAAGGGCTTACTTGATGAAATCCATCATGTTCCCCAAGTTTAGGATAGAAGTCCTCGAGCCGCGTAATCTATCGATGAGCGTTATGTCAGGGCACGCATTCCGCTGAAGGGCTTGACTTACATCGGCAATGTAATTTCGGTTGTTCCTGGAAATCTCCGAGAACCTGCTCTCAAGCATGCTCAGCAAGACAGGATCGCAAGCAGCCATCCCGCTTGCTGTGGAGTGAATCTGAGTTTGCAAGTTCCGGAATGTATACTCCATGTCCTGCCACCATACAGCAAATTTGCCAACGTGTTCGGCGACTTTTCCCATGTCATTGGATACATCTTGCAAGCGTTTGATAGCGTCTTCGCAAGCGATTTGCTGCTTTTCTCTGCCTGTAGCGTATCCTCAATCAATGGGGTCGCTGAACTTCCATAGGACTTACTCTGTATCATGAAACGAAGACGCTCGTCCGCTTTCCTGGCAGCAAGCGTCGCGAGGGGGAGGACTACCGGCAGAATGATACCCAACCCAGGAATTGCTGCGCTCATAATAGGGGCGATGATCGGGGCAACTGTTTCCGTGAAGCCTGCTAACGCACGGTGAACATACCCTGTGCCCTTCGCGGCACGTTGGTAACGATGTTTGGACACCTCGCAAACCTGGTGCTCGAAGACAACCTGCTCTACCGCGTACGGTATACGCCCAGTCAGCTGGCGCAAAAGGTCGCAAAAGGTCAGCAAACGGCACAGTTGTTCGTCCAGGAAGAACACTGACCTGGAAAATTCCCTGCCGAAGGGTCCTAAACTTTTGGACGACATCTTCGGCCTGCTCCACACCCAACTTCGTTGTTTCTATCAAGAGGTCAATGGTTGCAGACACTTCGGTTGCGTCCGTCCCTTCAGAGATACTACGGCACAGGTCAACGGCACCATCGGCTAGCATAACACAATTACGGCTTGTCCCAACGCTGCTCGACAGGGCGCGGCAATATGCCTGCGACTGAGCCTTAATGAACCCAATAATGTCTTTAAGAAGATCATTTTCAACGCTGTCAATGGAAGAAGACTCAGAGCCCGGGCTTGGAAAATACTCGGTGAAGATGACGAACGTGAACTCAGCTCGACTCCATGGCTCAAATATTTGGAACGTTTTACGAGCAGCGTCGGATAACCCCGTCAAGTCGTTGACAGAGACTATCAAGTCTGTGCATGTCGAAGTGTTGTTCAATTCTTGCTTTGCGCCTACATTCAAATAATCAGAGAATTGACATACATTCGGGAGGTGGGGACCTACCTAGTGCTACCTCCATGTCAACGAGGGGATCCACCAAAGCTGAGGTCAAAATCTTGGCTGTGTACTTCGCGCTTCCAGACCTTCTCTTATGAATGCGGGTATGAAACACTGGGATGGCATGTCCTACAATTGCAGGCCGTGAAGCGATCACTGCAAATGAGGTCAACATGAGGCCACTTCGTCCACAAATTCATCTTGATTTGGAATCTTGATGGCACCAGTCTGCCATGACCTTTGCAGCACGTTTCGTTTGTGGTATCTAAATTATGGATGCGCCCGAGCAGTCCAACTGCGTAGTGAACCACGCAAGTTGCTGAGCCCCCACGGGAAATTATGGGTCGCCTCGCTGACTCAAAGATCACACGGTCAATGTAGCAATTTCTCACAGTAAGATGGTGAGTAGCTTAATCATACGACTAGAAAGCCTAGCCACAACAACCACCGTTTTCGCTCCGTTGACTTTTGTTGCTCGCACAACTTTCTAAGACTGAAGCAGCGATAATACATAAACGAGCAGAAATCTAGATAAAAGTCCTACCCCGCATGAGTATACACCTCCGACCGCTTTGCATGAGGCCTCTTACTCGCTCAAACCCAATCGACGAACAACACGACGGAAGAATGATTTGGGCATCAAGTCCTTCAAAGTGTGATTATAGTAGTCTTGTTGTGTCATTATCTGTTACAAGACAAGGGTCAACCACATCACTTCCACGAAATCGAATCCGAAGCTGAAGGCATACCTCCGATCGGTAAATCTTGTATTGCTGCTCCATGTTCTCCCATTGCTTGAATACCTGTGTGCTGATATTTGGATTTTTTCGAATATACCGTATAGAACCGGTCAGACGATCCACATCAACCTTGAGGCTATTCCACCAGTCCACGAATTCTCCAACAATGGAGACAAACTGGTCGAGTACCAGCACCGTAAGTTTCAAGAGGTCCTTTTCATCCATCCGACGTAGCTCTGATGCTCTCTTTGTCAGCGTGACTAGGTAGGAAAGATGAAAATACTTGCCATTAAGATCGACTCTCTGTCGTCTCACCAGATCCGTACTCGGGGGAAAACTTGGGTCTGATGGGTGTTCACTGGGATGGACCCTCTGCATCTCCTATAGCCATCATTGAATATCACGAATACAGCACAGTCTAGATAACTCACCTCAAACAGGGCGACACGGATACCTCGAAAACGATTGGAGATGTCTTTGATGTCTTTCAGCGCTTCTCCCGTCTGCTCCAGCATTGGCTCAACGAACACCTCAGGTATGAGTGTCTTGTCGTCGAGGGCTTCTTTCGCCCCCCTCGAAATCGACATGCCTCTTTCGGCCATCCTGATGCTTGCGTCAATTGTGCCTACATACACCCCGGCCTGCTCAACGACATGCTTGTAAACTTTGTGTTTCGAGTGGGAGTGAATGAAGGTCCGTTTCTCGCTAACATCATGGATTAGGAAGAATGTTATCTGACGAATGGGACGTACTTGTATTTCTCGCAGAATACTTTCAGGCATTCAAATGTTTCGTGGTTCGATTTGGTTAATGCATATACCACACCGGCGTGCTCCGATGCTTTGCGAAGGATATCGTTTGGAGCATCAGCGGTACCCTCAGTTTCACGATATAGAGGCAGTGCTTCTGCTGCAACTTCTGTTTCCTGGGGCACATATATTGTTGCCGACCTGCTTTTGTCTTGCGAATACGGTTTACTTGCTTCAAGACACTGTTAGTCTTGTTATCCCGGTCACTGAAAACTATTTTACTCACCATCCATTTTGTTGCTGTCACTAGGCCTCGGAATCGCGTCCAGGCCATCCCTTTATTATTGATTGCTTAAATAACCAATGTTGGGGGCAATTCAACATTGACACCCCTTGTTTACGGCTCCCAATGCAAGCCTCACGCAATATCGATGCATCTCAGGAGTCGGCAGTTCATTGGTGGCTCGGAACTTCGTGAAACATAGGTGTTCGCCTGATGTTCATCAGTGGCCATCATGAAATTCGCTCGGCTCCTGCGTGTAGATCACAAGCTCACCTCGCGGCTTGTGCATGGACCTGCGGATTTCGGACTTCGCGTTGCACACTCAGCATGCCACGAGGTTGGCACGTCCACCGAACACGGGGAGTACATTAGCACTCTCAAGCAAGATATACATGCGCATCGTCTGTATTTCCGCTCGCAAGTTGAAGCCATGGATAACCTCTCCTTGTCGACTAGAACCAGAGCGCCTACTGATATTGTAAGCCTTGTCATCCCATTGGACTCAGTGCTAAGTTGTTTCGCCAGAATGACATCGACCTAGCTCGACCGGTCGCTGCACTAGCAGAGACCATTTCGAAGGCCATGTCAGGATTGTACGCTCTGCACGTGGCCATAGGGCGTTCTGGCGGCGAAGCATCGTCGGCTCTTGTGGAGTTTGTCGAATGCAAGCAGCTGATCCGCAACCACTGGGCTGCCTTGGAATCTTTTTTGCAGCATTCGCTCGGATACGCTAGAGATTATCTCGGTCTATGTCAGTCGCTCCAGCATGAAAACCAGGCGCAGTATATGGTGCTCGCGTCCGCGATACTGGCCCATGCACAACAAATTCGTGGCGAAATATTCCGCTTTCAACCTGCCTACACTCAAATGGTGAAAGAATTCAACGCAAAGGAGCCTGCTGTTAAAAGCCGAGGAAGCGATAAGCCCGTAAATGGATCTTCGTTTGACGGTAAGGAGTCATCCAGATGAAGCATCCGTATCATGACACCGTCACAGCATCAATTTCGTCGTTTGTCGTTGCTTCGCATGCTGCCTTGTATCCAGAAATCGGCAAGTCATTCAAGGCCGCCTCCGCAGCGCTATGTGGTTCGCTTGTTCCCATTGCTGACATCAGTGCCTTTTGGGATCAACACACCTACAACCTCATTGCATTGTCCCGATCCGAAGAAGAGCTGAAAAGGTTGACGCAAAACCGAAGTTACTTTGATATGGAAATCACTCGATGGAAAGCCTATCGCACCGCCTTGCACGATGGAGTTTACTCCATCACTTCCTCCTCAGATGCTATGATGGTCACTCCAATGATTCAGGAAAGCAACTGGCGAAGGCGGCTTGGGCGTTTCTTCCCAAAGCGGAGAACTACCAACCCAGTGACAGGGTGAGAAATCACTCCGACGTCTTTCTGTTCTCTGATTAATGATTGTCCTCGCAGTCGGTCTGAGATACCAGCTGTAGAGATTGGGGGTCCTAATGCCGAATACGATTCCCTCAAAAATCCGTTCAACGTGTTGATCCTGTCCCGGACCACCTATACTATCAACGCCTGTTTAGAGTCCTTTTCTCAGCGATTCGGGTATGCCCCTTACTAGCCCACCCCACCCCTCCCTCACTTCCACAGCAGACAGAACTCCCTTATGCACCGCCTTGGAATATATGACCGCCTTTATCGGCTTGCTCAACAATACATGGCCACGCTATCAGATATGGAGGCTCTCTCAAACGCTGCCATTGAATTCTGTACCGCTGTCCAAGCGAGTATGCAAAGCCGTGGAAGAGCAGAGACATCCGTATACATGCGCAACAGCGCACAGATGTGCAGCAGCAAAATATCTGAGATATTGCCGGTATACCAAGACCTCAGTTGCCAATTGCAGCAAGAACTTAGTCGGACGTTGTCGAGACAGCATGCAGACACTCCATCGCCGAATTCAGATGATTGGAACCCAGATCTCCTTATTCGTTGTAAGTAGCTCGTCTTCTTAGCTGGACACCCATTAAATTGACCTCGCGTTTCAAGCTATCAGGGCGCTCAAAGATCGGGAGCTCTTGGCTTGCATCCATTCGACCTTGGAACGACTCATTCATCTACTGACAAAGTTTCGAACATTCTGGTTCAACATGGCCGCGGACGTGGACCAGTTCCGTTCGTATGGTCGAGTAGGGTCGTCAATGAGTCAACAGATCACTCCAGTATGGCAGAGGGTAGAAGTTCTTCTCCACGAGTACAAATCAGAGGTGAACTTGACAATGTTGATCACGGCACTTCGGCTGAATTTAATTGCAGCTAGGACGTGCAAAGACGTTGGCCTTTGCATGCACCCCTTCAAACGAAAAGGGACGGGAGTCGGCACCGACGTTCTTTAAACGACGCAGAAATACTGTTGGGTCCAGTGACATCAGCACCCTTTCTTAGGGTATATAGCCTATCTCTAGGAAGAACACGAGCTTCAAGGGTGGTGGGGGAGGGTTATCGCCATAATACATATGTGCTCCCCGCCGAGGGCTCGGAGTGTGCTTCCTGATCATAATTTATTGACACTTTGACATCGGACTAGGAGGGATTCCGACATCCTACAAGAATATTAATGTCTTGCATGTCAGCGTGAATGTGACAGTGAAAATAAGTGGTTCTTAGAACGACTTAAATATATGTCGATCAATACTTACACCGTAACATGGGCGTCTGGCCTGCGGTCAACTCCATCGGCGAAGTATGGAACCGATTACCATAGAACTTAGAAGACACTGTATAGCGCTCGACAAGCGTTAGTTCGGTGGCAGACCTGTGAGGCGTGGTGAAGGTGTGTTAGCATACTTATAAAGGGCAAAGGTTGAACGGGGCAGATAGACAACCCCCTTTCCAACTCCCCCCCCACAAGATGGTAAAACATACAACTTCCCACACGAGAGTCAAAGGACTTGTCAGCACTGACGTAGCCGACGGTCAGTGTTATACTGATTCGAAATGAGGGTCATGAAGCTCACCTTCGCATAGCTGGCCGGCCGCAGTGCATTACACTGCATGTCCCTTGTGGAAAGATTGAACCCGAGGACAGCTGCTGCAGCAATAGCTCAGAGGGATTGTCACCAAGCGACTCACAGAGTGATCAAGGATCTGTGCCTTCGCCCAGCTCCGATGCGGAAGACAATCTAACATATACCAAAGTCCTTTTCCACAGGCCATCAGGTGCTGAAGTGGTCCGAAGGTTGACGAAGTCTAATAACGAGACGTTTGTGTGCCTGAAGGTCTTTTGCGAGAAATACAGGTGAGAATCTTAACAACTCGCCGTTGGACGACGCCGAAATAACTTTTGTAGAGAAAAGAAGCATTTCGGAGTGCATCACTTGCATCGTCACGAAAAGAAGATATACAAGCAAATTGTTGACCAAGCAGGGATATACGTTGGCACAATCGACACCAGTCTTGGGATTGCGGAGAAGGGAATTGCGATATGTCAAGATGTCAAGGCCATCCTCGAGGATCCCAATCTTGAAATCGTGCTTATGGTTGACTTCATGCTGGTGAAGGCGAAAGAAGTCTTGGACGATGTAACCAGCATCTCGTTGCGATTTAGGGAGATAAGGGTAGCTCTATACAACGTACGTGTTTATGCTTCAGAAACGTTGGCAATGCTGACTGAAAATCAGGAAATGCAACGAATAGCACCGGGGTCGGAGCGGCGCCAGCCTGAGCCAAGTTCATATACAGGAGAACACGAACTCGACTTACAAGGTTGGTGAAATTCGTAATCGGGAGAAAGAGATGATCTTAATGCTGCTTTCTGCGCAGCATTGAAACGAATGGGCGACGAGGATCTTCTTCAGCTAACCGTGGCCGTCCTGGATCGATTTGCTGTAATCGTCGGGAATTTCATTGACTGGTGGAGCGACCTCCGCACCGACGTCAATAGCCTAACTCGCAGCATAGGGTTCATTCGCAGAAACCAAGCAATTGGCCATCGAGTCAGGAAGCAATGGGACGACGTGGAGAAGCAGTATCGAGGCTACAATTCAGAGGTAGTTTCTCTTAATTCCCGACGGACGAAGGATCTACTCACGAGCCAAATTCCTAGATAAGAGCTCAGCAGGATTACTACCATAAGACGTTGGCAGACCTTGTGGTACCAGTGTCCCGTGTTCACCGTGCAGTCCACCATGTAGCTCACAAGCTGGGGCTTGAGTACTAGCATTGATAACTCTATCCCTTCTATCCACTGCATGCCTATTGCATCACTGTTTCAGTAAATCTCAGTACCCATGCTATGGATCAATTTAATATAATGGCATCATTTTTCCAAGAGAGGGGACTTAAGATAGCAGCACTCCCGGCGACTGAGCATTGATCTCGCACTTGTGACGGGTCTGGGAGTCCTCTGAGGCCGAGTCGAGCGGCATCAGAGTCTTTTAGGTCTGGAGCAAGTCGAGCATTTGTACCAGCGCATGGTCCTGCTGTCCGTCGACGCAGTCTTCGCGTATGCCATTTTCGATAGTTCGTATATTCGTCGTGTACTACTAGTTATGGCCAGAGACGAACTAATAGTAATGGCCTAGATGTTGTACTTTTTCAGAGATTATCCGCACATGAGACGATGGAAAAGATTCAAGAACGTGAAAGTCCGACCTTCGCGCCGCGGGAGTTGAATCCCATCATCTTCACCCCTGAGATCTGAGACTCCAACTCCCACAACGCTGTTACGAATCACGGTAGGTATCGGGAAGGAGGACAGGAAGGCGGTGCTATCATAGCAAACTCAAAAGCTAGCCTGTAGTCAGGTTGAGGTCCAGCACAACAAGTTTCAGCACCGTGCAGATATCATGGATACTACATTCAAGCTCGCTTCTCAGAGGCGTTGTAATATATTTGGCACTCTGAGAGCTCTTCAGTTTCATGTTTGTAGGCACCGCGACTTTACGCTGCGACACAGATTCATTCATTATCACGATCATCATCACGACACTATCATAGCTCACTTCATTAAGCCGTGATCCTACCGCCAGATATTCGAAATTAGCACTCACAGAAACTGAGATGGTGGTGCCACCAAACGCGCCTGAGTCCGGCCTGCATGCCTATATGCAAGGACAAGTATAACAACGAGTCGAAATGATAGCGGTCGAAGAGTCACAGTGCAGAACTAAGCTCAATCCTGAGAGGGTACTAGTGTATCCGTTGAAAGTAACCGGGGAAGGGATGCAGGCGAAGATCCCTTGAGTGCATGCGCTCAAGTTGGTAGTGAGGCCGTCAACGACGTTACAGGCACGGTCGAAGACATCCCCTTGTATAAAGAAACGTGAAGACATGCATAGTGGTCGAGGGAAGAGAGCCGTACAGCTGTTAACGCCTCCGAGCGCGCGAAATTGCCAATGCCTAAGTTGAACCTGGGCAGATGGCCACAGTGGTGCCAACAAAGAGAGAGATTTGGAAGAATGGCAAGGAGAACGAGCATTGCATGGAAGTATGGCGTTGAATCTCGACTGGCGCTCGGGGGCGTCTTTATACGGGACAGAGTGAGCCCCAGGTGATTAGCTCAACTCGACTCATCTGGGTATATCCAGTGAACAGTACCAAAATATCCACGTTGCTGAGCGTCGACACGCTCGCGGCTCTCCAAGGCCTGCGCGAGCGCTATATATGATGCTGATGCTCAGGGCTCTGGCCCAGCAACCTAGTTCATACCGAGTAACATATTTTCACGGGATGAGAAAAGAGCCGCTGGTCTCCGCATAGGCAAGTTGATGGCTATTTCTCATCAGAGGTTAGCTCGTAGCGAGCATCATAATCTACCCTGTGGGTGAGGCAAGTGAGGTGGGCGGCACATTCAGTGAGACGCGGGCGCGGTACCGCTTAACACTGCGTAACTCCACCTGCCCCGACGAGAGGGGAGCTATGCTGTAGATGGATGACAGGTTTATATTTGGAAGTCTATGCATACGTAAACCAGCAGCCCACTTCTTCCTCGAGCGTAACCGAGACTCGAAGAACATCTGCTTCAGTAAGATGAGGGAACCCGGCTATTGTCTGAGCTTCGAGAGAAGCTGGGTCGGGGTGATTATGTGGTAGACTATGGATAAATGGGGGTGGGAGCCCCACAACGGCGGTGAGTTTCAGATAAACAGCCTTCAATGATTGTTCGTGATTCATCTCACTAAGTATATCATCGATGTCCAAGAAATCGAGCGGCGATAGCGTACGGAAGGCGAGTTGGTCGCGCAATCGTATCTCGAGTCGTTGAAGCTGGCAGACGTCTTTGAGATGCCCAATGCACGCACATAGCCAAGGGAATTGGTCGGTGTAGTTCATGTTTTTATAACTCTGCACGTCCAGCGTTAATGTTTCGAGCTGCGTTAGACTGTGTAGCGTGGAGGCGATGGCGGTAGTCCATGGTGGGATGGCTGTGATTTCAAGGGTGAGGTTGGTTATGGTGGGTGGACATGTCCGTGGGAGGAAATGCTCGATGCTATACACCCCTGGGCGATACAGGGCTGTTAGGGATTGAAGCGATGGCGTTTCGACGCCGAGTGATTCGTACGAGGGGATGCAATCTATTTCGAGTTCGTGGAGGCCGATCATGAGTACTGGGTGGGGATTCACTGGTAACGTCGATGGATCCCACTCTGGTCGAAATACGTCTATTAGCGCGAGGGAGTGAAGGTTCGTACGGATCATTTCGTTGGAACGAAGAAGATCGAGGATGGTGTGAGGTGTAAAACCGACAAGGGACAACCTCGTCAGGCGGGACGAGGCGAGCAAGCACGGGATAAGAGCTATCATTGAAGGTGACAGGACGCCGCGCGGGAATTCAAATGGATCGGCGTAGGAGTGTAGATTCAGACTGCGAAGGTTTTTGAAGCGAAGCAGACACGGGTGAAATGGGTCAGTTTTTGTAGACCTGGCGAGGTTGAAGGATACGTCTAGGACATGTTCGCAGAGATGAGGGTATTTGGTGTAGATTCGGATAAACTTCTTCTTGGGCATGCCCCCCGTTCCTCCCCGTTCGTCAACCACGATGGTCCTGTGGATGAGAGATCGGCAGAGATAGAGCCAGCCATGGCAGACGAGAGCCAGCGCTCGCAGCGCATCCAACTCTTCAACCATCCCGATAATCGCTATTACGAGTTCATTGGGAAGTCGCTGATGTGGTTGAGGATATGAACCCGTCTTCCCAGTTGAAGTGCGCTTGCGGGAGGATGTCTGTCCCATTCGATGTAGGCTTGAATATGAGTCGGCTTGAAGGGTATTTTGAAGAAGGCAGTGCTGCAACAGCCATCATCGACAGCCCGGACTCCGGAACGATTCTCCGACCTCAGCCTCCCATGCCGATGTGGTGACTGCGCGACTGCAAGAATCAGAAGAGACAATACTAGGGATGACCTCAAGCAAGCAGCAAGTACGTGCAACGCCATTATTCCAACATATGTTCCTCCATAGCCCGTTCAGCAGAGACCAGCAGTCGAGACTATCAAAGTGTCCCAGTCGTGAGGTAGAGGAGATTCTTGTTCAACGAAGACGAATACGCTTGTCATACTTGTGAGGAAGATTAGTTGCCTAGAGGCTAGTATGCATGCTCAAATCCGACTCTTGTAGGCAAGGAGGGTACGACTTGGGTAGAACTTGAAATTTGAACATTGAACAGTGACTTCGTAACTCACCCCAGTGTATTCTGGCCCGGACCGGCCCGAGTACCACGCGGTCACGTTTCCAGCGACCAACTTCCTGATTCCCTACCACAACGACAATGCAAGGCGAACTTGCGAATTCCGCTGACCATTTGTCGGCTACGACGGATTATACCACGTAAGTTGGTACTTGGTGGGCTGGGTGTGTTGACCCATCATCAGATGCAACGGCACACCGTGTAAAAGATAAAGTTTTCTAACTGCAGTCCGTCCCTCAAGTGCACTACTGCTTGTACTACAAAATGCCTCCGAACACAACGAAGGCGGTGGAGGAGGAAAGGTTCTTGCTCGTGCACTCGCTAGGTGACCTCCCCGTCAGAAATCTGCTGAACAACAAAACAGTGGATGTACTTAACGCGTTCCCAGCATTCTCATGCATGATCTATGATTTGGAACAGACAGCGACAGTGCTTACAAGATTTCTTGCGTACACTTGGGCTATTTATATGGACGCTGCAACCCTATTGGCAAGCCACCCGTGTAACCCAGCACTGAACTTCTTTTGTATTCCTAAACCCTGACTTCCAAACTTTCAAGCGCACGCTGAGTAAATCATACAGCAGACGTGCACAATAGGCGATTCGCCGGAGGATTCAGTGCTCTACTACCCCCAAGAGCGGAATATGGACTCGGATGGACTCAATCGAATGGCGGTATCCTCCAGGGACGCTCTATGCCCTCCGTGGCGTCTAGGACATTGTAGAAGGTGCGTCGTTGCGTTGAGTTAGATCGCCACACCACTCGTCCCCTCCAATCAATGGAGGGCATCGCTTGATTGTACAATGTTTGAACGCGGCTATATGCACATGGCCCCCATCATCACACAACCAAATTCACCTTCGATCAACTTCGTCCAACCACGACCTTTCATTAAGCACCACCTCACTTCGTTGACGCCTCGGAGGAAGTATTCAACAGCGTGGATCGCCTCGCAGCCAGCAAGAGCGTGGCCTGGGTGTGTCCACCCTTATCGTGGCGCCTATCTCTGTCGCACATTTCGCCACATCTTGACGGTGCCTCACCTTTAGCACGCATTCCTAGATCACGCTCAGCACTGGACCTCCTCTTGCTTTTTCTTTTACCTCTATGTCTTTCCCCTTCACCCTACGAATGCTTTCCGACGACAATCATCCGCGAGACGACACCTGCCTGTTGGAAATTCCGAAGGAGGTCCAGAACAACAATGCCGATGGAGTGTTTTATCAAGTCAATGGTATCCAGAATGTTTACCATTGTCCGCGCTCTGCGCCCCGAAACGCCAGCCGGGGCGGTGTCATCAAGGAAGGGGCTACGTTAGAGACGACTTATGACGAGGATGTGGATACAGGTAACCGCAGCAGAGAGTTGGAACCCTATCAGACCGTCATCGATTCACTGTCACGTATGAAGCATCGACTCCTGACGCTTTCGAAACGCTTCCCTTCCAACAGCGTCATTGCAGGTGTTTGCGGCGAAGCCGATGAACTTGTCACTCTAGTACGATATGTCGGGAGGACCATTCGTCAGATTGAGAAAGTGGATCCAGTTCTTATCACCCACTCCTTCTTCCTGCACATGCAAGCGCGAACGTTCTGGTACACGTCTTGGGTGAAGAGCCTGGAGAAGCGACTCGATGAATATAAACCTCGCCAACACTCCAAACGAGCGTGTAGGAAGACAGGGAACGTCGCACCCTGCAGCTGGCCTCGTTTGTCCCAAGATCTTCAGAAGTTCTTTCGTATCTATCGAACTGCAATGAGAAGGTTTCTATGTCCCCTCCTCGCGTGAGCAACACCCCAGCATATTTGCTAAAGTGACCGCCGCTGACCCACCGTAGCTCGCGATTCCTTGAGGACTTTGAAATCGAAGTTCCCGGGTTGGAGCGTCTTGTGGCTAGCCTGTCGCCAACACAAGACCTTCACCACCCACAGGTAGACACGATCTGGGTCCGGGGCCCGACTGCGCAGAAATGGTTCAGCATTCCGCTAAGATTCTGTAAAACGTGGAAGGTATGACTGTCCTGATGTCTCCGCTGAAACCGTCTTCCAATGGTTTTATAGGACTTCGCAATCGTCATATACCAATACTGTAGGGAAGGCCCAGAGGTCGAGTATATAGCCCAAGGAAATTGGGCAATCGTGCATGTTGCGGACAACAATATTATCGACCAAACAAGCTTCACTGGCGTCCTCAAACCAGAGATGCGCTTCGATATCGGCATCATCGTCCAACTGCTTTCAGCAATGTTACGTGCCACGCAGTGCCCGCAGTGTGGCCATGTTAACGGTGGAAATGCTTCTAAAGATGGCTGGATTGATTGGTAACTATAAATTCCTATCCCTGGAGTCTCCGTGCTAATCAAGACCAGCTCGAACCTAGATTGTAATAATCTTTTCCGCGTCGTCTTCAAGCCATCCCCCACGTTGTCCAGGAGCAATCATTCAGAGCCGCTCTTTCGAAGCGTCAGCAGAAACTCGGATAATTCCAGGGGCACGTCTCAAAGTCGGCCAGCGCCAGTTCCCATGGCTGGGAGTATCCACGCAAACCTGGAGAGCATTCCAGTCAGACCATCATCACCCTCCCATAGACCCGGAACATATTCGTCGCCATCTCAGGAACAAGGCCTCGCTAATGACATATCGGGATCAGTATATCCCAAGTTGCGATATCTAAACACTAAGTTCCATCGAATTCTTGCCAATGTCCCACATTCTCCTCTTCCGGAAGATCAGTCCACTAACTCGGGTTAGTAGAACCACGCTCTGTTGTCCGGGGGTACTGATTTGCTTTTGTAGCTGGAGCGACGAATGAGGGGAATGCATGCTGCCCAGACGTGTGCTTGCCGCCCATGTCAAAGATTGAAGCCGGGTCTGCTTACACCTTGTCAACTACAGCCAGAGCGCCTACTGATATCGTGAGCACTACCGTTTTATCATTCTATCAAATTCAGTACGAATCTGTGTCCGCAGAATGACATCGACCTCGCTGGACTGGTTGCTACTCTCGCAGAGGCTATTTTTCAGGCCACGTCAGGACTGTACGCTTTGCATGTGGCCATCGGCCTCTCTGGTAGCGAAGCGTCGTGGAGCCTTGTGGAATTTGTCGAATGCAAGCAGCTGATCCGCAACCGGTGGGGTGCCTTGGAATCTTTTCTGCAGCATTTGCTCGGATACGCTAGAGATTATCTCGGTCTATGTCAGTCGCTCCAGCATGAAAACCAGGCGCAGTATGTGGGGGACGTGTCCGCGATACTGGCCCACGCACAGCAAATCCGTGGCGAAATATCCCGCTTTCAACCTGCCTACACTCAAATGGTGAAAGAGTTCAACGCAAAGGTAAATGGATCTTCGTTTGACGGTAAGGAGTCATCCAGATGAAGCATCCGTATCATGACACCGTCATAGCATCGGTTTCGCCGTTTCTCGTTGCTTCGCATGCTGCCTTGTATCCAGAAATCGTCAAGTCATTCAAGGCCACCTCCGCAGCGCTATCTGGTTCGCTTGTTCCCATTGCTGACATCAGTGCCTTTTGGGATCGACACACCTCCAACCTCATTGCATTGTCCCGATCCGAAGAAGAGCTGAAAAGGTTGACGCAAAACCGAAGTTACTTTGATATGGAAATCACTCGATGGAAAGCCTATCGCACCGCCTTGCACGATGCGATTTACTCTATCACTTTGTCTTCGAATGGTGTGATGGTCACCCCAATGATTCAGCGGAGCAACTGGCGAAGACGGCTTGCTCTTTTTTTCCAATTCAAGGGCCGATCCAGCGACCAGGTGAGAAATTAATTCACCGTCTTTCTACAATGCTTGACCCTCGCACTGGCTGGCAGTCAGTCAGAAATACCAGCCAAAGAGAATGGGGGTCTTAATGCTGAATATCGTTCCCTCATAAATCCGTTTCGGCAGGAAGCAGGCTAAGCGTCTCTCACTGGATCGTCTACTCGCCTAAGGACTACACTGCAGGGGAAGGTGATGTTGTTTGGAGTTGATTCGGATAAATTCTCTTCAGCATCCCAGTGCCTCCCCGTTCATCAATGAAGTTGTGAGGTTTTCGCATAGCGATAACAAGCTTGCTGCAGTCAGAAACAGAGTCGGATAACTCATAGAAATGTTGAAGGGCGTCGTACTCACTTGAATTACAAGCAACTAATAACAGGGCTAGATTGAGGCCCAGGGAAATAATTCAATCTGTCGTTGCGCAGTGCAGTCTCATGGTCGATCTCATCGCCTAGGGCCGTAAGGTGCCGTAAGTTGTCCCACAGGGAACAGACACGTGTTGAACTCACCGCCAGCTGTCGAATCCATCGTTGGTATCGATTAGTGGTTAAATCACTTCGTTGTGGCCGACGTGTAGCAAGTCCGAAGAGCCGCAGGTTCAATTCCTGCTACTGACATTTTATGTCTCTTTTTCATCTAGTATGCCCTTGCAAAGTGCGTGACTGCGTCGATCGCTTGCCTTCAGTATTTCCGCCGATTCTGATCAGAAACTCATTCTTCTTCATGACTGCAAGCTTCAGGCCTCAGGGTTCACTGTTGCGGCATGGGCTTGCCTTTCGGAGAAAGCAAGGTGAGTCGCTCAAGACGGCGTATCGGTATAGGGGGATCATCCCCGAACGGATACCTTCAAGTTGTAGGTCCCTCGCGTGCGGGGTGATGCAGAACTTGTATAAGAGATTAGCGTACAGCTGGAGCACCTCATCCTACCCCCAATATGCCCAGCTTCGAGTGTCCGCAATGCGAGAGGCAGTTCAGATCGTCCATGGCACTCGGCGACCATTGCCGGTCAAAGGCACACGGAGCATGGTGTATACCGTGCCAAAGATGGTTCGTGAATGATCAGGCATTGAGCCAGGTACGTTGAAACTCCATGCAATGGTCGTCCTCATTGCCTACCTCTGCTATAGCATACCAATGCATCGCCGAAACACGCTTTTGATTCCGACGACAGCTCAGAAGTCTACAGCTCTGATGACGATGACACCAGCTCTGAGGAAGAGGATGATGAGGAACCTTACTGTCGAGGTTGCAGCCGCTGGTTCGTGAACGCCGCGAGTCTTCGTGCTCACCTGCGAGACAGCCCGCTCCACAACTGGTGCTTCCAGTGTTCTCGAGATTTCTCAACTGCCACCGCGTTGAATCAGGTATGAGTCACTGAACTGCTTCTTTTCCCTCCGTCCCCCTTCCCTCTCGTCACATGTACTCTTATCTCAGTCCCTTCAGCGTTCGATCGCTAACTCCATCTAATTACAGCACACTCAGTCACTTGCGCACAAGGATCGGGACTTGCAGTGTCCCTTTTGCCGCGTCATGTTCAAGAGTCCCTCTGGCGTGGCCTTCCACGTTGAGTCTGGGTGCCATAAGATCAACAGACACCAGGTCACTGCCGCCGTCCACGCCCTCGGCATCGTCCCCACCATCTCCGTCAATCGCCGCCTCCAAGGCTCCTCGAATTCCTTCCCAACGACTCTCACGACCTTCATAGCCACAGAAGCTTCGTTCAATGGGTCTAAATACGACTGCTATCTCTGCACTCGCAAATTCAAGACCCTCAGCGGTTTGAACACCCATTTGAATTCGCCGGCGCACGACAGGGACGAATTCAAGTGCCCGAAGTGCAAGAGGGAGTTTAAGTTGATTTCGGGGCTGGTGCAACACATCGAGAGCGGTGTGTGCAAAGTGGCGCAGATGAAGAAGGTGGAAGCTTATTACGAGGACTTGACGGCGGCCTTTTCAAGGGCTCTCAAATTGTAGGTTATGACAGGCTACGGAAAGGGTGTAGAATGTACAGGCGCACATGTACACAATGTATGAATGAGTCTCTCGTGGTATATTTATCTGGTAACAAATGTTGACCGCGTTCAATATGCTCACTTGACGTTCGCGGAGTCGGAGATTGGGTTTGTCGACAACCGTAAACACTACTATAGGTAATGATCGTCCCCGATGTTGTCTTGTTCTTTCTTTACCACGCGCCGAACTGGAGTCCTGAACTTGTAGTTCAGCTTGCCTGTTTCGTACGTGCTATATTGATGTTTCGCCACCCAGTAAGTTAATAAACGAGTCTATACTTTTCTATGAAGTAGAATAGTCCGACCTTCCAAAACCGAAATATTACTGTCTTCACGTCGATGGCGTAAGTCGGATGAAGGAATGGGGACTTAGGCTCATCCGTGAGTGGAATATGCCGACGGAGGGTCGACCGGTCTGGGTCGGCGACCTCACCACCCTCCTCCCATACATACGGAACAGACTTCTTACAGTTCGCGCACGACTTGAGGAACATCTCTGTGTCCTGGATGCTCTGAAAACGATATTCCTCTTGTGCCCATGGGTTGCCATAGTAGGAACTCGGCATGTCGCCGTTCCGCAGAGCCAACCATCTCCGTAGCGAGTCGGGCGGTATTCGCGCCGCCTCTTTGAACCCCACGAGGCGCGCCTGAGATTCCCGATCGCGCAGAAGCTTTTTTGTGTAGTCTCTGGGCAGGACCCAAGCGTACATGGCTTTGCGGTGGATGATTTTTTAGAAGACGAGATTGAAGGAGATAGTGCGCCGGAAGACAAGGAACAGGATGAAGATGATGTCGATTTCAGAGGCATAGCTCTTCAGTTCGAACGTCGAGACAAGGAAAGGGAGCCTGGGAGTGGTAGGATGATTCGAGGCCATTTCTTATTTACCGTATTTAGCTAGAGATATATCATACACGCAATTGCATATGGGGGAACATATGACGTGCTGTTGTGCCTGCGCGGTAAGATCATCCACTAAACTTACTACGGTCTTACAAGTCTAAGCGCTGATGGTCACATTGATACTGAGGATAACCTAGTCAATTCTATAGATCGACACCAGACTTGCATACTGTTGGACTGCGGCATACTAATACACTTCATATACGACGAACTGCTAAAATCTTGTCCCCATTACGCGTTCGCCCGGATGCCTTCAAACTCTCGAGTGAACTCATCCATAGCCTCCAGTGTCTCCAGCAGATGCCCATATGCTAGCTTCTCGTCTCGTGCAATCGCCAAAGACTGAGCCGTCCTCGCCGCGTTCTTGATTTGCCTTCCATTAACATTCTTTTTCGCGAGTTCACTAATTTCTTCTGTAGTGATATCATCCTTGGCACCAGCTTTGGCGATGAATGCCTGCCAAACTTGTTTCTTCGATTCGAAGGAAAGCTCGCGGAAGTGCAGGGCGACGTGGATTCGGGACAGGAATGCTTCGTCGAATGCCTTCACGCGATTCGTGGTTAGGAAGAGAATACCCCGGTAGTACTCAACATGGCGCAGGCTACGGGACGTGATTGAGGGAGGAATTCAAGGATAACATGATATCACTCACAAAACAGCTACCATAGCATTTCTCTCGAGATCATGGAGGGAACGTTGCTCAAGGAACACGTCGGCCTATACAACGAGTTGAGTGACCGCGTCACGGAGGTATAACAACATACTCGCCTCGTCGATCAGGACGATGGCCTTCCATGCCGTAGCAACGTCGAATATCCTCTCTAGTGCCGCGTCGAGGTCAGCCGCCTTCGTGCCCAAGTCGCCACCTCCAACGATATAGAGTGGGCGTTTGACATGTTCGCTAGTTGCCTCCGCCGAGAATGTTTTCCCTGAGGGTGGAAGGATGAGCCCGTCGAATTATGATTATCACAATAAGCGCAAGACGTACCGACACCAGGTGGACCAAAGAGGTTAATCACCAATCCATGCCCCTTCCCCTTGATGAAGTCGTCAAAGCCAAGCTCCCGATGATGTGCTTCGACGAGAGACTGGAGAAGTGTTTTTCGCCCTTGTGGAAGAACCAAATTGGCGAACGCATCGTGTGCCCAGTCAACAGGTGAAACTTTCTGAACGTTGAACTCCACTAGGGTCGTGATCGTCAGCGGGCCAGATACACAAACATAGTGACAGACGTACACCACACTTTATCAGAAAGACTGAATCCGTACACGACGGCAGGAGTCAATATCAGTTCTTCATCGGTGAGGTCCTCATCCACCTCGTTCGTTCGCGTGGTTTGGATACCTACATGAGGCAGGATTAGTATAAACTGCCGGCTAACCAGACAGTTGTGCTGACCATTGTTGGTTGTGGGTATGACGGCTTGAACGGGGTTGCCGTACATATCATATCCATCGTAGTCGCCGTGGGCGTTTCTGATGTGGGGCGGAACGGGAGCATCAGCCTTTGGCGGCAAAGGGGCAGGGAATTGGTAGTTCGCGTTGAGACGACGGAAGGTGGCTAAGGGAAGTTCACATTTAGAATCGAGTGTATAAAGTGGGGTGATACGGACGCACCTCGGTCAACCATGATTCGGCTGTTAACATTGTGGCGCACGACACGTTCGGCACACTTGAGCGCAGCATTTCCATGATATTCAACATGTTTCGCTCCTCCCGAAGACAATTCTCTCCACTTTTTACCTCGCTCTAAAAGTTGTGCTTTCAAACCCTCCGGATCGCGGTGGAATCTCAGTGGGTAAGAATCAAGGGAGGTGATCTGCACGGTACCCCTGAAGGCAAGGAGAAGGATCGTTGTTTGTACGCGTCCTACCCTGCCTACGGAGACACTCCCATTGCTGTCCGTACCCGACGCGTTGTTGGAGCCCGGGGTATTTGAGGCTTGTTTGTTATTAGAATCGACGACGTCGACGCTCTCGCAAGTTAGCGCATAGCAGGACTTCCCTTCGATGGAAGTGCGGGAGACGGAGGAGAGGGTGAAGAGACGAGGTTCGCCGGTAACTGCGCATGTCGCGAAAAATATGGTGCGCGGTACGAGGATGGCGTACAGCAGCTCAAAGGTAATTTCAGCGTGAGAGATGAGGGTCTGGATCTTCGCAAGCGTCACGCGATAATCTTGTTGGAAAGTGGAGATCAGGAGAGAGACCGATGAGTGTCGATATTTCTCTTCAGTGGTCAGGGTCTTCTGAGCGGCGAGCTTGTCGCGATATTCGATGAAGTTCGGCAAGAAGGTGATAAGTATCTCTGGCTCAAGCTCTAGTGGGTCGGAATTCCAAGAAATTCCTGGCCATGATATGATGACATCCTTGCAGGCTTGGACGATGTAGGGACTCTTGATGACGACTTTGAATGTAGGGGGTATGTTTTCTTGTTTCGGAATGGTTCGAACAATACTAGAAGCCCGTGAGCAATATTTGATATTTGAAGACATTGGTAACTTACACGAAAGCGAAGTCCTTCCATGGGTCATTGTCGCTGCCTATCAAAGGTCGGGCTTCTGGGGTGACGGTGGAGCTTGTGTTCTGAAAAGAGGGGAGGTTGAGCGACTTTCCGAATCATTAATAGATATAACGTACCCGATACTTGAAACCCTTCGACCACTTGCTATAGTAGTAGTCAACACGCTTGAGCTTCAGAGATGGCGGGGGAAGATCTGGCATCTCCTTGACTGTGGCGACTTTCGACTCAGCGTCGTCATGGTCGCCAGCGATAGTCGACCCTAAGTCAACGGACGATGACTTGGGAGATGTTCGCAAAAGTGTAGAGAAACGACGATGCATGTTGTGGGTGGCAGGTGAAGTTGGGATAGTCTCTGATGGTCTGCGAGTTTATATGTGGGGTACGTCCCTGAAAATGGATAGGGTTCAAGCGCCCAAGCTGTGAAATGACATGAGCGAGTCAGAAGTTAGAACATTAAGGCGGTGCCGCTGGTGTTCTTTCTTCTGATTCTACAATCGAAGGCTGCGTAACATGAATGCAGTATAATTAGAGGTTGACGAATAATGAGATCTGGGGTTCTTGTAATCGCATCGATGCAGAAGCATGCCTTGCTGATCGTTCCAAGACCGTGCGTCCTCATTCAGGTTCTGCAATATCGCATTACATACTTCCTTAGCTCGTACAATGTTCATAGAACTCGAAGGCATCCGTATCATTTTCAGTCGATCTGCACTTTGTTCTGCTGCCGTCAGCCGATGTTGCGACAGATTGACAAGATGGACAGGTACCTTATAAAAAGCGACGTAGCCTTTGATGTTGTTCGCCTTATCTTTGGTTTCAGGGTAGTACCTAGAGGCAATAGCATCAATATCACAAACCGTAACCAACCTTCACGCTCACCAGGCAATATCACGAACAGTCTGCCCATTGACAGTGGCACTGTAATAAGCAGCTGTCCTGTTGTCTACCAGTCAGTGGTCGCAAGGCACAGAAGGTGTTGATTTACCCTTTCCAGGGACAGACTGTACTGCATCCCGGCGATAATTAATGTTCAAGCTGTACAGAGGTCTGTGCACTAAACTCACGATGTACTAGAGTCTGTGAAATACTCTTTGTTCACAGCATCAGGCGGAAAGTAGTGATTGTTTTCCACCATCACTGTTTTGTCCGATTCAGCGAGGACAGTACCGTCGAGGACAACTTTGACCATGATGGGAAGGAAGCAAGAGCTACAGCGCTACTGCCTTTATCGGATCAATCCTATTTGGGTTTTCAGGGGGCACTTAGGAGCTGGTGATTCAACGTAACAGTGACTGGGGCCGTCTTGCTAAGATGCATAAGATGCATACAAGGTTGAACGCAGGCAGGGTGTAACAGTTATACGACAGAGCATATCACTTGCAACAATAGATCTAGCCTCCATCTAAGTACTTCTTGATCACCACGCGCACGCTTGATACGCGTTGCGCTCTCTCATTGGGCACATGAAGGTTAACATGAAGTGCCTCAACAAAACCGCACGGTGCCGCACAAACTTGCATGTACGTACAGGTGCTGCCGGACTCATTCCTAATACTCATATGCTGATGATCTACCTATGCGACTAGTTGCTTACGCCAGGCGAACGCTTCACTCGTTAGTAAGGTTAATGGGAAGAGATGTGCGTCTGGGACGCAACGGCGAAAATATTTCCCATGTTCACCAGGGCTGGAGGGCTGGGGGCGCGCTGGAGTATCTTGGCGGATTCCAGACATAGGGCCAGGAGCATTTTGCTTCCGTGATCGGTGAATAACATACAGAGACCTGACCACAAAAATAGAGCATAAAAAGGAGTGTGCGCTGACTTCCCAAAGAGACGTCCAGATAGAAGAGTAAATTCAGCATACGGAGATATCGAGAATTCATGTGGACAGCGAAGCAGGGCCAGACACGCTGAAGCAAAAGGGGATGGGGTGGGTAAAAAAGCGGAAGCAAATATGAACAAGGATGTAGGTATCTAGCCCAAGCAAGACGGAGGGGTGTACCTATGTCGTCCCGGCCGTCAAAAGAAATCGACCACACGTCTTCTTATGTCGGAAACTACACAACAACATACCACCCCCAGCCTAATACTTGATAGAAGTACTTGGAACGAAGGGGTACGTTTTCGTGTGCAGGACGCAAGAAGACGTGATGGTCGTCTCGAAAGCTAGGCGACGTACTCCAGAGTCAGCTCCGAGTTCGAAGGAAAGGGAAATATTGTTGCATACCTCTCGTTTCCAGAGCGCGGGCTATTTAAGCGTTTACTGTCCAGGTCTGACGCACCCCTGACGACACGATTGGCGACACGCGCGGACACACTGACGGTCTTACCCTCTGCCGGACGCGTTTCATCGCACGACATTGAAGACATGTTCATACAGCGGATGGAAAAGTGGCCCACCATTCTAACAGTATATCCACGTACACTTATTGGCAAGGAGAGTCGAACCACTGAATGGGGCCAGGAATGCTTTAGATGGATAGATGGTACGTGATAGCGGACCACGGTGATGTAAATATGGGTGGGCGAAGGACTGAGTGCGTGCCTATGCGGCGTTGATCGATGCGAGGGAGGGAGGTGCGGCTGTTCCAGACTGCACGTTTTGGGGGTTGTATGATGTCGGTTATGTGCATTGAGGATGTGGGGCCGGGTCACTGCTAGGCGTTCGTGTCGTGTACCAAGTCTATGAGTGCTTGGTGCGCACGCGTGGTACTGGAAACTGAATCGATAGAATCAAAATCTCGGGGATAACTTGACGCTTATTCAGTGGCTACGCGGCTTGGGGAGAAAGCACACGGTGCATTTCGTTATTTTTCTTGGGGAGACGTCCGTAAGAACATATGTTCACGGAAGCCCTTCGTGTAAGCGCGATGGGCCACATTGCTATGAGAACATTGGAGATTGGGAAGAGGCCATGTCATGAGGCGAGGCATACGTACAAGGTCCCCAGAAAGCTTCGGCCGACTCGCAAGGATATTAGGCAAATGAAAATAGATGAAAATACGTCCGCCCTGTCCGTGCAACACAGAAAATTCGTCAGTGTAATTTCCGCCGGCTGAAAATTGTCGGATATCATACCCCAAGGCATCTTCACGATCAAGATCGCCTCTCGCTTCATACAACAGTCGATCTGTGGTACTGAATCCGGGGGCATGGGCCTGTTGGAATGTTCTTTTCATCGATGACATGTCTTGTAGATCTTCAAGGCCAGGCGTAACGCATCTGAGCATCGATGGCGAGGACTCGTGGACCGATACCGTCAAGACATGCATTTGGGGTCGCGCCTCGACTGGTATACCATGGAGCAGGTGTACCCTTGAATAGCAAGTGGGTGCCGCATGTATCTTGGTGCGCACAGTGTTCTGTTTTTTTCCTGCGAAACGGATATTAATAGAGTTGTATTTCTACATCTCGCGGCCTCCCATTGGGCGAGAGCTATGGTACTATGAATTCGTGCACAGTCAGACAAAAAGTGAATGAATAAACGATGACCTCCGAGTCGGATGCTCACCACAAGGCCTTGGCAGGAGGAAACTGCACGGAAGAGGCCATCATCGCAGTCATGAGACCTGTGGTTCACGCGTTGGTGCACCTACACATCCTACAACTTTTGCAGTCCCCTGGGGAAAGTCGCTGTGAGTTGAAAACATATCGGTGGGTCGTCTGACCGTGAGAATAGTGATTGCAACGGAAACAGCTCCCACAGTCAATCTCGCTAGTTTCTTCATTAATTCCGTCAACTAATTCCTCAAATGCCTTTCGACAAATCAAAGGTTTCACTCCCTCGTGAAGATGTCGAATCCACTCCGTTAACATCGGGCGAGGAGCAAGACCACGATGAGCAGCCGCCTTCACCAACTTCAGGCAACGCTTTTGTGCGCTATCTGCACGAGGTAGCGGAGCGGGACCCCCGCTTTTACCAGGAGACGCCATCCGCGACGAAGAGGGTTCTTCTGCTCGCATTTGTGGCTCTACTGTTCTGGCTGGCTTTTTCCATGCGCCGGTCCATGATGATGGCAGCCTTCGGGGCAGAGGCAGAAGCGGGCAAGTCCGATCGGTGAGCATGGCCCAATCGACCTGCTGCGTGTTCGCTAAGAAATCCAATTCATAATTACAAGCTACTCCGACGAGTACATGTTCAGACCCGCAGCTAGCCCAATCATCGCGGAGACTATGAAAGATGGCAGTGTTCACTTCAAGGGGGCCTTACCTACCGCTCTCTAAATAAGGGGGTGAATGGGGTGGATGCCTCATTTCCGCAGTAGGAAGGATTGTCAGCTTTCGCGGGGCGAAGTTCTGGTGGACCGTGCACATGAGGCCTGTCTTGTAAAGCTATATCGGTGAGCATCTCTGGCCATCAGATCCCACCCTCCGCTTAGCTACCCCTCTTTCCCCAGAGATATCACAACCACGTTCTTTTACCGCCGTAACATTCATTCCGGATTTTGTTCACAGATTTTTCTCCGTCATATTCCACGATTCTAGCCCTTGTTCGTAATACCAAGTTATCTCTGGACTTAGGCTCTGGACTCTCTGCTTGAAGCCCTTTCGGCTTGGGACACTGTTCTTCTACCTACCTATCTGCCGAAGTGTTTATTATTTACGTCCGCTTCGTTCCTGGGCCGCTGATGGATCACTGAAAGGTTTAAGAGCAGATGGACGTTCGTGTGATTGCTTTCCACACTTCCCGCTTAGTTGGATACAGGGCGTGTTTGGAGTCTAGATGGAGGGACATCTGACATGTCCACCACTCTCGGTTAACTTTATGCTATATGTCGACCGTTATTTTGCCCTGGATTCGTAAGGTATACGAAATCTCAGGCTTTTGGGATCTTCACAACGCTAACACACATTCACTACTGCAGGACTTGTTGTGGACTCGCTCAGTACGGGGCGTCTATCCCACCCCCTTACAACCCAGCTTGACGAGAACGATCGCAAGATACGGTGCCGTTGCACGAGGTGACTTTGGATTCTGACTTCGCCGTGAGCTGCGTTTTCACATCTATCGCACGGCGTGTATCTATCGTGCCTTTTTGGGCTTCCGTGGCTTTGTCTGCACGCTACTCCCCGGATTGGGAACTTCTCCGCTCGTACAGAGGGTCGTGTTTCATTCAGTCGCCCGCTTCTCTTATTGGCCTCCTGAGTCCTCACCGACCAAGACCGGCAACTCGTTTAGCAGAACGAGGCACGAATATCTGCAATGAGCGCGCTGCTCGAAGGGATTCCTCGTCCCCTTCATGGGCTAGCCATAGCAACCGCGGATATTCCATGAATTCTGGGTTTCTTTACTTTACAGCTTTATAATCCACAGGTACAACCGAAGTTTCCTTTCCCACTACTTCTAACAATGGGGGGCGAGTATCAGTGTTGCGACGGCGAAGTCAATGGCAAGTGTACCCACTGTGTTTTATCGAGCACCTTACAAATACTTGACGTAGAAATCCTTGAACGTAGCCTCAGTGCCAGCGTCATTCTTTGGGCCGCAAACCATCACTCCAACCCGCCACTGGTGATGAGACAAATCCACCGAATGGTGATTGAACCCTTTCACTTCCCTCATCATGAGGAGATCCGGCGATGCGCCCTGGACATCAAATGGCTCGCGGGAAAATAAATGGAATACCCGCACGGTAGGCCCAAGCCGTACGATGCGAATAAACAGCCAGTATGGGTCTTCAGAGAGTTGCGACGTATTCTTGGAAGCGAGTGCAATCGACCAATCGGACCAATGGGATGCAACGACGCCCCTGCAGCCCTCATGATAAGTGTGCAGCCTAATACGCATCGAGAGATCTGATCATACCCAATCCATTGCTTCCCATCGTCCATCTCTACCCCTGTTTTGATCCATGAGGATTCCTCACCATCGCTGTCGTCCGCGACGACCATCAAGCATCCCTGATCGTACTGCACTCCCCATTTTCCCTGGATCCAAACCCCCGCTTCGAACGACTTGTTCCCATCGATAGGGACAGCGTAGAACGCTCCCGTGTGCCTATTCGCCGCTTCCTCGCCTGGGCTCGCAGGGATCCTCCAGTAGTCGGTATTTGGAAGTGCCTGGATGATTGCCGTGCTGGGCGTGATACGGATAGACGTGGCTGGAGGGCTGAGACGAAAGCTTTGGGAATCAAAACCTTTGTAGACGGTAGTTTCAGTCGTCATGTTAGCTTGCGTATCGTTGAACACGGCCTTCTGTTATACTCGGAGAAAGGACCAGATGACCCCGTAGGCCACACGTGCTGTACCCGTGGTAGCTTCGCCATTGGCGAAAGAAAATGTGACACGCTGCAGCAGTCGTCATTGATGATATGGGAGCAAACCTACATTGCTAGGATTTTTTCTGGGTCCCATTATGTTCCATGTTCTTCCATTCTCGCTAGTAGAGAAAGAGAGGAACGATGCAAGATGAAGGAATAGGGGCGCACGTGCGCGTGAGAAAGCGCGAGAATTCCGTTCAGGGGTCTTCCACAGGCTGCCTCCTCGTACCTCCCACATTCGCAAATGGTGCAGGATATGGCTACGTCTTTGTCAAGTATTAAACATGAACCTTTGGCGCAGTGGTAGCGCGTGTGATTCCAGTGGCCCTCGTTTCCCGGAATATCCACAAGGTCGTCCGTTCAATCCGGGCAAGGTTCAACACATACTTTTTTCTTGATTCTGGTACCAGCGGATATTTGTTCGGAATTCTGTTCTTCATATCAGGATAACGACTCTATGTCTTCATTCAAACATGAAATGCACTTTACTTCGCTTCAGAATTGTGCGTGTGGTGTGATCATCTTCCAGTCCCTGTCTTCTCCTGTCTCCTATAATGCTCACGTGGTTTGTAGTTCATAATTATTAGCGAACGCTCCGCCTCGTCGTTTCAATCTAGTGTGCGTCGTTTCAATCTCCAGGTACACTGCTTACCGACAGAAATAATGCTAATAGGTCTCAAATTTCAATCTTCAAACTTCTGATGCGGGTGCGACCGCTTTGCCAGTCTCTGGGGGACCAAGTCTAAGTCTGACAGTCGCGGCCAAGGGACTGCCAGATGTACGGCGTCCAAGGCCTTTGGATGAAATCCCATAGTGTCCATGTACTCGAAGCTCGCCAGGTCACGTCGCCGAGCCATTGGGCGTTTCCGGTCGGTCGAACCTGTTCTCCTTACTTTCCAGATCTTTGGGAGAGCAGTGAGCGCGACACTCTCGTCCCAAGGTTTCTTTCTGCAGTTCCTCGTCGAGTATTATCATCACGACGAGCGACTCTGTCTGGCCCTGGCAATCAACTTCGCTTGACCAGTAGGCGTAGGCAGAATATCCCTAGAGCGGGGATTTAGCTGTGATCGCAGTTCCACGACGGATATTTTGTGGATGTGACCATATCCACTTCGTACGGCGGCCTCAAACAAGGTGTGCCCTATACTCGTATGCCCTCGCTAACAATTGTTATCGCATGCTGGCACGCCTATCACTCTAATGCTGGCACGCCTATCACTGTGAGTACACTATCCTTACGTCGAAGCGAAGCGACTCAACCACTATTAGTTTCAGAGAAGGGAGAAGGGGGTTCGTTGACAACCCCCATAAATACCGCCACCCACGGCCGCCTTTCTCTCCCCCAACTCTCCCCTCCATGGTGGCCAGAACGCCGACATAGATACTGTGCGGGCCCTGAAAGGCCATTACGTTGACTTCGTTGCAGAGGCCTTCTATCCGATATTGGGCATGGAGGCTCAACATCTACCTGATTGCATGTTTCCGAACACATGTATTGAACTGCGAACCGTGGATCGCATAAACAACTCCCAGGCCTTAGCGGTCACGGCCCTGGACGAGTTCGCCGACACAAACGACTTCTCGATGGCGTGCCCCTCCTGGCCTACCAGTCTCGTCTCCAGAGTCTATTGGCCTTCGTCGATGGATAAGAAGAAGATACAACGGCGACAATTTGACTATCGATCATCCGACCCCTCTACCTGGACTGTTTGGGCGTTCCCCGTATCCCAGTGCACTACCTATTCTTGGTCGGCCGCCTCTCGAAACATGAAGTCCCCGCCCCCGGATAACTGCTGCTTGGAAACGTCGTGATCGGACTACATCGTGGACTCGAACGCACAGGTTCTCACAAGCATACTACAAACTCAAAGTTCATCGCGTCCTCCCGTGGACGATCGAGGCCGCAAGAACGTTCTTCTCATTTCCCATCACAGCTTCGAATCTCCAAACCGATTACTCGATTCCGCACACTCCGGTCAGACTTGGTTCTGGCGGCTTGTCGGCCAGTGAACATGGAGACTTGAAGCTTTAAAGTGTTGCGATAAGAGGTCAATTCGCCGTCGCCTTGTCACGCTGTTCTGCCGTAGGTGGCTCGGTCGGCGATCTAGCCCTCGGCGTACAGAGTCAATCGGAAATGCGAGTAAAAGCAGACTCAGGTACGTATCTTCTCTAAATTTGCTCTTTCCGCGATGTACGATCCCTGACGGTGCTCCAGACCGCGTGTAATCATAGGCCTCAAGCATGAGTGGTCGTACGAGGATGCCGTTAGCAAGGACATACGTCTGTCTATTACAAATTGCCCCGTTCCTCCAGACAACCTTGCTCGTTGTATGTTGATCATCCCACGCGGAGCAGTGTCTCGACCAATCAAGGACATCTTGGCTTGTTCGAGAAATCCAAATGAGGAGTCAATCAAGCAAGTGCGTCAGATCGCCGTGTTGCAGATGTGTAACTTAGTGATATGCTCTAGATGATTCGAGCTGACCTTCTCTATAAGCTCCATGGACAACATGCTAATGCCCGGCTATTTGGCCAATGTCATCACCTTCGTGAAATCCGTCTTAGGTTCAATATCATGCATGTTTATTCTCTTAGGTCGAGACGCCTCCATGACTTACTCTCCAACAAAGCCGCCTTCAGGTCGTTGAACGTTTGTGGCATCTTTTGATTCCGTAGGTTGGGCGGTGAAGATCGCGTGGTGATCCACTGATTGACAAAGTTAAAACTGCTATTGGTCAGCAGTTGCGGCCAGTCTGCATGCATACGGAGGTTCTAGGATGACTTCTATTCATTCATTAACTCATCCAACCTCGCCCTCCTTTTTTCGCTTGAGAGATTTTCGTGCTTCCGACGTGTCATATATCTCGCGTCGAAAACCAGCGGCTAAGAAATTCGCTCACCTACGAGATGGAGACTGATGAGGGTTGACTCAACACGCGCTGTTGACCGGGACGGCTCCTGCCGCTCAGTCAGCGAATCTAGTATTGTTGCTTGCCTCACGATTCCCAATATGAATAAAGTGGGACAGTGCAGCGGGTTGGAGTCGCTCAGGTACGTATTTCCACTCGGCTCACCATTTTTACATGTATGATATCCGGCGCAGATCATCGGCCCGCTGAAGCTCTCAACACGCCCAATGAACGCGGATGCCGTTGGAAAGGGTAGCGGTGTGGTGTCGCTCAATTGAAATGTTTCTAGTTTCTCCGGCCAGCCTTACTCAGTGAAGGATAATCATCCCACGGGGAGCGGCGTTTTGACGAATCGATCCTTAGCCAGCCAACAACGTATCAGTTACATACGGCAGTCCTGGAAGATGTCCACCTTACCACTTGACCAAGAAGGCCATCTAGACTAGATCGAGAAACCTGAATGGGAGTTAATCAAGTACGTTTGCAGATCGACACATTGCAGAGGCATAACTGAGCGATATGTTTTAGATGATTGGCTTTTGGAGTTCCACATGCAACATGCACATTCTCACCTGTTTTGCGGTCGAAATTGTAGCTCTTGGATCGTGAAACTGACGACCCGTGGTACCAGTCCTGCAGAACTAATCTTTGGTCTAATATTGTGCAAGTTCATTTGGTCAAGTTGAGACTACTCACGTCTCATTCTCCAACATAGCATCCTGGTGCGCCTCTCGGTCATCTATCCACCCGCTCATCGCCGCAACTTGTCAAAGCATATGCCGACTCCAGATGCCAATTGCTGAACCCTTGTGAACCCTTTTGTATTCCGTAACTTGGGCGGGGTACGTCGCATGGTGTTCCCTGCATCAACATAAGGGGAATCTGCTATCGGTCAGCAGTTGCGGCTAGTATACACATGGTTGTTCTGGGAGGGCTTCTATTCATTCATTAATTTGAATGAAGGACGCCCCTCTGATCGGTTCGAAGGGTTTCCATATAGGTGCTCTTGCATCCTACCGTCTCGTATCCAAACCCCCTGGGTAGAGAGATCCGCTCGCATCTTCTGCCAGACTTTGGTCCAAGTCCTTGCCATTTGGTGAGTTCGACACTTTCTCAATGTCAGCTCCAACACCTTCTTGCTTGTTTCCTAGAGAACTCAGAGGACGTTCGTACCTGACACACCCACGCCACGCACTTCTCCCCAGAAAGCCTAGATTCTGGGGAATAATCACGCTATCTGCTCGATGTGATCCCTAGCAATGATGTCCGCCTCTGTCTTGCCCGCGGGGGATGAGGTACTGAGTAGCCTAGCCTTAAATATGCCCATCTGCTAAAACGGTACTCGTAGCAATGCTTCCAGAAATCATCCTTTTCGTCGCCTTCTTGTTCACGGTCTGGAGCTATGTGACAAAGAAAGCTCAACGGACGCCGCCGCTCCCTCCAGGGCCTAGGAAGTACCCAATCATCGGGAATCTGTTGAAAGTCCCGAGCGACAATCATTGGGTTGTATACGACAGGCTCGCCAAAGAATGCAGTACGTCACATCACCGGTCTTCATCACTCGAGCTTGTGGCTTAATTGTTTATCAGACTCTGATATCATCCACCTCAGCGTCTTTGGCAATTCGGTGATCGTATTGAACTCATTCGCAGCGGCTACCGAGGTTCTAGACCGCCAATCCTCGATCTCATCTAGTCGGTGAGATCCGCCAGTTACTTCCTACACCGCACGATGTGTTTAAATGTTTTATTTACTTGCAGCCCTTTAGGAACCATGATAGGCGAAATGTTAGGAAACCCATGCCTGTTATTCCGCCCCCGCTAATGAAATGGACATTTAGCATGGGTTGGAAATATATCTTTAGCCTTCAGCCGTACGGCCAACGGTGGCGAGACAGTCGCAGGATGTTTTGGCAAGAGTTTCATCCCGAACATGGTAGGGCTCACCATCGCCCCATTCAACTCCGTTGCTCGCGGGACCTCATTCGACGCCTCTATGAATCACCCATCGACTTCCAAAACCATGTCCGCCAGTAAGTAGTCCAACATTTGCTTGGATACCATTCAACTTCCCTTTCGTAGTGCGATCGGCGCAGGTATCATCTCAGTCCTATACGGCCTGGATATTCAAGAGGAGGACCCCAACATTACCATGGTCGACGACGCTCTGAAACACATCAACGTTGGACTTATAGGCACCTGCATGGTCGATCTTTTCCCCTTTCTCAGACACATCCCACGATGGGTGCCAGGCGCAGGCTTTCGGGCCATTGGGGAGAACGCGGCACGCGACCTAAATTTGTTAATCGATGTCCCATATTCACAAACGCGCAAGTTGCTTGTGCGTATTCTATATCTCCGAGGGACGTGCAGATGGGAAACCCAGCTCACTCACGTATGTATATAGGCAGAAGGTCGCGGAGAATCGTCTTTCATTCATCGAACTTTGAGCCGTGGACCGATACCTGATGGAGGGATGGAAGAACGTATTTTGAAGGAGGCGGCGACGACGACATACATAGGTATGTCTGTACCGCTTGTTAATGTGGCCATGGTGTCTGACGCGCGTGCAGGGGCAAATGAAACGTCCAAGCTGCCAATGACGCTACTTTTTGCGATGATGGCGCAGAATCCGGATGTACAAACGAAAGCTCAGCAAGAGCTCGACCAGTATCTAGACCATCGGCGCCTTCCAGAGTTTGGAGACGAGATTCACCTGCCGTACACTTACGCAGTGTTGCTAGAACTTCTAAGGTATCCTTCTTGTAGTTAATCACTTTGACTTCCGTGGCTGAATCCTAGGAAGGTTGGAGCCGACCGCACCCCTCGGTGAGCTTTGAATTCGTCGAAATTTAAGTATAACCCACCCGTATTATTCAGGTCTTCCCCGCAGCCTTGTCTCCGACGGTGAATATAAGAGCTATCACCTTCCTAGCGGATCAATTGTATTCTACAACATTTGGTATACATTTCTATTTCTCTCGGATGGTGCGGCCGCTGATGCACCGTAGGGCGATTCTCCATGATGAAACGACGTTCCCTGAACCCGAAAAGTTTAGTCCTTCGCGTTTCTTAAAGGATGGGGTGATCGACACTCAACTAAAGGACCGTGTTATGGCTACGTTTGGCTTCGGGAGAAGGTGCACCTACTCTCAGTTGCAGGGATTTTGCTGACATATCGTTGCAGGGTTTGCCCGGGTCGATACTTTGCCTTGGATAATTTATGGCTAAATTTGGCCTCCATCCTTTCGGTATACACCATGAGCAAGGCTGTCGACGAAAGCGGCCAACAAATTGAAATCGACCTTGAATATACGGCCGATCTTAACCGGTTCGTACATGCACACTATTATATCGTTCGGCACTGACGAGTGTCTTCGAGTAGGCATGTACTCCCATTCAGATGTTCCATCACGCCTCGTTCTGAGAAAGCCGAAAATCTGATTCACGGTTGTCGCCTTTGAACCATAAACACCATACATGTTATGATCGTATTCCATCCCTCTGTTACCTTTATCTGTATCTGTACTTGGTGTATAAGATTTGACCGTTATGCTGTATGCCGCACTGTGGCCTTGAAATGGATTTGACCCCGGGCTTCGGACGTCTTGTCGTAGCCTTGAGGGAGGGACGGGACAAGCGGGATCAACTTCGCCTGACCGTCCACCGTCAAATCATCATATGGAAGCAGAACTGAAGGTCTGGAGGAGCTCGTGAGGCAGCGACTATGACGACGGCAAGAATCAGGTATACTGCACGGATACTTGTAAATGAGAAACTAGACGAGAGGTTTGACGGGTGATGCTACTCCTCAGTCCTCCCCTATCGTCTTCTCCCCTTTGTCTTCAGACTCATCAGGGTCGTCAGGGTCGCTCTGCTCTTCAGAATCCGAACAGGCATCCTCATCCGTTTCCTCTGATTCACCTTCGTTCACCTCCCCGCCCGCCTCATATAGGAATGGATCAAAGAGGTCGCAGTTTGCACACGATTTTGCGTAAAACAGTGCCTCCTGAATACTCTGACCTCGGAATTCATCGTCCACGACCCTCCCGCTGATCATGTGATGTATCAACTCTTCGACGACCCATGAATTGAATTCATGATGGGGCACACTGGCGGGCGCAGCTATACTAGTACAGGAAATGGTATCTCGATGAAAAACTAGACAAGTAATTTGGCGGGTGATGTGACTCCTTTGTCCCCCGCTATAGCATCTTCCTCTGTGTTCTTTGCTTCCTCGGAATCATCCTCAGCGTCCGGATCACTTTCCTCTTCGCCGTCATCCCCAGAGGACTCATCATCTTCCTCGCCGCCCCGCTCGTATACAGGCGGGTCAAATAGGTCGCAGTTTGCACACGACTTTGTATACATTAGTGTCTCCTGTATACTCTGGCTTCGATATTTCTCGTCTGCCCATCGCTGGCCTTGTACGAAGGTGTGGGGAATGTCGCCAGTATGAAGAGCCAGCCATCTTGGTTGCTCGTTTGGCGGACCCGGAATTCGAGCCACCTTCTTGAATTCCGCAAGGCGCGCCTGGAAGTCGGCATCGAGGAAAAGTGTGGTCCCATAGTTTCGGGGGAGTAGCCAGGCATACATACACCTACGATCTCCAACCCAGACAGGGCGAATCTCCATAGGCATATTCCACTCGCGAATGAGCCTGAGACCGAATTGCTTCATCAGAGCCATTCCGTCGACGTGAAGACAGTAGTTTGTCTGTTGCCTTGGTAGGTCAGACTGTTCTGCTTCGAAGAAAAGCTTGGACTCGTTCATAACGAAGCCCGGAAAGTATTGGGGGCCGTAGGGTTTGAATCCCATACTGTATGTTAGCGTGAACAATTTAATACGAGCAAACAACGAGAGCTGTACTTACCTCTGAGTCGGAAGAGAGGCTGATTTATCAATAAGTAATTCAAACCACCGATTTCGAGCTCCGCAGTTTATTATGCCATTTTGCCTTGGTTCAGACTGTGCTGCCTCAAAGAAAAGCACGGATTCGTTCATTACGAAGCCCGGGAAGTACTGGATACCAAAGGGTCTGAACGCCATTTGATCTGACTGTATGAAGGTGGCAGTGTTGTTCTATTTTTTTGAAAGCAAATTGATGAATATTTCTCTCACTTGAAATCCGTCACTTGAGGCTCCCTGGGCCTGCGATGAATTCCCTCTCGGGAGATAACCCGCGGAGACGAGACAGTTAGACGGCTTACTAGCGCTCGATCATCCAGAAGGGCGCTATAAGTATCAGCGTGAATATCTGGGCCATGATAGTTTTCCTGCTCAAGGAGGGTGATAACACGATTGACCGTAATTAAATATGAGGTCCGTCGACGCATTGTACGAGGTATAAAGATTATAAGACACGATTTAAGAGACCACTACACAAGGAATGTGACTATTCCAAGGCCTGTTTAATTTTGTCACCCTCTTCATCATCTCCGTCGTCTTCTTCCCGACCACTGTAATCTTCTTCCCCGCTGTCCGAGTTGACATCCTCTCCTTCGGCTTCGTCTTCGTCTTCTTGGTCATCATCTACCGCACCACCCTCCTCCCACACGTATGGATCCGACTTGTCACAGTTTGCGCACGAATTCAAGTACAACGGCGTGTCCTGTATACTTTGGCTCCGAAATGCCTCGTCTGCCCACCGCTTGCCAGGGACGAAAGTATGGGGCAAGTCGCCGTCACGAAGGGCCAGCCATCTAGGTTGCTCGTTTGGAGGACCTGGGATTCGAGCCACCTCCTTGAATTTCGCGAGCCGCGCCTGAAATTCGGAATCGAGAAAAAGCGTGGTCCCGTAGTTGCGGGGCAGGAGCCAGGCGCACATACATTTACGATCTCCAACCCAGACAGGGCGAATCTCCATAGGCATATTCCACTCGCGAATAAGCTTGAGGCCGTAATCCATCATCAAGGCCATTCCATCCACATGAAGACAGTAGTTTTTCTTCGGCCTAGGAAGGTCCGACTGTTCCGCTTCGAAGAAAAGCTTGGATTCGTTCATGACGAATCCAGGGTAGTATTGAACATGGTAGGACCCAAATCGCATTCTGCTTGTCAACGTGATTGGTGATCTTTAACTGACGAAGAGGGTACTTACTTGTGTATGAAAGAAGGCAAATGTTGCGGGTGATTGAGTGAATCTGCCCGCGGATATGTTATACCATTATGCACTAAATAAGCGATTGAACGGCTTTCAAACTCTGAATCTGCGGTCACGCCTATGACGGTCGTTATCAGACAATAATGATAGGAAAACCAGCCGGAGCACATGAGGAGCCATGAACAACCACGAATCATCCTTATTCATGATGAACACTATGAACAAACAAGATTATCCCAGAACTTGTAATAATCTACACTGAACAACCATGAAAATAATGTACTTATGACTGAATAGCAATGAATAGTTGCCATCAGCCATAGTAAATCACTCACAAACCATTTGCTGTTCATGGAAAGATGTGTAGATCATGCAATTAATTTCATTCACTTCACTCAATAATCATTTGATAATTTCCGAGTGAATAGCGGTGAACAACGGTGAACATCTCTGATCTGGAATGTTCCCCCTGAATGAACACCAGCACGTGCATACATATCCAAACTGGGAGGTCCCCTGACAAAGTCTAATGCCTCTTTTCTTCATTTTCCAGATTGTTGTTATACTGATACATTATCAAGCCGGTTGTTATCTTTTCTCCTGATTGTTGTTAGGAGCCACACTCGCAGAGGGGCTCGGGGATACGCGGACCTGCGGGTGTGCAGTTCCACATAGAGGTGCGGAGGGAAACAAGGGAGCAAGGACGTACAGGCTTGGCTTCAGCTACTGGCTGTGCCTCCCACACTCTTGTGTGCCCTGTATCTCCAGAGGGGATCCTACGCGGGTACTAAGGGTACAAGCAGAGGCGAGGGGATGCAAGGGAGAGACCTCAGTAGAGAGGCGGGGATGCAAGTGCGGAAAGGAACTAGTATTCAAACTAAGGTAACTGTAGGTACGGTACAAGACTATATACTGATGTTATAGGCGCATCCAAGGAACCCCTTAGGGGCAACTAGAGGCGCATCCACGTGCACTCCCAGCTATGGGCTCGGGCCGCGTACACACGCGGCCGCGCGGACTTCTCGGATTACGGACTAAGTACATCTTCGAGCACACTGTAGTTACTATGACCAGACTCATTGCTGTTTCATGAACGTCCGGACTCCGTGTGTTCCCCAGTATATATTCCTGTACTGTACATACAGTTACCTTAGTTCAAATATTAGTTCTTTCTGCACTCGCATCCTCGCCTCTCTATTGAGGTTCCCCGTCGCATCCCTTCGCCTCCGCCCGTACCCTTGGTACCTGTGTAGGACTCCTCCTGGAAATACAGGGCACGCAAGAGTGTGGGAGGCGCAGCCAGTAGCTGAAGCCAAGCCTGTACGTCCTCACTCCCCTTGTTTCCCCTCCGCGCGTCTACGTGGAACCGCGCACCTGCGGGTCCACGTATCCCTAAGCCCCCGCGAGTGTGGCTCTTAACAACTGAGGAACACATGGTAGCCGTGCGTTCATGAGACAGTTAGTAGTCCGGTAGAAATAAGTACTGCATGCTTGAATATGTACAAGTCCAGAGTCCGTGACATGTCCGTGTAGCCACATGTATGTGCGGCCCAAGTCCGTAGCTGGAACACACGTTAGTAGCCCCTAAGGGGCCTCCTGGATGTGCCTATAACAATCGTCTACAACCGTCCTCAACTTCATGGACACTAACCGGCCACTTTTCCCCCCTCATGAAGGCAGTTGTTCACAGTCCACCTGCCCCTGTCCTGGATACTGCTTCATTAGTGGAGATAGGTACTCAAGTAAAGTACATGTCTTTCTGTGAATGAATCAACCGAAGCTTCAATTTTTTTGTAGGTACCTCCTAGCTTAGATACACCCTGAATAATATGGGCCAGTTCTGAGAATTTCATTGAGGCGAAAAGTGGAAAACAATCAGTGTTCATAGATTTTCATTCTGTTTTCATTGCTAGATTGACATGATTCGTCACAATGAATTCTGAATGAGCAGGCATGAAGAACTCCATGAGGAACCATGAACAAAGATGATTGCAATAGCTCATAAGTCTTCACAGATACTCATGGTGAAGTTCTGTTATTCATCCGGATTGAGGAAGGATCATCATGATTCATGACTGTTCAACCTATTTCATGGGAATTACTAAGGCACCCGATAATATTGTCCGATAACAACCATCATACACGCCACCCGGACGTGGCTGTGGGAAACCACGAACTTGCTTCTCTTGGAATATTTCATTGCTCAACTCGCAACTCGAGAGTCGCCTTACAGGTCACCGGTCACCCTTGCACAGCGCGCTGTACACTTATATCGAAGAAATCTCAGCCTGACAACGAGGTCTATGTCACTGCCATTGTCGGAGACTAGGCCCTCCATGTCGTAGAAGACGACAGTGGCCACGGAACGCATTAGGTCAGCCTTGAGCCTGACGCTTCCGTATTTCCAGAGCCGGTAAGTTAACTGTGTCCCTCGAAGGTCCTCTATCTGCAAGCTACTCGTGCCCCTCGCAGCAGCGCCGGCATCTTACGATTATTACCGGACCGAAATCTCTCATAGAGAAAATATTGAACCTCTGCATCGGAGGTATCACGAATTCGTACCCTGGATCGCAGATTATGACTGATACAATGCTCTCTAGGCTCGAACCGTGGAATACCTAGGGAATGGCCACCTCGATTGTTCTATAGCTGCATCGTAGCTGCGATGTTACCCAATGGCACATGTCCCCCATTTCCACCACGACATTCCGTAATATATATTTTAGGATCCTATCGCAATTCTGTGGAAGACCTACTCAATGGGCCAACTTCGTGGTCCACCCATACCATTCACACAAGGCCCAATGACGAGCGGTGATCGTGCTTCCATACGACGCGGCATGCGATCGCACCTAAGGTGTATTTCTAGTCATGGGTGTGGAGCTCAGCACTTTAAATATGCCCCCATGGCGAGGTGCTGGTCAGCGATACCCAGCGCAATGCTGTCCGGACTCATTGTCTCACTTGCAATCTCTTTCGCAATTCTAGGATACTTCGGGAGGAAATATCGACAGACTCTGCCCCTTCCCCCTGGGCCTAAGCAGTACCCAATCGTCGGGAATTTAAATTTACCAAACAAGGACCAATGGATTGTATACGACAGGATTGCAAAGGAACACAGTACGTGCTATTGCCCCTACTCGTCGGTGTAAATTTGACGATCATCTGGCACGGTTAGATTCCGATATCATTCACATTCGTACATTTGGTAGCTCACTTATTGTGTTGAACTCGTTTGCGGCAGCCGTGGATCTCCTAGATCGTCGATCCCGTATTTCTTCCAGTAGGTGAGATCAGATAGTTACCGCTCGCGCCATCAAGCACGACTCTACCTCACATCTAGACCGGCAGCCACAATGTTATATGATTTGTATGTTACTCTCGCCTGTTATGTTGTTCGTCGATGACATTGTAATATAGAATGGGCTGGAAGTCCATGTTTAGCATTCAGCCATACGGTCAAGAGTGGCGCGACCGTCGGAGAGTGTTTTGGCAAGAATTCCACCCGGAACATGGCCAAAGGCATCATCGCCCAATTCAACTCCACTACTCACGGGAACTCGTTCGACGTCTTTATGATTCCCCGCTCGAATTCCAGGCGCACATCCGACAGTAAGTCAGTTTATCAGTGGTATAGATACCGCAGCTGAGTTTGTCTACTGTAGCACAATCGGCGCATCCATAATCTCAATTGCCTATGGTCTGGATGTCCAGGGAAAGGATGACCCATACATCACAATTGCCAACAACGCTCTGGAGTATCTTGATATCTCGTTTGCGGGCACCTTCATGGTCGACGTCTTCCCCATTCTAAGGCATGTACCGCGATGGATGCCGGGTGCGGGCTTCCGGGCCACCGGAGAGCGTGCAACACACGCTCTTAACTTGTCGATTGAAGTCCCATATTTGCAGACACTCAAATCACTCGTGAGGATTGGGCCTTGCTGGTGTTCTCGTCAAATAAAAGCTCATCGCAATATATAGACGGAAGGTCACGGAGAGTCAACATTCGTCCATCGAGCCTTGAGTCGTGGAGAAATACCAAGCGGCGGGCAGGAAGAGAGAGTTATAAAGGAGTCAGTAGCCGCGGCATACATTGGTCGGTCCATTTAATATCTCTTTGTCGAGTATTCAATCTCACACTTTACAGGTGCTAATGAAACCACCCCGTTCCCACTTACGATTTTCTTCGCCATCATGGCACACAATCTGGACGTACAAACGAAAGCGCAACGAGAGCTTGATCAATATCTTGATCATCGTTTCCCTGATTTTGAGGACCAGCCTCATCTCCCGTATATTTCCGCGGTGATGCTGGAGACATTAAGGTACTGTTCATGGTGTCACTGTTACAATTATGATAGCCTGACCCAATCGCGAGCAAGGTGGGAACCCATGACACCACTTGGTGAGCATCGGAGTATTAAGTATTCAATCAACATGCTGGAATAGCTTAGGTCTCGCACATGGTCTTATCTCCGACGACAAGTTCAGAGGGTATTACCTTCCTAAAGGGTCCATCGTTTTCTACAACGTTTGGTATTCCTTTTGGTTCCTCTCGATAAACGATGAGGCTCACTTCTAGTGCTACGTGCTAGGGCAATACTCCGCGATGAAACAATATTCCCTGAACCCGATAAATTTAACCCTTCGCGCTTCTTGAAGGATGGCTTGATTGACACTCAACTAAAGGACCGTGTCATGAGTTCGTTCGGCTTCGGGAGAAGGCACGTAGTATCCATTCTATGTTTATATCAACCTCACGTCAGGAAGTATCTTAGGATCTGCCCAGGTCGGTATTTCGCTATGGATACCCTCTGGTTAAGTATGGCATCCATACTCTCGGTCTATACAATCGGAAAACCGGTTGATGAAAGCGGACGGAAAGTTGATATCGCCCTCAAATATAAGGCTGGTCTCAATCGGTTCATTGCCCGTTTTGCATTCTTTCTCTGTGCTGACGAATCACCATACATAGGCACGTACTCCCGTTCGAATGCTCGATCAAGCCTCGTTCTCGCGAAGCTGAGGAACTCATTCTTGATTTGTCTCGGCTTTGATTTCGCTACAGTATCAACCGTCAGCTTGGGTGTGCATTAGTCTTTTGCGCCAAATTCTACCCATTGATAGCATTGTTTCGGTATGCACCATGAGCAAGGCGGTCGACGAAAACGGCCAACAAATTGAAATCAACCTTGAATATACGGCCGATCTTCACCGGCTCGTACATGTGCACCCATTGCTCTCCACTGACGAATACCTTCGAGTAGGCATGTACTCCCATTCAAATGTTCCATCAAGCCTCGTTCCGAAAAAGCCGAAAAACTGATTCACGGTTGTCGCATTTGACCCATCCCATCCCTCTGTTACCTCTATCTGTATTTGTACTTGGTCTACAAGATGGGAGTACTATGCTGTACTCCGCAATGTTGCCTTGAAATGGATTTGACCTCGGGCTTCCGATGTCTTGTCGTAGCCTTGAGGGAGGGACACGACAAGCGAGAACAACTTCACATGAACCGTCCACCGTCAAATCATCCCATGGAAGCAGAACTGAAGGTTTGGAGGTTCTCATGGGGCAGCGGTTATGACGACGTCAAGGGTGGTAAAGACAAGAATCAGGTATACTCCACTGGTACCTGTAAATGAGAAACTAGACAAACCTAGGTTTGATGGGTGGTGCTACTCCTCAGCCCTCCCCTATAGGCTTCCCCCCTTTGTCGTCTTCGGAGTCATCATCTTCAGAGTTATTATCATCAGTGTCGCTCTGCCTTTCGGAATAGGAACGGCCATCCTCGTCCGATTCATCTTCATCTTCGCCCACTGGCACCTCACCGCCCTCCTCATATACGTACGGATCAAAGAGGTCGCAGTTTGCACACGATTTTGTGTACATCGGTGTCTCCTGAATACTCTGGCTTCAGAATTCATCGTCTGCCCACACGTTCCCGCGATATGTATGGGGAAGGTTGCTGGTATGAAGAGCTAGCCATCTTGGTTGCTTGTTCGGTGGGCCCGGAATATGAGCCACCTTCCTGAAATCTTCAAGGCGTCTCTGAAATTCCGAATCGAGGAAAAGCATTGTTCCGTAATTTCTGGGCAGCAGCCAGGCGTACATGCATGTGCGATCTCCAACCCAGACAGTGCGAATCTCCATTGGCATATTCCGCTCGCGGATGAGGGCGCGTCCATATTGCTTCGTCAGAGCCATTCCGTCAGTGTGAAGACAGTAGTTTGTCTTTTTCCTTGGTAGGCCAGACTGTTCGGCTTCAAAGAAAAGCACGGATTCGTCCATTACGAAGCCCGGGAAGTACTGGACACCAAAGGGTCTGAACGCCATTTAATCTGACTGTATGAAAGTGGCAGTGTTGTTCTAATTTCTTTGAAAAAGAATAGATGAATATTTCTCTCACTTGAAATCCGTCACTTGAGGTTCGCGCAAACATCTGAGCCATGATAATTTTCCTGCCGAAGAAAGGTGATAACATGATTGACTGTAAAGAAATGTGAGGTCCGTCGATGCGTTGTACAAGGTATAAAGATTCCAATAGACACGATCTAGGAGACCGCTACACACGGAATCTAACTATTTCAAGGCCTGTTTGATTTTGTCATCCTCTTCTTCATCCTCTTCTTCATCGTCATCTTCCCGACCACTGTAATCTTCTTCCTCACTGTCCGAGTTGACATCCTCTCCTTCGTCTTCATCTTCATCTTCTTGGTCATCATCTACCGCACCACCCTCCTCCCATACGTATGGAGCAGACTTGTTACAGTTTGCGCACGACTTGAGGAACATCTCTGTGTCCTGGATGCTTTGAGAACGATATTCTTCTTGTGCCCATGGTTTACCATAGTAGGAATTTGGCATATCGCCGTCCCGTAAAGCTAACCATCTCGGTAGCGAGTCGGGCGGTATTTGCGCCACCTTCTTGAACTCCACGAGACGCGCCTGAAATTCTCGGTCGTGCAAAAGTGTTTTCGTATAGTCGCTGGGCAGGATCCAAGCGTACATGGCTTTGCGGTCGCCAACCCAGACCGGTCGAACCTCCATCGGCATATTCCACTTGTGGATCAATCTTAGTGCCCATTCCTTCATCCGACTCACGCCATCGACGTGAAGACAGTAGTATTTCGGCTTTGGAAGGTCAGACTGTTCTGCTTCATAGAAAAGTTTGGACTCATTGAGAACAAAGCCTGGGACGTTATACACGCCGTTATAGCGGATGATTCCCATCCTACAGTTCAGTGCTCAGCATTAGAGAGGTTCCAAAAAGAAAGGAGAAATCCACTCGCTTGAGAGAAGAGGAAAAGGTGCCAATGATGGATGTCAGAATGCGAGTTACGAGTTTTCTCCATTGTGGACGAAACGGGCAATCGAACCACAATCTAAACTCCGCGCACCCATTGTTCAGAGTCGACGTGTCAACCCCAGTGAAAAGTCCGTCGATTGGGAGCGATTGGGAACGAGACGGATCGTGTGAATCTGCCGGAGTAGAACTGACAATGTTTTCTACCCATATACAATGTTTGCCTTTTCTGAGATCGTGTACCGTAGACTAGATAAAGATTAAAATCATTTTCAACAGATATCATAACATCAGTATATGCTTGAATCAATCCTCGTCGAGTAAGTAATAGATTTAGCCATGTGCTAGCGGTTCCCTCAGGTTATTTCAAACAATTGTTCACGTTGGTATCGTTTGTGCTCGTGTAATATATATTCCATTTCTACTACTACAGTTTATGTCTATATCTAGCTCGTCTAATTCTATTCATCCTACTTCGTAACCAATTGTAGCTTGCATCCACGACTTGCCGCTGCAGAAGGTCAGCCCAATGCGCATGGACGCGCCGTTGGAGGGAATTGGTGCCCAGGTAGCCGTCAGGTCAATGCGAGATGGGTCTGGTGACTGAAGCAGGTTCTTTGTCGCCAGTAAAATTGGATAGAAGCTGGAGATTACGGAGTTCCTGTGTGTAGGCGATTGGGGACAGTCGCAGGCAAGGCTAAAATGGTGAGTATGTTACATCAAATACTACTCACCATTACAAAAGATCCATCCTGTTGACTTGGGCTCGATTCATGGTAGAAAGGTGAGATTTTGTTGAGAGTTCTGGACAACATGGTTAGAGTGATGTTCGGGACATTGCATGGGGTGGGGGTAGCTATCACACTAGTAGGCACATTCAAGGCATGGTTGACGTGGCCGAGCATGCATACAACATAGGAAACTCACCCGTAACGAAAACCGCTCCGAGGTGTAACACATATTCGGTGCTGCGGGTTGTGCGCGCATATATCTCAATCAGTAGTGATAGCTGTCTACCATGGTCACATACATTAGTGACTGCCTTTAATGTACAAAGATCGGGATCCTCCTTCAAGTTGCGTCGATGGGAGTGGTCCAAGTACTGACATGAAATTCAGCAGGTTGGAGGCGCATATATGCACCCTCATTGATGTTGGCTTCGGTGAAAATCTAGTTACACACCTCGTGGCCAACTCTACTGTATCACCGATGTCTTGCCAAGGTCCTTGAGAGTCGCAGTAAACGACGCTGGACTTCGTACTTCCTTGAGGCCATGACCACTCCGAATCACCCTATCAACAGTCCGTGTTGCATGAGTGTCTTGATACAATCAAAGATGAAAGCATACCAATGCTACCTTGAGTGCATGAAGCGAGGTCATTTCGTCGCGCCATGACTGCAGGGTGCGGAGATGGTAGCAAGATGCAAGCACACCAGCAACTTACCGTGGGACTGCGGACTTGTGCTTACGCTCGTGACACTGGCAAAGTTACGGCAAAGTCAAAGTTGGACCTATCTTGAAATGGCCGAGGTGAAAGGTTGTAAGCGAACTTACGATTTGACTGCTGTTTGGATGTAATGAATGTTACGATTTGTTAGCTTGCTCGCACGTCACAAGAACCAATAATTGATGATGCAACATTTCAATCGGCGGCACACGATTCGCACGATCCGTCTCGCTCTCAGTCGCTCCCAATCGACGGACTTTTCACTGGGTGTCAACAATCGACCTCGCCATTGTCTTTAAAGTTAACCAACAAACATAAAGGGTGGAAGGTAAAGAGAAAGCTTAATTTCTACCCCCATGTCGGTCCTCCTGCGCGACAGACTCCTGGCGACCGACCCAGAAACTTTCTGGGCAACTGCCTCCAATCTACTCAACATGGCAAAAGATCCTCAGTACAATCACCGTTTAACAGAGTACGCTTGGTACTCCCTTTGGACCACCATTTTTACAGACTTGGCTGCGGGTATGCGAGCGAGGGCACGATCGCAACAGTTCATCTTCGCACCTGCACCTCAATTTTGTTTGTGGGCTCCCATTCCCCATTCTGCCACTATGCAACGGGCAATAATGCCTGAAAATCCCCCGACGGATGTGGTCATATCACTGACCGATCAGGACATCGTAACACCCTCGGACGAATCGATTTCAACCGGCAGAGCTTCAAATAGTCAATCAACGAGTACCGATTCGAGCAACCCGACTCAAGCCCCTCGTAGTTTCCGCCTGCCAGATGTCTCCATGCTGGGTATCTCCGCGCGCAGTCCGGACGTAAAGGAAAGGCTTTCAATCCATCATAGCGACATCACCGGATTTGTCATACCCTTCATCTTGGAGGTCAAGCCAGAAGGCGTTCTCTCCGACATGAGTGAAGCCCAGAATGAGCTCACTGTTCAAGCAATGTACCTATTCGCAGCATACAAACAGGATACGGTGATTGGCATTGTTGCCGCAGGCAGCTCCTTTCGTCATGCTATTTTTCGGCGTGAGGATTTTCAAGGCTCTATATCTACCGCCTCCGAGCTTGTGGACACAAGCTATTCCCCTTCAAACGACAAAACAGAGTGGAAACCTCTTGAGGCTTTTGGAAAGGGCTCCTTTCATACTACTTTAATGTCCATTGTTCGTACTGCCTTTGAGGAGGTGCTGGGTCTACCGTATGTGAAGTGAGTCCTTCCATGACTTTCATGTGTCCTTCGAAATTGACCATCAACGATAAGGAACTTTAAAGGGCCTCCTCATTGCCATGCGGGAGATTCAGCATCGCTTCAGCCTCCGTGAGTCAGACTCCAATTATCACATATTTTATCTCTGACAGCCAATGTGCATTCTCAAGTGCGTCACGCACTCGCAGCAAGACTCAGCCCAAGGGTCAGGGTGGAAAGGGGAAAGCTGGTGCCACAGGTAAAACGAAGTCCAAAGGCAAGGGGAAAGCACCTGAGGCAGGGCCTTCTATGCCTCGCAACTGATCCTCACTGGCACTCTTCACCGTTGTACGAAATTTTGATTCATGAAGTGTATAGTATGTCGTCCATGATAGCTAATTGCACCAATCGGATCGGCCCCTCGACGGCTCCTTCTGGTAGCTGATGATTGAAGTGTGAAGTGCTGGGAAAGGACTATGATAATCAAGATGTTCTTCTTGGACGGCCAATGGCTTCACCTGGTGGTCTTAAGTAGATATGATTCCCTCCCACTTTGGATACCTCGCCTTTACAAGGAATGGCACTTGGCACATTATCGTTTCCCTCCCACTGACAAGTCTCACCCGCCCCTATCCCCTGGATGTGGCTGTGGGAAACCGCGAACTTGCTTCTCTTTGAATATTTCATTGCTCAACTCGCAACTCGAGAGTCGCCTTACAGGTTACCCTTGCACAGTGCGCTGTACACTTATATCGAAGAACTCGCAGCCAGACAACAATGTCTATGTCACTGCCATTGCCGGAGACTAGGCCCTCCATGTCGTACGAGACGGCACGGAGCGCATTAGGTCGGCCTTCGACCTGACGCTTTCGTATTTCTGAAGCTGGTAAGTTAGTTGTATCCCTAGAAGGTCCTCTATCTGCAACTTACTTGTGCCCCTCCGGCGGTATCTTACAATTATTACTGGACCGAAACACCGCCACAGAGAAAATACTGAACCTTATGACTGATACAATGCTCTCTAGGCTCGAACCGAGGAATACCTAGGGAATGGCCACCTCGATTGTTCTATAGCTACATCATAGCTGTGGTGTTGCATTGATCGTACCCAATAGCACATGTCCCCCATTTCCAACACGATATGTATATTCTAGGATCCTATCGCAATTCTGTGGAAGGCCTACCCAATGGGCCAACTTCGTGGTGCACCCACGCCATTGACACCAGGCCCAATAACGGGCGATGATCGTGCTTCCATACGACGCGGCATGCGATCGCACCTAAGGTGTATTTCTAGTCATGGGTGTGGAGCTCAGCACTTTAAATATACTCCCATGGCGAGGTGCTGGTCAGCGATACCCAGTGCAATGCTGTCCGGACTCATTGTCTCACTTGCATTCTCTTTCGCAATTCTAGGATACTTCGGGAAGAAATATCGACAGACTCTGCCCCTTCCCCCTGGACCTAAGAGGTACCCAATCATCGGAAATTGGGACGTTCCAACCAGAGACCAATGGATTGTATACAACAGACTCGCGAAGGAACATAGTATGTGCTATCCTTCTCACTTCCATATTAATGACGAATCTTTGCTATGGTTAGACTCTGATATCATTTATCTCCGCCCATTTGGCACTTCGGTTATCGTCTTGAACTCATTTGCGGTCACCACCGACCTCTTAGAACGCCGTTCCTACCTTTCCTCTAGTAGGTAAAATCAGAAAGTCATTACTTTTACTTGTACCATCCAATGTGACTCTACTCTCCACAGGCCAAAAGCCACAATGTTAACTGAAGTGTAAGACTCTCTCACTCACTGTATCAGCTGTTGACAAAGTCGCATTATAGCATGGGCTGGAAGTCCATGTTTGGGGTTCAACCATATGGTCAAGAGTGGCGGGATCGTCGGAGGGTGTTTTGGCAAGAGTTTCATCCAGAACATGGCAGAAGGCATCATCGCCCGGTTCAACACCACTACTCACGGGAACTCGTTCAACGTCTTCATCATTCACCATTCGAATTCCAGGCACATATCCGCCAGTAAGTCGCTCAATACTTATGCATATACCCCGACTTAGTTCGTCATTTGTAGCACAATCGGTGCATCCGTTCTCACAAGTGTCTATGGTCTCGATGTTCAAGGCAAGGACGACTATTATATTACACTGGCCGATAAGGCTCTGAAGTATCTCGACGTTTCGTTCGTGGGGAATTACTTGGTCGATATCTTCCCCATTCTCAAGCATGTACCCCGGTGGATGCCAGGTGCAAGCTTCCAGACTACCGGAGAAAATGCAATACGCGCTTTAAACCTGTTGATTGAAGTCCCGTATTCTGAGACATGCAAATTACTCGTGAGCGTTACAGATGTCACTGTCAAACAAAAGCTCACTACTGTACGCAGGCAGAAGGTCGTGGAGAGTCAACTTTCGTCCGTCGGGCATTAAGTCGCGGAGTGATACCAGGCGGAAGACAGGGAGAAAACGTCATAAAAGAGGCAGCCGCCATGGCTTATATTGGTTCGAACTTCGCCCATTCTACGCACGCATCTTGAGCATGCAGTCTTACGCACTCATAGGTGCCAATGAAAGCACCCAATTCCCTATGACAATCTTCTTCGCCATCATGGCGCACAATCCTGACGTGCAAGTGAAAGCGCAAGAAGAGCTTGATCAGTATCTCGATCATCGTCTTCCCGCTTTTGACGACCAGCCTCATCTCCCATATATATATATGCAGTGATGCTGGAGACATTAAGGTATCGTCCGCGCTGCTTACCGTTAAGATCGTGACAATCTTGATTCATATGTGGGCAAGATGGGAACCCATGGGCCCGCTTGGTGAGCATCGCAGTATTAAGTATTCAATCAACATGCTGAAATAGCTCAGGTCTCGCACACGGTCTTGTCTCCGACGATGAGTTCAGAGGGTATTACCTTCCTAAAGGGTCCATCGTTTTCTACAACGTTTGGTATTCCTTTTGGTTCCTCTCGATAAACCACGAGGCTCACTTCTAGTGCTACGTGCTAGGGCAATGCTCCGCGATGAAATACTATTCCCTGAACCCGATAAATTTAACCCTTCGCGCTTCTTGAAGGATGGCTTGATTGACACCCAACTAAAGGACCGTGTCATGAGTTCGTTCGGCTTCGGGAGAAGGCACGTAGTATCCATTCTATGTTTATATCAACCTCACGTCAGGAAGTATCTTAGGATCTGCCCGGGTCGGTATTTCGCTATGGACACCCTTTGGTTAAGTATGGCATCCATACTCTCGGTCTATACGATCGGAAAACCGGTTGATGAAAGCGGACGGAAAGTTGATATCGCCCTCAAATATAAGGCTGGTCTCAATCGGTTCGTTGCTCGTTTCGCATTCTTGCTCTGTGCTGACAAATCATCGTACATAGGCACGTACTCCCGTTCGAATGCTCGATCAAGCCTCGTTCTCGCGAAGCTGAGGAACTCATTCTTGATTTGTCTCGGCTTTGATTTCGCTATAGTATCAGCCGTCACTGCTTGGATGTGCATGACTCTTTTGCGCCGAATTCTACCCTTTGGTGGCATTGTATTCATTTGTGTCAGGTCGATTTAGCTACCAGGGCGTTTCTAGTACTGCCATGTACTGGTGTGGTAGATGATACAACAGGAAGCCCCCTTCCAGAACCTCAAAAAGTGCTAAATTTATATAGAAGCACCATTCCAAGAGAACATGTGCGTTATCTTTTTTATGCCACGCGATCCTCTCCTATACCTATACTCTATCCCCCAGTTGCAAGTTCATCGGAATCTCAACGTGTTTACGACCACGTCGACTCCCCCACAGATCCGACGTCTAAGTTATCGCATGTACCCCGCGGACCACAAAGCACCCCTAGCCTTAGTAGAAGGCATGCGTCTCAAAAGAAGACGACTTCCGCCGCCGCCGCTTTATTGACGAAGTATCGCTGATTGACCGGCTCCATTTTGCTTATCAGCCTGCAGGACCCGAAAAAGCATTGCCTCACAAGGTACGATGAATTATATAAAGACGCAACCCATAGAAGTCTCATAGTGGAGACGGCACCATCGCGCCACATGCGTATACGCCAGCAACTTGAAGACATCGCCGACAGCGATGTACGAGATGCAGCACTCCTGGCGAATCTGGGCTACAAACAGGAGTTCACTCGTGATTTCACGCCGTTCGAGGTTTTCGGATTGGGGTTCAGTATTATCGGTGTTGTGCCTTCCGTGACGTGCGTTTCCTCTGCGCCTCGACTGCCTTCGTTTTTCTAATGAATTTGTAGCTCCGTTCTACCATATTCGCTTCCCTACGGTGGTACAGTAGCCATGGTCTGGGGTGTGAGTACGAACCCCCTCCTACTAAGGCGTGGATACTGACCAATTTGATTTCAGTGGGCAATTTGTTCTATCTTCCTGATGTTCATAGCGTTGGCCGTCGCTGAGCTCGGATCCTCTGCTCCAACGTCCGGCGGACTCTATTACTGGACGTTCCACTTTTCCTCTCCAAGGCATCGCAAATTGTTATCATGGATCGTCGGTTGTAAGAGAATGTACTGTGCATGGCGCGTTGATGTGATTGATCGTCGTAACAGACACGAATACCATTGCCTACATTAGCGCTGCCGCAGTAAGCTCTTTTTCTAACTTTGCACGTTCCTCCCCGCTGATCATCACGCAGGCAGTAGATTGGGGTTGTAGTGTACAGATAATGGCAGCGGTGACTATGGGGTCAGACTTGCGCTTTGTTCCGTCTCCTGCCCAGATTTAGTAAGTATTTACCGCGATTTCTGAACCACCCAGCCCAACCCCAACGCCGTAGCGGCGTCTACTGTGCTTTGCTTGTATGCCATGCTGTGGTGGCTAGCAGGGCGACAAAGACAATTGCACGCCTACAATCAGTTTATATCCTGGTCAACATCGCGTACGTGTCATCAAGCTCTCTAAATCATTTTTGGTCTTGATTTCTGTTTGCATCAGCCTATGTTTGGCTATAATCATCGGCCTCCCCGCTGCCACACCGCCAGAATTCAGAAACACAGCAAAATATGCCTTCGGTCATTCTGAAAACAGTATGTCAACTAAATATGTATATATGCTGATCGCTCCATATGCATCTCACGCTTAGTGACCTCTTGGCCAAATGGGTTCGCCTTCATTCTTAGCTTCTTAGCTCCATTGTGGGTAGTGGGTATGTTTCCTCTTGTCCTCCATGGGTATATCACTGTTATACTACAACACGACGCAGGTGGTTTCGACTCAAGTGTTCACATCAGCGAGGAAGTACGTAACGCAAATATTGCCATTCCATGGGCCATACTTTGTGCCGCTGGATTGGGGAGTGTCCTTGGTTGGGGTATCGCGCCTCTTCACTTGGACTTGACGGTGCTCTGACAAACTTACAGCGATGATTGTAGCTTTGGCTTTCTCAATGGGAACGGACTTGCCTAGTATACTAGGAAGCCCCATTGGCCAGCCCGTTGCCACAGTGAGTTGCCTCATCCAACTTCTTCACGATGGCGGAGGGGCTTCATGTCTTGGACGTAGATCTTCTACAACAGCTTTGGCAGGCGTGGGACGCTGTCCTTGTGGTCCTTCATCATCCTTGTTCAGTAAGCCGAGGTTGCTGATCGCCGTCCCAATTCCTCACCATCACATATAGGTTCATGATGGGAACGAGTATCGTAAGCTTCAGGAATATCCCGAAGAACCTCACCGACCTGCTTGTTGTAGCTCACCGCCGCTTCTCGCCAAGTATTCGCCTTCTCACGAGATGGTACGTGTGTTACAAACAGTATTATCGGTGTTATGTCGCCAATTCTGAGACACGCTTCTCTAAATCAGGAGCACTGCCCTTCGCGCGCTTCTTGTATCACATCGACAAACGTACCAATACACCTGTCAACTGTGTGTGGGCCTCTGCGTTTTCCGCCGGACTGTTGGCATTGATATGTCTGGCCGGCCCCGCTGCAAGTGGGGCAATCTTTACCCTCGGTGTGGTATGCCAGTATACATCACTATCAATTCCGATAGCAGCACGGCACCTCGGAGGGAAAGAGTTTACACCGGGGCCGTTCCATCTAGGCAAATGCGTGAGTATTATTCCGATGATCTTGTCGGCGGGACTCGTTTACGATGCATACTCATCCCAGGGAAAACCTGTCGCTGCTGTGGCAGTCACCTGGATGACGTTCATGGCAATCGTTCTTTTGTTCCCCTCCGTCCCCGAGGTCGATACGCAAACAATGAATTACACCGTAATTGTTCTCGGAGGCGTACTGATGCTTTCGCTGGCTTATTACTACTTCCCGGTTCACGGGGGAGCCTACTGGTTCGCGGGGCCGGTTTCAACAGTTGTCCGAGATATGGATGACGCACGAAGGTTAGATAGCTCAGGGAGTTGCCTTGAATCGATCGAAAAATAGGCTCGCATGGAATGTGTGGCGCAGTAATTGATTTCTTCATGCACAACTAATCATTGTATATTCCTGCCAGTGCTTCATATGATGGCTGTGGTGTACCGTCGTCAATACCGGTGAGGCTGAGATGTGCGTTCTGATCAATGATTTTATCGCAATATATATTTTGATGCTTAGCAACCTGTTGTCGAATGGTGCTGTGCAATGCATTGATGACCAGAGTCAGCCCTGCCTTTACCCTGTCAGTGACCATATTGACTCATTCTAGGCACAAGCCTTTGGATTTGAAGACTGTGAGGACGCCTTCTAGAGGGTGCAGTACCGCTTCTAGTCACTGTAACTAGATTTACGTACCAGCTTCGTTGCGTCCGGTCGCGCGACCCACGGTTTGGTATGTAAGTAAGCCACATGTTTTCTTTCTTGATTGGGCTATATTCGGGTGTCTTTCCGCTCGCACCAGTACCATCATGTCAAGCAAGGAAGATATTTCGGACGCTATACCCATAAATTCCTTGCAGAAGGTCAGGAACACGCGCTAGCTCAGTTATGTAGAGTACATAATAAGCGGAGGTCGCAATGTTGTGTGTCCCCCCGGATCGGAGTCCAACCCTTCATTTTCGCTCTTTTCCTTTCGACATGGAGGCTGCACCTATAGTCGATTCCGCGCTTGCTCGTACAGCGGGCCATCTGTGAGTGTATCAGAAAAGGGCTACACGCTTGTGCACTAAATATTCGATCTTCAGGATGGCGGCTAAGATGTTCTCGCTGGCCTCCTGTGGTGGGTTCAGCCATGGCTTTCGACGCGTTCGATACGGCTGACCGATGGCTATACAGTCATGCTCTTCTACGATATCGTTCTCACCTTCGGCGACGAGGTTGAGAAGGTATGGAGGAAGAAATTTACTCCAGTTACTTTCCTTTGGTTCATGGCAAGCTTTATATCCAATATCCACGTGGTAGCTTTGATAACTGAATTATCTACCTGCAGAATCGCTATCTATCACCCCTAGGCTATATCGTTATAATTGTATGTGAGTATTGTACAATTCCTGTAACTCACCTCGTGCCAAACGATCTCATAGCATTCCACGATCCTTGGCCGAAGTCGATATGCAATCGTTACGTTCTATTCCCCGAAGCACTGAAGGTATGCACGTCCGTAGCTATTGGCAGTGAGTGCACGCAAATCCTTTGTGTTGCTTCCTCTTGAACATCTCCATTCTCCAAGTCATTTTCATCCTGAGACTGTACGCAATATACTCCGGAAGTCGCATCATAGTAGTATGTGCGGGTCTTCTGCTCGCTGCCCAACTTGGGGTTAAAACGGTAAGACATCATAGCTTTCACCGTCGCAAGTCCTTCCTTCAATGCTCATCCTGGCCACATTTTCAGTGGGCATTCACCGACGGAACGAGCCTCAGTTTACCGCCTGGTCAGCCACATTCCTGATTGTCTCGTCCTATCATCCTGACAATCCATTGACTAGGTCTCACGGGTTGCATTTTAGTTGGGAAGTCACCGCCGTAAGCATTCCTAACGCATTATGGCATACCGGGCCACGTTCTTAAGGCATCATTCAGCGGCGAAAGATTTGTTTATACTTGGATTGCAGAACTTGTTTTCGGTAAGATGTTTCGTCTTTGCTCACCTTTCTCAACCCTTCATCGCTTACAAACGATGATAGATTCAGTTATTTTCTTCGCAACGCTGGGCCGTACATTTTACTTATACCATACGACGAAGCGGAATACTTCCACCCTCATTGAACTTATTATGAGAGACGGTGAGTTCCCGTTCACCTTCTACGCTGGTCGTTTCTAATTGCGTAGGCATTATATACTTCGCCGTCATCTTCGTAGCAAACCTTGTCACCGTCCTTATCTTCCTGGTAAGTTCAACACGACGTCCTTGATTAGAGATTACCTCATCTGAATGCTCTTCTAACCCTAGTTTGCACCTGTGAGTATTTCCTGCAGCGGTCCTGCTAGTTACTGAAAGGACCTTCACCCAGCCGGATATCAAAGCTATCAACGCCAGTTTTAGTACTTTGTGAGTCGTTTCTGAATGTTTTGGCGAGGGGCTAAAAGTGTCATGGACATTGCAATCAGGATAACAAGCCTGATGGTGTCTCGACTCATGTTGAACCTGCGAGGCTTCCTCGAGCATGACCGACGCGTGTCAGTCCTCCCTCCGTCGCAGTATGGATTCGAGATGAGGGCCTCCACCAGAGCATCCTCTGGAGTCTCGAAAGATCCGGTCTGACGGTTTCGCGCTCTTTTGCTGTATATAAACAAAGCGTCTTGGACAATGTGGGTATAGACAGGGACCCGAGTAGTCGGCCAACAGACCACCCAATACGTAGATGGGGAACACTCAGCGAATTTTGTTACACAAATAGCGCATTACTGTAACCAAATTAATGATGATATCCACCAAACCCACGTTGGGATGGTTGGCGCGGCTACATGGGGCGTACAAATGAGACCGATGAAACTATCCTCTCTGCTCCGGCCGGGGTTCTGTTCAATCTTGATCAACATATATACGGGAAACAAATGTAAGACAGTACTCACGACTCCATTGTACGCTCAAAATGAGATTATCGTAGCCCATACCATGGACCTTTTCCATAGCTTTCTGCGCGACAGCTCTGTCCTCGAAACTGACGAATGCGAAGCCCTTGCCGGCGCCCGTCTCCCGATCACGACCGACATATACCCTCGCAACCCTACCAAAGTTGCCGAATAGATCGCGCAGATCGTTCTCCTGAGTATCCTCAGAAACATTGGTGACACGGAGGGTCGGGAGGTCGTCGCGATTAGAACCAGTACCGCGCATAGCTTCGCCAGCTCCCCGCCCTGCGCCACGCATTGACGGTGGTACGTATTTCCCGCCTGAAGTGGATGCACCGCCGGATGGCGCCGGTGGCGCGTTATCTGACGGCGGTAGATCATCGTCCATACCAGTATCTACATCACGATGATAGATCAACAGGCATTGCGTTTGAGATGTTGAGGTACATACCGGATGATTTGAGCACGGAGAGCGTGTCTTTGTAAGGACATTTTGCAGTAAAATGGTCGCCTGAGCACCGACGACAGACGACCTTGCCAGCACCGGCCGCCTTGAGTTGTGTCTTCATATTTTGTGATGGAGTCGGCTCGACCTCCGCATTCTGAATCACCTCCATTTATTAAATCTGTTCGCCATGAAATGACTTTTAGAGCGCACCTTGTTTCCCGCACTCAACTTCAACGAAAGCTCCTCTCCAACCGTCGTAGTGGCTCGATCAGGCCCTGGAGGGTGGCCCTTTTCCTGACCGAACTTGGCCCATTTCTTGCGCTCAGCGACATTGTGTTCGACGACTGATTTTTGTAGCGTGCGCTTTATTCGACGTGTAATCTGCAAGCTGTCAGGATATTTCCTCGCACTCCTTGTATACAACCAGACAACACACCTTGACCTTCTTCCCTTTCTCATTCGTGACATATTCCACCGTTGTCCTGATCCCATTCTCGTCTACGGAATCTTCAATGACTTTGGTGGGTGCCTCTGCTCGCGCTCGTGTTCGGTAAACAATTTTCAGATAATCAATATTAGCACCGACCTAACTCATCGATATCATCAGCCCAAGAGGTTTTTTGAGTACTGTATGGCTCCAAGGTCAGACGTGTTCCCCCCGCCTCAACAAGGAGGATATTTACGCTGTTGGTGCCATATTTGAGGGCGGTCGTATGTGTCAGATGACAAGAAATTTAGCAGATGCATTTTTGGCAGGGAAGTGACAAGTCACTTAGCAAGTCTCACGGGTGCTAGTCTCTGAGTTATCATGACGACTTAGATCCACTGCTTATCTTATCTTATATTCAGGTTATTGCAACAACTCGCTGTGCGTCTTGGTCAAGCTTCAAGCCGCTGTTCGTGGTCAACAACCATGATCATCCCCATCACCCTCAGCACGTCTCCCGGTGCGAAGCTGCCCTCCGGTTTAGCCAAAATCTCACACGACGAGGTAGTCCTCATAGAACTCCAGGGCGCTCTAGAAGTCGAAACAACGAAGCCAGGAGAACACGATGGAAAGGTCGTCGGACGTCTGACCATCGACGAGGTTACCGTGCGTTGTTTCCTTACCCACCACACGACTGGGTTGACGTCTAAAAGGGTTCTCATTAACCTCGACCGTGTCACATCTATAAATGCGATGGTTTCGCCGTCTGATGTGGGTCAGTCGAAGCCGAAGCTTATGATCGGACATCATCTACTTGAGGGGAAGATAGCTACGCTAGCCAAGCCGCTAGCCGTGCTACACCGTGCCAGTCCTCCTCACGGAACATCCGATGCAATGGACTGCGATCAAAACCTAGATCGTAGTACAGTAGATGCAGGACAAATGGGGGCAGGGTTTGAGGAGACAGGACGGACAAGCGACAATCAGTGGGAGATAATAGCTGTGGTGAAGAAGAAAATCTTGTTTTCTAATAGGCCCATGCCTATCGTCAAGCTGCGAGGCTAGGCGCACCTCGACGGTGGGAGATACCGACGCATAAAGTATATACTTCGCAGCAACGTGTTTCTACATGTACTACGCGGTAGGGCCCACGCGTGTTCATTGACAATGAGTTTTTGATTCGGGGTATTGATACAAAGACTGTGGTCAATAAATACTTTACATCGCGTACAGAGTAAAAAAAAAAAGGCAGACAAAGGCGACCATCAAACCATTGTACATACAGGAGGGACTGGCAGCTTCTTCGGATTATATGCTTACACTTGGGAATCAGTCCACATGGACTATATCTGTTTTCAGGGATCTTTATCACGTTCATTAGTTGTGGGAAGCCAAAATATGGTGATGTATACTCACCTATATCAAGGGTAAAACCACCATAGGACCGGAGAATGACAGGTGCGGGGTAGATGCGGGGTAGATGCGAGTGTGAGTTGAATTGAATTGCAGGTAACCGTTGTTGCAGCAAGGAGTAAGGACGGTGAGTAAGGGAAGGAAGTTGATGGCAAGATGCAAGAATCAAGAAGACAACGAGCACCGAGTGTAAGTTGATTACGAGAGCAAAGTTAATTGAATCCGTCGAAGTGACCTTTGAGAATACGCTCGCCCATGGGAGAAGGGGCTCGACGGGGCCTGGAAGTAGTGTCAACACTGAGAGTGGCTGAACGACGTTGTCTAGAGTCCCTAGGGAAGGGAGCATCCTTCATGGTAGGACTGACAGCTGTATTCGGCGGGGCGTTGGATCCCTGATCGTGGGTAGGCTTTTACAGCATGCTTATCAGACAGAGGCGCAATTCCATGGCGAGGAGGATCATTTACCTGAATAAATGTAGAGCTGCTGAGCGAAAGTCGCCTCAGCAGACCAGTGCCCCGTTCTTGCCTGGGGTCGGGAACCGCAGAGTTGGGCGGCTGCGTAAACCTGCCTGCAACCGTAGCACTGGCTCGGCGGGCATGAGCCGCAGCTGGAACTTCCTCTTCCGCTTCTGAATATGACATATAATTAGATTCATCAGTAAGACGTGGGTTCCCTTGATGAAGTTCGAAGGTGTGGGGCTGCATACCTTCGAAAACAGGCGGATTAACACCGAACCTCTTGGCAAAGGGAAACGTCCCTAAGCTAGAGCCCTTAGCAGTAGGAGATTGAGCGAGGAAGTAAGACAAGATGGGCGAGCTGCCAGGCGATGGAATTGAGACTCTCTGGGAGCCGCCCGAGCCAGACAGTGGGGTGGGCAACTCTGAGCTTGAACCCGACGAATTTGAAGATACAGACGCTGAGCGACGGCGGTAAGGCGAAGTGATTGGAATGGGGTCAGATCGCTTTGAATTTGAGTCTTCGTGAATTTTGTTTGAATTTTGGGATGCCATTGTGGTGAATTACGAGAGGAGTATGAGGAGTAAGAGGGAAAGAGGGAAGCGAGCGGTCGTCTGACTTGAAGGAGCCTTAAGTAGTCGTTGGTGGAGATGGTCAAGTCCGAAACAGGGTGCGCACACGTGTTATGGAAGGGACATGCCGAATATACATCTGATTTGTCAGCAGATCCTATACATGGAGATAGGGGCGCCCCTTACTTGCACCCGTCTTCCTCATGAGACCACGAGTGTACCGCGGGAGCATTTAGGTAAGCTCCCCCCTGTGATTGCTTATAATCGATCATCAACATAGTCAGTGGCGTTATGTGCTTCCCAAGCAAACGTCAGAAGGATTACTTCGCTGATAAAAGTACGGCCGCCCCCCAGAACGGTACAAAAGGAACACAAGGCACTGCTGCAGCTTCATCTCAACCTCCCCCCACTGAAGTCCCCCCTTCAATCCCACTTGAGCACATTACCGTCGACGAACAACCACCCACAATGGCACCAAAGATCGCGATTGTCACGTACTCCATGTACGGCCACATCAATACATGTACGTTCATCGTCCGACACGACATGCTCGCACCTACCTGATTACCCCCTAGTGGCCGACGCCATCCTCAAAGGCATCAAGGAAGCCGGTGGGAGTGCTGACCGCTACCAGTAAGCACCACGCTGCTCGCGTTATTCAGTATGCTAACAGTTCCCCCAGGGTGCCCGAGACGCTGCCCCAAGAAATCTTGACCAAGATGTACGCCCCAGCGAAGGCAGATATTCCCATCATCACCCCCGAGATTTTGGCTACATATGACGCCTTCATCTTTGGTATCCCAACTCGTTATGGCAATTTCCCTGCTCAATGGAAGGTGATTGCATACGCCACATGACCACCTGCGTATACTGACAAGGTTGCGTTAGGCTTTCTGGGATTCGACCGGTGCCCTGTGGGCCTCCGGAGCTTTGGCAGGCAAATACGCCAGCGTTTTCATATCAACCGCTGGCCAGGGTGGAGGACAAGAATCTACCGCTATCGCGTCCTTATCAACGCTCACTCACCATGGTCCGTTCTTTACCTGTAGAATGCAAAGCCCTGCTTACAGGTTGTCTTAGGTTTGATTTACGTCCCTTTCGGTTACGCGAAGGCCTTCAAGCAACTTTCGGATCTCTCAGAAGTGCACGGTGGTAAGTGGCTCCTCCCCCTCCTCTTCGTGTCTGTTCTCAATATATGATTAGGATCTCCCTGGGGTTCTGGCACCTTCGCCGGACCAGACGGCTCCCGTCAGCCCAGTGCCCTCGAGCTCGAGATTGCTACGCTCCAGGGCCAATACCTCTACGAGGTTGTCTCCAAAGTCAAGTTCTAAAAGGCTACAGTTTCCCACACAAGTGTCGGTCGGACCTCAGAACCATGTAGAATAGATATAGGCACATATGTCCAAACGCCATAACAAGAGATTGTATTCACACGTTGATTGTTATCGGCCAGCTTGATATCAGAAACCGTTCTCCCTGCAGTCCCCTATTTAATTAGACGCCCTGCCGATCGTTAAACTATATTGGCGCTTAGCCCATCGAAGATTCTTCATCAAGCGCGACCACCACTGGTCCGATCATCGTGAGCCAAGGGTCCCTCTTTCGAAGATGGCTTCGAACGCGAGGCCTCGGTTTGAGCCTACACCTTGCGTCCCAGAGCTTGGCCCCCCGCCTCTGAAATCAGGCGATACAATTTGGTTGCCTATTATTACATGTCCCCCTGGCTTTCCCCTCGAAGTGGTTCGCCGAGTCTCATGGCTTTTCCGATGCCCGATGATTGACTCCCTTCTTCAGTTTCAAAACTCCATATCGCAAATGGTCCACCACCCAGAATACAATTCGACGCTCATCCTGCGATCAGAAACCGTTAGTGAGGTTACAACAGACTTCCATGCTAGAATCCCATCTCTAGATGGTTATGTTGCTATTCACAGCATTAGGAGAAGACTTCTACCGAGAAGGCCTACTAGGGACGGCGAACTCGAACAGCATTGTACATTGTACACTGGATTCCCTTTGGATAACACGCATCTCCCGTCCGTGGTGGTGTTGACACCAATTATGGAGGGAGGTTCAACGGAACTTCCATATTATCATCCACGTGTGGCCCATATTGCCTTCCGGTACATTAGCTCAGAAGAAAGTGTACTGAGAATTGAGGTATTGCCGTTACCTGATACGCCAACCGACGTGAACTCGCGGCTCTATCGCACTTGCTTGGCATTGTTGGACACGGTGCACCGGTATGGCTGGGGAGCCATGGTCAACTACCAGAAAAGAGTGATCCATGATAACCTGGTGCCCAGAGATCCCTATCAAGACCTCTATCTCAAAATGCGGGAACGCCACAAGCATCTTGTCGAAACGTGGAAAGAAGTTACCGATCCACTTAAGCATGTTTTCGAGGTACGGACCCGTACTCCTGTGAACTGCTTACCTTTCTCAGTAAAGTGTAGGACATAGGGATAGCGACATACCTCATGTTGCTTTGGAAGGATTCCTATTCACATATACCTACGCGAACCCTAGAACATGACGACCGTCCTTGGCTGAGCTGGCCTCGGCCTTCGGGGGGGTTCCTTGACTTAGGGTATGTTGCACACTGCCGAGGGCTAGTACACGATGGGGTTTCTAACCGCTTAACAGATGCGGAAACGGTTTGCTCACCCACATACTGGTATCCGAAGGTTATGAAGGTCACGGAATCGACATTCGAGCTCGCACCTCATGGTCACATTACCCAGAAAGTACCGAAAGTCACTTGCACGTACACGCCATTGATCCGTTAAGGAAAGACACAACCCAGCCGTTCTTCTCCCCTGGTGCGTTTCTAATAGGGAACCATGCCGACGAACTTACCCCTTGGGTCCCCCTCCTCTCTACACTTTATGCGGCCTCTGGATACATCTCGATTCCCTGTTGCGCTTTCACATTCGACTCGCGGTTCCAGCGGTCTCAAGCGCTGCCTTATGACATTCCGCCACTCCCATCCAGCTCCATTGAGCATCTAAACCTTGGGGGCAGTGGTAATAATACGAGTTCTTATTCGCAATACAGGATCTGGCTCGCGTCTTTGAGTCTCCACTGCGGCTGGGAAATCGAATGTGACACATTGCGGATTCCTAGCACTCGTAATTGGGCACTGATAGGTGTGGACTATCTTTTCCCGCCGCGGCATTTTTCTGCTCGTCTAACTTTCGCCTCTTTCTAGGCAGGCAACGGTCGCAAAGTGGTGACGAAGCGTTAAGCAATGTTCAAACGATTCTAAACGTTGTCAGAGGGAGGGGTGCCTTCAAGACGAGGGAACCAGAAGGAAAAGGGGGAGATCATTAGTGGTATTATGATGTTTCAATCGCGTCAACTGGAAGTTCGTGCAAGTCAACAACCTTGCTTATTGAGTGGTCGGGCCGGTGGAGCGGATTCCACTCACGACCCTCGCATACTTCCCAGGCCTCACTCATTCAGTCACCAAGTCGATAATGAACAGCTACGAATGCACTCGCTTCACCGATTTACCGAATGACGTACTCCTCGAGATAGCATGGTTTCTTCGCCCTCAAGACCTATTAACCATGACCGCAGTACGCGACAATTATGTTCCAGTATTATATTGTCTCGCATGCTTATCTACGCCCACCATCTAGATTTCTCGCGCTTTGCGCAGCCTCTTTTTAGAGGATATTGTCTGGCGTCAAGCTCGCTCTGAGTGGCCCTTGGACGTCCCTGTCGGCCTGGTCCCAAACGACTTGGATGGTAGCGATCTCCGCAGATTACATATCAAGTCCATCAAACTAGAATCCATGTGGGGGAGCAGCCGTGCGCCTTCCAAGGTCGGCGGGATCACAACTCCAGCCATCGTGCATAGTATACAGTTCCTCGGCTCTCAATGGCTCTTAACACTTGGAGGTATGGAGAATCAGGTGCTTGGTGGGATGATGACACTATGGTCGCTTGAGGATCTTCAACACATTCATGTTGCCTGTTCGTTCAGCATTGTGGCTCCTCATTGTTTTGGATTCGCTGCTGCGTGGCGGAAAGGTACTAGTCAAATAGTGATTGCTGTGTATACATCTAACAAGTATGCCAACGACACAGATGTCAAAGCGCTAGCTGATGGTTTTCGCCTCTAGATCGATGCAAGTTCACTCTATGTACCGTCATCAAGGCAGCTGGGGTTCTGACCATGTCCTTACACTCCACGGTCTTCCAAATGCACTAAACAGTAGGAATCAGCTCAATCTACGCATTTGCGACTATATGGTTGTCTGGTGTACGAAGGCCAACGGCGCGGCGTACGTTTGGCTCATTAACTCGATTACAAAGCGATGCTTCTGCGCCAAACTTGGCCCTACAGTACGTACAGCTCTCTGAATCTACTTTGAAACTACACTCAAGTTACCGTCTAGTTCACAAGAGCCGACGTACCCATCGCTTTGGTGTGCCTCGAATTGGGTCGTCTCATAGTGGTGACGGGTAGCTGGATGGCGGAGCACACTGCACCCGCGCAAGTTGTCCATGTCTCGAGGCTTCCTTCAGGCGTGTTGGATGCAGATGGGCATGGACACACTCAATCTGCTCTCGGAAACGTAGAAACCGCGATACCTGAGGATCTAGCCCTTGAGTTGATAACATGCTACGAGTCCCCCCATTTCCAAATTCAACCGCCCACTGCCCCCACACAGGCTGCTCGCCTCGACGTAGCCATAAACTCGTACCACGAATTAACCGTGGTTCAGCATAGCGACGAAGCCAATTCTTTGACATTCAACCGTTTTCCTATCGACATCCATTATGGCTTACGACCCACTGGGAACCCGATATTCTTCGACACGACCGGGCACAACGAAATTAATGTTTTACTCTGTCGTTCTGGACGACGAGGTTTCTACACTGCCCTTGTGGTATCGGATCCTGACATGGATCACACACTCATACTTCGTAAATTCATTATTCCTGATCGTACAGAAGTCGTGCCTCTCGATGAACAAGAGGCAGGTCATATGTTCAGCTGTATGAGCTTTGATGATGCAACAGGGCGTTTTTGCATCGCCACTTGGGGGTTTCATCCGTTTCACAGCGGGATGGTGATTTGCGATTTTGTAGATTAGTCAAAATGTGGCCTTATAGCGGGAAAGCAGGAGATGTACGACACTATACAACCAATCCAACAGCAACAGATGCCCGGTAAAAGTAGATACAACTGTCTAGATCATACTGTGTTGTCCTGAACCAGTGGAAGCTTTGAAAAACTGTGCCTCGTAAAATAGTTTCGAGCAAGATGAGTCTTGTCCGATATTATGACTGTTGCAAACTCTAGTCAGCCTGCTGGTGAGTTGCAACGGGATACGGTACTCACACGCTGTGAAGATGTGTAGTTATATTCGGTAGGGAGTAGTAGGTAGTCTCCGAAAGAGGGCACATCACACAGACCAGGTTGTTCAAGGGCTCCAAGCTGATTGCTACCGGCTCTCTAGGAGCTCGGGGGATATTCATAAGAACCAAGTCCTCGGCGTCTCTTGGCTGAGGGATGCCGTGCCTGGGTAGATGGATCAGCCGAAAGAAAGCAACTACGGACATGAGTACGCACTCAGCGCTCAAATGTTCACACACGTTGGTCCTTGTCGTATAGTTTCGGAAGTGAACTGCGCAGTGATTGCAGCTCCAAACGTGATCGGAGTTGATCGCTTCGGGGTTCTCCCGTTTGCGTATGTCTGCGGCGACAGAGACGTTGAGAATTGATATGTTTGGACTGCTGTGGCCCAACGGACTCCAGTATGACGAGTCAGTAAAATGTTCGACCTAGACGTGAATGAATGACGGTAATGTGATGAGGAGAGTCGAAGGCCTACATACATATTCGCGCCAAGTCAAGACCTCTCTACCCTTGAATCCGTTGTACGACTTCAGAGGACATCCATTGCAGACCAACCGAATATCCAGACGATCCATCTCCGAAGCCATCAGATGCATGGGGTCTCTCTCCATGAGCTCGGCAATTGCCAATACGGCTTGGAATCCTTTAACCGCAAAGCGAATCGTCCTGAGAGGTTGGTTCAAATAATTGATCGTCGACCATATTCCATCCCATGCGATCAGACAATGAAGTCTTCTTGGCTTTCCCTTCAGGTTGGGGCATACGAACACCGCGAATGCACGGTCAATCAGGTCGGTCTTTGGCACACCTTCTTTGCCGTCCAAAACTCCGGATTTCACTATGTCGCTCTCGAGCTGTCGGCGCATCCGCTGAGCTTCAGTCCGACAAAATTCAGCGAACCGCGGATAAAGCTGCGTCTCCTTGAACTTAGGATTATCCAATGTTTGATCCGAGCGGTCATGGATCAAGACGTATAAGTCTTGCAACACCGCCTCTTCAAACGGCGTACAGTGCCATTTCCTTGCCGGAAGCGTATTGAGATATGATGTGTAGGCTCTGGATACCGATTCCTTGCGCCTTTGGATACGTAGAGTCTCGTTATCAACCTGGCGCGTTTTCTGTATGGGGGCAAGGATCGCGATGACCTGAGGGAGTAACAACTCCCATTCTGACGAAACGTGTTTAGAAGAGACAATGGTACAGATGGGAGAAAGAACAGACTTGAATCAGTAAGCTCGTAATCGGGATCTAGCCTGTACAAACGGTTCATTCCGGAGTCCACTTCGTTAGCCAAAAATCCATGGTTTATGCATCGGGTTCGCATACTGTTGCTTGTTGAGTAAGAGACTCGGGCTGAGGGTAAGGCGTACCTACTCGTTGACGAATTTAGTCCTTTTCTCGCGTTTCATGGACTCAGCCTGAATATTTAAATGACCTAGCCAACCGATGCACATATGGCTATGCTGCAAGCATATAAACGGCCGGCCACACGAGAATGGGAATTACTCACTTTCAAAAGGGCCTCCACGTAGCTCCTACGTTGCGAAATGAATGTTTCTTTAGTGTCTGATGGCTTAGGTGCATCCGGAGAGTCGTAGGTAGATAGGTCCTTCTGGACAGCATCGAAGTCATCCTTCCAGTACCTTCGAATAGTAACAAATTTGGAGCTCTCGTAGCCTATGCCGCAGTTGAAGGGGAGTAGCGTCAAATTCTGATAAACATACGTTTCACGGTCGTGTATGGAACCATGTCCCAAATGGGTTCCGCGTCGAGCTTGTCATCCATTTCGCGGAAGAAAATCATCCTTTCGATTATCAGCAGACGTTGGAACCTGCACCGCCGCAAAGACGTACTTCTCGGGATTCGCGAGACATTCGTCCTCACAGAGTCTTCGCAAAATACAGAAGTCAGGCACAGATGCGGATCGTCCGCACAGCTACACGTTTAAGGTCAATGAACCTCTCAAGCCTGTCGGTAACTGCACGTACCTGGCATACAAGCGGAGCGTACAACAGGTCAGCCCATTGCTGGTGGGAAACTAGCTCTGGTCGTGGGGGAGCTGGGCAATCCTTAGCGATAGGGTTGTTCTCGAAGAGAGACTTCCAGAGGGCATTGGCATCTGCACTTGCCAAGAAGGCTTGAATGACATGGACACTGTCCGCTAAGGTCAGAATATCTCGTGACTCCAGCCATTGGAATATCTAATCAAATCAATCAGCATCGTATGATATCTTCTGGAGCGAAGACTGGACTTGATAAAGAACGTCGGTGGGCATTTCTACAAGTAACTTGGGCCATATTTGTGGCTCCAGCAGCCCACTTTTTCCAGGATTCGAACGCATTGTAACAGAGCACCAGATGGTGGTTCACAAGAACGCCCACTCGAGAAGATGCTAAGGTTAAAGAGGGTTTCTCACGGCTTTCTCCATTGACTTATCCTCCGTCTGCCAGTACGGTAAGATAGACATCCATACGTATATCAATATCAAGCGGAATGGCTTTGAGATGCCAAAGTAAAACCATAGGGACGGAAATGCGAAGCCGTTATAGATCACTCAGAACAAAGAACTGGGACCCGACATGGACGAGCTACCATTATCCATCCCCATGAACGTCAGGGCCATCATAGATTGCTGCATCGACGGGAACATAGGCTCCTCACGAGTCTCGTTCATCGATCTGCATTCCAATAACAGATCACGCAACACCTTCGTCTTGGGAAGGTCGTCGTTTCGAGGGAGAGGTGGAATCGGGATTTCCCATCCCTCTTCGTCGTCTTCCTCCTCCTCATACCCGTACTCGTACTTGTACCTCGCGAGTTCCTCGTCTTCTTCGTCAAGCTCGCCGTCATATTCGACCTCAATCTCGTGCTCGTAAACCTCCTCGTCTTCATATTCGTCGGAATCGTATTCGTGATCCCCATCTTCGTTATCTTGAGGTAGCGTGCCAAGAAGTGCACCTGTACAATCTTCTAATCGCACACCTATGTTGGAGAAACGATTGTACCATCGATCCCATCTCTCTAGCCCGCCAGATGCTTCGGATGGGCCGTCAGCCTTGTTCAGGTCCTCCAGAAGCGTCCGATTCAGACAGCGTACGACCTGGAGATTGGGGAAATTGCTTCTGTTCAGCGCCTCAACATTGCTGTCATTCGTGCGCGAAATGAACCGGGCGGGAAGGGGTTGCCGCGTTGCATTCTCGCCGACGACTCCGACCCCGAATGCGTGTTGAAGTCCGTGCAGCCCAATGAAGCGAATGCCTTCATGCGGTCGATTAACAAGGAGGGATTGGTCCGTGCCCATAGCGATAGAGCCCTGTTGCTCCAGACGCCAATCAGCATTGAAGGAGAATGCAATGAGCGAAGGACATAAATCAAGGATCTTCCGAACGGCAAGGGGCGGGATACTGTTGAGGTTGAGAAACATGAGATCGCCACCGTGTATGGTCAGAAATGTGGCTACATCGGGCTGGTCGTGACTATTGACGCCGCAATCGATGGAGAGCGAGCGAAGAGCCGGCAACGACCAGCCAGTCGCTTGCTCAAGGAATTCCCCGACATGACCTTCAACAAAAAGTTGTTGAAGGTATCGTAGCGTCAAATGCACATCGAATGCTGAACCAAGGTGCTCGATGGCGTCCTCCGTGACGGGGGGCTTGAACGAGATATTCGCAGACAATAGATATGGGAGCGAGTCAAGGGCCCATATGACTTTCGGTAGCGTCTCGCAGGGTACCTTCCAATGTATCGTGCGCAAGTTTCTGTGGCTGTACGTGGCAAGGGAGTCCGCAATTCGCATGAATGTCAAGGTTGTCGTCAATGGCCAGTCGACCACAAATATCTCCAGGTTAGGGCAAGACTTCACGATGGATGCCAACGCGTAATCAATCGTCTCTTGAGATAGCGAATTTGGGCTGTAGTATTGACGGATATGTATCCGTTTCGTCCACCAGCCTGGCGAGACCGTGTTCGTGTGCTGTGATTCGAAGGACGCGAAGCGCTGAGCAAGGGTGACTAACATGGCCGGCCTATCGAAGAATAGGCACCTATATAAGAATTCTGTTCCTATATGGTTCCAGAATTTGCACGTAGAGATAATAGCCTACCCATGATAGTTTTTGAGTGAGTTCTTTGGAGCATTTGTCGTCCACGTACCTTTTTGGTTATATAGCTCTGTCTTTGTAGCTGATCCAATGCCATTTGAGGTGCACGCAGCGACCATTCACTATGAAAGATCTTGAGCCACGCATGCTCGGCGGTGAAATCCGGTAGGCCGTATTGGTAGATTACATCTTCGTCGGCAGCGAGATCAAATATATAGTTCCATAGTTCTGCAGGGAGTTTATTGTCTGCCATTCACAGTGATGGTGGTAATCTTGTGGTTGAATGTTGAACACGGTGGAAGTTCAAGTCGACGGAACGGGATCAACAGGACCTTGACATCACGTGACCGTCTCCTATTCCACAGTTTGGTATCATTCCCAGCCGCGATAAATAACTCTGAGCAGCGACCATAGACCTGGTACAATGGCTGGTAAGGTATATAAGGTTAGAGTACGATGGCATTTGAGCTCCATCTACTCGCCTACTTACACGTCTGACACTCGTGGGTAGCCAGCAGGATGCCTCAACCCCGAAGCATGATCAACACCCAGTATATGTACCTCGTGCCAATTTGCCATTGAATTAGTTGAAGTTGTCGAAGTTGACGTTAAGCTTTCGAAATGTCAAGTGTGACTGGCTGTACTTGCAAGCGGTGCCAGCTGAGGATGTTGAATAGACCGTCCCAATCCATATCTGAGAGGGGAATAGAAGCCCCAACTCCGGCGAACACTCATGAAATCCATCCATATGGTAAACGAGTCGGGAAGCAGGTATGTAAGGACTAGCAATAGTCTGGGGTTTCACTATCTTCGTAGGGGACTGAGACCATTTACCGGTACATGAAGTCCGCATCGCACGTCTCTGTCCAGGTGGCGTTGCATTTAAGGTTGCAAGATATCTTTGAGCCAGGATCTGACTCACCGTATATCATTTTGTACAACTCAGCGCGGTGTCGCCTTTGCTTCTGATAAGCCCTCATCATGGAAGAGAAATCAGAGAAATCAGAAGGTGTCGAGTACTGTGCTTCTCTGTGCGGAGACTCGACAAGGTTTGATTGTTCTGTTCGTATCATCCGAAGTTCAATATACAGTGTCGAGAACAAGTCGGGACGCTTGAAATTACGGACCACGTGGTATTCCTCTGATGCAAAGCTTAGTCGGGAAGAACTGAGCTACGTAGTACACGTCCAGTCAACACAGAAGGTGTATGACGAATACAATAGACACGCTTATGAGATAGATGTGCATGTCATACGCATGAGGGTCAAAGTCGACGGCATTCACGAATTAGTTCTTCGGCTCTTTCAGAGCGCGGTTTGATCGAACACTTGAATGGGAGCACATGACTGCAGAGAGAGAGGTTAGTGGGGTTCAACAGGTAGGTAGCTACAATGGGACAACAAACCGGTTGAGATTGGTTGTATATTCGGGATTGATGTCGATTTCTTGGCCATTCTCGTCAACGGCCTTGCCAATCGTAAAGACAGAGAGAATCGACGCCATATTTAACCAAAGATTATCCATCGCAAAATATCGACCTGGACAAATCCTGTAATGCGTATAAGTGTTGTCTGGAACAAAGATATCAGGTGACTGCACCTCCTCCCAAAGCCGAAAGCAGTCATGAAATAGTCTTTCAGGCGGGGGTCAATCTGTCCGTCTATCAAAAATCGCGAAGGTTTGAATTCTTCCGGTTCAGAGAACACCGTTTCATCGCGGAGAATCGCCCTAGGATACGTAAGCCGCAACATCCACAAAAGTGGCGGGGATGAATACCAAAGATTGCAGAAGACAACGGATCCGCTTGGGAGATGATATCCTTTGTAATCACCATCGGAGACGAGGCTACGTGGTAGGCCTAAATACCTTCAGTATACTCAGGGCTGGATAAGTCCGTAGCTTACCAAGGGGAGTGATGGGCTCCAACCTTCATTGCCAATGAGCCAGGATTATTGCAGCGTAAAAGGAAGAGGAACATACCTTAGCACCTCCAGCATCACCGCAGACGTATATGGTAGATAGTACTCATCTTCAAACTCTGGGAGGCGATGGTCAAGATATTGATCAAGTTCTCGCTGGGCTCGCTCTTGTATATCTGGGTTGAGTGCCATAAGAGCAATGAATAGCGTCATTGAGAATTTGGAAGTCTCGTTAGCACCTAAAATGCATGAGACAGTCTGCACAATAGAGTATGCAAAGAGGACCTACCAAGATATGCTGTTGCTGCTGTGTTCTTGATGATACCCTCCTCCGGCCCTCCGTCTGGTATCGAACCACGATTCAAGGCCCGACAGATTAAGCTTGATTCTCCGCGTCCTTTTGCCTATATATGTTGCTAGGTGAGCCAAGGTTTGGTGCGGAACAACGCGCAATGATACTTACAAGCAACCTGCGCGTTTGCGAATATGGAACATCGACCAACAGGTTCAGGTCCCGCGTTGCGTTTTCTCCGATGATCTGGAATCCTGCACCTGGTATCCATCGAGGAATGTGTTTGAGGAAGGGAAAAATGTCGACCATGTAGGTACCTATAAATCCTAAGTCGAGGTGCTTGAGGGCATCCTCAACCAAGGTGATGTTTGGGTCATCCTTCTCCTGAACATCCACACCGTATACGACCATGAGGATGGAGGACGCAATCATGCTACAAATTGGATGCTTAGCAAGTACAACCAAGTGGGCCCAATTACTCGTATCACTCACTGGCGGATGTGTGTCTGAAAATCGAGGGGTGATTCGTAGAGATGCCGAATGAGGTCCCGAGAGCAACGGAGTTGAATGGGGCGATGGTGCAATCTACCATGCTCGGGATGGAACTCTTGCCAGAAAACCTTCCGATGATCTCGCCACTGCTGACCGTACGGTTGAACGCTGAACATGGACTTCCAACCCATGCTACGTATATGTCATCGGTGCATAGTAACAGTGCCAAAGCTGATGTTGACCCACACTTCATTGATCATCGTGCCTTCAGGCCTACAAGTGAGCGAAGTCTTGATTAATATTTATAGGCAACTCGGGCGGGGTATATTCAGTCTCACCTACTTGACGAAATGGAGGATTGTCGATCTAGGACATCACTGGCTGCCGCGAAGGAGTTCAAGACGATCACTGAGTTGCCGAATACACTAAAGTGAAGTATATCCGAGTCTGATAAGAATTTGAGTATCCGGGTGGAATGCCAAAGACACAGATCACGACGTACTACATTCCTTTGCGATCCTATCATATGCAACCCAATGACTTTCGTCCGGTACAACCAATAAATCCCCGATGATTGGGTACTTCCTAGGTCCAGGAGGAAGAGGTAGAGTTCGTCGGGGTTTCTTCCTGACATAGACTAGGACGATGATGGAGAAGACCGCAAGGATTATACTTGAAAACATTAGATGATCATGGTCTCAGCATGAGCATATTTAAAGGAAAGGAAGGGGCTTAGGTACTCCACCCCTGGAGGCAAAATGAGCGGCCATCGTCATATTAGGATCACATCGTACAGATAGCACGATGGGCACCCACTTACGCCCCATGGAGACACCTCCGCAGGTGGTAGGGCCGTATAGTCGTCCTATTAGGTCATAGTCCAACAAGCAACAGACATAGTCAGCGCGAATGTAGAAAGAGGGCACTCACCAATGATTCAACCCCACGTAGTATCAGCTGCACTAGAATCCCGGCGATCCAGGTACCACTTGTATATAGCCAGTGGGAGTTAGCAAGTGACGAATTGAATTGATATAAGACGCCACGAGGAAAGCTAAAGGAAGTTTTACCTAATGTAAACTCAGATAAGACGTTATCTAGTAAATATTTTTGCGGCGATTAGCAGGCGCATAGAAATGAGAGACGCACTGGTCAGTTATGCCGAAGACTTGTAATCTGAACGTTGATCCGAATCCAAGATATGACCAAGATATGATCAAGTCATTGTGATTGGCCAAAAATGGCGTGAAATCGAGGACGGCCGTGGCCCATGATGTGCAGTTAGCCCAACATGTGAAGACAGATGAGCGGTTCGCAGCATCTAGATAATAGAGGTCCACTTCTCTGTTAAGGACACATCTTTTCGTGGTTGGAAACACCGAGGAAGTTAATCCCATATGCATGCCTGTCGCCCCGCGTAAATATTGTCCCATACCGCATGTAATCGTGTGTATATCTCAGGGTCCTTTGCAAGTCCGCTACGAGTTCGTTGAGCTCGCTGCTCGGGACACTCAGCCCAGGCTTATTTCAGAGGAACCACCTATCCATCATCCGCTCAACTAATGGCTACCGAAGCGGTGAGGATGTCCTGGAAATCAAGGAACCACCATGTAGCGAGTGCTGCAGCCGCGCGTCCCCTTGGCTGCGGTCAGCCCAGCCGCAATCAGTACAACTGCTCCAAGCGCACGGCCAGCTGGAATACAAGATGGGTGATGGTGGAGAACAGAAGGATCTTGGACTACTAGGGCCCGGGGTTCGAACTTGGGAGTGGCTTCATATCGCGTAATGGAACACACTGCCGAATGTGAAGAGTTACGTTACCTTCATGGCGTACTACGGATCCGCTGCTGTATAATGCCAATCAATTGCCAGTCCAGTATGATATGTCTCATGACTCTTTACGATGAAAGTATCAACTGCATTACATATTTAGTAGCGCCAAATACCCGTGTTCAAGGCTGCCATTATATCTGGAACGGACAGTCTTTTGAGGGTGTACAGCGCAGCACAATCATTGAATATTTCCATGTACGGCCGGGATAAATTTACATGGTGATTTCACGAACTAGATGTGAGTATAAAGTCAAGGTACGACTAGGAAACTATACTACTCCCATGCTAGATTCCTCCAACTCCAGCTCGCGACTTTCTTGGGTTAATCCGCAGGGAGTGCAGAACCAAGATACCAGGAAATCTTCGAAGCTGCTTCCTCTGATGGAGTACCTTCTGCGGAGATAGCCACGGAGCGGAATCTGCAAGTATCCACATTTATTGCTGGAACCAAAAGGCAGGAAGGGAGAGTGTACCTGAAGGACACAACCGACACCGAAGCAGAAGGTGATACCACCATACATCAAGCAGTCATCATTGATCCCAGAGCCGCCTCGTCGGGGATCCGCTATGCCTCTGCTGAGATGCTCGTATCGTCGTTTATTTTGAGCGTAAACGACGCATGGGACGAACGTCGCGATAAGGCCTGTCAAAGTGACGTCGATATTCAGCGTTCAGATTTAGACCCCGAACTGTACTCCCGAAATTATTCTTCCGTCGAACCGGGAAGTAAATCTCGGTGGAGGGGGGTCGGATGAGGGGAAACAAGGCACGCTACTCACAAGTACCGACGTCAGAACCCCAGTCGCATAATCCGTGGCTCCATTCACGACCATCTGAGTCCATGGGGAGATTCTTCACGTTCCTGTTTCCGCCGCCCGGAACAATCATCATGGCGGGCATAGGTTGCGGCTTGAGTTGGCATTATTTACGCATGATATTCACTCTGGTGATCGCTGTACCTGATAGTAGACCTGGCCGGGGGGCATCCCGATCGTATATACTTGCTGAGGTATACCGGGTTGTTGCATATTGAAGGGCTGGAGTGGAGGTTGGACAAATTGTTGTTGGATAGGTGGAGGGGGGGCAGAGGGGTTTTGATATGGCGGGAGTCCAGGTTGATTAAAAGGTGCTGCAGGTGGTTGGCCGACGTTAGCACCGGACTGTGGGTCATTCTGTGGGTTCTGAGTAGGAGCAGGAGGTTCTAGGACCACAGGCGGGGCAGCTTTGGTGTATAAATCGGCCATTTGTCGCTCAGGCTGCTGGTAATCAGCGGGCGGGGTTGCCTGGGGGTATCAATGAACCATATATTCTCCGGCTAATGTCCTTTTATGCCCAAGACCTGCCCGTGGGTAGTACCTTGTATTTCAAGTGATTGACAAGTGACGTTGATACATTGAACTCTAAATTAACGCATTGCAACCGTTCACCGAACTGGAGTTACGTGCATGGGAATTGTGTTACGTACGGCATGTTTTGTGCTAGCATTTGGACATCGAAGCCCGGCAGTGAGGAAAAAACATTACATGATTGATCGTGACGGTGGGGCGTGCGCACCATGTGTTACAGCGACTGTTAGTTCTCCGCCGATTGACTCAGTAGGACTTGATCTGAGAGCCATAAGCTCAAGCACTGTATTGGCATATACAAGGAATCCATCAAGACAACTTATCTAGACCGCAGAGCGAAAGACACTTATATTCCCATGCTGGCTTCTTCCAACTCCAGTTCCCTGGCCTCCTGAGTAAGTCCACAAGGTGTGCAGCACCAGGAGACCATGCAATCTCCACAGCCGCCACCTTTAATGTGGTACCTACTGCGAAGATGGCCGCGAAGTGGAATCTACAGCACAGATGAGCCTTTCGCGACAAAAAAGACACAAAATGGAAAGCGTACCTGGAGGACACAACCTATACCAAAGCAACATGTGATACAGCCGTGCATCAAGCAGTCACCGTTGAACCCAGAACCACCCCGCTCGGGATCCGGCTGGCCTCTGTTAAGATGTTCGTACCTTCGTTTATTTTGAGCGTAAACGATGCAGGGGAAGAACGTCGCGATGAGACCTATTGGAGGGAGTAAGTATTTGGTGCTTACATCAAAGCCCCCCGCACTTGTAACTCGGGGATGCTCCCATCAAAGCGGGAAGTGAATCGTGATGATGGCCCAAGAGCTATCGAATGAGAGGAAGTCAAAAGGACACTACTTACATGTACCGACGTCAGAGCAACAGTCACATAACCCGTGGCTCCATTCGCGACCATCTGAGTCCATGGGTAGGTTCTTCGCATTCCTGTTGCCACCGCCACCTGGAACGACCACCATGGCCGGCATGGCTTGCGGCTTGAAAAATGCAAACGAAGCATCGTCATTATCGGCAACTGGTTGGTTGTAATCGTCGACATTACCTGGTAGAACACTTGAGCGGGGGGCTTCTCACCCACGTGAACGTAAACTTGCTGAGGTGGACTAGGTTGCTGCATAAATAGTTGCTGTGGTTGTTGGGCGTGATGAGGCTGCTGCTGCATGAGAAGAGAGTTGTATTGCCCCGGGGAGTTTTGGTGTTGCGACAAGCCGATGCGGCTGGCGGCAGAGCTTGTAGGGGAGACGGTGCACTATGTTGCGTCGCCTGATAAACGGCAGAGGGCTGCTGGTCAACACCTGGGGTTGTCCGGGTGGATAGAGTATTAATTACCTTCGAGTACCAGTCCAACGCCCTTTTATACTTCAGACATAGCCATGAAGTTATTTGATCAGCGACTGTGAATGACGGACGGCGCTGATATCTATTAAGTTCAAGTGCTCAATCTCAAACCAGGCCCATGTCCGACTCAATGGGCCTTCTGATAACCTGGGTTACACATCGTTTGACTGATGGTGAGATCATGTACTTTGCGATTATAAGGGGGATTCCTAAATTTACGCGCTATGAGCGGGGCACAAACAGGGAGCAAACCCAAACTTCGTGGCGCCCAGAATCTAAATCCTTTGTAGTCAGAGGAACGAATGAATACCCGTCGCGACTGCAAGGTGCACTATAAGGTTCAACTGTTGACGATTCGTGTCAAAAAATGTGCTCCAAACACTGTGAAATGACTTACGTTTAACTTGTCCTATCCTTCTGTCTACAACATATGAGGGAGCCTGTGAGTCAAAGTACGCTCGCGTCGCGTCCTGAAAATCGAAAGGCCACAGTTTCAGACTCACTGGTAGAATTTACTCTTCTTACTCTCGATTCGTCGTTCACTACTGGACAGGGGGTTCCAGTCCTTCGGGTGCCACTCTCAACGTCAACAACACAAGCACACCTCGCATTCCTAGAAAGGCAGAGAATGTTACGCAACTGTCAACGATGGGGATGAAACGTCGAACCTTAACCCACGAACCCCATGCGGTGCCAATCACTGGGCTCGGTTGGAGTTTGGCGTTTATTTACGTAGGGTAGGGATATTGGGCAGATGCGCTCGTCCGTTGTCCTTTTCCGGGAGCGCGTGTCTGGCTGTTCGAGTTCGGTTCGAGTCCACGCCTTCAGCTTCAGACCTCGCGGTCAGCCTGCTTATCGTGTTCCTAGCATCGTCGAAGCCCCCAGCGTTGGAGTACAATCGCAGCATTCGCGCCCTTGGTGAGTGAAACGCTACTCGTGTTACTACTTACGCCGGAACGAGTGAATAACGGCCATACCTAAAGATGCGCCGTCGTGCCTGCCCCTGCCGCTACATCCTAACGGTGGCGTGTGAATCAGGGATTCCCCCTAAGTAAAATGCTCCTCCCCTTGTATCTCCCCTGATGCCCCTGATTCTGGAGTTATCGAAACTCGAGCCAGCCGTTGTCGATGGCGACCTTGAGTCCAACGGGGCAAGCGAGGGAGCTATATGAGGGAGGTATATGTAGTACTAGAAACGCAAGACGCCTTAGAATACTACAAACTCTATTCAGCTTAACTTCGACCTTTCTCTTTCGGGGGCTACACATTGCGGAAAGAAAAATTGTACGTATTTTGAAAAGACGTGGCATACATGTTCGCAGGAGGACGCGTACAACAGCGACTAGAGTACAATTGAGATATCGTCCAGCATTCGATGGGGAAGACGGAAGGTAAGTTATTGAGCCAAGGTTGGCTTATACTCTGATGGAAGCTTCTTCCAACTCCAACTCCCTGCTTTCTTGAGTGAGTCCGCAGGGAGTGCAGAAGCAGGATGTTAAGCAATCTCCACAACCGCCGCCTTTGATAGAGTACCTGTTGCGAATATTGCCACGGCTTCCGATCTGCGGCAGGCAGGCATGTGCATTAGAGGGGTCGTTCAGGGAGAAAATATCTTAACGACATACCTGGAGAACCCAGCCGACACCGAAGCAGGCTGTGATGCAGCCGTGCACGAAGCAGTCGCCATTGCAGCCCGAACCACCTCGTTCTGGGTCTGGGATACCTTTGAGGGCAAGATGCTCGTAACGTTGCTTGTTTTGTGCGTAGACGATGCAAGGGCAACACCATGCGAGGATACCTAGTGTTGGAAAAAAGTTAGCGCTCGGATGTCAGATCTTCAGAGCTCATCAAGAGGATCGTCGCAGCCCGGGATCGCTTCCGTTGATGTAGGAAGTATATCGTGTGGGAAAAAAGGACAGGAAGATCAATAAAGATAGCGTTACTCACAAGTTCCAGCATCGGAGCAGCAGTCACATAAACCATTACTCCATTCACGACCATCCGCATCCATGGGCAGGTTCTTTGCATTCCTGTTTCCGCCACCGCCTGGAGCGACCATCATTCCTGGCGTGGCTTGCGGCTGAGAAGACGAAGGTCATCATTGACAACTCACAACTGCGTCCATTCCGAGTGTCAACATACCTGGTATGCCTGGGCGGGGGGCTTCTCGCCCATGTATTGCTGAGGTTGACCGGGTTGCTGCATAGCGGGTTGTTGTACTTGCTGAGCGTATTGGGGTTGCTGTTGGATAGGAGCCGGAGGTGAGGTGTATTGTCCAGAGGGGTTTTGGTATTGCGAAAACCCGGGTTGACCAAAAGACGCAGTAGGAGACTGTCCAACGAATGCACCTGGCGGGGGAGGTTGGAAAGGAGACGGTGCACCGTACTGAGGCACCTGGTGAAAAGCGGGAGGCTGCTGATGATCAACAGGTGGGGTTGCCTGGGTGTACAAGTTGGCCATTTCTCTCCCGTTCGTCGTTCTTTTATGCCTGTCCGTGAGGTGTTTGGCAGCTCAAGTGATTGACGGGCAGCGCTCGAAGCTTTATTGAAGGTTCCTATATGTGTTTAAGACTCAATGGGCGTTCTGATAGGGTGACCCACGTTTTCCCTGATAAAGTGTATCCCTGCTAGAATTGAATTGGAGCTGGGAGGCGATGTGGTAGTCCCTGATTTTCCTGAATCCGCGTGTCGTGAACGGCGACGGAATGAAGGTCAGATGCAAGCAAGAGCACAAAGCTGAACTCGAAGAGAGGAGTACTCGCACTCCAAAGGGGTCTATGCCTACGACGGAATGGAGCCGTGTTCCGGCCACCTGTCACTGCAACGGAAGATTAATCGACATTGACACAGACAGCCGACAGACAACAACGCTTAAGCTGCTGCACGTGCACGCCACAAGAGCGTCCTACTGTGATGGGCCTGGAGGCTTGTCGACTCCGAGCATCAAGGATATCGAGGTATTGTAATTGACTAGGCGCCCGAACTTCCATCACAGCCTTCACCGTGGCGGCGTACGGCTCATTGCAGTGTTCAGCAAGATCTTATCGCCCGTGGAACGCGAGCTGGGGTGCGCCAAGGTGCGGCTGCAAGTATAAGTGAAGAATCTGTAGTAACATGCTACGAAACCTCACGCTTAGCACGCCACATGCCATTCGCTATGAAGGAACTCCCCGTAGAGATCTTGGACTTCATTCTTAAGTATCTCTTTCAGGATACAAAAGCCCTGAAATCCTGCTCGCTGGTGTGCAGCGAGTGGTCTCAGCTCGTTCAGCGGCGCCTTTTCAATAGCCTCGTTGTCGATGAAAACGAAGACCTCGATATTGATAGGTGCCGACGTCTGCTGGAATTAGTCAACGAATCCCAACATCTGGCACGCCACTTCCACCACGTTCAACTCTCTGTCTCCTTCGACTCCCCGGGTTGGCTCGAACTCGGGCGCGATATACTCCCCGAACTTTTGTCTCGACTTCCGGAAGTCAGATCGCTTAAGCTCCGTAACGACAACGTTCAGTCAGCCTTTTCGCAACTACCAGATAGCTTTCGCCTTTCACTACGCCATACGCTATCATCTCCGTCCTTTGAGAAGTTGGATCTTTGGGGATGGGTCTTCTTTTCCAGCGCAAAGAACTTAGTAGAACTCCTCCAGTGCTGCCGGGATTCCCTGACATCTCTGGGCTTGTCCTTGATTAGCTACGATGACACGAGCGAAGGCGACAATTCCGAACCCCTACACGTTAAACTACACAAGCTAAAGGAAATACGCTTCCTTGGGGCGGGTGCATTCCCGTATCACCGAATATTCGAAACGCCCAACGTCGATACAGTCTCCTGGCCACTACATCGGTCGAACGAAGGGCCCTGCCGTTCGACTCTCGTGCTTCAGGGCTTTCCTGATCTTGTCCCGCATTGGAAGTTCCACATTCATGATGGTGGGTGCTGTCTGGTTTTGCAAATATATCATTATCATTGCTGATATTCGAGACGTGATTAGGATGCGAAGACGTGGATATTCGCATGTGCGATGCATTGCAAGCGTCTAGCTTCGCGTGCCTTCACTGCCTCTATCTCTCTATAGAGTGCCATACCTCGTCCAATTTTGCCGTTCTTGCCATCGCATACCTTCGCCAGCTCCTCCCCGTCGCGCAGCTAGAGTCCATCACCATCGAATGCCTCGTAAACTGTGACGGCCCGTATGGGCCGGATATCTGGGATCACCAGCACTGGGGATTATTTTGCGATAGCTTGATATCTCTATTCGAAGCCTGCGCAGCGGAATATATTACCCTCATTTTCCAGGTCGAGCGTTGCGAAGAGGCAGGGGATTCGATAGGGCCGCACGATCCTAGCGATCTAGAGAACCCGAGTCCATGCCAGCCCGGGGACACCGACCCCCAGCCGGTTGAGGCACCTGTTGGACCGGTGGAAGAATCTGACGACGATTGGGATGAAGACTCTCTTCATTTTATCTATAATGAAAATGTCGAAACGGACACGCAGTCGGTGAAGAAACAAGTTGCGGAAACTCGGCGGATGATGAGGTCCCGATTCGACGCGGCTGGACTAGGGGAAGCTGTCCAGATGTATACGCGGTTTCTTCTGCACGAGGTTGAACGGTGAAGGTTATACGGCGCTATATCAGTAGGAATAATGATGTTATTACCCATGTTTTTACTTGCATGTAAACCGACTTGGGAGTTATATACTGTACCACTACAGAATAGTAAGACAAGCGGGAGGTGAGCTATCCTTATCCCTGAGGTCCCCTCTTCGCGTGCGAAGTTTGACACGCAACTCTCGTCAGGGCTCATTGCAGGCTCATATCAACAGTACTCCAGCTCCTTGGGTTTTGACAGGAATCAAACTTCAAGGCCACGCAGATGGATTTATCACGAAGTCCAAAATAGAATATATCCGACTTCAGAGCCGGTTACGAGAGATACTCAGCGCGAGCAGCATGGTCTACCACCGAGTTTACGCCGCACATGGGGATTCTTCACTCCAAACAATGTCGACGTACCCCCCGTAAATATTCCGACTTGGGCACAGTACGCGGTATGATTGCGCAAGTCTCAGCTACTATCACTCAAAATATTCACTGATGAGTGGAGTTGTGTTAACAGAATCCGTTACCTGGTCTGGAACAAAGGTTAAACACCATCAGTGCGCTGTAGAGTCAAGCATCAGAAGAAATAATAGCAATTGATCCTGCAGCGGGGGTTGACACCCGTCAACTGACCAGTTGCCCACAAGGATAAGACCTTTAGGCAGGTCTGCCATCGCAAATGCTCGGGTCTATTCAACCAACGAGCATTTCCGTGGTGGAATCGGACATTTGGCAATCAAAACCCTCTGTCTCGTGGTCGAATGAAAAGCCGTAATTTCTTGTGCCCTTCCTCATAAAAGAGAGCAACCGCCTCGTTCTTTGCAGTCCCACCCTTGCAAGGCACAGCTAGTCTAGGGGAAGTCACCATGCTAATCAGTGCTTACGTTCTTCTCGCCGCCTCCCTTCTTGGTGCTACCAGAGCCGCTGATTATGTGAGTCAGACTATTTCATCCCTGACAGCGTACTGACAACTTTTTAGCCTTTCGACCTTACTACGCTATCTGCGCCCGATGGTTCTATCACTGCGAAGTTCGTCTCGTTCGGTGCGACGATGACCGAGCTATGGGTGAAAGACAGAAAGGGCAAACCAAGGGATGTGATCCTGGGGTATGACGACAATGTACGTCTTCTTATTGTCCTATTGCATACGCAGAAGGTGAGACGCGTACCCAGTCCCAATTGCTGACGGACCCGGCGCATCCTGTTTTCAACCCAATCGTTGGGCGGTGAGTGCTTTGTACGGGCTCTTGCTGGGTATCATCGCTGACGTTGGTGTTCTCAGTTATGCCAACCGCATCAGAAATGGTAAATGTCACGAATGTGCGATCTTTATCACCTTTGCTCACTCACACTAGGGACCTTCACCATTCCGATAACCAAGAGCCCTTCGCCCGATGATCCGAATGCTTTCCATATTCCGACCAACGACCACGATGGCAAGGACTTTCTCCGCTATCCTTTGTTGGGAACCTTTTTTGAAGTGCTTTTTATCAGGTCAAGTGACTTTACATGGTGGTATCTATGGCTGGGACCGTCGCAACTGGACCATTGTGTCGAGGACACGCACAAGCGTCACCTACAAACATGTTGATAACGCCGACGAAGGGTTTCCTGGTGTTGTAACGGCATTTGTAGATCAACCCCCTTCCACATCGTCCTTACATTTTCGTCTAAAACCTCCTTTGTCAGGCGAAGCACGAAGTTTCCAACGGCGGCGTACTGAAGACAACAGTTTCGGCCACTGCAACGCAGAAGACGCCCATAATGCTTACCCAACATATTTACTGGTACGCTTCTATGCGCGCAGTACGTAAACCCGCTGACACAACGTGCAGGAATTTGGATGCGTTCCAAGATGGGAGCAATAACATTCTTAACCACCATCTCAAGGTCGATGCATCGCGTGTCATTGCCCTGGACAGCTTCGCCCTGCCGACTGGCGACTTCATTAATGTCACGAACTCGCCATTTGATTTCAGGCGCGAACAGCAGATTGGAGCAAGATGGGACAATACTGTGGATTTATGTGGTTCAGGTGCACCTCATTTTCTTCGCAATGCGTGCTTGCTGACGGTCTCCTGAACTGCTAGGATGCCAGGGCTACGACCACGCATGGGTATACGACAACGACGCTAGCCGGAACGTCGGAACATCTCTCTGGAGCGATTTGTCCGGAATCAAGTCAGTCTCTGCAGTCGACTCTAACTCACTAGAGACTGATCATCCCACGTAGGGTGGACATTTCGACAAACCAGCCGGCAACCCAAGTTTACACATCGTTTTGGCTCGATACGCCACGCAAGGCCACACACGGCGGCCCCTCGTTGAGTTATGGCAGATGGTCGGCAGTAGCCATTGAGCAGGAAGGGTATCTCGACGCTATCAACACACCTGAATGGGGAGTTGATCAAATATGTACGTCAGGTCGCGTACCCGCGAGGGTGTAACTGAGCAATGGTCTTCTAGATGATCCGAGCCGCCCATTTTTCTGGAGTTCCACGTACAAATTCTCCACTCGTCCGTAGTTGACATTGTACATCGTACATGGCTGACTGGATATGGACTCGGGCGTCCAGAGTTCCTTGTATGCCTTGTTCAGAGATCTGAATCGAAAGGTCCCGACACCCATTACCGGTGCATATTTCGTTATCTACACGTGCCTCCTAACCTTTGCAGATGTACTTGCTAGATGACGGTTCAACTGGCTAGACTGCTCAGGTGTAGAGCGTCTGCCAGACTGTGACCCTGAGATCGCCACATACTTTCCTTCCCATTTGAATTCCCCCACCATAGGCCGCCTAAGTCTTCAAGTAGGACAGGCTTCACCTCACAGAGTATTTCAGCGCCCTCTTCGCTTGACTACGTGCCGTTCCACTCTCACAACATATCATTTAAGTTAATGGAATCAAAAGGCCATCACTCCCGCAAACGAGCTACTCAGACAACACTTGGCCATACAAGCTGCCACAAAGTCGAGAACAGCAATATTACAGTTGCCCGTTGAATCCACGACTCTCCCAGTCCACTCATCGACTATCAGTAGATCTACACCTTGGTTTTGGTCCTCCCAACAGTGGGCTTTGATGGAGTGCTCTTGTCCTTTGAGGAGATCTAACGTAAATGAAGGACTTTTCTGTGGGGAAGGAGCTGCAGAAAGAACCGGAACAGAGGGTCAGTGATAAGAGTAACTTGTGCGTAGAAGAAACGCACATTGGCGGATTTCAGCTGAACCGTGGATTTACGATGCGACGTCTTCCAGTCGTAAACTTCGAGCGTTGAACAAGTGGGCGACCTTGGATTCGAATAGGGATGTATCATAGACCAATCCCGGCGGTACGTGGAAGGACGTGGTGCAAGCGGCTGTGGGAGTTAACCTGCCTTGATTCTCGACGACGACGATCCGCTAGATGAAAACCTTGCCTCAGAATCCAAATAGATATGCACTGCGCCTTGATCGAGAGCGTCGGATGAGAGGAGCCAACGACCTTCGACAAGGGTGATTCGACGCAGTTAGTGATGTTCTCTCTGACCAAACGCCGGCGAGGGGGTCGTGTTTTCGTAGGCAAAGACCCGACAATGTCAGCGCGGATCCACGTTACGACAATATTCTCCAGTTCCTTAGAGGAGGGGCTTTGAGACTGGACCTCACGGCGCGCGCAAAAAGCACATCCTTGCATGCAAGGTGAGGACGGGAAGTTCAAGGGATAAAGAGGCTAGCGGTGAAACACGGCGACATAGAATACATGTTACTTCGAAGTGACAAACAATTTCAGTCAGGTAAGATATATACAATGGAAAGACGGCAAACCTGCAATTTCAAGTACATATTTGAGAATTCGTAGATGCATGCGCAGTGCGCACGAGACGTAGAGACGCAGAGTGCGCTCTTGTTTCCCATATATGAAACAGTTGCCTGAGAGAACAGGGCAGCATTGAATCTGTTTACCGGCTTCCTCATCGGAAAATGGCCATCCTAGCCCCTATTCAGCATCCACCTGCTCGTGGGAACTACCTCGGAACGGGCGCAAGGACTAAAGCTGAATTTCTCCATTCTTATCAGCGACCATGCAAGCTGCTTCGTTTCGCCTTCCTTGGAGACAATTTGCCGGAGCGCGTGGGGTACGCACATTCCATGCATCCATACCCAGTTAGTTAAACCCCTGCAGAGTCCGCTCCCTACTTGACTTGTTATATAGCACAGAAAAAGAAGGCCAAGGTCGAAATCGACGACCTCTTTGCTGATCCCGAAAGCCAGGTGGCACCCTCTGCTGGCTCGAACGCTACTCCCCAAACGCATGGCCGTCTAAAAAAACGAGGCTTGACGAGCGCGGCGCGTGTTGAACGTTTCAACCAACTTGTGGGCTTCGTTTCTCCCAGACTTGGACAGAAGCCCGAAGTCAAGACACCTAGAGTTCGGAAGAGTGCGTGGACTCATTTGGTTGGCCTTGCATCGACGCAGGAGCAACTCGAGAAGGTCGTCGAACTGTTGCCGAAATGGAAGGATATGGATTGCGAGTTTGGGGATAAGTTTGGGGACCTTCTAGCGCGTACGTGGTTTGAATTCGTGTATATGAATAGACCTTGAATGTTGCTTTTAGGGCGCTGCGACGAGCTTTCTTGCCCCCTACTCGCCCTCAAAGTGTTTGGCGACTACTCCAGGTATGGGGTGAAGATGAAACTCGTCGCCGGGCGGCGGCTCATCCATTCTCTGCATATGAAATATCCGATCGAAGACACTATAGCCGCGGCGTCGCTATACAGTGTCTACTCTCTGCCACCTATTGCCCAAGATCTTCCATCTTGTTCAATGCTGGTCCACGCGTGTTACAAGCATAACTCCAAACATTCCCTACAAGTTGCTGAGGCGCTTGTTCCTCGTCTGCGAACTCTGCTGGAGTCTCGGCCTCCCCTCAAGGTCAAGAAGGAATCCCCGAGACTCGCTCAAGACCCGTCACCTAAATGGCTTTTGTCGTCATTGAAACAGCTCGACCAGGTGTTGTACGAGAGGAATGGGCGCAAGGCAGAAGAGTGGCTGAGAACTTGGAGATCCCAGAGTGGATATGCCAAACCTATCGATACGACAACTGCTACTACTAGCTCTCCATGATATCTTCATATGATCAAGTCTAGAATCTGTTTTGCTGATCTCGCATCCACAACAATATATCGCGGGCTAAGCCCGGCAATTTCATCGGCCAGTTGGATTCCGGGGCACGGTCGCATCCGAATCTTCTGATAAATGTGGCCCTTCGCGATGCGCCCAAGAAGTCTCAACATAGAATTGATTTAATTGACGTCCCGCTAGAGGCCACCAGTGAGTATTTGCGGCCATATCCTCTCCCATTTCCTGATTGCTTAACCCCAGAGTGAAATTTGGTGTGATGATCATCGTTTCATGCATTCTCCATCTGCACTTGGCGGTGATATTCTTGACTTTTGGGCGCATTTGTACTTGATGTTCGTTCACTGCTTGCTATACTTGTGTTACATGGGCGGACTTGCCGGCGCCGACCCACCTTGGTTCCACGCTCAGTGCTAAACATAGTGTCAAGTGATCGCTCTTTATTTTCCGATTAGCAGGTCCTTGCCAACCCATGGCGCTGCTGTTCTCATGGACAGTTTGATGGAGCACGACATATCTGAAAATTCTACCAAAATTCGCGCCGATAGGAAGGACCTCTTGTTTTCCCCGGGCTAGTGAGTATGAGAGTACCTTTTAGTGCCAATGCTTACTGTCCTCCCGCCTTCAAAACATTTTCGTCTCATGGATGTCACGCGTCGTAATTGAGTGGAGCGAAGTTTCTCCAGGCCCAGGAATCCCCTTGATCGACCGCTTATTCCCGTCCATTCGTCGGTGCGAATCATTTCTCTCTCAGCGAGCTAGCTAGTCTGCCATAGTCCTTATTATCTTCAGGATAGCAAACACAGCACGCACGGAAACCGTGACCTCCGAGCTATGCAAACTCTTATAGCTGCCGGTTTACTCCCCGGTTTGACCAGATGACCTCCTGAAGGCCGATTACAAAAAGCCTGAACAGCCCAAAACGCTGCATCGTGGCCGAACTGCTATGGTGTTTTGCCTTATTAGGAATATCCTTGCCCCATTTTGAGCCATTCAGAGCACACCCACGCCATCGCCACCATGGCACCTAAATCATCGGTTTTCCCCTTACGATGACAACAACGCATGTGGTCGGTTTTTCATGAGCGGCAAATCGCCTATCGCCTAGACTTTTGTGGGCTCCAAGAAGCCATGGTAGTATTTAAAGACGTGGTTATTTGTTTAGTTGGGGTTCGCTTGGTACCCCTCTCCCTCCGTTCCTCGCGACACGCACCGGGCTCGCCCAACTCCTTCCTGTGGTCATGGTGCCTTCTAGCCTCGATGTATACTTCGCCGCAGTGCGGGACATCCAGACGACGCGATATGCGCAATGTAAGTCACTTCTGTTTACGCGACCACCTTATGGCAATAACGACTTTCGCCCAGTGGCCTCGAGCTCGATCATCATATTTGATCATTGTATGTAAAGAGATATTGTGAAGATCATCCAGCTCACGGTTTTTGCTGAGGTAGTGGCGACATTCAGCGATGAGGTGCGCGATCCCCGGCCTTTCGGGGTACATGTATTCACGGTCACATAGGTCGAGCTAATCTGGGTAGCTATCAAGCGTTGATCCAATGGGGAACACGGCCTGAAATTTGTTTGGATAGAGTTCTTCTTGGTCCATTGGAAAAGTCTTATTCATCATCGTACGTCCCCTCTCACTCCAAGACGAATCGCACCCTTGACCTTTCTTGCATTGCGTTTAGAACCGGTATTATGGTCTGGCTTCCGTAATGTGAGCACCGTCGGCACTGGCTTAGAGTCCATATCTAAATACCCTATCCCGATCAGAATGAACAACTATGGTGCGTCGAGGCGTTCAAAAAGTGGGGTGTTTGATTGATCGGTGCACACTTCAGGCTTGTTTAGTCCCCATCTGACGGACACAGTGAGTTAGTCGCGTTTCCCCAGAAATTAGCATTTCTGACATGTGAAACGTAGTTGTACGCCCGCCTTCATTTTGCTTCCGCTTCAAGCTGAACACGATCCTGACTCGGCTATTCTTATTCTAGCTGTAAGTACTACCGGAACCGATTGTTCTGTATCCCGTTGACGGCTTCTATTAGGCGAACATTTCTTCCAGTGGCAAGGCTGGACAGGGCTAGTAGCTTGCATGATTGCGGAAGGTACGCCGTTCCACATGGTCGGCATCCCTACTCCTTCGCTCACCACATGCCATGCTCGCCCCTTGATTAGTTATCCTCCAAATGCGACTTTATGCACTCTACTTCCTCAACAAGAAAGTCCTTGCGGTCATGATCCTTGGTTTCATTATATCGTCGACATTGTCAGCTGTCGTGATGGGAACCATACTGTCCGGAATTACCGCCCATGCACACGCTGTCCCCGGAGTCCGCTTTTGCATACCGAACCAAATTGGAGATCACTTCTTTCTATTTTGGATCCCAGTTCTATGTTTTGAAAGCTTGCTTGTCGCCCTCGCTCTATTCCGCGGTTTCCAAGGCGCTCTCTCCGATGGATCACTGTTTAGAAGCGGTCGGGCGTTGGTGAATGTACTGATAAGAGACTCAGTGCTGTATTTCCTGGTGTAAGCGATCCGACTGTTCTCTGTTGCTTTTCGACTAACTGGGCCTGGAATGTCAGAATGTTCGCGACCTATTTAACGAACATGTTAGTCTGGATCGGAGCCCCTGTACGTCCCTTTGCCTCCTCTTTACCCTGATCATGCTGACAATTTCTTTAGCAAAGTCTTCTTGAGGTACCTATCGGATTCAGTGTTGCGATGTCCTGCGTCCTGGGTAACCGCATTATCCTCAATGTTCGCCGTACCACCCGTGACGCCGAGCTGGCGAAAGCCGCACGGGACGAAGCGCTAGCCTCCCACCTTACCTCCTCCCAAGTGCACATCTTCAGCCCCAGCCATTCCTCCAAGTCGCACTCGATACGCGTCCCCTCCCGCCCAAAACATCACCGCAAACACGAGCTGTCCACTGCCGATACCAGCTTCTTCTCCCCTCCCCTCCCAGACGAGCCGGAGTACCTTTCGATGCATGTGAATGTGGATGTCGAAGTATTCCATCCAGATACCCAAGTGCGCACGGTACTCAGTGATGTCGAACTGACGGAACTGCGGTCTATGCGGACGGAGCTCCAGTCATGGTCAGATCGCGGCCGCGGGCATCCACCTAGTCATCAGATAGGGTGGGCAATATGACCAATTTGTGCGCGTATGTGTTTCTAAGTCAGTCATTTCTGAAAGTAACTGTATAGATTTGTCTCTTACATATCACTTTTGTTGTCTAATTGTCGCCGTGAGACTTTGGACATTTTCATCGGGGCTTCCATTCACTCGTTCATCATCTTGTATTCTTAGCACACTTTCGCAATATTACCTATCGGAAGGAATGTCAATTGGGCCCGTGACCGACATTTATGACCGTACTCAGCGAGTGCTAGTCACCTCCGCAAGGACTCGGATGTAAGACAAAGCCGTAATTCTCTAATTCCGTAGAGTAGAGGAGCTTTGGGGTGAAGGTTGGGACGGTATAGGAGTCGGTAAATACGCGTGAAATGGGTTCCCTATACGGCGAGCGCTTTGGATGCACCGTGAAGTGCTTTGCATGTTCAATTCATCATAGAGTAGATATTTCGTTGCTGCTTTCAGACTGGACCTTGCGGCGCGCACACAAAGCCCATTCAGGGGGCTAAAGAGGCTCATCATCTGTGATCGCCGTGGCTGACGAACAGGAAGATTGGAGCCGACTGCACCCCTCGGTGAGCTTGGTTTTAATTCGCCAAGGTTTGAACATAACCGACTGACGTACTTTAGGTCTTCCACGTAGTCTTGTGTCTGACGGCGAATACAAGGGATTTCACCTCCTCAGCGGATTCCAACATTTGGTGCATCTCACTTGGCGCGGGAACTGATGTGCCCAGCAATCCTTCGCGATGAAACAATGTTTCCTGAACCAGAGAAATTTAATCCCTCGCGATTTACGAAGCATGGAGAGATCGACACTCAACTCAAGGACCGCGTTATGGCTACGTTTGGTTTCGGGAGAAGGTACTTTCGTGCTTAATTTCAAGGATATTATTGACACCGCTGCTGAGTTTGCCCAGGTCGGTACTTCGCCTTGAATAACTTACGGTTGAACTTCGATATCAGATGGTGAAATAAGCCGTTGAGATTGTGCGAAATCCGAGTGAACAAGAGGATAGATTGCATTTGGCTGGGGCTCCAGCAAACGCATGAAGAAAAGATACATGGCGCAGGAAACTATCTATGCATACTATTCATGAGAACGTGGAGGAAAGGCTACACTCAGACAAGAGTTAGAGCGTTAGAGACTTGACTTTCGCGCCACATAAGTCCGTGTCCGCATCCTCTTCTTCATTTTCATCCTCGTCTTCGTCTTCGTCTTCTGAATCACTACCGTCCATCTCGTATATGAACGGCTCAGACTTGTCACAGCTTGAACACGAGTTCTGATACATTGGCGTATCCTGGATACTCTGACTCTGAAACTCCTCGTTTGCCCAGCGCTTGCCACGAACGAAGGTATGGGGTATGTCACCGGAACGAAGAGCCAGCCATTTCGGTTGCTCATTTGGCGGGCCCGGAATTCGAGCTACCTGCTTGAATTCCGCAAGGCGCGCCTGGAAGTCGGCATCGAGGTAAAGGGTGGTCCCATAATTGCGGGGCAGGAGCCAAGCGAGCATACATCTACGGTCTCCAACCCACACAGTATCAATCTTCATCGGCATATTCCAATCGCGAATAAGCTTGAGGCCATACTGCTCCATCAGTGCCATCCCATCTACGTGAAGGCAATAATTTTTCTTCGGCCTCGGAAGGTTCGATCGTTCGGCGTCGAAGAAAAGCTCGGATTCGTTCATTATGAAGCCCGGGCAGTATTGGACACCATACCCGTACAATCCGATTGCCATTCTGTATATGAACGTGGTCTGTGGTTTCTGAGCGGGCAGCGAACGATGTACTTACGTTCTCAGTGAAACTGAACGAAAAAGCTGGTCGTAGTAAATGGTCGCACTCGTCGATGGGCTCGAGCTAAAGTAGGATATTTCAAACTCCGCAGTCCATTGTTCCGTATTGCCACCGGCGCATGTTGGGCTATTGTCCTCAAATGACTCGAAACATGTGGGTAGAATATAAAACAGCGTACGCCATAGGAATGGAATCCAAGCTCGAGTTCAAGACTTGCTCTATCCCTCATGTCAGTGATCCTTCGCGACAGGTTCAAGGCCGATCCGGAGGCTTTCTGGATGACCGTCTCTAGCCTCCACGCTATGGCAAAAGACCCAGAGTGTAACCATCGTTTATCTGAGTATGCCTGGTACTCTATTTGGACGGCTATTCTGGTAGATCTAGCAGCGGGTATGCACGCGCGGGCACCGCAGCTTCACATCTTCTTTCCCGCTCCCCAGTTCTGTCTTTGGGCTCCGCGTACCCCGCGACCTGTTGTACCTCAACCTGCATTGGAGCATGATGAGGCATCAGCAAGTCAATCTCCTCCGCCGCCCGCTGTGCAAATAGACGGAATGGTCCCAGCCAATCCACCCTTCTCTCCATCTCCAGATGAAACGGCTTTGGAATCGATCTCTGCCAATGGGGACGAACACCATGACAACCCATCTTCGACGAGCACTCGCTCCACCGATGAGGCAGAGCCTCGGGAATTCCGTTTACCGGATATATCTTTGCTCGGAATGATTTCCACCTTCCGTCGGGGAAGAGCACGCATTGCTTTGCACGAACGTAACATCACGAAGTTCAGGATACCCATTATCCTGGAGATCAAGCCTGAGGTGGGGCCTGAGGTGGGGTTAGAGTTTGGGCTAGACCTCCGTAGGGCCCAGTCTGAAGTGGCTGACCAAGCCAAATACCTGTTTGCGGCATATGAGCAGAATGTGGTCATTGGTATAGCTGCTGTAGGTCTGGCCTTTCGCTATGCAATCTTCCGTTGCAAACGTGGCTCTCCATCTACCGCCTCCGAGCTACGAGATCCAGACTATATCGATAATCTGGACAATTCAGAAGAATGGTCCCCAAGGGAGACTTTTGGGAAGCGACATTTCTCTAGTATCTTTAAGGCGATCGTTCAGATTGCCTTCGAGGAGGTGCTGGATCTACCTTTTGTTGAGTAAGTGTTTTTCGTATATTCAACTCTCTGTATATGTTCTTGGATGCTGACATTCAGTATTCAGAAATCTCCCTGAACCCCGCGCGGGAGACTCAGACTCGGAAGATGCTCCTCTGTGCGTCACTTTGAGCCTGCTTATCTCACTTATCCTATTTCTGACTGCGGATTGTGCACTCTTAAGTGCATCGCGCACTCGCAGTAAGGCTCAGCATAAGGGTAGAAAGGGGAAAACCAGCATCATGAATGATAAAGTGCACGAGGCGGGGCCTTCTAAGACTCGAAAGTAATCTGCACCCTTTTCATTGTTTTGACTTGTACAATAGTATACCGTCCATGACAACGAATCTACCAACAGTTTTTCCCCCTAAGATCTCATGGTTTGAAGCACGAAGAAAGGGTGCAAGAGACACTGGGAGAACGTGAGAAGAGGCTACATCGAAGCGAGAGACTTGTCTACTTTCCTACCCTGATCATCTTCATCATCGGATGATTGTTCGTCAACTTTCAAGTCACAAGGGGCGATATATCTGCAGCTCAGAGATTCATGGCCCGGGGTAGGATACCGCTGGACTAAGAATATGTCCCTTCTCCCCAGGGCAAACGTCCTGGGGGCAATAGCGGGCGTGGAAGTTCTGGCATTGACGGAACTGAAGCGCTATCAAACGCTCAACCAAAAAAAAAAAAAAGAATATGTCCCTTGTGCGCCATTATAAGCCTACTGATATTTCTGATAGGCGGCGCTTCGCATCAAGTCCGTGTCCGCATCCTCTTCTTCATCTTCATCCCCGTCTTCGTCTTCTGAATCACTACCGTCCATCTCGTATATGAACGGCTCAGACTTGTCACAGCTTGAACACGAGTTCTGATACATTGGCGTATCCTGGATACTCTGACTTTGAAACTCCTCGTTTGCCCAGCGCTTGCCACGAACGAAGGTATGGGGTATGTCACCGGAACGAAGAGCCAGCCATTTCGGTTGCTCATTTGGCGGGCCCGGAATTCGACCTACCTTCTTGAATTCCGCAAGGCGCGCCTGGAAGTCGACATCGAGGTAAAGTGTGGTCCCGTAATTGCGGGGCAGGAGCCAAGCGAACATACATCTACGGTCTCCAACCCACACAGTATCAATCTTCATCGGCATATTCCAATCGCGAATAAGCTTGAGGCCATACTGCTTCATCAGCGTCATCCCATCTTCGTGAAGGCAATAATTTTTCTTCGGCCTCGGAAGGTTCGATCGTTCGGCGTCGAAGAAAAGCTTGGATTCATTCATTATGAAGCCCGGGCAGTATTGGACACCATACCCGTACAATCCGATTGCCATTCTGTATATGAACGTGGTCTGTAGTTTCCGAGCGGGCAGCGAACGATGTACTTACGTTCTCAGTGAAACTGGAAAAAGCTGGTCGTAGTAAATGGTCGCACTCGTCGATGGGCTACGAACAACCTAACTCAAGCTAAAGTACATATTTTAAACTCCGCAGTCCTGAGAACATGATAGGGCAGCATTTCTGTTCGAGACAGTTGGGACGCCTTCCATCACGTGATATCAAGGCACTTCGATTGAACTTCCAAGTTCGAACACTGTTCTTTACCATCACCACCACCCCGGCCCTCGACATCATGGAGGTAGAAGACGAGTGGAAATCAGGAGACATCTGCGCTCCCCCATTTTGCACAATCTTTCTCATAGCTGACTATGCTTTAGGTCCCTTGATTTCTTAGGACATCCTAATCGCCTCGGCTAGCCATTACTTGAATGGGTGGATGGTTCTATAACCTGAACTGAGTGTCTCAAGCAGCGAGCTTGACGACGTCGTAGCGTACTTTCAAAGGGGCCTATACACACGATGACCAGTGGCACCTCATGTGGGACGTGAAAATAATTTATGCAGGATGATAGGTATATATATGCGCTGCGTATCAAGATCAACTTCCTCGGTATGGCACCGCTGTTTTGGATGCCACCATCGAGATAATATATCTCACGGATGGAATGGCTCTCATGAAGATGGAAGAACCGGTAAGTTCTCCCTCTGAACCCCCAACATTCTCATTGACGTCGCTCTTCCAAGCAATTGAGAGTGCTGCCAGCGTCTTCAAGTTCTGCCGGCACGCATAGTGCTTCGCAAGCTAGCAACCGATACCACCATTCGGGTTCGATGGAAACACTCATTTCAACCTCGTATTCATTCGGACGTACACGGACATTCATAGTATGGACGGACTTCCAACCATGCCTAAATCACAATCGCATTCGCGAGTTGATCAGGTGCAAGAACATTGTACGCCGTGTTCTGATCATCTAATTTCTCGCTGTTCTTCAAGAAAACGCCCGCAAGAATGTCCAGATCGGCCGATAACTCTTTGCCTGCGGCCGCAATGATTGGGTCTTCGTTGTTTGAAGCCGTGCCAGCGTAGGTGACGATATTACCATCTTGTTCGACTTCCTTGGATAGCAGATATGGAACCTGTGCCATGAGGAGCCAGTCTTGTTTAGCCCCAAGAGGTAGGGCGGCCATCAAGTCGCTTTCTGTGTAACTTTCGAGTTGGGACAACAAAGTGGGGAGTGGGGAGAACAATGCCGATGGCTTGTTGGGTACGAACGTCTGGTAGTATTGCTGGAGATAGTTGACGGCAGTGTGCTGAGGCGCTGCGATGTGAATGCACATGGTGACCATGTCAATCAAGTCGTCGAGCGTGGAGATCGACTCTGGGAATTTCTTCATCCCAGCCCCCTTCTCAGATCGCATTTCATCGCACCAATCCTGAATTTGCGCGTCGGCAGCCACAGCGCTATTGTCCGGGTAATACTTCCCATCCCTGAGTACAGACGACACGAACTTCCTCAATGCCATCCACATGTCCTTGATATCCCTCGCATACGCGTAATTGTGGAATTTATCGTCATCAAGTCGGTCGAGTGGAAATCCGCGGGATTCGAGGTCTGTTGGGACATACAAGGCTTTCCAATCGAAGTTGGTGAACGCTTGTCCAACGAACTGCAAGATACGAGGCTCGCTGAACCCGGCGACTGGGACAACGACTTCGGGAACGAGGACACTGCGGGCTTGTGCGTTGAGGGACAAGGTGACGACCCAGTGGGGTTCCAGAAGCCGAAAAACGATGTGCGAATCGGGGAGCGTGCGTTGCACAGCTACGATCACCGCCTCTTCTACAAGATGTGTGTTGTTGAGATGGATGATCATCTCATGGAGTACCCAATCCGCAGAAAGGACACATGTTTTGGCATAGCGCCATGGCCAGTCGTTAGCCTGGTCTACGGATGCGTCGGATGGATCGACACGTTTGTTGAAAAGAGTGATAGAGGCGGTCATGCTGCCTTTGTAGTCGGGGATGATGGCCAATGGATGCAATTCTCCAGTTGGGGGGAGGTAGAACAGCGCGACCGCCGCGCAAGCATACCGCTTGACGCCGCCGTCCGAGCTGGCACATAGTTCTTCGTCGGGTTTTGCCCCCATCCTAGCCCTGAAGTCGCTGAAATCCTGAACGTAGAACGAGTTGGGAGGAGCAGATCTGAACAGGGAAATCACGTCACGTTTCCCTTGAGACGCTGCCTCCTCCGTGAACGCCTTCATCCACGTATCGCTGGCGAGGGTGATTGTCGTAGGATTTGTGCCGGTGAAGAATTGCTGGGCGAAGACGGCGTCGGTGTACCAATCATCCCTCAACCCAATGTTCGGTTCGTTATACATATTTTTTATCCCTCCCTGGTTCTTATGTCTCTCCGCGTTCCATTTGGTCAGCTTCTCCATTGTGTTCTGCTCGGGGCCCGGTGCGAGGCGATCGTTGGACTGAATTCCACTCAGAATCGACAGCGTTTGAGCAAGGCGCACTGGGCTGAAAATGACGTAGGAGGGGACGGCTACCGCTTCAGGGATGATAGCGAGATGCGGAGGGAATCCGCCCGAGCGGCTCCAAGTATATTTTTCCCTCTTCTCTTCGAGTGTAAACTTCTGGGGAACGGACGACTCGTAATCCAGGATGTCGAAGAGGAATGCAATCCTAGAGCGCGTAAATCAGTAAACATTCAACGGCGGGGACGTCACGTCGACCTACATTTGCCTGGCACGGTCGTAGCCTTCAACAGCTTGCTTCATGGCAGTACTGTAATCAGTCGGCTCGGGGTGTTGAACCATATACGGCAGATGCACATTCTTCAAAGCACTTCGGGAAAGAGACATGGTGGGAGCCATTGTGTTCGAGTTAACGTTGACGAGGTAAAGTTGAGGAGAACTTTGTTGTATCGAGGCTGACTGGGAGTCGCTTTATAGGGCGGTACGGCGTGACCACCGTCTCGACGAGCTGCGTGGATGCCTGTTTCTAGAAGAGTATACGTGGTGTGTGTATCCCCGGTAATCGCTAATGAAGTCGATTTCCCTCTAAGTTTCCAGCCGTTAATGCAACGTTCGTGCTTCTAACTTCTTGGAATCCATTATAGGTACGCAGACAACGGGTCAAGGAGGTGCCAGTGCACAGGTAGCATCCTTTTCAGCATTATTGAACCTTGGTGTTGACTGTGGTAGATAGTTGGAAATACTCACTACCGTGGACTGAATCATTGACGAGTGCCGCCAGGATTCGCTGTAAATGAAAGGATATTTCTAAATCTAGCTCGTGGATTGGATTTGACCAATACACGCAGAAGGTGACGCTACGTACTACACAACGTTCCTCTAGAATGGAAGATCGACATTGGGGAACGAGAGTATTGAGCTTCAGCTTGATTGAGAGGGACCTTGCGACAGGCGATAGTACAATGCCGGGTAGACGACCCATATGGGAGAGATCATGAGGGGTGAATTCGAACGAGCTTGAGGTTGACTCTTTGATCACGAAGCATCAACGAAATCTTGTTCACCTCCATATATGAGCTCCGTGGGTCAGGCGTGCGGCACATGGGACATATTTTTGACGACGGTGACTTGATAACAGACGTTCAATCGTAACATTGGGAAGACAATCGAGACGAACGTACGTGTCGTTCATCGAGGCTGTAAGACGTCGTGTTCGCGACGCACGATGATACCGGCGTCGGGATCCGAATAAGAGAAGCTTTCGAAGCAACAGCTTAGGCTGGAAGTTAAAAACCCAAATTGATTATACGCGAAGCCATCTAAATACAGACAATCGTAATACTCATAACAATGAACAACGCATCACGAACAATAGTAGCAGACCGGTACCTCTCTATCCATCATTTTCGATGAATAGTAAATTGAAGTACAAGGGATGAGGAGGAAAAAGGAGACGCGCCGAACTAGGGTTTGAACTCGAAGTTGATAGATAAGTAGAATGGAAGCGATGGTGTTCGTGACGGAGGTGATGGCGGGGATTGGGGGAGGAGATCGCAGTGGCGAAGAAAGGGCATGCGGCAGAAGGGATATCATGCGAGTGGTAAATGTCTGATGTTGTAGAAGATGGGACGATGAAAGAGGAAAGAAAAGGCAATTACTGCTTCTCTGGTTCGCTTCCATTAGAGCTAGCCTCATGCTTAGCATGGTGGTCGGGTTCCCGAGCACCACCAGTAGCTCCCACCTCCGCTTTTGGCGAGTGCCCAATCTCGCTTTCCAATCCCACATAGTCGTACGCAAACTCGCCCATCTCCGCGTCGTCGATCCCCAGTATCTCGGTCTCCTCGTCGACGCGAATGCGGAGATATGGAATGAAATGCATAATCCAGAGGATGATGGTGGTCATGCCGAAGGCGTACGCGAAACCGGCGACGGAGTCGGCGAGCTGGTAGCCGAGTTGAATATAGTGGTGGTCAATCCAACCACCTGGAATTTCGAGGCCGTCGAAGGCGGCAACGCTGGATTGGGCGAACAGGGCGGTAAGAAGATTGCCAACGATACCACCAACACCATGAGCGGCGAAGATCTAGGACCGAAGGTGAGCCACGAGACATGAAAGACGGTATTCAGAGACATACATCAAGGGCGTCATCGTAACCACAGATGTACTTGAGCTGGGTGGCGAAGTTACACAAGGTTCCACCCATGACACCAAAGAGAACCGCAGCAGCTAAAGGTATCGTGGTTAGTTACGCCCTGAATAATCAGTGTTGCATGAGTACTTACGAGCACCAACGAAACCTGATGCAGGCGTAATGGCAACGAGCCCAGAGATAGCTCCGGAGCAGAAACCAACCGCAGACCATTTCTTCTCAAGGCGGTAATCCTGAGATAATCAATTAATCAGCTATCAGCGCTTCAAAGATGAAACGAATAACCTACCCAGAACATCCAGGTCAATCCACCGACGCTAGCAGCCAAGTTGGTGACGATGCAGGCTTGGATAGCCTTCAAGGACGCAGCGAGAGCTGAACCGCCGTTGAAGCCGAACCAACCGAACCAGAGGAAAATTGTGCCAAGCACCACGTAGGTGGTGTTATGTGGCTTGTAAGCAAGACGCTCAGTGCCGTAACCGCGGCGCTTGCCAAGATAGATGGAGAGGGCGAGGGCGGCGGTACCCGAAGAGATGTGGACGGGAGTTCCTCCAGCGAAGTCGAGACCACCCAAAACGAGGGACCAACCATTGACGTTCCATGTCCAGCAAGCAATGGGATCATAGACAATGGTTGTCCATACGAAGACGAAGACAAGGAGAGGGCCGAGACGACCGCGTTCGGCGATGGCACCAACGGCAATCATGGGCCTATGCGCACGGATTTAACGAGGTAGGACGAAAGGGAGGGCAAGGAGGACGTACGTGATGCAAGCGAACATGCACTGGTAGATGCAGAACACAAGGGCAGGGAGCTTGTTAGAGCCCATGGAGGGCTGATCAAGGACGCCCTTGAGGCCAAAGTATTCTATCAAGGAAGTAAATGAGCCAGGAACGAACTAGGGCCTCGAAAAGGTAATTGTACATACTGAGATTGCCGATGTACGAACTTCCCGTCTCACTGAAGGCAAGCGAATAACCCCAGAAGAACCACTGGAAAATGGTCAAAAGGTGATGCGAGTAATGGAGGACGAGAACTGCTTACTTGGAAGGACACGACACCTATACACATCATACATAGCCAAATCATGGACAACGCGTTCTTCCTTCTAAGGAGGCCCGAGTAGAAGAACCCAAGGCCCGGGATCATGAGCCAGACAAGCGCCATGCATGTGAGGACCCATGCTATGTCGCCCGAGTTGTATACGGTGGTCTCGAACGTTTCAGGATCGGTATAAACATAGTTGCGTGCTGAGAGGAAGATGTAAAGTTAGCTTGAGGTGGGTGGGAGAGAGAAGCGCAATCGTCTGATGATCAACGCAATCCACTCACAGGCATCCTCTGTGACGTTAGGCATCTTGTGCGTCGGTCGAGCTCAAAGCCTGGGATAAAGCCGGGCGGCGGGCGTCGAGTTCGCTCGTTGTTGAGGAGGGAAATTCGTGGGGAAAGAAGACAGACCGAATTTGATGGCGCGCTATTCGTGGCTTCATATAGCCAGCCATTTTCCTTTCAAAATCTGGCCAAACCCGCTTATCGCGCTGGACGTAGTGCGATCAGGGGCGTTCACCGAGAGGATTGGTCAGCAACTCCCACGGCCTTATCGTCCAATCACTCTCCTCCATTTACCTTATCTCCTCCTGGTTCCACGGCTTAGGAACGATCGTCCACTCTACCAAGACTTTGTCAAATCTCCAACGGCCCTCCTAGTTTCCAATCATTGATCTAGAACACTGCGAGTGGCACAGCATGCACCCAGTACCGCGACCAAACCGCGACGACAAGGTATTGCAAAGCCATCCAGTCATTTGACGCTCTCGGGCTACGAGTGGGGGTAGGTTGGCTTCAAGAGAGCACCCGTCATCCGTCAACCCCCTTGATGCCTGATAACCCTGACCAAGTTGCTCGCTGGTTGTTGTTCGTCTGCTGAATTCCATCGTCGCATCCTGACAACCCCCAATGGTCCATGCTGGTCCAGTACAGGTCGATGTCCGACGTCCGACCGATTTAGGGTCTTAGGAGCTTTGTGGCCTGGAGTATCTTTCATTTCGATCCCTCAAGTTTTTTCGGGAAAGAGTGAAAGCTTTAACCCGGCCCCTCGATCATTAACACCGACTTCGTGTTAACGGATATACACATGCCATCTTCTCGACAGAGGGGCGTATTGCAAAGGTATCGGCAACTCGACAGTGATGAACGATATTGTTTCGTTCAATAACATCCTGATTTGATTTCGACCGTGAACGAGAAACTCGGAGGCGTCGAGGCTGGCCCTGGGCTGTAGATATAAGCTTGCATGGTTATCGATCCACTTTTTCGTGTACACGACTGTCGAACTAAAGCGAGCCCAAGCCCAATCCCTCCGTCAGGTGAATAGAAACGTTGAGATAACCGAATACAAGAACTCTCACCAAGAACCCCGATAGTGATCTGCATCTTCCAAAGATGCTCAGGCTCGGCGAGATATCCCTAGTTGGTGACGTCCCGAAACGCGGAACACTCAAAGGGCCCGAGGGTGCGGGGGTTCGCCCCCTGCAAATTCGGGCTTGTATCACCTCTCCAAGTCCATCATGAAGCATCTGTCGTGTGCACGTATTTGTCCGCAGAGGACTCTAATCTATCGGACTCTTCGGGGACGGTCAGAGTCACTCTGCTGCGCCGCGCGTAGATACCCGAGTACTTACATCAGACAGACGTGTATAGCATATGTACTTCGGCATCTGCCACAATTCCATTGTCCTAAGATGGGGCGTGAGGTCTGCTTGAAGTTAGAGAATGTAAAGAGAGCGAGGAACTAAGATGCGACCTACCACTTCCCTTTAGCTGGGTTCAGATGGCGTCGACCCTCCGGATAGCAGAGGTCCTAACTGATTCAACTGATCAGTGGTTCCATTTCATTGATCGAAAGCTTACTTATATGCCCCCGCCCAACGCCAGAAGGGGAAGAGCGCATCTAGTTCGCCATTGAATTAAGTCATCACTGAACCAGCATGAATACTGATTCACGCTGCTTCTAGCGGCACTCTGCCCGCATATATGCGTCTGTGTAGGCGTCGATGTCGACAATCAAACGATGCACACCGGTGGAAACAAGGTGACCAGTCAACAAGCCCTGCAGCGTCCAAAATGACACTCATCCTGCATCGTCCTTAGACAGCCTGGGACACTCCTCCTGCACCTTCCTGCACCAAAGTGTTTAGGCCTCAGGAACAAGGGGGCGCCCATTATGCGGCATCTCGATTGTAGATAAGAACCTCGCGGTCGTTCCTACGGCAGCATATCTATGTCAGTGCTGTAATCGGATATTCGGGGATAGATTGTGTACCTGCCCACGTCAAATACTGGTTATATAACGGAAGACAAGCAAATACATGGTCCCCTGGTCAAGCCGCCGTTCAGCGGTAAAATGCACAGCACTGGCGAAGACTATGCGGCATACTGAGAGCAATAGAATGTCAATTTTGGTGATAGTACAGGTAATGTTATATATCTTCATGAAATCCGTAGATCAGGATGGGGCTTGTGGGGGTGAAGAGGGAAGGACCATTAGTGCAGAGCGGCGCGACGCGCTATGTATTACGTATTTCACCGGATCACGTGAAAGGCATCCCCTGATCGGATTTGGAAACTTCTGAGAAGTGGAGTTTCTCTCAGTCTCCGGGCTAAGTTTCATTAGGCTCGAAAGTTGAAACCAGCGTTCTGGGAGTAAACCACGACTGCGTGGGGGGTGATACTTGGGTAGGATTACAGCTGACTCTACGGAATATCCCCGTTCCCCCGGCGCCCTCGTACGAAGCATTGCGTACTATCCTTAGGAGACTGGCTACGTGTCTAAAGTTTCATTCTGTGGCCGAATTTCTGTGTGCCTCCAAGTCCGTTTCGGAGTGCAAGGTGTGTCATCTTTTCACAGTACAATAAAATGCTGAAAAGGTCCCCTTTCGCGAAGGAACACGTATTGTTGTAACCGACTGCCCCGCTCGTTACCACTTCGCGCGTTCATATTTTACCAGCTGGTCTTGGGTAAGGAGACGTGTGGCATGCGCGCACCACGAAGGCGAGTCAAAAAAGGAGAATACCAGACAGTTTCTACACCGCCAGTGCCTTGAAAATACGAGCAGGATGGCAAACACTTTGGCGCCTATTTTCTCGTCGTACGCTCCTTAATCCGCTCTGCGAAGCCTCTCATTTCCATTCATCTACCTGACTGGGGAAGATCTTCGTGAAGTGGGCCCATTCTTGTTATATGTGAGCGTCCTCGCCCTTGTCCAAGGTGGCCGCTGGCTTCTCTCATTTGAGGCTGTCGATCAAGGTCGCCTACCTTAATATCAATCGGCCCTAATCAGATACATGGACCTCTATGGTGTCCTCAAGCCTGAAGTTCGACCTGGTGCTAGTTTACCATCATGGCTGAGTCCCCTTGAATCTCAGTCTTGATTGGTGATGATGACGACGATATTCGTGGCCGCTCATATCGTATCGATTTGCGCTTGGTTAGCCTGACGACGTCTGTGGACGCCACCAGAATGTATCATGCAGCAAATACATCTCACGAATGACCCTCAAGACGACATGGACGATATCGCATGTACTCCTGTCAAGTCGGCGTTCTCATCTTGTGCTTATGGATAAACGGCTGTGCTCGTTCCACTTCCTAATTAAATGGCATCCCGAATTCTAAACGAAGACTTGCAGCGCTTTCACGGTCATCAATTCTCTCAGCCTCGCATCCGTCGATCCTCTGACATACGGTGGGTTGTTTATTCGGCATTTCATTCTCGCCTGTCGCAAAATACTTCCTCCGTGACTACGTTAAGTCGCCATACTAAGCCTGGAGCCGATGTTCGACATGGGCCCGTCCATGACTACGGGCTTCTAATGCTTCATCGGAACAAAACATAGTCAAGTCCAATCTTACTACGGTGACACTTGCAGTGGGAATACTCGCACTGCCTTAGTGTCCTTTCTGCGCACCGGTGTGGAGCACGAAGGATCATCAACATCCGGGAAACAGGAGACTGGATGATTACACGCGATGATATCTTCCGACTGTCGGTGTTATACAAGCCCGTGCATTGTCCTTGAACTCACACATCCTAGTACGGTGGCCTCTCCAACGTTGCCCTCAAGAACGCTGCTGAAATGTACGTCAACTCAGGCCCCTCCACGCGCGGAAAAGTAGTCCTGACTAAATAATTTGCTGGACGTTAGGGCTGCGTTCCTCTTTGACATTGTTGATTATGAATCTTCCATCCTACAGCAGTTCTCCCCCCAAGAAAAGAAGGAGAAGGACAGCTGGGACCACTCTGATGCAATGGGCCGCTATGTCCTCATTCCCGAAGTCATTGCCCCGATAGCTGGGTTCAGCGCCTCTCAGATTCTCAGACTCATCCGTAACTCTTTGACTGGAAGGTTTGTACGTCCTGAATCACCTCGAATCCCGAGGATTCCCTCTTGACCAGCTCAACGACGAAAAGTTCCACAACTACGCGTATGCAAGAGACATCAAAGACATATGGATGACGCTCAGGAAATTTGTATCCTCTGCCCTGGGCCATAAATATGCGGACGACGAGGCCGTGGCCGCGGATGGGTATATCCAGAACTGGTGTGATCAAATGCGGTCTGAGTCGGGAGTTGGGATGTGGAAGTTCCCCCAGTCGATCTCCACGATGGACGACTTGGTAGATATAGTCGCCATGTGCATTCACATCGCCGCGCCCCAGCACACGGCCGTCAACTTCCTCCAGCAATACTACCAGACGTTCGTACCCAACAAGCCATCGGCATTGTTCTCCCCGCTCCTAACGTCGCTTTCCCACCTTGAGAGTTACACGGAAAGCGACCTGATGGCTGTCCTACCTCTCAAAGCCAAGCGACAGTGGCTCCTCATGGCACAAATCTCGTATCTGTTGTCTCAGCGAGTCCAACAAGACGGGAATATCGTCACCAATGCTGCTAGGGCGTCAAAAGACAAAGACCTAATCATCGCGGCTGCCGGCAAAGGGCTATCGGCCGATCTGAAGAAACTCGCGAATGTATTTTTAGAAAACAGCAAAGGGTTGGATGACCAAAACACGGCGTACAACGTTCTTGCGCCCGAACACCTTGCGAATCCAATTGTGATTTAGGCCAGATCAAATGTGTTTTCATGTACACTAAAATGTCAAAGAGGCCTGAATCTGTTCTCTCCAGAATAGGACGGGTGAGGTAAGGCGAATTTGCATCAGTAACGTTGTGGCGAGTCCCTGGTTGTTCTCACAACACGGCCTCGGGAAAACCTTTGGCGATTGGTGACGTGGGTGATGCATTGATGGGCGCTGGTACTATCTGAATCCTGATGGTAGTGCCCCCGCCAGAGGACTCGGGAGGGCCTGGCCGTTTAATATTGTCACTCAAAGTTCAGACCCACGATCCGGCCTACCTCATCCCCATATGATAGGAGGATATGTTGTGTCTGCGTAGGAGTTCGCACCATTCACACCAGTGCGTAGGTGGAACCCGGAAGTATTCAAGTACTATCTCAAGGTAGGCCATGTCCTTTTCGCAGTGTTGAGATATCTTCAACGGTGTTGAGAGCTAAAGCCTTCATTGTGCAAATCTAGACAAGGGTGATTTCCAATCAAGGAAATATGGTTGAACATGAATTCCTTGGCAATGACAGTGATCAACTGGAACAACGTGAGTTGTTTGACTCGACCTTGGAAGCGCTCATTCTTAGAGCTCTCAGCCGATTCTATCGTTGAAGTTGCACGGAGCGCCGTGCCACTAAATCTAACCTACGCTCAAGTCCTCCTGGAAGTCGAGCTCGCAGACGATCCAGCGTATCTGAACCAATTTGGTTCATCCCTCCTGGCGCGCTTCGAGGACGGCCCAAAGGACGCAGCCGTTGAAGACCTCAATGATGCTATCGCGGCACTACGCCGGGCAAGCGATCTCACGCCCGACGACCACACAGATAAACCGAGATTCCTTGCTAGCCTCTCGTCCGCTCTTAAAGCTCGATTCGACCGACTCAAAGCCACCAGCGATGGACAAGATGCCATCATCGCCCTTCGACGAGCCGACGAACTTGCGCCCGATGATGAGGTGGAGAGACCCAACTGGTTGAACAAGCTTGGAATGATCTTGTATACCACTTACAAGGAAAGCAAGAACCTCGACGACCTCGAAGCATCTATCTCCGCGTTTCGTCGTGCCTGTGACCTCACTCCTGACAATGCCCAACGCGCTAGCGACAAGGCCGATCACCTGCTTAATCTTGGATCCACGCGCTATGAGTTATTTGCGAGCACGAAGGACCTCAAGGACCTGGATGACGCTCTCGAATCCCTTCGTCTTTGTAATGCGCTTACGCCTGTGGATCACGAGAGCAAACCGTTTCGACTGCTACTACTGTCGCAGATCCTCAGCCTTCGCTTCCACCATCGAAATGATACCAAGGACCGTGACGAGGCTATTTCAATGCAGCGCCAAGCGGTTGAATGTTCTCCAGACGACTACGCAGACAAAGGGCAGGGGCTAACTGAGCTCGGCGGCATGATCTTCCGGCGCTTCGAAGTCAACAACGACCTCAACGATCTAAATGATTCAATTGCCGTGCTTGAGCAAGGGAACAACCTCCTCGCGGACGGGCATATGACCAAACCCGTGTATTTAACCCTCCTACTGGTCGCTTTCAAACGCAGATACGAGCTTCTCTCGGACCCAAAAGATCTCGATGGTGCGGTCTCGGCGGGACGACGTGCAATTACTCTCGATCTCTCGGGCCAATCGCAGCACTTACTTGCAGAAATTCTGCATACAAGATTCGTGCGTACCGGTGCGATAGAGGATCTTCAGGAGGCCATCACCCTGTCTTCTCGAGCCACTGAAGTATCCTGTGACGGGGACGCTTCCCGAGCAGCCCAATTGACCTGTCTCGGCCTTTCCCTTCGTCTGCGCTTCATCCACCTCGGGGACCCCAATGACCTCGAACTTGCCATCATGATTCTACGCCAAGTTTGTGAACTCAACCCCAAAAGCCAGATTATTCAGACCAACCTTGGAGGCCTCTTGCAGGAACGATATGAACGCTTCGGGAATGTGAAGGATCTAGAAGATGCTATCGCAGTCCTTCGCCGTGCCAACGAACTCGTATCGGACGATCCTGTCGACAAGACCACCTGCCTGAATAATCTAGGTCTGTCTCTTTGGGCCCGGTTCAGAATCCTCAAGGAAGCCACCAAGGACCTCGATGAGGCGGCTGACTTACTTCGTCAGGCAGAAGCACGCATCCCACGCAATAGCCCAGAAAAGCCCCTATGTCTCCACAACCTCGCGTGCATCTACGAAAGCCGCTTCGGTGCTAGCGGAGACATCAAGGACATTGAAGAAGCCATAACGTTGCTTGAACAAGCTGGCAAGCTCGCTACGGGCGACCATACTTTCGAAGCTTCTCGTCTAGGGGAGCTAGCCACAGCATTACATAGTCGCTACCGGCATCTCAACGACATTAACGACCTTTCTTCTGCAATTGCTTCAATGAATGCTGCTGTTCAGCTCACCCCCAACGGACGCCCAGATTTAGCCAACCGTTTGCATAATCTTGCGGCCTTCCTCTTGGCCCGTTTTGAGCGCCTTGCTGATGAGAAAGATTTGAAAGATGCAGCGTCACTGTTTTCCCGTGCAGCTGCACTCACACCGGTCGACCACCCTAATAAGAAGGCACGCATAGAACGGGCAAACGCGTCCGCCAGATTGTTGCATTCAAAGCAACATGCGACTAAACACAAGGAACACAACACTGCTGGCACTAGTAAAGCGAAGCGGAAAGTTGAAGACAAATGCCTCATCATGTAGAAGGTAATACTGTCGTCCATTCATCATTCATGGCGCGTATAGTAGTCCCTATGTACTGTTTTGTCACACATACGCCATATATTGCGTGTTGCGTTGTCCGGCATCTCGCGGTCCGACACCCCTAGTGTGAATTTACCCACTTGACGTGAGCATCGACACTTGCTCTTGAACGCGATGGCGGACGAGTCCTCACCTTTGCTAGCGAACGGGCCCACCGCCAATCATCCTCGAGTCTACACGGACGCGTCACAAGACACCGCCAGCCCAAATTTGGCCGCCCATGATGATGAGGAACGTGGTCACGATGACCATAAGCCACAGGTCTCCATGGTCAAAATTGTGGGTTGTGGGCACTAGTCTCCGGTTGGATGGTCCCGAGCTGAGCGCGCATGCGGGCTATCTAGGTTGTACCAATGGCGATAGGAATCTTTCTGGCTGCCATGGACGGAACGATAGTTGTCAGCTGTACGTGACTGTCCTTGATCACGATATTGAAATGAATGCAGATTGCAGCGTACGCGGCCATCGGTAGCGAATTAAATCAGTTACAAAGCACCAGTTGGATCGCAACAGGCTATATGCTAACTTTGACGAGCTTCCAGTGAGTTGCGCGGTTCTTGAGGATCAAAGACTCCTAACCCGGCACTCCAGACCTTTGTATGGCAAAATGAGTGACATATTCGGACGCAAGAGCTGCCTGTTGTTTGCATACAGTATTTTCGCTTTGGGCTGCCTGCTGTGCGGCCTTGCACGCAACATGAATGAATTAATCGCTGCTCGGGCGTTCGCTGGTATCGGAGGCGGGGGCATGACAACGTGAGTGAACCTCGCAAGCAGTGGGAGGAATTCTCATCATCATGGAATAGTGTGGTAAGTATTATTATGTCCGACATTGTTCCGTTGCGGTCGAGGGGCACATGGCAAGGTTTGTCTCCTCACCAACGAACTTTACGATGATCTGTACTTGATGGTGCACAGGTGTATTGAATATCGTGTTCGCTACCGGATCTGCAGCAGGTGCACCTCTCGGCGGGTTCTTGGCCGACAGCATAGGGTGGCGATGGTACGCGCGGCCTTCAGAGCTCACGCCTTCGTTTCCCTTACTTTTACATTTCAGGGCCTTTCTTGTCCAAGTCCCAATGACCCTCCTCGCAATCGCGTCCGTCTCTCTCGCGCTTGACCTTCCCAAAGTAGATTTTTCCGATTTCCATGCAAAGCTCAGGCGCGTCGACTTCCCCGGCGCTATAACTCTCGTCCTCGCCGTCTTCTTCCTTCTCTTCGGTTTAGACCGCGGTGGTAATATTGCTTGGGATGATAAATTCACTATCGCCTCGCTTTCCGCTTTCGGCGCTCTTTGTCTTCTCTTCTGGACGATTGAAATGGAGATTGCGAAGGAACCATTTGCTCCTCGTCGCATCATCGTAAACCGGTCCTTGATAGCTAGCTACCTCGTGAACTTCTTTGGCATGGCTTCCGGACTGTCATTACTCTTTCATATTTCACTGTGGCTGCAAGCAGTACAAGGCAAATCTGCCTCTGCAGCAGGAGTGTGGTTGTTGTGGAGTATCGGAGGAAGTGTCACTGGTAGTTTGGGCGGCGGACTCATCATGCAGGCGACGGGGAAGTATTATTATTTGACTTTGGGTGCTTATGTTGCTCTTTTTGGAGGTGGTCTGTTGATCACGTTGGTGACTGGTCTGATCACGACTTCCTTTGCTGGTCTCGCTATTGGTATGCACAATTCTTTTCGCATGCTCGTTCTTGAATTCTGATGGAGTCCCTGATGACTTGAAGGTTTGGTGCTTTCAAGTTTAGGCAATGGTTTGTGAACTCTGTATTCCCCAAATTCTCCCCTAACCAACAACGCCTTCGTCAGGTAGCGGTGTTACCACAAGTCTCATTGCACTCATTGCCAACGCTGGTCCAAAGGATCAGGCCATCGCCACAGCTGGTGAGTATTCTTCCCTTGCATCTTCCATATGCCTCCGGCTAATTAGAGGACAGTATCCTACCTTTTCCGTTCTCTGGGCTCGGTAGTTGGGTTGTCTGTTGGGAGCTCATTGGTACAAGGGACGTTACGTACTGCACTTCGAAAAAAGTTAGATGGGACCGATATCGAGGAGGTACTTTCATTCAATACGTGTCACGTGCGAAGGTGGTTTCTGATGGCGTTCGTTTTGCAGCTCATTCGACGCGTTCGGGAATCCTTGACCTATGTTGATACACTCGATCCCGGTACCCAGGCCGCCGTAAGGAGCTCGTACGCACAAGCGGTGCATGTTACACTTCTTTTCACGACTTCTATGGGTGCACTGGCCGCCATCTCAGCTATTTTCATTAAAGAAAAGCCATTAACTAGATCACCACCAAATTGATGAAATCAGTAGGAATATAATCCTTCTAGAAGTATCGGCCCCTACAGTTTAAAAATCACGCATTTTGTGGCAATGGCTGCATCCGCTCTGCCCCCTCGTCCCAACTTTCTTTGCAATTACCCTTGGCATGGTTCGATTCGCTTCATTCTTCATCGTCGTCGTCGCCGCGGTTGGGGGGTTTTGTACCCCTCTTAAACGCACAGCGAACGAAATCAAACAAGATATAACCATCCTGACATCAAAGGCGTCGGAAATGGCATCAAGTATCGATGCGTTTGTCACCCCAGACATACGTGCAGCGCTGGTACGTAGACCTCAGCATCCCCTCCAGCTGTTATCACTGACAGTTTAACCGAGGTAGGCAGTGCACGTAGCCAACGGCCAGGTCAATACAAATTTGAAGCAAGCTACGACCCATGCTCTGGTAACATGTCAACTTCTCTAGTCCCACCGCTGTCTATTGATCGCCGGTGATACTTTCAAGGCAACGCCTCGGCTGGAATTGGCGGATGCCCAAGACATCGTCAGGCTTCTAAAAGGAAATGTAGACGTCGATGGGAGAGCTCTGGTCCTGGTACGCCCTTGATAGTAACGATATTCAAAGTCTCAATAAAAAGTTTTAGTTACGGACTAAAGTCAATTTGGTTAAGGCTATTCCAGTTAATGGCACCGTTGCTCTCGTCAACGGCGACCTCATCACCACTAGCAAGGCTTTTAGCAAGTACATTGACGCACTGAAGGCGATAATCCTGGTATGGCAAGCTTTTATCTCTGTAATTGACCATTAGAAGTTACTCTGGTTTAGCACGAAGATCAGACAAATGCGCTCGCTGCTCTTGAAGCCAAGGCTGCTGCGGACTTCGCACGGACCGCTGCCCTGTTCGTTTGAATATGCATAACAACGAACCGCATGCCCGACTTGTAGAGCGTGGAGAGAATACATTTTGACATCCTCCTATACTGTCCTTTTCCACAGGCTGAAGAAGAGCCCGTCCGTCGCGAGAATGCTGAGAAAATCACATTTGTCTCTTCTTGCTATTTGATAGACACTTCAGAGTGCGTAATATCCCATCAAATTATGTTCTTAATGCGATGATTTTCCCCTGCTTTGCAGGAACACACATCCTAGGCCCTACCTGCTTGTGTCGGAAATTCTTTGTTAGTAATCATGGGTTCCAGTTCCTCATGGTCACCTTCAATCTCGCTGGAGACGTGTCCACACCGTCTCATATGGGCTAAATAGCTCAGTCGCCAACGTACGCTCCGGGTGCAAAGGAGCCAATGGGAAAAGGACGCGATCAAAAGTGTCGTCGTCGACTAGCGATAAATAAGTTCGTAATTGCAGTTCGTCCCACGCCGAAGGAGTCGCAAACAGCTTGGATCCGACCCACCAGGTCAAGAACATATGCTCAAAGCTTCTTTCTGCATCCGTGCAGCTGGGAGACAATTCGGATATTCCGAAGAGGCGTGTGTAGGAACAGAAGCTACATCAAGTACTGTGGGTAGGCCCTTTCCCCACACTCGGACTTACTAACGGAAACTGGGACCTCCCCAGATCATGACCCTGTCAGTGCTGCAATGCTTTGCATTCGTCTGGGCAGTTGGTTTCGGGGCAATACTAAGCTCGGCTCTCTCTTCGAATGTAGATTTCGACGCTGGCGACATTATTTCTGTGCATATCTCTCCCATTTAGATCGGCTTCTCTTGATCCTTGCGCCTCGCCGCTGCCAGAAATGCATTCGTGGGCGCGTTGACGGTGATCCATATTTCCAATGCACCCGACTCACAAACGCCATCACCTAACCACGCACAAATTCGCACTCTACATTCCATGTGATAGTCAGCTAGGAAACACGAAGCTATTTTAGGCAGTATGTGGCCTCTAGCCCGCACGATCCTCCGCTAAACAAAGATGCCTGCATGGTAGCCATGATTCTTGACATTCCATTTACATCATTTGATCGTATACGTGTCCCATCCTACCGTTGGAAGACGTGAGTTCCCCTAGTCATGGGGATGATCATTCGAGATTCGACATTATGTTTGGAAATTGGCTAAAAGGACATTGTCCAAGTGGCACCATATATCTCTATCTATAAAAGCGCAACAACGAGCTTTCACTTCCAGTCACCTCAACATAGTTGTTCTACAGCTCCAGAGTCTTAGCACCATGGTTAAATTCACTTTCTTCGCGTTCGCTGCCTTCCTCGTCGGTTCGGCCGTCTCCTCCCCTACGAAGCGTACGGTGGCACAAGTGGAATCAGACATCGCTAGCATCTCCACTCAGGTCACTACATTGGATAACGATATCACTGCTTTCCCCAACACTGGCGGGAGTTTGCTCAACGCGCTAGTAGGTATCTTCTGTTCGCCCGAGGTGCTTTATGCTCATTGAATCCAAAAGGCCATCCATACGGCTTCAACCAATTTGATCTCAACCATCGGCACCACCACTAGTGACGTCCAGGTGAAGGATACAGGTCAACTATGATGGCCGCATTGTAACATGGGTCGTTCTCTAGAGCACCGGTGCTTTCTCAGAGGCGGATGGTCAAACTATCCTCAACTCCTTCCTTGCGATTGAGCCAGTCATTGATCATGCCTTAACTCAGGTTTGCTTCAGTCTCAATTCCACCGTGTCTGTCTCATCCACGCCCGTAATTACTAATTAGATCGCGGCGAAGAAGGCGGCATTCCAAGCTCTTCCAATTGGTGGAATCCCCGCACTTGTCAAACAGGACCTTGGCCAACTGAACTCGGCAACTACAGCCTTGGCCAACGGACTCATTGCATCTGCCCCTGTGAGTTGCATTCACGGCCTGAAGTCTTGCGAGGCTGACGGTTTCTAGGCGGATCTCGTGGCTCCATCAACCAGCCTTCGTGATCGTCTCGTCGCTGCATTTGCTCCTGCAATTGCGGCATACGCTGATGCTTAAGTCTTTAACAGGGGTTGAACAGGGGGTTTCTACTTACATGTTTGCTTGTTTATGGAATTACCAAAATATCACACCTTGAGTAGATTCCCATGATGATACATGTGCATTTGCACGGCATCAAGATGTCGTCCCATGATCGACGTACGGCTTGTAGAGTTCATAAAGCCGGTACATGATAGAAAGTGGGTTTCGTGACCCTGTTCCCCACCTTCGTTGACGAGTATAAATCTGACATGGCAACGCATGCGCTCCTCAACTCTCTGAAGGCCAACAAAACGGCGTTCGGAGTTTGGCTGACCCTTCCAGGACTCTTCCATGCTCGTACCGTCGCGCAGGCCAGCCCCAATATATCATGGATCTGCATCGATAGTGAACATGGGCTTGTGCCTCTTGTCCCCTCTGCTGCAGAGACGGTAGCTTCAATCCACGGAGCCGTCGGTGGCACCGCAGGACCAAGTGCCATTGTGCGCATTCCCGCGACTGGCGCATCAGACAGTACGAGCTGGCAAATCAAGTACGCTCTAGACGCTGGCGCTAGAGGCGTTATCGTCCCCATGGTACATGTTCACAATATCGCCATGGGTCATCTTGATAAATACGACGCTTAGGTTTCTACTGCCGAAAAAGCGAGGGAAGTGGCCTCCGATTGCCGCTTCCCTCCTATCGGAAGGCGTGGATTTGGAAGTCCATTTACCCAAGGGAACTGGGGCCTCAGCACCGCAGACTATCTGACATTTGCGAACGATAGTGTCGTGGTCATGGTTCAAATCGAGACTCCGGAGGCGGTTAAGAACGTAAAGGAGATTGCAGGCGTTGACGGGATTGGTGAATACGAATTGTTGGACCTTCTAGCTTCAATCACTGACTCAGTAATAGATGTATTGTTCATTGGCCCATATGACCTATCCATTTCACTCGGCTATCCTCCCCCATCACCTGACCCTCACCCAGAAGTCGAGAAAATCATCCAGCAAATCCTACATAGTGCCCACGATGCTGGGAAGAAGTGGTGTGTACGGAGATACCTGGGTCGTATAAACCTGCTCATCTATCGCACGAAGCGCAATATTCTGTATTTCTGGTTCTCAGTCGGCCCGCAGAGCCGCTGAAGGGTTCGACATCGTGAGTTCCGTAGTTTTGTTCTGTACCTTGCTAACCAAGTCCTATTTATTGAGATCAACGTCACAAGTGACACAGGAGCAATGTCTGAGGGTATCGCCAGACAGCTCTCCTCCGCCACAGCATGATTCAAACGGAGAGGAGAGAAGAGGCTGTTTAGCACAACATTGCGGTTTGTTTGTATGAAAGCCGACGTTGGTCAAAGATAGTAATAAGGCTTCGTTAATCGCAATATATCCCGCCGTTGATAGAGATCTGAGGGCACATCCAATCGTGAGCATTAGCAGCGGCAGATGAATATGGTTGTAGCGTACGCTTTGCCCTATTAGTGATATTTGAATAGAGCCGTAGAGCAACACATCGTGGGCCACGCACCTGTGATATACGAGGCTTCCTTTGATACCAAGTATGAGACTAATCCTGCAACCTCGTCCGAGGTCCCAAACCTGCGAAGGGGTACATGATCGGTGTACTTGTATTGGGGTGCGACCGCGTAAGTATATGAAGACGAAGAGGGAAAGGTAAACTCACTCCCTTAAAGAACCCCTCTGGGTCTCCTGAGGCGTCTCCCAGGATTTGCTCTGATTAGTATTGATGGATGAATCAGATGGGCAGTCGGACATCTGAACCTTCGAAGTCGTGATACGTACTCATCCTTGTGTCAATCATGCCAGGTGAGTATGCATTGACCGTGATATCGTGCTTCGCTAACTCGACCGCTGGGGGAATAGTGTGGGTCTCGCGGAGTAGCTACAGATATCCACCTACCTGCCGCCTGGGTCAATCCACGGATCGTGAACTTGCTGGATGAGTACGCAGACAAATGCGACCAGCCTACGAAGAGGCTTCATACTTCTAGAAACCATCCGGGGACACTAAAGATGGCATCCTCACCCTGCTTTCCGGCTAGTGACGACGCCCCAATGATACGACCCCCACGACCTTGGTCCACCATTTGTTTCGCTGCGTACTTGTAGCACAGGAACGTCCCTCTGCCGTTCACGGCCTGGACTTCGTCCCAGTCCTCGGCTTCAACTAGAAACTAGGTTAATGACGATATTCACCGGCCGATCACTCGCCCATGTACCCTCTAAGAGAGGCTTCATTAGGACAATACCCGCGTTCGCGATCATCTGCTGGTATTTAGTCATACTGGCAACATAAGTAAACGTCAATCATACCACATCGAGACTTCCTAGGTCCTTAACAGTTCGTTTGATCATTCCTTGGACTTCTGCCTCAGACTTTACGTCGGCTGGTACAATGGTGCACTTGCGCCCGCGGTTCTTTACTTCTGCTGCAAGGCTCTCAACTAGCCCTTGACTTGCGTGGAGATCGTTGAGGGCAAGATCGTAACCGTCTCGTGCGAGGCGGAGGGCAATAGCACGTCCAAGGCCACGTCCAGCTCCAGTAATGAGTGCAACACCCAGGGTCGACATGAGAATACAGAGAGAGGGAAGGAATGAAGAGTGTCGGTACGTGCACACGGGTTTTCCTTTTTATTCTAGGTTGGGTTCCGAGATACGGTGGAGTCATTGAGTGAGTTTGAAGGTTCCGGCATTTCCTTTGATTAGACAGTTACGCCACATTCCCTTCGTCGATGCATCGAAGAAGGTGCATAATAAGGAATGTATACCGAGATCCTCTCTGGAACTGCTATCGAACCTAACCAGTCGGCGGTGCTGGAGAAACCTCGCGATTTCCGCGAGAATGGGAACTCGAAAGACAGGTATAATGAGGGAGCGCGGAAGTTTGACTTCATCTGACTTCATCTGAGATGCAAGTGAAAACGTAAGCTATATTCGTCGATGGCACGGGCACGAACACCCTCTACACAGACAATGAGCCAACACAAAGCAGACTACTCAAGTGAGGATGCGCCCGCCGTTAATAGAGACCTACAGGAATACTGTCAGAAAGCATGTTTATCGGCAGTGAATTGGGGCGAATACGAACCGTTTGCCCTAGGCAATCATAAATGAATTCAACCATCAACTCGCGAATACCGTTGAAAGAATACCTACCGGTTATGAAGGAAGCATCCCTCGAGGCAAGGTAGGACACTAGTCCCGCGACTTCGTCAGGGGAGCCGTATCTCCTAAGAGGAATAGTACGGAATTGCTGTCGAAGGAATGTATTGAATCAGTGCGAATCACCGTAGAGAAGACTCACCTCTTCTTGTTCTCCTCCCGGGTTGGCAGAAGCTTCGACGACCTGGGCCACTGAGCATCCCATGAACTGGTGTAGAGAGCACATGTTATGAACAACACGTACTCATATTGGTATCGATGGGGCCTGGAGCATATCCATTGGCAGTAATAGAATAGGGGGCGAGTTCTTGTGCTGTAGATTAGTCAGGATAGGCGAGAGTACCTATGTTCGGTATATCTCCAACGTACCAGCTGCGTGTACGATTCCACGGACTGCAAACTTGCTTGCAGAATAGGAAATAAGGCCTAGATTTCCTGTCGGGGCCAGTCAAAATCCGTCTCAACGGGCCCACTGGCAGACCCCAGTGACATTACCTTGCATTCCACTGGTAGACGCCGCCGCGAGGAGCCTGCCTCCCCGGCCTTGTGTAATCATCTGCTGAGCGCCGTATTTGAAACAGAATAGGACGCCCTTCGCGTTAACCTCAAGGTGTTGATCCCAGGACTCATTTGAGGCTATCGAACGTCCGCGCCAAGACCGATTGAGCGTCTGTGCTCTATCCACGGTCCGGAGGAGACGCACCATCCAAGATACCGTCCGCCCGCAGGATGCCTGCATTGGCGACCATCTATGAAAGCCGCGCCGCGCCGATCAGTATTGGATGCGAAGCTACAGAGTGCACCACATGTACGCACCACGTCTAACCCACCCAAGTCCTGTACAGCTTGATCAACCATCTTGCTGACCTCTTTTTCGTGGGCCACATTAGCGGTGAGGACGGAAGCCTTCCTCCCAAATTTGGAGACTTCTTGTCTGACTGCTTCAATTTTGGGTAGACTGACATGAACATCGTTCAGAGCGATATCAAATCCGTCCTTAGCCAAACGGAGGGCAATGGCACGCCCGATTCCGCCCCCAGCGCCAGTGACTAAAGCGACTCCCAGAGATGCCATGAGGCGAGATTGTTCATCAAGCGAGCATTCCACCAGGTTATATACACTGTGATCACGAGTGCCTCGCGCAAAGGCATAGAATGATGGTAATTCGATGTAATTCGATATGGTGGGTCTGCAATATGGGTCAGACCGTGGCATGGTGACTGCGGGGAATTCCAATCTCTGAGAAAATGAATCAGTAATACAAGGCCTCTTCGGTGGGGAACGAAGACATTGCGTGAGAGTGGAAGCCGAGAATAGTGCCATGTTGGGAAGATTACCATAAAAGGTATAAATGAGTATAGGAGTAGATAGGAGCTCTATTGCACTGGAAAAATACCTTGGCATGAATTTGGGCTAGCGATGAGATTTAGAGTACTACAGAACACCTCGTAGCCCTCAATCTGTAAAAAGAGGATAGTCATAAGCCGATGTAATAGGTGAAAAATGCGTAAGACTACGAACTTTCACATATGGATACTTGAAGTTCAGGGGACTTAGCTTTTCACATATAACTCTACCAATCTATACCATACTGGAAGTAGATGTATCAATCAAGAAAACTGTGTAAGACTGAATGTCTGCAAAGACGGGACATGCCACAAACAAGGATCCCCTGACCCCTGGCTAACCTTGATGTTGTTTATCTGGAAAAGAAAGATAAGACGGCTGAAACATTGCTGGAATACGTACATCAGCTATCTAAGCGACGTTCAAAGTAGCAACTCATGACCGACCGATGATGTTGGCACGGATCTCGACTTGATGAGGCGTTGGACGAGACTGATCCCTCTTCACATAGCTGGGCATAATGACCGACGGTACATGGATTCTCCGACTGCGAATATGGGTATATGGGTGTGAACGAGCATCATATGAGTCGACTTCTTGATACGAATACAACATTGAATGATGTTCCCGTCACTGTTCCCATTTATTGACAAGCGTGTACAAAACGAAATCACAGTACCCTATTAAATAGGAGGCGCCCCTGATTGACTTGGGACGTAAATCGTTGCAGGCTTGGTGTGCAAGATGCACCCTTCCATTTGACCACTTCTATCAGAAAAGTAACATGGGGGTCATCGCCTGTGTGCGTAAACTTCTTGGAGCATTCCTGCGTAAGTTCCTAGATTAAATTAAATCAGATATCTATTTACGCTCGATTGAGGGACCTGCACCTTATTCGTTCAATATTTGACCACGGACAATAGTTCAAAATACATACAGCTCGACACTCTGAATTCTGCCCCACGTAGTTACCAGTCGACAATATTCTTTAACTCCCCTCTAACAGTCTCCAATGGATTGTTTGGTAGAACGCCGGGGTGCACCGTCCTGGGGTGCCGGGGAACCTTCTGCCGAACTACTCCGTCGAGTTTCCGAGTCCCCCAAGGCCTCATGACCTAGTAAAATACAGTCGTTACTGTCTTACCTCAGGCTCAACGAGTTGAGGCAACTTCTTTCGGATCCTGGAATGAAGCCCGTCGCCGTACAACAGAAATGCTGAGGCCCGCTGGGTTCATCGATAGTCCAAGCAGATGCGCAAAAGCAGGGCTGTGGAAAATTGCAGTAACATGATTCGGGCAGTTGTTTCACGAAATACCAGATGCTCCGGCCGTCAGTCATATGTACGGAGAACAAAACACCTACCTCCAGACGAAAGGTCCAATACGACATCGACTGGCGCATTGTTTCCAGAGCGCTCGAAGGGCTGGAGAGCTTGCTGATAAATACTTCGTAAGAAGCGCTGCTTTGAGTCATACACCGCAAGGTTGACGACATTAGCTACAAGCCATGGGAGTCGGAAGCGGCAATGACTTAGAGTTAAAATGCCAGCAGGGCGGGGAAACGGAGAGCACGTGGCGCCGCCACTCAGCAGATTTCGCCATAATTTGTCATTTGGGCGAGGTCCTGGTTATTATCATGAATGAAACAGCAATGGCAACTCAAAATTTTACCTATAAGTACGGCGACTACCTGCTAAGCAGCCCCCCACAATCCCCTCGCCCCGAAACATACCCCGCCATCCTTGGTCCCCTTTTCCATCATGTCGCCATCTATCATACACACCTCAAATCAGTCGGTCTCCACAAATGGCCACAGTAACGGCCATACGAACGGATCTGTCTCCAAGAAATCGTCGCAGCATGGCGGGTTTGGAACACGCGCTATACATGTCGGCTCTGAGCCTAGCGAGGAAACTGGTGCGGTGATACCCGCCATTTCATTGAGCACGACCTACAAGCAGGACGCCGTTGGCGTGCACAAAGTGAGTACCCAGGTAGACTCTACACGAATAGTTTCTGACAAACGACATAGGGCTACGAGTACACGAGATCTCTAAACCCGAACAGAGCCGCCTTGGAGCGCACCCTCGCCGCATTGGAATCCGGTGGTTCCTACGCACTGACTTTCGCGTCCGGCTCTGCCACAACGGGCATTGTTCTCCAGTCCTTGGGACCCGGCGCGCACGTCCTCAGCGTGAACGATGTATACGGCGGTACCTTTCGTTATATGACCCGCGTCGCCAAGGAGCTACAGGGCCTCGAGGTTGATTTCCTTGACCTTGAGAATGCCAGCGACGACGAGATCATCGGTGCGATTCGCCCGAACACGAAGGTCTGTTTCTTTCTCTACCACTCAAGTAATTCACGCTGATCGACGAAAATGGCAATTTGATAGCTTGTCTGGATCGAGTCACCCACGAATCCCACCCTGCGCCTCATCGATATCGCCAAAATCTCCCGCTTGGCAAAATCGCACCCCTCGCAGCCGCTAGTGCTCGTGGACAACACGTTCCTCTCGCCGTTCTACTCCTCGCCGCTGCTGCTCGGTGCCGACCTCGTCATGCACTCGATGACAAAATACATCAACGGCCATTCGGATGTGCTAATGGGTGCGCTGATCCTCCCGGCGTCGCATCGCCACCTGGCGGTGTACGAGAAGCTGCAGTTCCTGCAGAACGCGAGTGGCGCGGTGCCCAGCCCGTACGACTGCTGGCTCGCGCAACGCGGGGCCAAGACGCTGCACCTGCGGATGAAGGCGCACGGCGAGAATGCGTTGCAGGTCGCGCGTGCACTGCAACGCAGCGAGCACGTCGAGGAGGTCATATACCCCGGGCTGAAGACGCACGCGCGCAACCAGCTGGCGTACAAGTCACTCTCTGCGCACGCGAAGAAGTTCGTGGACACGTTCAAGCCGGACGACAGCGACGCTCCGTTCGATTTCCCATTCAGCGGGATGATATCGTTCCGGATTCGGGGTGACGAGGCTACGGCTGAGCGGTTCCTGACGTCGACGCGTCTGTTCACGTTGGCGGAGTCGCTTGGGGGCGTGGAGTCGCTCGCAGAGCACCCTGCACGGATGACGCACGGCAGCATCCCCCCTGCTGAGCGTGCAATCCTCGGAATCGGCGACAACTTGATCAGGCTGAGCGTCGGTGTAGAGGACGCGGATGACCTGGTAGAGGACGTCGAACAAGCGCTTGAATTAGCTGTACGCAGTAACGCTTAATTATAGACCCTAGTACCCATGTAATTCTATACCTGCACATAAGTACCTGACTTTTTGTTCTCCTCCCGTGTTTATCTCAAGGTCCCCAACGTTAATTTCTGCTTGAATATAGTACAAATATAGATAGAAATAAAGCACGGTAGGATCGGACGAGATCATATCCTATACACATGTACATTGATAATAAAACCATAATGGGCGATAATAAATATAACTTGACGGTTGGGAACAGTAAGACAGGCACTAGATGTGCTCAGTGGGGAACTGTACCACAGCCTGCGGACTGGAAGGCAGAATATAACTAGCTTGTTTGGATACGTCTTGCTTAATCCGTATACCCTGTTCAAGTTCAAAGGCCTGATCGGATTACCCATAGTCAGGCGCTGGGAGCGGAGAATTGTCAAGGACGACTTACCGACTGCCCCTGTTGGTTCGAGCGGGAGAAGTTCTGATTTCAGGTGGTGGACATCAGCATCGCGAAGTCGCGAGGGATCAAAGGCGAAAGAACACTCACAGGCCGGCTGCGAATGTTGACACCGGATGGGAGTTCGCCGGTCCCCGTTGGAGCACCACCTAGAGGGCTGCGGGCGTTGAGCGTTGACAAGAGGGAGTTCGTGTACAACTTTGACAGGCCGAAAGCAAAAAGGAAGTTCCTGTAGGAGGCCGACATTCAGCGGTGTCCGTTGTTTAGAATAGGGCAATCGTACATGGACAAGAACTGCTCAACGAATTGATGAGTACCTTGTCTGTCAAGACCTGAGCAGAGAACGGCTTACGGGAGCGAATGCACACAGGAAGGCATTGGTGATTGCGGCCGCAGATGTGATCAGGCCAGTTTGCACAGTCACTAGAGTAGTGCGAAAACGGTCAATAATCACGGTGATGAACCCGATAATGAACCCACTTCGTATGACTTTGTTGAGGACATCGTCAGTGGCTTGGAACCCTGTGCGCCTCGAGGACTAGAATCTCCAATCAATACATCAGTGCTATCAGAGGCCGGGAAGGCACTGACCAGGTACCATACGAGGGCAATGGTGATAATTGCATCCCCAATGGCAGAAGAAACAAGCCAGAGATTGAGGGACCATTCGAGTTTCGGGAAACCAGCAAATGTCTGGACGATGGCCACGGAGGCGCCTGATCCCATGCCTCCGACTAAGGGAGGGTATACTGAGTGAGGAGGTTACAAAGCGAAACCAAGGTGAGGTCCTACCAAAAGCGGCCAACGATGCGAGAGAAATGACAATCGGCACCCATATGGACCTGCTGATGATATAGATTCGACGGGCCATGAAAAGCTGCACTGGAGTCGATAAAAGGACCTTGACAAGTCGTAAGTCGTAAGCCGGGTGAACACAGAATCACCAATGGGGACAGCGTACCGTCATAATGGGATCTGGAGGTTTATGTCGGTCAGGTTTATGTCGGTCGCGCACTATCTTACGTTCAACACTTACTTGCAGCGAGAACTAGCAACGAAAGGTATCAATGCAATGGTTCATGTCTGCGGGGCACGACTTACGCTTCGGATACACCGTCTCTACCCCACGCTCACCTGCGTGGAACATGAGTCTGAAGAATTGCAACAAATGAATTTGGACAAACCTGCGTGAGTTACCATTGGAGTATAGATCATGGCGATGTCGATCCCCATGATTATAGTTTCGAGCACGAACATCCACAGGACCTATAGGTATGCTATAAGCAACTCGTAACGCATATTCCCGCAGGCCTGTTTTTGTGGGGCGTACGAACCAGGTAGCGGGTCCATTTGGGATCGCTGGAGGGTTCGTATAAGGAAATTGAGTAATCGTAAGTGGCGCTTGTGCTTACGTTCTGTAGGACTGGTAGTAAATGGCCGCCTGGAGCACGAATATCTGTGGATGGTGACATCAGCACGATTCACTGCTAGGGTAATGATAACATTACCCCATAGAGGATAGACTCGAAGATAACGCCTAAGAGGATAGGGCCGAAGCTAAACAATAGTCAGTAACGGTGATAGTACTACGCGGTTGTTGCAGGGCAAGTACTTTAGCAAGTGCTCAGACTCGGCGGCTGGATCGGACATGTCACAGAAGTGAGGGGGGAGCGAGCTGTCGACTTTGTGAACCACGGTGGCCATTTTAATGGGATATCCAAAAATAGATGGAAGAACGGAACGACCGGGCTCCTGGGTCTAGAAAGATGCTTTCTGTGCGCTCGGTGTAGATCTGACATCAATCAAGCTGATATGAAGATGGACACAGAAGAGACGGGAAGGACATGTGCGTCAAGAAGGGCATAAGAGCACGGGTGTATCATTTGTCCTTGTCAATCAATTAGAAAACTTAACATTGAAGGACAGGTAGGCGTTGCAGCTCCGAAGACAATGGTTTCATGGTCTAAGTGATCCCCGGTGCAAGTGAGTTCTCGGAGTTTAGTGATGGTACGATGGTCAGGGGGGAATTCTTGATGATGGCTCCTCTGAGAAGATGGACCGTCTCCTAGTGAATAGGACTAGAAGAGCCCCGAACCGATACAATACTAACTTGTATGAGATGTTTCTCCTTCAAACCGTATGATTCCCACTAGTCTGAGACACCAGCAACGAATTTGACTGATAATGAGAAGATCGTGAGTACGCATCCACGTCTAGTAGATGGCTGCAACCGTACCACGAATGGCGGGCGGCGTCCGAATGCACCGCCTTGACAGAAGCAAGGCCCATCTGCTGGAAGACGAAATTTACACATCAGCATGAGGCGCGCGTTGAAGAAATCTTCTTCGTCCATCCGCTGAGTGGTCAAGAAATTTGGGTTTCTGTTCCCCAAGTCGAAATCATTGTACGGTGCGCTGAATGTATATGTTGGAACTCGTAAGGTCAGATTCACCGTCAGATTCAAAACCGCGCAATCCTCCCACGTGCAGGGTCACCATACAGGTGGGTAAAGACCCATACCGGTGCATCACAAAGTGTGTATGGTGGTGGCACACGGTAGCGATGGCAGGTGCAGACGTTGTTGACCATCAAAATTACAACCTTTGAGCGTGAGATTACAGTAGCTTAAAGATTATATACAAACCAAGCACTCCTATCTCCTAAGCCCTCAGGCTCCTCGCTTTGAGTGTTTGATGCTCTGAAACGAGCCTTCGTTTGGTTTTGCCGCCACAAGTACATGAGGTTGAAGGCTGAGAAGACGACCATCAGGACAGAGAAAACCAATAAGGTGATCGTAGCTTTTGTGTATCTTGGCGGAGGGGATAACGAGCCTAATAGCCAAGTAGCGAGGATGCCGCCTGAGTTGGTCATGATAAAGCCTATGGCAATGGCTGTAGCTCGTCTAACATGCGGGGCAGCGTTATTCGCACTCCACGTAGATAATGCTGGAGCAGAACAATATGTTCCGGTGATGGATAGGAAGAGGCTACCATATTGTACTGACGATGAGGTAGAGCCTATATTTGATGAGCATCAACATCAAGCGGCGCTAATCTGATACATGAACTCACCCAAGTACATGGCAAACCCAATTACACAGAGTAATGAACAAAAGATGATCGTGAATCCGCGGCAATGATACCGGTCAGATATATAGGCGATGATACCGGAGGTGACGAAAGCGGCGGCGAACGGGGGAACACTCATCAGTTGTGCACGAGTGGCGGTATAGCCCAACCCCTGAACTATAGATGGAGCGAAGCTAAGATAACTTCGTCAAATGCATCAACTCGGATCAATTCATTGGTACTCACTATGCCAGCGAATACAATATACACCCTGTAGATATAATCAGCATGTCGTACATCAATGTTGCCGCTGAAGAAAAGAACTTGCCAGCAAAGAAAAATGTGATTGCAAGGAGCCAGACTTGTGGTAACATGAATGCCCTCCCAACCTCAATCCAGCTGAAGGAGTCGGATTGATCGTTGCCTATGGAGTTATCTTCTCGTAGCTTCTCCATCACGTATGCCTTCTCTTCCTCGTTAAAGAAACGTGCATGCTCAGGCGATCGAGGCATGAAGAAGAACGAAAAGACGCCGAAGACCACTGTGAATAGACCCTCCAAGATAAAGATCCAGGCCCACCCGGGTCTATTACCGACGCCATCCATGTTGATGATACCGAAGGCAAGCAAACCCGAGAAGGCTCCAGAAATAGAGGCAGCGGAAAAGAAAGCAGAGACACTTTTGGACGTATTGAGTGAGATTGAAGTCACTGTAAGGAAGAAATGTATACACACCGACTTTGGAGTCGTTGTCGAGGGTAGAACAGTGATAAATAGAGGACCAACCCCGGGAATACGCCGCCTTCAAAAAGGCCTAAGAAGAATCGACATGCAAGAAGTCCAGCATAGTTATGGACCACCCCTAAGAAGCCAAGAGAGCTTAACACAAGCACGTAGACCGCCAAAGATATAACGCTACCTTGGAGGGTGGTTATGATCCCCCAAACCGTCAGCATGGCAGGAAGCATCAAGTTCGGGCCCACGACCTGAAACATTTAATTGAAAAGTAAGAAAATAGGTGAATGCACATGCACCTTGAGAAGTAAATTCGAAGGCAGCTCAGCCACGATGTAAGGCCTATGAATTCTTGATTATCCATCATTATGTAGACGAAAGTCTACTGCAACCTACACGTATGTGACAGTGAGCGCAACACTGTACTGATCGATACAACACATCAGATAACTATATATCTGAGCTGGGTATATGGTTACCTGGTGGTTATTCATCTTGAGATCCCTTTGAAGGCCCGCAACTCGGGCGTTTCCCAGATTTGTGCGGTCCTGATACAACATGAAGTGAGATACCGAAGCATGCACTCTTTGCAGGAACTCACCAAGAATGACAGGAAATAGAACATAGCAATGACTGTGGGTAATCGATTTTGTGTTACAAACTTCGATTGAGGCAGAGCGTCACCTACTAGGAAGGACACATAGGTCCAACTTCCTCCATACGATACGCTCTAGCTTGGAGTTCAGGAGGAGATTCGACTTGCCACTGACAGAGTTACTGCTGCTATCTTTCTCGCAATCAACCTGGGTTGTCGAAGAACGGGACATTGCCTTTTCAGACATTGCGACTCTGCAAGCCTCCACAGCGACCGTAGTTTGAGAGGGACGAAGAGGGGCACAATCCGAACTCTAACTGGCATTATCGGACGTGAATAAATAGCACGCCCACTCGCGAAGCTTCGCGTGATGTTACGCTGTTGAACCACGAGCTACCGGTTCATGGGAAAGCACGACTTCTGATGGCAATTTACCGATGGATTCAATTCTCGATACTGATGATGGCCCAGGTCGTTCCTGACGCCGATCTGCTTTTAGTGGCTTCAATCGCTCCCGGCACTCCAGAGTATCGCGCATCATGGAAACAGGCAGAGATTTCAAATTTCAACGCTTGAGCGCTTGGGAAGTTGAACTCAGGAGCCTTTGATCAGGAGTCAGGAGCCACCAAGGCTCTGAAGCTCGGATGCCTGATTACTGAGAGATCTACCGGGCGGATCAGGTCGGTGTAGTCGTTTAGGTTGTTATGGCGTAGCAACGAGTTGGCACTGACTGGGGAAGGGAGCCGTATGGGATGGTGGCCCTGAAATGCTGCAATATGCAATGTCCGCATTTGCTTTCTCCACGGAGTCCACTCTGTCTCCGGTTAAGCAATTCATCTACATATGCTTCTATGGCCTGACCGAACGGCGAGTAGACGGACAACTGACAAGGTATATACAAGTACAAGATGCTTCTACTGCTGGATGTGATAATTTGGAGGGTCTTGAGTGGACTCCACATCTTTGGTGATCATTATGGCAAGTCCCCCGGGTTCTGTGTCGCGGCTTTTGGGCGGGTTGAACCTATCTAATGTGGATTCCAACTCATATAGTCCGCTAACCTCCTGATAGACGCGAGAGCGTACAGATGCCAATCAATTAGGAACATCAGCGCATGGGCCATGCACAAGACATGATTCAACGAACCAACGGATTCGCGATGCGAAATTGGCTTGATGCATAATTTCCCGCCTGAGGAACAAGACCGCTTGATGAATGACAAGTAATGCCGTGCAGCGATCGTGCGTACCTCTCTACTCGTGCCCCGGGTTACACCGCCTGTTTCATTCCCAAACAAAACGTTATGGTGTGTGTTGGCATTGGCAGCTTTATTCCAACCGACGCGGGCGTTCAAGGTGGACAGTAGGGCGTTGGTGTAAAGCTTTGACAAAGCAAAGTCCCAGATGAAGTTACTGAGAAAATGTCAGCAAAAGTTACTGGTCGTAAAGGCAGCGTGAACATACATAGTTGTGCGCTAGACTGATGTAAATAAACAATGATGGAGAATAGGCACTTGGGGACGTACCGGAAGTGCCAAGAAGAAAATGACATCCAGAGCTGCAAAGATGGCGGTTATCAAACCGGTTTGGATAGTTACTGAACAACATTGTAGGTCAGCATAGAAGAAAGGTAGCTCGCGAGCTGTGATCACCCACATCTTATTATCCTATTGACGGCATCGTCCGTATTGCTTATTCCTGTCTTTCGACGAGACTACAAGAATTCCGACTTAGCTGATCGGTGAGGGACACCGTATCACACGCACCAAGCTAAAGGCGAGCGATGCTGTTATGATGACATCAGCGATAGCGGACGCAAGTAGCCAGGTCAGCGCGGGCCAATGAAGCTCAGGCTTGCGGTCAAATCGACGAATGATAGTCACAGTAATCCCAGTCCAGAACCCGCCACCCATAGAGATGAATGCGAATATACAAATGAGACCAGCCAGCCATTTAGCCCTGCTGATGATGAAAATTCTCCACGCTACGAAGATTTGGATTGGGGTGGATATCAGAACCTGAACTGAGTTAGGACACGACAGTCGAGGGGGAAATCGACAGGGCTTACTGTGACTATTGGATCTGTGTAAACCGAAAGTTGAGCCCATCGTTAGAATAGGTATCACGAAACCTACCGGTGGCGAGCACTGCAGTCAACCGTGATTAAAGCCGGCTGAGCGAACAAAGTCGTGCTTACTGATTGGGAAGAACGTCGTCGCCTTGGATGTCTCTGGTTCGAGAGTTGTATGTAAGTAAGATACAGACACTGTAGAGCATGAATACTTGCCGAAGTTGAGAATAAGTGGTTCGTACACCATGACGATATCCAGGGCACTGTTAACAGTCTCTGCTATAAAAAGGTAGAGCATCTAACGCCTTGTTAGCCGTTGTTCACTATATCATGGATTTCACGCACGAAGTACCGTAGCCACGCTGCATCCCTATTTGAGTCGTGTCAGTGCCTCATGTTTGATCAAAAATCTAGTTTATAAACGAACTTCTTGTATGTCTGATAATATATGAATGACTAAGCTAACGTTTGAGTGGGGTGCAGCCCTCCTTTCGGACTAGCTTTACCTGGACGACAAGAATCTGCAGCTTTGTGTCAGTGGCAGACAATTGCAAATACTACAAGACCAGACGCACCCCGTACAAAATAGTATTGAAAAGGACCCCAATGAGCATGGGTCCGAATCTGAGTAGATATGTGTGTCAACTGTAAGCTGGCCTACCGAGGTGAGATGAGAAATGCCAACGCACAGTAGCTTTGTGGAGGGCATCTTGACAATAAAGCCTCCTCTGCGAAGACCAGCCGGTTTTCCTAACTATATGAATAGCTGCACTCAATCGGACGGTGGGCGTCACGGATGCCGTCGTGGGGTAATGGCGCCCATGAATACTGCTGCTGCTGCTGAAATTTATCATAGCGTATTGATCGGCTAAGGTTGACGTTGATGATGGGGTCCATAAGACGTTCAAGCGTGGTGGTGTCGGGAATAAGCAGGCAGAACCGGCGTCCGAGGAACCCACTTTCAGGCTCCAAGCGCAGCATGTGTGTTATCCCCACCTGGAAGGGTGTTACAGACACAAACAATTGGAAGTCTAAGGGCCTACATTAGGTTGTACATTGAGGCCGCTGTGCTGGGGCACCTCCAGCGGGAAGACAGTGCATATTATGAACTAGCCCGACATTTCGTTGTAAGGGCCGAGACTTAGAATGACGATGTTCTCTATCTCGACAAGGAGGATAGGATACCTATGAACTGATCATTAAATGTTGTAAACCGATCACGGTAAAGCTATACGTTGGAGTTTACGCGTTTCCTTTCAGTGACAGATCAAGGATGTCATGTTGTGGATTGATTCTTCCGACGACGTGTGATAGCTCGGGATCCATTTCAAACTGACCTGCAGTGAACTACGGTTCGGAGTTCAGTAAAAGTCTTGCGAGCATTGAATTATCACTGACAGGCTGTGGATTGATTTCATTGATGGATTTACGAGAGTTTCTGAACTGAAACTGGATAAGTACGATAGTTAAGTCAGTATTTGGAACAGCAGCGGGCGAAGTTCACCCACTCTGGTGTTTGTTATCACAAGCGAAGTGGACGTTTCGTCTCCGAACAAGACATTGTGGTTTGCATGGGGGTTAGCAATCCGATCCCATCCAGTACGGGAATTCAGTGTTGACATTAAGACGTTTGAATACAGTTTGCCTAGTGCGAGGTCCCATATGAAGTTTCTTGAAAATCCGGGGTTAGTTTATGAAGCTGACCTGTTAGGGAGCACGTACAGTGTTGTGTGCTTAAAGACAAGACCCAAGTCAGTATGTTATTGTTCGAAATACGTTTCAACACTTACTGGGGATACCAGGAAGAAGACGACATCCAGTATCGCGAATAACGCACTGATTTGAGGGTTATTTGCTTGAAATTCTTGTAATTCAGACAGGCCAACTCACGTTATCATCCCTGTCTGAATGGTGACTGAAAGCATCGCTCAGAGGTTGCGTAAATGTCGCATTTTGTACTCACATCGTATTACCCGTTCAATGACATTGTCCGTATCTTTGAATCCCGTCTTCCTTTTGTACTAAGGGACCTATGATGAATCGAAGGCATAAACGAACGGATCAAGCCAACTGACCAGACTGTACACCAGCGTCGATGTGATGAGAGCATCCGCGATGGCGGATGCAAGGAGCCACGTCAATGCGGGCCAGTGCAATTCTGGCTTGCGAGAGAAGACGCGAATTGTAGCGACGGTGATGCACGTCCATATGCCACCCGCTGTGAGAGAAATATATTTGTCAGTGGGGCCATTTGTCCCGAAGGAGTCTTGGACTAACCAAGCGAGATGACCCCAAGAATACAAATCAACGCAGGCATTAGCCATGACCTACTGATAATACTGATGCGCCAAGCGACGAATAATTGGATTGGCGTAGAAATTGCTACCTTCGTACGCGAGTGGGTGAGAGGTGCCATAACGATAGGTCGGAAACATACTGTGATTATTGGATCTGTGAAACGAAGGAAGGTTCAATGAACAACTACTCGTGACGATATGGAGGGGGCAGTGTACCAGCAGCAATCACTGAAGACATGTCGGGTTCAGCAGGACAATGACGCGGGACCGGAGTGACTCACTTGTGGGGAAATACGTGATTGCGTCCGGGGTACCTGTAGAGCCACTCGTGAACATTGGATCGCATACTAGGTGGCACTGCATACCGAAATTCAGAATCAATGGCTCATACATCATGGCAATGTCAAACACGGTATTACATGTCTCAAGGACAAGTAGGTATAGTATCTAGAAAGGAACAAGTCAGTGTCGTGTTCATATTCTTGATTGTAGAGGCGGCTCACGAAATGTCTAATCCATGCAGAGTCCCTGACGGATGTTAAGCACAGACATGGTTGGAAGCGGAAATTCCGATGCGTACTTATATGTTTGAAAGTACAGTAGCATCTGGCGACAACGTCGGGTCAGATGCAGGTTTTCTGCATGGTAGTTGGCTCACCTGAACTACCAGGACCTGATAATCCATTAAAATGCTTCAGGGCGCGTGGGGTGCTGAGGACTTACTCCATACAGGATGGTATTGAAGAAAACACCAATGAGCATGGGCCCAAATCTTCAGCTTGATCAGCGCAGTTGACATGGAAATCGTGGACGACATACAGGAGTTTTGCGGAGGGCATCGCTGCTGGGCTGAAGGAAGGGAGCGAAGAAGGGGCCCCACAAAGAAAGCGTTCCCGATAACACCCCAACCGAGTGTCTATCATTGTCATTGCGAGCAAAGGAACAATCAGTCCATTCGGCTACCGCGCGCAGAGCGCTGATTGCTGTGAGAAGTTAAAGTCATCAAATCGACCATCACTGACCGGTGACCACTCGCATCAATCGTAGGGTTTACTGAGCGTAATTTTGATGGTACATGGGGTTGCGAGGGAACGGTCGTCTACTTTCGGCAGCTGAGTCTAATGTCCGCGTGTACAGTTGCAACATCTGCTCAGTTAGTGCCATCATTGGGTACGGGTGTTCTTGGTTCCAAAGGAACGGCCAGAACTGTGAGACGATATTATACGGGAAGAAAAGGTACAACGTACTATTACAACTTATCTACATCAAGCATCAAACCTTCTGTAGTTCCAGCGCCTTGAGGTGATCCATACCACAAGCCCCTAGGTTCCAGTTCTTAACTAACCTGTACTTCCGAGACTTGCTGCAGCCTTCTACATCGCACTTTGCTGGAGAGGGATTTGGCGGTCGAGCGGGCTCTGGAGGCTCCGGTAGGGCAGCAATGGGAACTGAAAATGAAAGTTGCATGTTGGCATTCTTTGAGCTAGATATCCACCTGTACGTGTTAGGAGGGGTCGGTGCACGAGGCGGTTCCGCTGGTTCAGCATCGGGGTCGGCAGCCTCGTCGTCTCCAGCGTTGTTCTTGTCCTCAGTATTTGCAAGCGCGTTCTTCTTGCCTCTTGGTCGTGTTTGCTTTTTCAGCAACCGGTTGATGGTTTCCATCTACGGACCTCCTTGTAAAAAGACGCGGACGCGGACGCCGCCACACTCACCTTCTCATCTTCAAGTTTCTTTTCCGTTAGATTCCTTCGTTTCCGGGCGGTTTCTTCCCGACGCAGAGCGAGCTCTGTCTCGTTAAGCGTCTTTTTCTTCTTCGAGCCTTCGTCTGTGGGATGTCAGCTAGGATCCCCGAGGCCCGACGAAAAACTCACTGAGAGAGACGTGTGATGGGTCTACAACGCTGGCCAGCACCGCTTGTCGCGTCGTCATAGGCTTGCCAGAGGGGTTGTACTCGGTTTCGTCGTCTTCATCCTCCGACTCTATGTCAATGTCTATACGTACGTGAGCTCAGCCAACTTCAAGTTGTAGGATGATTAACGAACCACGGGAGGGACCGCGTCGCGAACTAGCCTTAGAAGGTCCCACATCGTCTGGCGCGGGTGTAGGCGTCGCTGTAGTTGGCGTCGAACCCGAATGGGCGGGGAATTTAATCTTGATTTTCAGCCGTGGTTGAGGAGGGGGGGATGGCTCCTCTTCGTCTTCTTCTTCCTCAGCAGCACCCTGCATTGTCCGCCGCTGAGATTTAGCCCTCAAAGACCTGGTGAAACTGAACGGATCACGCACCGACTGTATCTCATCCTCCTCTGAGGAGCGCTCAATGTCAAGCACCTCTGCTTCGTCGTCCATCGGGGCGTCGGACTCGCCTTCGTCTGATATCTGCATGTCTTTCGTTACGTATGGAAGGATAGCCAGGCGGTGAGAAGCTTTATGGGGTTCCCAGGCTGTGGAAGTTCTTACCTTGGCCATCACTGGAAATCTCGTCGTCACTGTAATCGGGTACGATTGCCATGGTATTGGACAATGTGGAGAAGGCAGGAGTACAGCCAGTACTGAGTAGCTGCTCAAAGCAGAAACAGGGGGGCTGCCGTCGATCACACCGACAATTTCCTTTTCAAGCGACTCTTTTGCCCGCCCTTATGTCGGGGTATGCGCGGCTCTATCACATTTAGTACTATACAGAGTTATTTTCTACGACGACATCCCCCATTTAAGTTCCATAGCCTCAGTTACCTTCGTCAAGACATGCTTCGTAGGTGTCCTCACCCAACCAGATCCGTCAGTGCAACTTGTCCAGATGCTTTTATGTTCATACTGCACTTCCTTCAGCAGCGGGCATACCCTTTTCCAAGTCAAGATGAACTCCCTCACATCGTCGTCAGACCCTGATCCAGGCCCCAAATTATCGTCGTGAATCGTGTATATCTCACGATCGAGGTTCCTCGTTTGCCCAATGTGTTGGTTGATCTCTCGGAGTAGAACTGGCTTGAACACGCGCACGGTATCGAGCAGTGGAAATTTGTGCAGGAAGTGGTGGCACATGCTAAGCAGCGTTTGCTGGCGGGGGCCGTCAGATGGCACAGGCACGAAACGCTGCAAAAACTTACCTCGGAGGGGTTATTAACGACGTACATGACGGCGAGCTCACGCAAATGGGCGAATTTTGAGGATATGACATACAGCACTTCGTCTTCCCAGGCTGGGAGGAGGAACCCGAGGCTCTGCAGCTCAGGCTGCCTCGTAGAGATAACCTCCATGCACGTAATGAACGGTTGGTGGTAGCGAAGGACGTCAGTGATGTTGAGCCGACGGAGCGGTCTGTTTAGCAGCAGCACCGCGGCGTTCATCGGCCCGGAGAACGAGGTTAGATTGGGCAAAGCTGTGGTAGGGAGGTGGAATGCATGGAGTTTGTGAGTAAAGCTAAGAGATTCGATAGTGGGCGAATTGCCAAGGAAGATGGCGAGCGCGTCGGTGTAGAGCCTGCGGGCAATGTTGTCTTGCTTAGGCCATAGATGTTCGTGAGGGAGACGTATCTCTACGTCCTTCACGTTCTGTGCAAGCACGTAATTGGTGGCTCCCAGAGCGTCAGAATAGGAGAAAAATGAAGCGGCCTTTCTCGTCCAGTCAATCTTGAGCGTTTGGATGGAAGCTGCTGTGCACAGGAAGTACGGGGTGAGGAAATCCATTGGTTGTTGTCTGTTAAACATAAAGCTGAAGCATTGTAGGGATAAATGAACGATTGGGAGATTGCTGAACGCAACGAGAACCTCATCAGTGTACGCGAGAGAGGGAAGGGTGCAATACTCGATGCAGAGATGCCGTAAATTCGGCAAGTTGAATATGGCGCGGTAAACGGACTCAGGGAGGGTGGTATCGAAGAAGGTGAGTTGGTTCAGATGGGTAAATGAAGAGATACGGGGGCCCATGAGCACGCTAGATACGCAGAACGGGTGAGCACCAGGGGCTCGCTCATGCAAGTCCTCAACCGATGCATGGAGTAGAGTGTGGTTTGGGGGTGGTTGCGGAAAGACCTGAAAGAGAAATGGTGGCTCCTCCTCGGCTGAGTGATGACCAGTGGTATGGTGCTGATGCACAATATCATCCTCGGCAAAGCCGTTGTGGTGAGACACTATCAACGTACGGGGGACGTCGGTCATATCAGTTAGGGATGCCGACATCCATTCTTGGAGATTAGCGGCGGTATGGAACGGCTCTAACCATTGAATGGTTCGATAGAGTGGTCTGTGAGCAAGGGCGCGGAATCGTCGACAGGCAAGGATGAGCCGAGCAAGATCCCCCGGGGTTTCGACGAAATCAAAGATGTGGATCCATAATTCGTTCGGCAATGCGTGGTGATCCATTTTGGACCTGAATTCGCGGTTTCAGAGGCGAGCAGTAGGGGAAGGGAAGGAGCGGTGGCTCACTACTTGCGCCCCTCGCCAATATTTGTCCTCTGTACAAGTCTCTGATGTATGTACGTTGAATGCTACCTGGTGCCGGTGATGGGGTAGTAATTCGGAACAAAAGCTACTCCCGCCATTGGAATATCGTATATCAGGGGTGAAGTACCCACGGTTACATAAATACTCCCACATGCTTTTGGCCCCTATATTTTCCGTTCAAAGATTCATATACATAGCTCATCCAAAGCTCATCAATTGCGTGGTCGGTTTATTAGAGCCTTGCTTCATGTGTTGGGACTCGACTGAAATTAAATTCTCACTAACTTAGAGTTACATTAGAAAGCCTTGAAGAACATTAGATATTGATCGTCAGAAGACGTCTCTTCAATTGATTGCCTGCGGCTCAGTTACTTACACAAATAATAGATAAGATTGATTGTACGTTCACACAGTCACTATTTACTTCACACGGTCATGAAATGCCTTTCCAATTTAGACTTCAACCTTTTTTTCAAATTTCTCAATGCGAGGTCATGCCTTCAAAATTTCGCATCAGATATCGCGATTATCGCTACGATTTCTCTACCTGCATCGTCTGCCTCGCCCAGCTCTCTACGTAGCGTCAAGATCGTTCACGATGGACCCCATCACTCAGTCTTTGGCTGCCTTGTCCATCAAGGCGACCGTGACACACCGTGATGCCGATTCGCCTGCAGCATGGCGAGACGCTCTCACTTCGACAACTGGAACCCCCGAATCATTTGAACTCATCAAAACCCTTGTTTTCAAGCCGAAAACAGCCAAGTCAGCGACCCCGGTCCCCGTTGTCGTTGTCGCACGCGAGGAGACGGAAACGAACTCCGGCGCGTTGGGGAAGAAGTTAAACTTGAAAGAACTACGCTTGGCCAATGAGGATCTGTTGAAAGACTTCTTTTCTTTGGATAAGAACTCGCGTGAGTCGCGGTTGAGCTCAAGATCGCCACGAGCGTGCTGATCTTGTCCAGTTTCTCCCCTGGCTTTGACATCCAAGTCATTTCCGAACGTTTTGACCGTCCTTGACGCCTCTATCGCTACATCATCTTCCCTGTTTGCGCTGCACGCTTCCTCATCCAGCTCTACGATTTTTGTTACCGGCCAGGATATTGTCAAGTACCTTCGTAGTCTTGAGACCGACGATGTCAAGGTTCAGGAGATCGACTTTCAAACTCTATCCGTCGCGAGTGCGCCTGGAGCTGCAGCACAGACGTCTAAAGCTCCTGCGAAAGAAAAAGAAGACGCCAAGATCGAAGGAGCGGTCCAGATCGCCATTGGTGTCAAGAAAGAGGTCGACTTTGCCGCTTGGTATACGAACGTCCTGATCAAGGCCGATATGCTGGACTACTACAGCGTCAGTGGGTGCTACATCCTCAAACCTTGGTCGTATAGCATCTGGGAAGAAATACAAGGTACATAGTGATGGTTAATCGGAAGTCTAGTTCCTTACTGTAAACTCTAGGGTGGTTTAATGCTCAGATCAAGGAATTGGGCGTGCAGAATTCATACTTCCCTATGTTCGTATCAGCAAAGGTTTTGGAGAGAGAAAAGGACCACATCGAGGGATTTTCTCCGGAGGTCGCTTGGGTTACTCGCGCCGGCCAGTCTGAGCTCGAGGAGCCGATTGCCATCCGCCCAACATCAGAAACCGCCATGTACCCCTACTACGCCAAATGGATCAAGAGCCACCGTGATCTTCCACTGAAGCTGAATCAATGGAACAGCGTCGTCCGCTGGGAGTTCAAGAACCCGCAACCATTCTTGCGTACGCGAGAGTTCCTCTGGCAAGAGGGCCATACCGCGCATCTTACGAAAGCGGAAGCCGATACTGAGGTTCGCCAGATCCTCGATTTGTACCGCCGCGTCTACGAAGAGCTCCTCGCTGTCCCCGTCATCCCCGGTATCAAGTCTGAGAAGGAGAAGTTTGCTGGTGGGTTGTACACAACGACGATCGAAGGCTTCATCCCTACCTCTGGACGAGGTATCCAGGCTGCAACGTCTCACTGCCTCGGCCAAAACTTCTCTCGGCCAGAAATGTTCAACATCTGCGTGGAAGACCCAAATGAAAGGGAAGCGAACGGTGACCCAAAGAAGCTGTACGTATGGCAAAACAGCTGGGGTTTATCCACTCGTACAATTGGTGTGATGGTGATGGTCCACGGTGATAACCAGGGTCTGGTGCTTCCGCCGCGAGTGGCGAGCATCCAGGTGGTTGTAGTGCCCTGTGGAATTACGGCGAAGACGACGGAAGAACAGCGAGCGAAGATCAACGATGCTTGTGACGAGCTGGCGAAGACGCTGAAGAAGTCGGGCATCAGGGTGAAAGCTGACCTCCGAGAGGGATATACGCCAGGATACAAATTCAACGACTGGGAACAAAAGGTGAGTGTACGTGACACGGTATATCACTATTATCGACGTTGTGGTGTTATAGGGTGTCCCTCTACGCCTTGAAATCGGGCCGAACGACCTTGCTAAGGAGCAGACATTGACTGTGCGTCGGGACACAGGGTTAAAGAACCCTGTATCGCTGAAGGATATTGGCGCGACGGTGTCGGCTCTTTTGGAGACCATTCAATCCGACATGTTCACTCGGGCGCGCGACACATATTTCTCTCGATTGAAACCAGTGACTAAGTGGGACGACGTAGTGCCAACGCTGGACGACAAATGTGTTGTTGTGATGCCTTGGTGCGAGGTTGAAGCATGCGAGGATGATATCAAGGAGCGCAGTGGGCGATCGTGAGTAGATTTCTGATCAGTCGGTTGGTGTTGTGACGACGCTCAAACACCCGCTAGGTCTGAACCTCAAGACGAGCGTGCGCCATCTGCTGGGGCCAAGTCGCTCGCCATTCCCTTTGACCAATCGCAATGGCCCGCCATAGAGCCTGGCACAACCAAGTGTCCTGCGTGTGGCAAGGATGCCAAGAGGTGGACGATGTTCGGCAGGTCATATTAGATGTGAAGAAAGGTAATCAGGGTATTCGCACTATCTATCCGTTGTATCATATACTTTTGCTGAAGTGTTGCTTGAGTTTGGAGTACGCACATCCAGAAAGTGTCGCTGTGAACGAGGTAGATACGATCCGGTTAGGTCGCCAGCACAGCCTATAGAACAGCAGCAGGTGCGGGCATGATCAGTCTCACCAAGCCGAGGTCATGGTCGCGATTGGGAAGGCACGCACCTAGCCGACAATAGAAGCCTTAATTACTTCAATCTCGCTTATCACCCTCTACATCTATCGCACGGACTTTCTATAACCTCACTCCTGTATTTTGTATGCAGCCTCGACGTGGTGAGCGACGACCGTCAGTAGAAGAGTCGCCAGCCGCAATGAGCGAGACTTGCACCATCGGAAGGCCTGCCCTCGCCACCCACGCGGTATCCTTCCCCGTAGAGCCCTTTGTTCAATGTACCAAGCGGTAAACTGCACGATCGGCCTCGCAAACAGAACCAAACCGACAGCCCTCGGGAAATCGTCCTTATTGTACCATGAAGTTTTGACTATTGACTATGAAAGTTGCTGTGACTAAGGAATCCCTCCAAAGAAGAACCTAGATCTCGAGGCGCCGAGGTATTGTCTAGCAAAGATGACAGCACATTCCACGGTAGACGTCACCGCCGAGATAACGCATTGTTGACCAGTATTAAATGATCATATGAGAATTTAAAAACAAGGAGGTACGCGGGTACGAGTGTAGAATGCTACTGAGGTGAAACGAGCCGCAGTTGACGTTCCCGACGTTGTATGAAGTGGGCTAGGCTTTGTTAGTTGTGGACAGAAAGTCCTATTTATGCTTTCCAGTATGGCGCCACGAGGTGGGATTGGTTTTGAGGCCAACAGAGGGCAGTATTCCAGAGAGCACAGCCTTCTAGGACGGGTTGGCGAACCAGTCCAGGTGCAATGAACCAGCTGTGGCCGAAGAGCAGATAGCAACCAACAAGATTCGAGGGTATAGTGGGTTAGGGTATCTGGGCGAGTTGTAAGAGGACGTAGAATCGTACAAGCGAGCTATCGGTTGAAATGGGGCCCAAGGCCTGCTTATGATCCTCGCAGTACCGTAGAAAGTACACATACATAGTTTCAGTCCCTTTGCAAACTCGAAAGTGCCGGCTTACCAGCCGACCCCTTGCTTGAAGCTGCGAAAATGTGGTAAAATATGCCTTACAGGAGGAGGCACGTACACAACTCGTATTCAGAGGATCAGTGAATGGGAGGTTTGCAACGTGAATTCAAGCGCTCTTTGTGTTCGATCTCGGGGGCATTTGAAGCAATCATTCAATGCGATGGACACGCCCTGAGACGGTCCCTGTAGTCCACTTGAACACATACCACTCCTTCCACGCAAAGCCGTTTTCCAAAACGTCAAAGCTTGAGGGAGCGCTATCTGTACCAGTCGTGTACCAGATCATCTTCCGTCCCCAACAAACTAATTGTTCCTCGGATTCATGACTATGATACTACGAGCGACACACATTTTCCGTATCAATTCGCGCTGACAATTGTCCCATGAACTAGATATCTGACGCGCTACTAATGTACAGGCTACAGACTCCAGAGAGAGTTCCTCGCTCAATCGACCACACAACATACAAAGTAGTGCATGCATGGCAACGGTATGGTGTGAACACTTGACTGCACGCGACTAGCAACTGCACTCAACAGAGCCAGGGGACTAGTGATTCACAAAGGAACTTCTGCAGCTACTTCTCTGACTTTTTGGGTGAGCAAGTTCGTTTGCTCCGTAAAAGTGAAAGTCGGGTTTTCCTTCTAGTAGATTGCCAGAAATCCCAAGTCAGGAAAACGTTTACTTATAATAACCATGGAAAAGCAGTTGGGTTTGGAGTCAGCTAACTGTTGTCAACGTCAGCACCCGCTGTCCACTGTCCACCAGGTCTACGGCCAGTGTCTGTGTCCGGTCTAGCGTCGACGAGGCCTACACAACTCGAAGCTCATACAAGTTCACACGAGGTATGACATACAACCCTTTGCGCACTATATCACGATGCCTTGATAAGTCGAGTATTTCAAAAACACGTACATAAATATCTATGATTGTTTTTTATATCAGTATCCGAGCGGCGAATCCAGATTTACAAGACCAGTACAAGACTTACAGCCATGGGGAGATGTGGCTCGGGCGAGGCTCGGGGTGACGTTATCGTTGATCCAGACTTTGGTTTTCATCCCGCAACGGCTATGCTAAATGGACCAGGGATATTGAGTGCCAGATAGAATGCTCGACTACTGCTGCAGCGGTTTCCGACACTGTGAGATAATGACATGCCTAGTTGCGTTTCTGACGGGCACAAGTACATCCACAATACGGACAAGAGTGACAAAGAGCCCCTGTTGCCATGGAAACGAAAGGAAGTGAGACAATCGGAGACGAAAATGATTTTACGATCACCGTCCGCCGATAGGGCTAAAGCCGTGGGCGCTAATCAGTATCGCCCTTCTTCCGAACGCACCTAGGCGTACATCGTACAAATTCATTTTTCTTTCTTACCACCACCATCATAGCGGGGGAGCGTCGCATTGACTGCTACTCTCTTTGCTGGCCGTACCACTCATTCTCTGGCGTCGTCGAATTTCATCAGCCGCCATGTCTTCACTCGTACCCTCACCACAGGACTCGTCATCTCATATGATGAAGACAACAAGGGCTGGCCGACCCTTCCACCGCGTGCGTTGAACTATACGCCCCCTTCGCCTGTACCTAACGTTTGGCTGCGCTTCAGGGAACTATCGAGCTATTTGGAATACTAATGATGTCTATGCAACTGAGCCTCCACCGACAGCACTTTCGTTCATTCCCCAACTCATTCACCGTGTGAGTAGCTTATCTCTTGGCGGGAAGGTATTGAGGAAGTTGACCTTGGAGCAGCGACGAAGCCGTTGAACACCTGAAGTCCGTGCGGTTCTCTCAATGTACCCGGGGCTCCGAAACAAGCGACCCGTTACGAATTATGACAACGACTAGAACGTTTACGTTCTCCATGACACGCGACATGGCTCGCGCGATAGTTCAGCATTTCATCGACGCTAGGCTTATAGAGAATGCAACCGATCCTATGCAGACCTTCGTGAAGGACCGCGGTATCTATACCATCAGCCATAAAGGCCTCCATGTCCTCGAGCGATTCACCGCGAAGAACGGCGTGGAATACCCGCAGCTTCCCATCCTCCTAGAAACCCAACCGATATGCGTAAAACTGATACAGCTGCAGAGACGATCAGAAGATGATGATATCGTGATCACAAGACCCATCATTCATGCACTCTTCCGCCGTTTTGCTGGAACTCGACCAAATTATATTTCCAAGAAAAGCGGGGACCAGGATTTATTTCAAAAACTCCACGAGCGCTCGAAAGGCATCGTCCTGAAGGATTTTACATCGACAGGCAAGCAACGCCACAAGCACCGTTGCTGCTTTTCCGCGGTCAGTGCGATGGAATGGATGTGTGACTTCACATCGGTCGTTGGCAGAGAGGAAGCAGCAGAGATTGCGGCCCAATTCTGTCGCTTCAGATTGATATCGCTAGTGAGCGAGGACGTGCGGGACGAAGACGCCATTGTCTTCACCGTCAGAGGATCAGGTCCGGACGAAGAAAAATATAGCGTGCGCCGTCTTGCTACTATGGCCCTTATGTCTTTTACTCACGATGTCAAATTTAGCGGGGGGAATTTGTGTGCAGTCAATCGGCGGTTTATACTGTGACAGACGAAGGGCGTCAGCTGCTTCACTGGAACGCCACACTTCTCTCAACTGTCATTGACAGCCTGAAATCGAAGTCGTCATCGTCCCTCGCTACGTCTGAATCAACGAGAGTTGATCATGATGGCACCCTTGCCGAACGACGTAGTGTGAAGGAAAGCAACTTTACCCGCCTTCGTTACGTCCTCGAAAAGCCAATGCTTCGTTCGCTTTTCCGTGAATTCCTCCGTGGCTCGTACTGCGAGGAGAACTTGTCGTTCTGGCTGGATGTCGGTGACTTCAAGCGCAAGTTCGCCGTTACGTCTAGTGTCAAGGTAGCAGATGATCAACCAGCTGGTGGCAAGTCTCACGGCCAAGAAGCCATGGAAAAGCATCACGATTACCTCGTGCGCCTTGGATTCCGGATATATAACAACTACTTGGCCCCATCTTGCCCCGCCGAACTGAGTATCGACTCTAGGCTACGCTCGGATTGCGTCAAGTTCTTAGACGAGGTACTAGCGACCGGACGGACAACCAAGGCATTCAGTACGCAGCTAGAACCCGAGCACAAGTCCGCCTTCGATACATCACAGCTACAAAGGATGATCAATCAATACGAGTCTATTTCTGCGAGCGTGTTCAAGACGATGGCTTTGGATTCGATACCCAAGGTAACGCGCTTCGCCCCTCCCTTCTATTACCCATCTGCTAATACACACTTCCCTCAGTTCTGCGACTCACCCACATATATCGACGCCCACAATCAACTAGAGCTAGAGGATTCAGGTAGCGACATCAAATTCTTGACGCCTTCCGACGAAACACCAGATCCAGACTTCAGCGGAATATACATCAGTGTCTCGCAACTGGCTGGCGAATCCAAATCCGGGAAATTTGTATAATGGGCTGCCGTTTGCATGTGCTTTCTGCGATCCGCTTCCGTCGAGCTCGCCATACGATCCAGTCGCACTAACGTTCACCCTCCAGGGCTTTCATACCAACGCAACATTTCCATCATCTCACCTTGTCACCGCCTCCCCACCATCACCCCTTGTGTTTGTAATGCAGTCCCTCCTCCGTTTCACACCTTGCCGACAATCGTTGTTATCTATCCATGCCCTCATCAAGACCTTCTGATCTCACGCTCTTCCAAAATGACTTTTCTTGAAACAATCTCCCTCTTTATCTTTACTGTAGCCCTTCGTTCATCCATTGGACTTCTACTGTTATTCATAATGCATTTATGTCCTCGGCCCTTGGCGGCTTAATATATTTCGGTATTGTACTAGTGTAACGCTTGTGTGGTCTTGTCCGGATCCCCGTAGCTACAGCCTGGCTCATTACCATTACTATCGGTTGCTTCTCTATTATAATACGTCAACATCTTGGTACCTATGTATTTATGTATTTATATCCGGAACCTTGGAAGCTTGGAACTCAGTAAACTGCTTCGCGTTTGTACTAATATGAAAGCTCTCGTTAGCACAATTTACATGATGTTATAGTTCAACCGAGAGGTGACTAGTTGACTCATTATGAGCATCTAGAATCCAAGATAACCGAAATGAATGAATGAATGATGCGTTGTGGTTTCCAGTCTCTTTACATATTGTCTGAAAACAGTGTGTACATGTAGACGTACTTGCAGCAGAAATGTGGTATGATAGATCAAGATCCCAGAAAGAAAGTACCCAATGAAGGTACCGCCGGAAGGCCCCCGATGCCTCTATGCTATGGTCTCGTGGAGACTCGGAGAGCCGTGGTATGTAGAAATACAGGGCTATGCATTGATAGCCCTCTCGTCGCCGTCGTAAATGCTGAAGTCTCACTCTGCTTCCGCTTCATAATCTTCATCGTGCCCGTCAGCCACCGATCTTTTCGATGTGCCCCGCTGCTCCGAGACGGTCAACCATGCTTCAAGACGCCGCCCAAGCTCACCGCCACGACCGCCACAAATATCCCCGGACGTATCCAACATCTGCTCTTTGTCCTTCTCCTTCGGGAAAGGCAGCTTGGACGTTGTCTTCCGCCGCGCAGCTTGCGTTGAAGCGAGCATGGCTTGGAGCTCCCCTAATGAAGATTCGCTTTCTCTCGATTCGGGCGCCAAGGCGGCTGAATCTGGAACGGGATCTTCGGGCTCCTTGAACCACTCATCCTCCATGTCTTCCGACCCGAGAATACTATCCGCAAGGCCTTCCTCCCAACCGTCCCATTCAATGTACCTGTGTGCCATGCGTAGACGGGTTCCAGCGTGTTCGTAATACAGCCAATCCCGAGCAAGGGTTGTGTAATCGAACGTCTTTCCCGATCTCGGAACAGTTACTGTGGACTTCGTGGCCCCTAGCCGGGCGACGGATTCCCTAAACAAATTCGCTACGAATGGACTTGACTGAAGGAATGCAGGAAGATGGGCGCATGCCCACAACGGTCTAGTGGTCGTTGATTCCCAATCAATGATACACGTCTGCAAGCGGAGGTTACATCAGATTTCCGGCTCATGAAGACATATGTCAAGACGTACGATTTTCGTGTTATCGTGGGCGTCAACGAACACGTTCTCCAAGCTGAGGTCATGGCAATCAAGCCCAAACTCTTCTGAATTATCACGTCGCTCGAGTGCAGCCGTCAGACGTGTCATCAACTTCATGAATCTCTGCATCTCCGTTCTCACTCTCTCCTCGCGCTCTGACAGATGCGCTACCAAGAACGTGCTTCGCTGCATCCGTCGGTAGTCCCTGTACATAGCGTCTCCAGGCCCTTCCCATTCTTCCTCACTTTCCTCGAGATCATATTCGTCGCTGTCGTCACTTTGGTCATCTGGGACAGCGCTAAGGTGGTGATGCCGTGAAGAATGGATTTCATCCGGGTCAAGATGAAGCCGATGAGGTGCAGACTTTCCTTCGTTCTCCCGAATGACGCCAGAAATCTCCCGGTTAGCGCAGGCTTCGAAATACGCGGAAGCTGATGCCCAAGGGCCCCGATCGAGTTCTCTTGTAGATAGATCACCACGCCCAGAGCCGAAGAAGGGCCAAGAAATGATAGGACCGACAGTAATCTCTTGGGAAGCGGGCTTAGGTGTGGGCTTCTGCAGTTTTCGCGCGACTGCAAGAGAAAGATTCGCTGCGTTGTTGACCGGCAAGAAGGGGAACGAAGTATATGGATGCTCAGAAGCGCGAGGGGTAGCAGCGGAAGAGGGTTGCACCACAGTTCTGTTAGCTGATGAATCGAAGTAAAGAGATCCAAGTTGGGGGAAGCGGTGAGCGAATAGGGGTATTATAAGCGCGGCCAGGTTGTCAAGGAGTTTCACCAGCTCGTTATAGGGCATGGAGTGGTACACTCGGGATAACGGAATCCCGGAAGCCTTCGAAGTGGTCCTCAGCCATATGTCACAATCAACACGCGAGGTCGCATCGCACTTACCTTGGACATTAAGATATACTCGCCCCCTAGCCGATTATAGGGATTAGAATCATAGTGATAGACGGTGGGTACAGGGATGTTCGTGTTCTCGCGTAAGTAGCTCATGGTTGCGACTTCTGATTCTGTCTTGAGACGCGGCATAAACCTCCGTGCCACTCGTGCCACTAGCTCAGAACGGTCAGCCAGTGTAACCAGATACGCCTGAAGATGCCAGTTAGTCATCCGGAAATGTTACGGCGGGATAGCGCAGCGCTCGCCTTGTGAAATGTGCCTGACAAACGGTGATATTGTGAGCAACGGATACGTATCCCGGTTGCCGGGGGACTCACCAGAGCTGAGGAATGAGATCCTGCCGACATCAACGCCCACTTTTTCTGTGACAACGTCCTTCAGAACTCTTCTGTCGACCAAGAACGGCGCCGCGCCATGCATAGCAGCATCTGCCTTGGCTTCCTTCCTTCGATCTTCGTGTTCTATGTCCCAGTCCCACTCCAGCTTGGGCGGAGGGGGCGGGGCGAGTGGTATGGCCATGATCGATGGGTTCTCCTTGAAATCGGGGGGATGCGGTAGACGGTCATCCTTGATCATGGCACCAAGGGTTTTATCTTCGCGTTTGTAGACCGCGTCCAGACGTTGTGCAGGCTTATCAATTGAGTCCAGACCGTACGTGAGCTGCTGACCGTTCAACGGGAGAGAAATGGCGACGGCCGTTGAGTTCCACTCGTTCAAGGGAGCCAGGAATTTAGAAACACTGTGATTGTGAGATTATGGAGAATATGGCGTATCAACGCGACGTACTTCGAAGAGTGAAGTTCATGATCAAAGCCAGTATGATATTTGGTCTTGTTTGTCGATCCCGTAATCTTGGCACATGCGACCCTTGCTGACGGCATTATGGTGAGGATGATCTAAAATCGTGAAGGGGGACGTCTAAAATCTAAGTTCTAAGAGGGAGGGTTCCAAGGAAATTACAATGCACCATAGACCTTATATACCGATATCAAAGAAGAGATAAATATGCCTCTTGGCAGCGCCGAGCCACACCATACCGAGGGAAATTACTGCAAGCTGACAGAAGAAGACGGCCGATACAGCTGGGCTAGTGGGACGGAGAGGCAGGCGGAAGGATGCCCTCCCTTACGGAGAAACAAACTCGATGATATCTCGGTTACGCGAATGAGCACATTCCAACTCCGAGAACCAACCCGACCGGGCCCGCTCATGGGATACACATTCACGCTGGTGTGCTGCTGATACGACTGAAATAGATCAAGGTAGCTGGGGAAGAGGAGCGCAAGCGCCAGACACTGTTGAATACGACTGAGCACTGGATCTGTCGGCACCGATCTCGTCACCAGGCGCTGGTGCCGTCGATCTTGTGTATATGTATCTAGTTTGTAGCGTATCCTTGGCCACACGCCAAGCCATGCACGCGTGCAGGTAGAGTTTTCTCTCCCAGGAGTGTACACTTGCGGGCTTAAGGCGGCGTATCCGACGCTATGGAGTTGGAGGTGGGACATGTATACATGAGATTTAGCTCATGAGAAACCTCGACAGCGGTCCAGTCGTGTCATCCGAGGTATGCGCACGACTTCTGGCATGTTCAATGGGTTTCTGATTGAAATTGAAAATATCTAGGTTCTGGTGATTGACTTTCTGTACGAGTTGTATCGCTCGCTGACATTTTGACGGTGAGAAATTAAGATGATAGTCACTGGGAAATATATGTGAGCTACGAGCCACAATACACGTGCAAACGTGTTACATGTAGTATATTCGAGAACCAGCTTGAGGACCCAAGTACTCAAGTCGCCAACTAGGTTGTAAGTGGCGATCGCTCCAAACAGTGACAAACCGATCACGACACCGGCCCCTATTCATTTGGACGCTTTGCAACGATGAAGAAGCCTTTCATTGTATTATATCGCATCGTGGCTCTGGCTCTAGGCGTTATACTTGCGTGAGTAATCCCTCGTTAACACAACGACATCTCAACGATGGGCTCATATTGTGGAATGATATTTGGTGGAGGATTGCATCCTTACTGTTTGAGAGTCTGCGACAACTCAGAACGTGCACAAAGACCGAGGCCGCCATAGGATGTGTCTCCTTAAGTGATCGGATTGCGCATCAATTTGATTGATTAGTGAGGGGCCCGTACTGATTTGTGAGTCTCAAATGGTGTCTACCCGCCAGAAAGCCGTTCATCCTGGACTACTCGTCCACTTTGCCACAAAACTACTCTTGTTTTGCTGTTATATCAGCGAGATAATCGGTGGATGGCGCTATAATGGGGATACACACATATCCTTGCTTTACTTCCATTGGCCCATCCAACCCATCGCTCGAAGTCTCATCCCTTTCTTGTATGGCTTCGCGCGCTTCTCTTGTACGTCGCGTCATATCCCCATAATGTATCTATTTTGCATCAGGCTCGACATTATCAACGACGACGACCAGGTAGAGGAGGTCGTGAGCACCACCAGAAAGCAAGACACAACCGAACGTCCTGCTATTCTGTTCATTGTTGGAGTATAGGGTTATGGTAAGTATTTTGCCTGCTCTCGGGGTCGCTCAGAACTATGGTGCGGATCAGGCCTTCACCTTAATGCCCATTGTAGTCGTCTTTCGAGCTCCTGCATTTATCTCCTTTCTCCTGTCTCTGTCTCCTAACCCAATTATTCCAACCGTAGCCCACTTTCCTTGTCATCGGACGTGAAAAGCACGTAGGTGACTATCGGACCAAATCCATGGACTTCGGTATCAGTAATCAAGCAAGGCCCAGGGACGTCTGTTGAGGATTTCCCTATCGAGCGACCGGTGACAATCTCATAGCGACCGAATGGTCCCGGGGCTGGCTTCACTCCAGACTCCGCTGTATCACTGATCAGGTATGGTATTGACTTGCATGGCTAAGTCGTAGCAAGCTTCATCGCAAAGGCACCGCCGTAGACGATATACTGATGACTGGTAAGATATGCTGCGTCCATACACATCAAACCTTTGTAACTAGTGACTGATGTGACTGAGGACTTAACAAAAGAGACGCCGATAACGTGACCTCGGCTACAGCGTGGAAGTAAGTACAATCAATCTCCGACTGATGAATTGGATGGTCAACGATGCTCTCCGATTATCCCTCACTTCGCCAGTCTCGCTGCCTGTCGGTCTATCTCTGCCATCAACCCCTCTGTAATGACCCGGTGCCCCCGATATTTCTTCGATGCCCACGCTGAAAGTCTCCCATCCAAGCCATGACTATAAAACATCATGAAGCGGCGAGATCTCCATGCGAAGCTATTTAAATTTCGAGTTCACAGTCAGTAAATCTCTAGTCCAAGAATTATTAGAGCTTACCGTCGCATAGACTCAAGGGGAACCGAGTCCAAGGCAGAAATAACATTTAGCTCAAGATCTGCCTCCTTGGATGACGGTGGGTATTGCCGGTAAATTCTCTTTGCATACCCCCAACATTGTTCAATAAAATTGAGCTCGCAGTGGAACTTTGGCAGAAACATGACTGCAAACCCTCTTCCTTTGCAGGCAGTCTCCAAAAGCGACTCCGTTCCGGCGAAATCTGGCTGGTTAAACAGCACGCGGCGGCAGCAACACATTGTTGCCCCAGGAGGGCACTTGAATCCCTTACACTCGGCTCGCAGCTTTGACTCTTCGACGAGGCCTCTCTCTTGTAAGATAATTGCCATCCCTTTGAATAAACCTGAATGCTGATGGCCTATTGGGAAATAGAATGATTGCGGAGCACCGGAGGGTAACTGACCATGGCACATATTTGCCTTCGTTCTGATTAACTTCCCGCTTGGGTGGTAAAGCGCGGAACCATCAGGAGATGTCGCTGTCACATCAACACCCCAGTTCCTTCCTAGTTTAGATGTTCCCTTGGGCATTTTTCGGGCAGAGAGAGCATCATCGGCGCGTTTCAGGTGAGTCGTGGCGTTGTCAAAGACTAGGATGTGTTCCTCATTGGGGTAATGTTGTGTCAAGATATCCATGGCTTTCTTGGCATGCGCAAGGATGTCTTCATTGGTGAAGTAACCCTCTCGGTTCTTGCCCGCCTTGAAGAGGACTCGACTCGATTCAGTGCCATCGGGTGAGCGTAAGAAACTGTAGTCTGCTGAAACAAAGTCGGCAACCATTAACGAAGCACCTTCTCCCTTGGGCCGCGGCATTGCAGTCTCCGATTTGTGGACCCACCGTCTACGCCGCCGATCATTTGCATAGAAGGTGGACTCATCGTGGAACCACACGACAATCTGGCGCTCCCTTGGTCCATACACTGGAGGATGGGCCGACAGCAGAACCTCTTCCTCCATCATATTCTCCTCCTTCCATTGTCGTGTTCGAGATTGAATATTGTTCCATGCTGGCAGGAAGATATTTTGACGGTAGTGCACTACATCAACACGCTCGTGTCCATCAACAAATTGACCGCTCGGACGAAGCGTCCACCGGTAACCCATCCTTTTCATCCAACGTTGCGCTGTGACCTCTGATATACGCCTCTTCATTCCCAGCCGTGTCTTGACCTCGTCCTGGTCTAGATAATCACAAATATCCTTTGCGCAAACATACTCACCAACGGTCTGAAGATGTAAGTGAATCTCTTGTACGAAATCTTCATCATCAATCCGTGATTTTGCCCAGCTGCCGTAGATACTGATTGGTAGTGTCCCGCGATCTGCGATGAAGGCGCGTGTCCACTCTCGCAACTTCCGAGCTGCCCAGGGTCCCTTCTCTGCACAACGAGCAACATGAAGAGCCGCCACCCCCCACTGTGAGCACGGCCTCATGCCGCTTAATACTGGGCTTGATTCTGACTTGTCTGTGTAGATATGTAGCAACATCTTCATCTGCTCTAGGCGGGTGCGTGTGAGAAGGTCTAGTTGTGGGTCCTTGTAACCCTTGCCTGTTTGGCGTGGCGGATGCAAGATGAGCTTGATGTCGTCTAATGCAGAATGTGTGTCTTCCATGGAGGGAGCCAGGCGTGTTTTGATGTTATGCCATAGCTCCTTGTGTATGTGCACATGCTCCGGGCCACTGGTGTGTTCATCCTCTCGATTCATCGGCTGGTTTATCACTAATCTTTCTGTTCCTTGATCTGCTGTTGATTCTTCGGCTTCCCTCTGACTATCTCTAGTGCCCTCAAGTTCCACTTCATCTTCGGAATCGCTGCTCTCCAAATCCGACCCCCAATCAAACTGACCCGGAGTGGTGTACTCGTTATCACGGTCAGGGATGCTGGAAGCCAAGTCACTGTCCTCATCTTCACTCACTAAAGTCTCGCCAACGGTGCTTCGGGAAACCCAGAATGTCTGCGTGAGATTGGCACGAGTGAGCCAATCATCATCGGGACCAGCGGCTGTGATCTCTGTCTGACATGATGGCATCAACGGTGTGGTGGATTCCATATCGTACTTCGTGGTGCCTTCCATTGACTGCGGCATCTATCAATGTAGTTTTGGAACCATAGTCTGCAGAAGATCTAGATTCTCACATTCTCTTTATTCTCGTTGTTCTTTTCTCTCTTCCCCTTCTTCACACCGAGTTGACCTAGATTCCTGTGCCGGGACATGGGTTTTTTCCGCTTATCACCCATGATGCAATGGTGTGGTTCACTCTTTCCAAAATGGGACACCCATTGGTTCTGGCACGTCTAGCGCTTAAGTATGATAGCCGCAATAATTCGTTTACAATCCGTACAGTGCATTTATTCCTTATTCACAACTATGGTAATCTTGAGAATTGATATTTATGAATATCTATAGTTCTCATTTTTTGTGAAATCAGATCGTAGAAATATTGACTTATTATCTTCACTTTGTCACCTCTTGTAACGCTTCCCACGCCCGAGGTTTGATGTGTATGGACGCAGCATATCTTATAACATCTGGTCCTAGGCACACACGCTATGTAAACCAATCACCAACGAATGTCTACTTACGGAGACAAGCTTCTGCCGGCATACATCCACGACGTCCAGCATTTCATAAGGACAATCCTCACAGCGGGGTGACAGTCAAGGAATGTCGAGGCACCAGTCTCAGGCAGATGGGGGGCGGCCGCACGGAGGATGGAAGTCGGGGGTCAGTCTAGGCATGTGTAAGTGCTTGGGTCCAATATGGCGAGGCAAGTGCAGTTGAAGACAGCGCCATTCTTGCCTGACCCTCATGTAATCAGTTCCTCGCGGAGAGGTATAAAGAGGGAGAGACATTGTACTGCCTCTCCATTCCTCAGCCAACTCTTCAATTCATCGCTTGTAAGATACTACCACTTCTGTATCTCGCAATTGATAACTTTGCTTACTGTATACATTTTCTCCTATGCAGTATCGACAACGACATGTCCACCGACGATTTTCAGACGGAAACCGCTCTTAGCAGCAAGGGGAACGAATACACGATCACCAGGCCCGTCGGCGGCGAAGTTGTCAACTCCTTTTCTTCGAGCAATTCGAAGGAGAACTTCGGCATCAGCGTTGTTTGGAAACCCCAAGGCTCTGCCGAGTGGATCCACACACCCCAGGAGGTGCATGAGACGGCGGCCATCACCAGATACAAGCTCGTACAACATGAGACCAATAGCGACGGAGAGACCCTATGCACACTCCATTTCACAAACACGAAGAGCTACGGATATCATTTCTTCGATCAGACGGGTGATAAGTACTGGGTGAGCACCTGGTTGAAGGGCAACCATTCCGTCGACTACAAGTCCAAGAAACCCACCATCGTCTTTATCACTGGAGATTAGAGCTGTGGCGCAAGGTACGCATATATGCCATCCTCTCAGACCGCTCAGCACTCAAGTACTAGGACTAGGCTCTTGCTTTTCGGTCGTTGTAGTACTCATGGACACTCATAACTACACTACGGCCTCTCCGCCTGTGTTCTGTGTTTATGTTCTATGTTGGCGTTTCTATTACAGGAGTCACGTACCTTTCGTCTAGTCATTATGTATTACATATGCGTATGTTTAAGCGACTTCGGCGAGGACCTCTGCAACCAAGTGGGAAGTACTTTGCACGATCGACCCAAACAGAACCAAACGAATGCGTCGCGAGAAATCGAGTTTCGCCCCTTGCCTCTCAACCGCAACATCTCCAATAGTTGGAAGGCCAAGTCCAATGGGAAAGGATCCCACAGAATATACGATCGCCACGTACCTCCCAATACGCCTTGCCGTGACGCATTATCATATGTCAGCGTAGACTGCGACTGAGTACTTCATTCCAAGCGCGAAGTCCAGGGGGCTGACAGACGAAAAGCCAGAGGTGCATATATCCGTATCGAGAGTCGCGGGGCAAGTCAAGAATCGTTGACTCTTCGCATACCTTGAGAGTGAGCTTTACACTTGGCACCGCATTATTAATGTTCCCTCTGGATTTAGGGCATGTACAGCTTCTAGAAGTCGCTGTGCCAAATCTGCGGCGAGGAGGTTGCGATAGTTCTGGTACCGGTGTATCTGAATGGCTTGATTTCCACTCAGTGATCGCTGCACCCGCATTCCATGATTTGATGGACAACTTACTTCATCTTCGGCGGCGGGCGCTACTTGTGGAATGAGGGGGATGCGGGGCGGAGAGTCAAACTCGACAACGAGGCGGGCTGTCTTTGAGCGTTGTATTGAATGTTGAGCTTGCATTGTGTATTGTGCAACGTATGCTTGTGAGTGGACAGTGCCGATTGTCTCGTGACTATGCCGAATCGGAATGGAATTCCAGGGGTCGTCTGCCAAACTTCCCCACATTTGCTTTGGACCTTTCTCCGACTTCACATCCTTCACGAGATGGCCAGTCCAACCAACTACTCTTTGGACGACGCCCGCAGATCGCTGGCTGAAGATGAATCAGCCTTGGGAAACTTGATCGTCGAAATTGACCAGGCTGAGGCGACCCTCGAGCGACTTGTCATGCAGTCTAAACAGGCGATAGAGAAAATGGTGCAGGAGCGCAGGCAACTTGAAGAGAAGATGTTCCAAACCAAAGCTTACCTCTCACCCATACGCCGCCTTCCAATTGAACTGCTTAGAACCATTTTCCTCTTTAATTTCGAAGATTATCCTTGCTGTGCTTGGGTTCTCGCTTCTGTCAGCACGCCATGGCGGAAGCTAGCCCTTTCGATGCCGAAACTGTGGTCAAAGGTGAGCTTAAGCGACCTCCCGTGCGCCCTGAACTTCACAAATGGATCCCGCAGATCCGCTTGATCACGACCCAGCAGTCCTCTGCTGACACTATTCGGCTGTGGCTTGAACGCTCTGGCCCGACGTGCCCTCTCGACATAGAGATATTCCTCCGAGTCACCAAGTCAGCACCCGATTTGCAACGCTCAGGTCGTGCATCATCGCCGGCCACATGGCCCTGTACACACGCAGCGCAGCAATATTTTATCCCCCCGCCTACGGGTACATCATCCACAACAGTGACCATCCTACCTCCTGCAAACACGCCGATCATCATACCTCCCTCTCCCGCGCAAAGCGACCCTTGGTCGGCGTCCCCGTCCCCCACCACCGAACGGCCGCCCCCAATCTTCTCTCGATCCAGCATGCACTGGGCACACATTGCGATATTCTACCTCGTCGAACAGATGTCGCGGTGGGAGAGATTCGTCTTCAGATTCGACAAGCAGTTCCCCTCAGCCGGTGCCTTACGATCCATCACCGGAGACGCACCATTGCTCAGGGTATTTGAGGTTTCGAGTGCGGAATCGTCGTATTACACCGATTGGCAATGGCTGCCCTGTGCGAGCTCTGGTACGCCTTTGTCCTTGCCCAGGTTGGAGAATATCACGCTGCAGAACACCCCCTTCAAGTGGTCTTCACCGATGTTCCAGACGAACCTCCGGTCCCTCACCCTCCGTGCTCTACAGAACAACCATTTATCCTTGGATCGTATCCTATGCATAGTATCTGCCAATCCGAATTTAGAAAGCCTGTCTCTCCATTTCTCTGGCGTTCTTCCGCCAATTTTGCCTATGCACACCACCACACTCGCCTCGCTGAAGGAGCTCAGTATAGGTGGCCATTACCTTTTCTTCCAACTCGTCGACTCGTTATTAGTCCCGAACATTGAATCCCTCAGCCTGGACATCGAACCTCGGGAGCCAGTTGAAGATGCGATATCCAATCTTCTCACTCGGTCCGGTCAACCACCTCTCGCCCACCTCTCAGTCGCGTATGGCAACAGTAATTCTTCCACGTTCTATTATGGACCAGCTGGTTTCGTTATCTCGTGGAACGTGCTCTCTGAGCTTAACCATCTACAATCACTTCGCATTGGTAGCACCTCGCTCGAGCCATTGCTGACCGCCCTCGGACCCCCGGATGAAGACTCAGGCCAGAGTCATTGGGCTTGTCCTAACCTGACCTCATTGGGGATGAAGAACTGTCACGCCCATAGTGAGGGAATCGCGAAGCTAGTCCAGATGGTCGATGCGAGAAACCCGAGCTCCGGTGGCGGTGGCAGTGGTACGACTGCGGTCAATGGTGTCGCCCCCGTGAAATTGAGAAGCCTGGAGCTGTATGACTGCGCTACGTTGGGGGAGGATGTCATTGGCTGGCTCAAAGGGAGGATTGACGAGGTCACCTGTACGGAACCCGCCTTTGAGCGGTGAGTATACCGTGTCTTCGCATGTTGACACCAGCTGACTCCAGGGAAAGTAGGTTGGTTCCAGTCAACCTTATCGGTTAGGCGAAACTTGCATGATTGAGGGTTCGTATGTATGGTATATTCCTATATCGGCTTGTTCGGTGGCTTTTGGCGTCGTCTCTCCTTCGACTTCTTTCTCTGAACGCATTATGGTTCATCATACGGCATTGGGTCACCTGTCCATGCTTTCATTTTACCGTGGAATCCATTGGAACAATGGCAACATTTTGTAAAATCAGCTATGTACACTCATCTCTCATTCATTTTGTACATATACGGCTTGCCTTTCATCCCACTGTGCTCCCCAGATTCGACCCACGATATGATACTGTACCTACCGATTTGTGTCATTCTACTCTTCCCTTTTTATATTTTTATTCGAGTGGACCTGGCTCATCAATCACTGTTGTTGTTATTGTTCTGTCATGTGTAGCTTATGTCGTCAGCGCATCAGCTTTGAGTTCGCGATCCGTCTAGGCATAACGGCATCCCTCCATGGAAGGGTGGAAGCGATAAGGCAATTGTATTCGGCTGCAATGGATACAGGAAATATAAAGATATACGTTAATAAGACAGCGATTGGAGAGAAATAGAGAAATAACGGGAGCGCAAAGCAGGCTCGGACAGAGGGACAAATTGATCATGCTACACTGTAAATACACGAGAGTCCGATGGGAACGAATAAGGAAGGCACTGGACGGAACAGCGATAAACTTCCCGATGACTTATCAGTACGGGAAAGGAGGAGTTAGCACGGATTTCGAGTAAAGAGTGTTGTTCTTGCAGACATATGAGAATCGATAAGGATGCAATCGCATACGTCGTAGCGATAGATGGAAATTGAACGAAGGTGTTGGAACTATGAAGATGAATGATGATGGTGATGGTGATGCTGTCCTCGAGCGCCGTGCGATCGCAGCGCGTGCTGGATTACTCTCATCCCTTCAAGGACCTTCTCTTCTTCAAACCTTCGGCCGACAACCTGGATGCCTACGGGAAGACCATGCATTTCCTCGGCATTGTATACGCTGTGCGCACCCCTGGCAATCATGTTGAAATTTCGATATTCTTGGGACGAGAAGAAGTCAATGGGATATGAATCGGTTAGTTTGTCCACTTTAGTCACAGGCATGACACCAGCTGAGTAGTCAAGCTAGAGTGACATTCGAATAAGTTCCACTGCTCTGCGAAATAGTGAGCTAATAATAGACTCACGAGGTTGAAGATCAAAGTTATTCCGGCACTCATCAAGGTCACTTTCTCACATTGTCGATGTTTGAATGCGGGGAGTGCGTGGGGTGGTGTCAGAACGAAGTCGAGGTTGTCGAGTTGCCACTGCTCGTGCCATTGAGCACGGTATTCGTCTCGGGCCGTGACGAGTTGCCGTTCTTCCACAATGGATTTCGGGTGGAGGATTTCGAGAAAGCCGGCGTAGATGGGATCAAAAGGTTTCAAGAAGTACGCGATAGCCTTTTTCAGAAACAAGGGAAGCGAAATGAGAGTGAAGACTGAGGAGAGTGCAGGTCCGGCGAATTCGGTTGGTTGAAGAGCAGATTTGACTTGAGCACCTGCAGGGTACCCAGGATGTCAGGTTCCCATAATGGTGGCGAGGTAAGAGGTTGATGGACTAACCTCCGTCAGCAAATACTAATTGATTGGCGATTTTAAGACCATCTATTATGCTTGGGGGCGAGCTAGCGGCTTCTGTTGAGCACCGTACGGTCAGAATGCGAATTTTCGGCTTACAAGTTCACTACTTCGTGCCCTTGTTCTTTCAGTGCGGATGCGGCTGTAGCGAGGGCGCGTCTGCATGCTGGGGACGCTGGAATGATCCCTGGGATGTATTTTAGTTGGGCCGACGTTGTGTGAGACAGTAGCTTACCATCATCCCAGACAATACCCCATTTCAGTTTGCGATTTTGTCCGAGTATGTCAACTGGCCGCCATTCCAAGGGTACGCACTGGACACATATAAGTAACGGATACAACATTGAGGATGGAAAATTCTCACGAGAGGGTCGTAAAACCACGGCTTCATACCGACCGTCCGTTTCCAGAATTCGGTCAAGTCCTCGAGGGTGGTGGCCATCGGTGCGCAGATGAGCTGTACGGCCTCGAAACCTGGCAGGGAAGAAGCCTGTCCCGTAGACGGAAGTCGTCCAGCACTGCCTTTCAGACTCCACAGACCGCAGAAATGAGCCGGGATTCGAACGCTACCACCAATATCTGACCCTATGTCAATCTTCGCCCCGCCAGAGGCAAGAAGGGCAGCCCCGCCACCTGACGATGCGCCACAAGTAAAAGCTGGATTATATGGGTTACTGGTGACGCCAAATAAATCTGATTCGGTCTCGAGTGAAAGTAGGCAGGTCGGAACGCTTGTTTTGACGTGGATCAGCGCGCCAGCGTCTTGAAGGAGGCGAACTATTGCGGAGGATTTGGCTGCAGGCCGACCGACGTTTCGGGAACAGCTGATGGTCGAGTCGTAGCCAGCGATATCGATAGTGTCCTTAATGCTGATGGGAACGCCGAGAAGGGGGCGGGCATGGACTGAGGTCGCTGAGTCAGATAGCCCGTAGGTTTGCTCCCTGGCCACACTTTTGAGGTCAAGGAGAGCTTGTAAGACCCGCACATCGGAAAGACAGTTAGTTGATTGCTGAGCGCTAAGTGTCTTCTTGCCAAAGGCCATCATGACCTCGGCGGGAGACAGGGTACTAGCGGTGCACTTGGAAACGATTTGAGAAAGTGAAAGACTGTGTATTTTCTCCTCATGATGAGAGAGAGGTTGGAAAAATGCGGAAGGAAGAGATTGGATTTTTCCCAGTCGCTCCTGCTGCTTCCAAGCGCTGTGCAGAGAAAGTCAATCAGTGATCGGTCTTCATGCAAAGGAGAAATGTAAACAGAGGTCCGTACCATGCGCGCTGGTGAGCAGACAGGGTGAAAGGGAAAAACATTACTTATGAGAATACAATCGCGAAGAACGAGTGGGGGAGGGGGACAAGACTCCTTGCCCTTCCTTGCCTCGTTGCAAGAGGCTTATGTATTAAAAGGGGGTCCCGTCCGAGGAACGACCCGCCTTCGCCTTCTGTCCAAGCCACATCATCAGAAGCGCCGCCGTTTGGCGATAAAGCTGCAGATTGAATACTTGCTATTTAGTAAAAGGGATGGACGAGAAATAATACAACCTTATGTGACGTTTCAGCTCTACCTCTGGCCCGAGAACGAGCCTAGATAGTAGTCAGATGGATGCCGTTGCCTTGCGAAGCAGTAGAAGCGGAGTTTTTGGGGGCAAAATGAGGGAAAAAGGCTGGCAAACTACCTCAACCTGTTAGATTGAGCTGACGGCAAGGGATCTCCCCATGCCTCCGTTCACACATTTTCATGACCCGAAGAAGGGATTTGCAGACTGTCCAAATGTCCAAAATTTTGAGCCCCGTGTTCTTGAAAGTGCGCTGGTGGGTGCAGCCTTCATGCGAGCATAACAACACGGTAACCGGTATACAAACGCTAAACGTTCGTATTTAGTCTCCGAGTATTAGCAGACTAGAAGCCCTCAAGGTACACCCAGGGCGTCTCGGTCCTCCGACAGGATTGAAGGCGGCGCCAGAGCTCCAGGGTTCTGGTAAGCATTCTTCTCTTGACCGTGAGACCACATGTACGCAATGCCTGGGTATCTCGATGGAGGTCAAAGACAACGGAGCAATGGCATTGGTCCAGGTTCTGGAGAGATCAGGGGCTTCTCCCGAGCGACGAATCTCTCTGGGTTTCTCATCAGGTTATCAGCAGCTGATCTCGCTGATTGAATGTTCCCTTGCCGCATGTTACCTATCAGTTCTCGCCTGGAAATATCATCACCAAGCACGCACCTATTAATCGTATGCCTGATCGTCCCTCATACCACCACGCCTTTCCAACAATCAAAATATCCGAGCCAACAACGACACGCTTCGAGTGTGTTGATCGGGCCTACATCAAAGTCCGAGGGGTTAAAGCAGCGAGCCAAATGTCAGGCATTATTCGATAGTGTATCCATTCCGAGAATAATGGAAAGAGACACGAAAGTCAAAGAGAGGTGAGGCTTGTCTCCAACGGAGTCTGTAATAAACGTGCCCGTTCATGGAAAACGCCAACATAATTGAAGTTTATGTCGTCCTAACTCAGTTTTACACTCGTACCTCAGGTTAATGTAATGAATTCTAGCCCCGAAAAGGCACGGCAGAAGAGACCCATGAGAATCGACGCCCTTTGCATTTCGTAGCGAGTGTCAACAACAGAAAATAGCTTTCAGGTCTTGGGACTAGGCAACCAAAGTCATCGAGCCCCACCCACATAAGAAAGTTGTTGAATCCAGGGGGGAGCGTAGGACCGCCATCCGACGATCGAGGAGTCGCTGCAATGGTTTCACCGAGAGCTGCATGCTCATGGCATCGTGTCGGTAGTTACCTGATAACAGTTGCCGACGACTTCTAGAAGCTCGTGGTTACTTCCAGGTATACGATAATGACGATGCTGTGCCAACCTCGGGAATGGGTGGGAGATACACGTCCTAAAGCTGGCGATCGTCTGATATCTGTTGAATGGCGCTATCAACCCTCTCTAGTCCGATCTGAAGGGAAACTAAATGGATGTTTTGATATAGGAGCTCTACCGCAAAGTAATATCAGGCTTCAGTATGCGGAACCGAGAAAGGCTGTACCGTCGTCGGTCAACTCTTCATCGCTCAATCGCTCCGTAAGCGTTCGAATGGGAGTCAACAATGATTCCTTCACTTGGTCTATCATTGCCGGGTCTCGAACCCCGGTCTGAGTAGATGGCGTCATTTACTGTTGTGCCCTTTATACTGTGGAAATGGGAGACATACCAGATTCTTTTGGTCTCGCGTGAGGACAGCATAGTACAAAGACAGGCACTGAACGAGCCTCGATGGCTCTGGCGATTCTGACAATTGGCCGTAATCGCAATCAGAACAGAAACTTGGAGGGTCAGGTCGTAGCAATATCGCTCCCAACCCACTGAATAGAGCCGGCGAAGCGAACAAATCGGGAGAAGGTGACGAAAGGCCTTCAAAGATAGCGTCCTTGATCAAGCCGATGGCAGCTATTCGCATCTGCGGGGCGGACTCGGAGGACGTAAGATCCCGTAGTATTTCTAAGCGTAATTGAGGTTGGCTGAGTGACAATAGAAGAGATAGGATTTTGAAGATCAGGTATCTTGTCGAGGCGTCAGGATGCCCACAAGCCAAGGGAGGGAGGAGTGTACATAAAGGCGTGACGATCTCTGGAGAAAGCTTGGCCGCATTGGAGCCAGACGCGATTTGATTGAGAGCTGTGATCAGGATTGCCAAAGACTCATCCAGAGCAACGTTTTGTTGGACAGAAAGCACGAATATTGACATCAAGTTCGACAAGAGGAGGCTGGGAATGATCGGTGAAGGTAATTGATGAGACACCAGGATCAAGAACTCGATGGACGGCTGTTCAGGAAGCGCGGAGAAGGAACGACCAAGTGAGCTGTATGTATCCTGATAATCCAAAGACGAAATATTAAGATAAATACGGCGGAAGTAGTCAAAGGGGGTGTCATACCAGAATCAAGGTGACAGCTGGATCCTGGCCGTGGGAGTCGAGCGGTTTAGCAGAGGGTAAGATCAATCGTGGAAACGAACGCTGGAACGATCTCTGTGCCACATTGAAGCGGAACGACGGGTGATAGCTAACCACAGTGGCATCCGCCAATGCCCGTAATCGGGTCTGGCCTTCACGTTAGCCATCACGGCGATTGAGTCAAGTACACTTGAATACTAACGGTACAAGCAGCAATCACATCGGAAGAGCAGCCATCCATTCCTTGCACCCACAAAAGCACAGACCGTATCATTTCGAAGACATTTTGAACGAGAACCAAGGCATCTTCGTGAGTGGCTTCACTTGCACAAACTCGTAGTGCTGATTGAAGATCGGATAACACAGGTCCCAGTGTATCTTCCGGTGTCCTTCTGCGAGAGTTTACACGCGGAAGGGCTACACACTCGGTGAATGGGACGTAATACGATTTAAGAATGTGTGATGGCTCACACAAAGAGTAGAGCTTCACAAGGACGGCAAGCTGTATGGTGGGCGACGGTTGATCGGTAAAATCAGATTCGGATTGGATGTTGCCTTGCAGGCGTTCCACAGCTTCCTGTACGACTATTAGTAGCTCTTTAGAGCTGCTGTGTTGCCCTATCAGCAGCATAATATCGTGGGCCTTCGTTTTCGTCGATGTCAAGAGGGAGTTGAATATATTGAATAGATCCTACCAGATAAACGGATCCTTCAGAGGGTCAAACGAGCCAACGCAACAGAAAGGGAACTAACCAGAGATTGGACCAAGTTTGTATGCTCTTCCTTCTCTAGCATATACAGAATGGAGTCTAATGAATTGGATGATTCGCTGTCGTTGTCGCTGGCCGCTGATAAGACTGCATTTGACAATGCATCACCGACTTCCTGCGTAATCAAGACAAGAACGCGTCGTCGTGTGTTGCAAGCATACCTCCGAGCTACTTTCCTGTGGAAGACCCAGGAAATATTTTAGTGGGCGGGACTCGCTCATATTATGCGCGATTATTGATGAAAAGGACTGCAGGTTCAACGAGCATCTTCCGAGTTGAATTCCCCTGTTGTAGATACACACGTGATCCGAAGAGATAAGATAAGATTCATGATCTAGACACACTGTCCCCTCGTCGTACTACATCCACCTTCCAACGTGTAAAGTGAGTTCTGTGATTTGTGGTGTATCTGCCCTATAATATCACGGACAATAGGTATGGATACGAGCGTGCCCCCTTCTCCTCACAACGGTGTCCTCACCTTGGTTCAAAACGAACCAGACTGGCAACCCATCTTCCACGCGTCAAACCAAGTCGTTCTCTACAACCCCACCTCGCACGCCCTCTCAATTCGGCGTTCCTCGACGTCTTCTACAGATATCACGCCATCCTCGTGTCCCTTCTGCAAGCGGCCGCTTCCAGCAGGATATAGTCTGAGGGAGGAAGAGGAAGCAGAGGTGGATGAAATACTTGATACGGAGAATGACGACGCACGATTCTCTCGAGCGACGAACTACTTTCAGCTACTCGCTATTGCTAATGATACTATGTCTCGTCCGTCGAGCCCCCCTTCCATAGCGGCGTCCAGTAGCGGCGAGAGCGCACCGACGTTCTCAACCGAAGCCTTGGCAGAGGGTTATTTTAATGCGTTTTTCAAGGAGGAGCGTCGGCTTGGGATGGGTGCGAATGGGTCTGTCTACCTGTGCCAGGTGCGTTCTTGATTCGCGAGACCTACTGCATTCTCACCCCTTCATAGCATCGGTTGGATGGAAATCCTTTAGGTGAGTTCGTTGCGGAGTTATCTCGCCTATATTCACTGTACCAGGCTATTTTGCGGTGAAGAAAATTGCTGTCGGACAGTCTCACTCGTATCTGGTGAAGATTCTTCGTGAGGTTCGTGGCTGCACAGCAACACACGCACGCCAACTGACCCCATGTATATTAGGTACGCCTCCTCGAGCGACTGCACCACCGAAATATCATCACATACCACCACGCCTGGCTTGAAACCTACCAATTCTCCCCGTTTGGCCCCAAGGTTCCCACTCTCCAGTGCGTACAAGTCCCCAATCGTAGATGTGATGCTAATCCCTTCTAGCGTCCTAATGGAATGGGCAGATGGAGGAAGGTCAGTCGGGTTCCTTAGTGATACGCTTCGGGACCACTCAGTCAGCGTATAGTCTCGATGACTTCATAGACGCTCGACTTGGACGTCCGACGAAGCACATCCACATCCACCCAGTCACCCCTGTAGCCCGCCCTACTGGTCGCAATTCCGTTCCTCCCTCCCGCCGATCGTCCCTAATTGGCAACTCTCGATCACACTTTGACCATATGGACTCCGATCTCCACTCGCGATCGGCGCGAATACGAGCGTTCCGTGCGTACCAACGTGCTACCCCGGCAGAAAAGGAAGCGATGAAGCGCCAGACCGAATCCTCTCATTTAGATGGGGGGAGTCGTACTACGTGGACCCCTGTCCATTTGCTAAGCCCAGAGGAAATAAAGAGTTTGTTCAGCGATGTAGTCAGTGGGCTGGCGTTCCTGGTCAGTTTTTTACTTGCGATTTCGATCCCCTGAACGAACGGCTTGCGCCAGCACGATCGTTCGATATTACACCTCGATCTCAAACCTGGTAATGTACTGCTTACGTGGGACGAGGGAAGTTTGATGTGCGTGTGTTTGCTGTGTTGTCTGCTGTCACCATTAGGCTGATAAACGGCTAGCCCGCGTGCAATGCTTTCAGACTTCGGAACATCTCGAGACATGCTCCAGACATCCCCCACTCGGTCGGGCAACACTGGAACGTACGTACAGTTTTTCCCCAACTTTTTTCTATTTTCTCATTTACCATGTGGGGATATAGACTCGAATACACCTCCCCCGAATCGCTGCCCTCTCCCACGACTGGGCTCCTCCAACAGGTCGACTCGAAAGCTGACATGTGGTCGCTCGGGATGATATTACACAAGCTCCTTTTTTTCAAATTGCCCTACCGTTACGCTGCTATTGGCGACAGTAATGGAGAGCCCGTTTCGGGCGTCGACGAGCGCGAAAAGATGGACCGCCTGGAAAAAGAAATCCTTGGATATGCGGGGTATCAATCTATCTGCACAGTGCTCTCTATGTTTGCCTTACGCGTGCAACTTTTCTCTGTGCAGATTCAAGCCGAATCAAGACCATGTCGCGAGTTTTGAGGCAAGGAGGCTTCCGCGTGCTTTCCTGGTGTTGTTGGAGAGCCTTCTGAGTATTACGCCGTCTGGGCGGCCCTCGTCGGAGCGGGTTTCGAATGCAATTCGCGAGGGCAAGGTAAGCGATTAGTCATCCTCTGTCGCCGACCCATCCATGAACACTTATGCACGATGGATGCATTCCTAGTTGGATCCGCTACAACAAACCCACCCCACATCCCTCGTCTCTGTCACCCCGCGTTTATCCAACGTCCCCGCATCCAGGCTCTCATCCGTTCAATCTGACGCCGAGCCACACACCGGCGTGGACACCCGCGAACACTCGACAGATGCGCCGCTAACAGAAGCACAAGCTAACACGCACTCCCAGTCACCTAACGAGAAGTCCCCCATCGTCCTTGGGATACCCCCACACCAAGCGAATCGTTCTGGTGCCGTTTCTCCGCCATACGACCGTGCATCCCCGTCACGAATACCGTCATTGTTGATTAAACGAACCGTCAAATCTTCGCTCCTCGTCGCGAAGGTGAAGGGCAATACCCCCATAACTCACGTAGTTGAACACCCTCACTCACCCCATCTTCCGTAGGTGCTCCATGTCACTACGCTGTGCCCACACAGCCAACTGCACATCGTGCCGCTCTCAATCATCCTTTCTGCCGCCGTCATCGATACTTGGTTCGACAATTATTGGATCACAGCCCTTTTCGGAGCATTCCACTTGGCTGCTGTCAAAGTCGCTTCTCACAATAACTTCGGCTGCGTCTAACTTACGATGGCTACGAGTTTCCCTTACGGCTGAGTCCCACTGCTCATAATCATTCGCTCTCTACTTCATTGATAACAACTAAGCCCACGGATACTACGTTTAAAACCTCATGTAAGGCTATGGACGTGGTTCTCAAGTCGTCGCTGATCTGCGGCCTTATTTCAGTGGATATACTATGCATTTTACGTCGCTGTTTAGGACTATGAAATCCCCTGCTCTTGGTATGTTAGTTATTTCTTGAGTGTTTCAATCTCCAGGGACGTCGCATCCACCGCCCGTCATCGCCAAATCTTTCAATTCGCAAAACAAACGGTTGCATGGTACCAAGGCTTGGAAGCTGGGACATATTTGAACCAACGAAGGACAGGGTGCAATGAACCGAACCGATGTCACAACCAACTCGTACACTAAACTAGTCTAAGCCGCTGCTCTCCCCGGCGCGCATCCCCATTGCGTTCTTCATGACTCTGGAGAGTAATGATGGTAATAGAAGCGCTCTTCAAGGTTTTCATCCCACTTCTCTGGTTCGTAGTGGTGATAATGAAACCGCTCTTCCAACTCTGCATCCCGCTTCTCTGGGGCATAATGGTGATAGTAAAATCGCTCCTCCAGGTCTGCGTCACGCTTCTCTGGGGCGTAGTGATGATAATAAAAACGCTCGTCGAGCTCAGCCGCTTCGCGAGCTTCTGCTAGACGATCATCGACGTCAGGTGAGTCCATCCACAGCGCATACGTAGGTATAGCTTACCCTGTTTGACTGGCGCAGCGTTGGTGAGACAAGCCACTTGCGATGGTAGAGAAGATGATGAGTTGCTTCAAGAACATGGTAACTGTGGAGCAGATGGTTCGTATTTGGAACTTGGAGGGCTGGGACTGTTTTTTCTTCCAGCTTTTATCCTCATCCTCCCTTCGTGAACCAGCGCGCTGTGTGGCTCGGCAAATGTCTTATCCACACTATGACCCTCTGTCCTATCTTACCTCCGGCGCGAGAGGCACGAATCACTCTATATGTCCTGTCGTCTCCCCGCGTTGAACAAGGTGGTTCTGATTAGGCAGTCTTCCACGCATTGATGGTTTCAATCTTGACAGGTCTAGGTGGTTGAGGCATAGCTCACCCTGCATCCTTCCTGTATGGACTTCGCCCCTGCAATTCGGTATCGGGGCTGAGACGTTGTCCATGGGAGATCATTATCCAGAAAGGGCACTCTAATCCTAAGCGGCTTGATTTATCCTCTCTCTGCCCACTGTAATATTGACAATCTCGAGATACAGTGACCACTAATCATACCCACGCGGCCGCAGGCACTTGCAGACCTCCGGAATGAGTCAACGGCCTTCGCCATCGCCATGAGGCATGACGCCTTCCAATCCCTCTGCGTCTGGAGTCCTGGATCGAGCCCAATCCCTGAGACGATCGAAATCTCGACACATCCTAGTCTGGTCAAAGCGGGGAAGTGAATTGGGTGTGTGCTCCGCAGACGAAGCGATAGGCATGTACCATGATATGACGCTGATATCCGCTGAGCACACGAGGGATTGGCGAATCATATCAAGGCAATGGGAGACGTGCTCGCCAGCCGATACGTGCGGAAGGTCCGTGGTGGCCTTACGCTTGTCCATGAAAGAGGCACGCCGCCCATCTGCGCCCCCGTAGCGTTCAGGCTCAAGGGCCTTTCTCGCATAATCCTTTGCGGCAAGTAAGTCAGCCCCGGCGTACATATCTTCAAAGAGGAGGGCTGATACCAAGCAGTGCAACTGGTGGGAGACATCTAGCCCTTCGTACAGCTGTGAGACATTACCAAACGCAGGCACAGTTGGGTCCACACGCCGTCCGTTCTCCTCCGTTGTAAGTGATGATATCGGGTCTACGATGTTGAATATGTCACTCCTACCAACCAAGAACCGTGGACGAGGCTTATATGTGTATATGTCATACAAGTCTGACCATGCTGCGTCCAATGCGTCCGTTGAAGGACCATCAACAGTACGCGGAGAGTGGCGAAGGACGAGAAAGAGAGCAGGATGATGCCGATAAAATACAACGTTAGGCGGACGGCGGAAGTAACCTTCCACCTTCCTGTAGATTTCATGTTCATGCTCTGTCTCGTCTTTGCTGCTGTTGTAGAGAAGTGTCTCCTGCTCTGCTTGTCGGATCATCGTACGTAGTGGTCATGTTGGTTGATGAGGAGATGATGAAGCGTGGAGGATTGATCGATGATCCTTCAAACCCGTATTGTGAGTGAAGGAATTCCACAGAAGTACCAGAACGACCTTCCTGCTCGTTTAAGATCGGGGTCTCCAGATGAGGAGGTATGGTACCTTGACACGAGCGTCACGTACGGCCAGGGAAGGGGGAGTATTGGTGGGCATTCAGTGCCAAATGGTGGTATAGCCGTTCTCACCACTCGGACAATGGTAGACTCAGAAACCGATGCAGAAGCGCTACACTTCGGGTATGGGTATGTCACGGAACCTTTGAATATTGCTTCTTCTGACATACAGACTTGTGGTACGTGACACCAATGATATTCGAACATCTACTCCCTCCACACAGCAGTTGTCCGACCAAACGCCCACTCCCTCAGCTTGTCAAAATTTCTGCAAGTATGTAGCTGATCAAAGCGGGGGAATGGACGACTCTCTTTCCGTGGATTATAAAACACATTGACACTGATGTCCGATGAACACATGAGCGATTTTGTCGGATGCTATTGATGCAGTGTCGAAGATGCTCTGTGTCAGGAATGTTTGGGTGTGCCATGGTTCCGCTCCGCTTGTGAAGTACAGCAGGGTGGTGCCCAGGAGGATATCGCTTGGGATATGCTGCGTATCATATCCTGCCAATACGCAGTTAGGCTAACTTCGCCGGAGGCAGGTAACCTAACCCACTAAACAATGAAATTGATGAAATACGTCGAGACCGCCAATGTACACCTTCGAACCGGGAGCTACTATCGTGCGATCGACAAGGCGGTTCGCCTCGTCAGGAAGCAGATAAGAAACACCACCTACGAAGACACGTAAGCATTGACTGCAAATGTCATGGTCAGGGAAAGGTGGTACGTTCGTAAAGGTCGCTCCAAGCTTCGTCCATGGCATCAGTAGGAGGGCCTTGAAAGACGGTCTTTGGTTCGTCCAGGAACCCTGTATTAAACCGTTTGACTTCGTACTCGACAATGTCTTGAACAGGTGCTGTATCTATGCTATTAGTCCTCATTGTAGCAGAGGAGGGGCACATATTTTACAACAGATGAAGCTGTCTGGACTTTCAAAGGCACGCATCACCAGCATGATAAGCAGCAAGATGTTGACCATGAAGAGAACGCGCAAGATAAACCAAGCATAGCGAGCAAGTGTAGCCCCTGCGTTGTCTAGAAAGTAGCGCCTTGAAAGGAGGTTGGGTACCCTCAGAAAACATTGGGGTGTTTGGCCAGACCCGGATAATAGTTTCGTCATATAAACTAGAGGAGCTGAAAATGAGGATAACTTTTCGGTGATCAGATCTCAGAACTTATCACCAGTAAGTTTATGATTCCGTGAAGGTATATGGAGTAGTAGCTCTCTTCCTGCACCATACCTGTAACGCTGATAATCTATTCATTCCTGGTAAGCGATGTGCAGGAGATGCGATCTCACCGTTTGGGATTTGATTGGGAAGTCTTGACATCTGTGAGAACTTGACTACAAGTTATTGCGTTTAGTAGTAGTTCTACCTCCACTGGCTGTCGATGGAATGTCATTCCGTGTGCTTTCCCTCCTGGTGATATCTCGGAGCGAGTCAAGGGCCTACTCGCTCTCATGTCATGCTACGATTGCTGTGTACCTCATGTATCATCCGGAAACTAGTTCGTCGAGGTTGTAATCAAGTTCTCGAATAGCTGGAGCCTTAGGAGGAGGTGAATATGCTGGGAAGACGGTTCCGCACATTTCCTTGAAGCAAGAAGGTCAGCCACGGAGATATCCGACAGAGTACTCAACTTATGCACGTATATCCAGCGCATCCTTATCCCAGTATGTGGCTCAAATCGCACGGATTGTTATAACTGCCAATCATAAATAATTAGCGAGACAAGGAGGGCATCTGTATGTCTCTCCACAAATAAATCTCCAACGACCGAAATGGGATATACATAACAAACGCCGTAGCAAGAGACATTTCCAACCCTATATCGCCCGTGGTTTTTGCTATCGGACCGACAAACCAAGCTTGGTTCATGCATAAGATACCCATCATTGTACCAATAGCACCGGCGGCCAGTGCAGCCAAGCCGATTGGTAGTTGAGAAGGAGAGTTCCACTTGTCGATATCGTAGTTTTCTTGCCTCCCGCGCCTAAACAGAAGATGCTCTGTCGAGAGAATGGCGGCGAATGGGCCACTCCAGTAGGCGATTACACCCAGGAAGTTTCCGAGTGTATCAGAGAAAGACCTCGAGCCCACTATGGCGACAGGTATGACACTGGTAAATCAGAAGATTATTGACGTCGTAAGATGAACAGAACAGGTGATCTGACTGACATGGCTGCGGCGACCAGGGAGAATATATATCTCGGCGTATTGAGCAGGATGGGCAGAAAGACCTCAACGTTTACACAGAAACAATAGAAGTTCATCGCAATATTGGCTATCACCCCGAGGGCCAGCAAGACTATAAGGAATTTCCCAAAGTTTCCTGCGGGTTCAAGAATCGCGGCAATGAAGCCGCCAACATTCGCGTCTGCGAAGCCTTCTTGCCACGATGGAACATTGGCAACACCGGCACCAAATGCTGCACCTAGAATCGACATACCGGTCTAGGTGAAACATAGGTAAATGAGTCATAAAGTTTGGGAGGGACAGATGATTATACTACCGTGGGGATGATGATTCCGAGGTAAGCATATAAGAATAGTCTTTGGCTGTGGAAGCATCATAAGATCTTAGCAAGACAGTCGTCAGAATGAACCAACCTTGGGGCACTCGGAGGGAAATGGCTCGTGAAGTCGGAGCTTGCGGCGGACCACGATATCGCAGCTCCAGCCAGCAAGCCGTAGTTGAACACGGATGACAAAGCGGGTGCTGGTCCAGATCCATCGTTAATACGGATGTGTTTCGCGCCTATTCCTATCATGACGAGACAGACAATGAAGACAGGCATCCATGCAAGTTGGTCGAACCTTAAAACTTCATAAGCAGTGCACCTCAAAGTTATGACTATACCAACCAGCTTAATACTTTGTAGCCGCAGAATGATAGCTAACGCCAGGCAATCAGTCATGCGAAGCTTGTCATGCCAATTGCAATACTGACAACTAGAGAAGCAACACCGACGATTACAATGCCGATGCTGGTCTTGATCAATCAACGTACCGATGGAAGGTTACAAAAAACTTACGTTAAACCGATGCCCCCACCACCGACTGCTGATAAAGCCTGGCCACCCACTATGCAAGTCAAGGCAGCGTAGCCCGATACCGTCATCATGTTTAATAGGCAAGGAAGGATTACACCGAAGTATCTGCGGACATGGCTGGTAAACACGGAGATCGAAGCGTTTGGGAGATCCACTCAACCCAAAGGTGTAACGTCCTTGGACCATTTGCCTAAGGCCAAGTTTCGGTCCCCACGTACATCTGTAGTAAGTATCACAATCAGTGGATATCTAAGAGTCCGATCTGACGATGACGTACAAATATGCAGGGAAGATGGTAAAGAACAGATTGAAGCACATTATGATCGCGCATGCGTCCTTAAACCTCAGTCCGTATGAAGGAAAAACAGCCCCGACGCTAAAACTAGTTGGGTTGAGCAATCAGTGCTCGAAGCAGGACAGCCGATAAGTTGGGAAAAGACCTGAGGATGTTGAAATTCGAACTGAGCCAGATGAAGAATATCCGGTTATATCGAGTGTCGGTGCGTTCATCCACTGGTATAGGCCGGATCCCTGCATGCAGAATGATAAGCGTCCGAATGGGTAGCGATAAGATCAAATACCACCAAAAAGCGTTACTTACCCCTGGTTTCCACGCCCCATCGGCGTAGTCTTTGCGCCAAAGTCGAGAGGACGTTCTTACTAGCTGCTTCGACCGAGACCCCCGATTCTCTTTCGTCGAGTTTGTCCATGATCGATATAAGGATGTGGCCGGAAACTAAGCACCACGCATGTGCGGGTCAAATGGCTTTTTTAAGAGCGCAGGTGTGAGAATCCACAGCTGAAAGAACAGGAGAGAATCCATATGGACGTGTGGAATGATAGGCAACCTTACGGCCTAGGATGTATACTACCACGCGCACGCGCGTTAATCATACACGCCCCCACTTTCGGACTTCTAGCGCCCGAGTAACGGCGTACAGTAGACCTGCCGTCACGACGGCCACCTCGAACCCGATGTCCCCCGTAACTTTTGCAACAGGCCCGATAAACCACACCTGGTCCATGCAGATCACGGCAATCCCAAAGGCGACGAGCCCCGCAAATAGCGCTGCGGCTCCGATGGGGAGTCGTGAAGGGGAATTCCAGTCTTCGATATTATAGTTGTTTGGATCGTGCCGTCTAAAGATGAGATGCTCAATCGTCATGACTGCTGCAAACGCGCCCGACCAGTAGCCTAGAAGTCCGAGGAAGTTGGCCAAAGTGTTGTTGAACCTGTGAGAGCCGACAATTGCCAGCGGGATCACGCTAAGATGTCCAAGTAGGATATTCAGCGGCTAGATAGTACACAGAAACGACATACGCACATCGCGGTGACAACAAGAGAGAAGACGTATCTCGGCACAGCAGCAAGAACGGGAACGAAAACCTGAAAATTGAGACAGAAGGCATACATCGAGACTGCTATGTTGCCGGTAACGCTGAGCGCCAGCAACACGGTAAGGAATTTGCCGAATTTGCCTGTTGGTTGGAGCATGACTGCCACCAAACCGCCGACATTTCCGTCGCGTAGCCCTTGCTCCCAAGCAGGTATGCTAGACGCGGTTATTGTGCACGCAACACCAAGGCACTGCAACGTGACCTGAAAAGAAATGAGCTGAGAGCACCTTTAGAGTGGAAGAAAAGCCTTCACCGTAGGAAGAAGCAAGCCGAAGTAGGTGTAGGCGAAAATCCTCCAACTGCAGATGAGGTCAGATCACTGAAGATATTTGTCCACGCTGGAATACGATGCACCTTGAGACTTTTGGATGAAAGTAAGTGGCGAAATCAGAGGCCATACCCGACCAGGACATCACGAACCCGGCGATCGAGGCACCAAAGCTGAGGACGGAGGCGGCGGGTGGAGATTCTACAGTCTGAGGCAACGATAGATGGCTACCGTTGACACCCAGAGCGACTAGAAACACAATCAAGACCGGTAGCCATGCGACTTTCTCGTACCTTCAGCAAAGTGAGCATCAATGGTTATGTCGTCTGGTGTACAACCTACCACCCGAGGACTCGGTACCCGCAGAAACTCAGCTGCAGCAGACCTCCTTAGAGCTATCACAGAGAGCCATTTGAGCACATTAGACTCACAAGAAGAGAAATAACCGCTGTAACTACAATACCGACTCTGGAATTGAAATGATGAGATATTGTGGTGATGTACAGAAGGGAAAACCCCTACGTCCAGGTTAGACGGCCGTCAGCTACGCTGGAGAGTGTCTGACCACCCAGAATGCAATTTAGAATGCAGAACCCTGTGATTCCTATGAGGTTCATGACACATGGCAACATGACACCATGAAACCTTTGTACGTCGTTTAAGCTGGCATGTATCTGTTACGTGTAGAAGTTGGAATCACCCAAAGCTATATCTAGCTTGAACCATTTGGCGAAGACCTAGCTTCGGGCCCCATGTACTTCTAATCGTCAGGAGAGGTGAACAATTCAAGATAAATGGGATGCTGTTACATACAGATAGGCAGGGAACGCCGTGCATACGAGATTGAAGAACAGGATGACGAGGCATGCATCTCGCAAGCCAAGGCCGAACACTGGCGCTAGAGCCCCAGCAGAGAAGCTGTATAACACTGGTAAGGTATATACTAACCCGCTGATGCAGGGAATGGACGCTACCTTAGAATGTTCACATTGGCAGTGAACCAGAAGAAGAATAGTTTGTGATATTGTGTGTCTGTCCGCTCCTCGACCGGGATCGGCTGAATGCCTGTTACACAATGAGACCATCACAATACTCCATATAGTTGCCTCCACGCACCTGTTGATTCTACGCCCCATCGCTTGAGCTTCTGACCGAGATCGGCAACGAACTTCGAGGGGATCTCTGTCTTTTCTGCGGGGGAATCGTGTCGATAAGGCAGGGTATTTTCCATGGCTTGAATTCAGATGTGTAAAGGCGCAGAGACATCTTATCTTTGTCGCCTGGGAGTCCAGTCTTCGTCGTTCCCAAAGCTTCCTCACACGGTGTCGACGAACTTGAGTTTATCAGGGGCCACGTGAACTGGGGACCTGCTGCTTGGAAAGCTACTCATTTTGATGCAATCAATGTGAAACGAATGACTACAGTTGGGAGCAAGCATCTATACAACATACAATAGCGCATGGTTGCATAGTAAAGTCCGGGTACTTATAGGATATAGACGTAATCGTAATCAAGATAAACGAAGTTTGTTCGTATGATACCGCTGAAAGTAGTGACATTCAGGCCACGAGAGACGAGACGCTGTTTTCAAGCCAGGAATGCGAAACCGGCAGCCATGCCGACAAGAGCAGCAGCAGAGACCTTGAGCGAGGCAGCACCGTTGTTGCCAGGCTGAGTGGCTGCTGCCGAAGCAGCTGAGCCAGACGCAGAGCCAGACGCAGTGTTGGGTGATGCTGCTGATGTCGTTGCTGGATACGCAGCACCAAGCGGGCGAACTTCGAATGGCTCCGACTGAGCGAAGACCTAGCAAGGATAACGTTAGATCGAGTATTGGGTACATCACGTGAACGTACATCAGTTTGGTTGAGCGGGTTGGCAAGTTGGAGGAAGTAGCCCGATGCAGCGGTGAAGTTGGCTTGCTGCTGGGTGATGGCCTTTGAGCAGTCTGCGTTGTTCTGGATAGCGATCACGGCTTGGGGCTGAGTGAGGATTTTAATGTCTTGGTTACCGATACTAGCGGGTACAGGTTAGTGGTGCGCCAGGAATCTCTTGGAAATGCTTACAGGACTGTAAAAGTCTGCGAAGGGGAGTCGGTGCAGGACCAGGAGAAGACATTCTCGGACTGGGCAACTACGGAGACATTCAAATCGTTGAGCGAACGCAACCCGAAGCAGGTTTGAGCAGAGAGAACTTACCCCACCAAGTGTCGGTATTGGGGGTGAGCACGGTAAGGGCCGCAGAAGCAGAACTAACGAGGGCGGCGACAAGGACGAGCTGTGAGGCGAACATGGTAATGGGCAAGCAACGGGCAAACGAGCGTGGGTGATGAAAAGGAAGGAGGAAAGGAGAAAATATGCCGCGCCTGCCGAGCTGTTGTGTATGTTTGGCTGCCCCTTTCACTTCAAGCCGAGACATTGGCTGAGCTTTACCGTCTCTAGTGACTGCGACATCGCAGAAGGCACAATGCTTTTTCCATTGTGAATTAGCCATGAAGCTTGAAGAACTGCTTGTTTCCGCTGGATGGACACGCACGCGATATATGGGCTGCTCGTAACGCCAAATTACATAAAATAGCCACAACCGGTGTTTTGCTCTCCAGCGGTAGTATGTATGCTCGAACTCTGCTCGGGAGCGCGGTGAGCTGCTCTCGATGTTGATAATGGGTGTGGTTCTTATCACTCTTCAATCTGACGACCCTCTTTGTGAGTCCTTCTCATGACCGGCCGTTGTATGTGCAACTCAAACATCACACCCTCTTTTAAAATGCAGCACGCACATTTTGTATACAATTCTTAGCTTCAATTCAAGAGCTATCATTTTCAAGTTGCTGCCTGACGCTCACGAGGCGCGTGCGACAGTCTGTTGACGAGATGCTCTTCAAGATGGCGCGAACTCGATTATGTTGACCATGCTCCAGACACGGGATCGTTCAGGACAGAACCCGGGGCACCGCAGTGACTACACATTGCGATAAATCGATCAAATTCTTGACCCTACGATTCTGGGAAACCTACTCGACGCCTACCGCACGAAACGTAACTATCTTGTGGCCTGTATATCAGGCCATGACAAGTTGGTATCCCGTCAAGTGATAAGGTGCCTTCCTCGTGGACAAACGACTCCAAAGCAAGGACAGAAAATGCGCAGTGACTAGCGCCGCATCGTTGGCTGCTCAGATATATCCTATGATCTAGAAGGCCCCCCATAGCATGCAAAGCGGATAGCTGGTAAGTCTTCAAACGCTCGTGAAACCAGAAACTCACGAAGCATAACGATCCGGTCAGTGGTGATAGATCCTGAGGTCTCGGAAAGTAATTGACGCTGATATATCTGCATCATTGATGTACATTATGAATGCCAGTAGCTAAGTTTACACCCGTGGCTTGTTCGCCACCGCTGTCTTTCGTCACTGTAGGCATGCCCTGGCTAGGCCCACGCGCAGACCTTCGCTTCTCCCCCACCACGCTCCTTTCTTCCTGTCTCTACAGCATTCCAACCCAGGAAATTACGAACCCAAGCTAGCCACGTGTGGGTGTCAGGCTATGGATAGCTCTGTGGTCTAGCCCCATTTCTCTGTTGGCTACCGTTGCCCCTGTTGGGTACCTCCGCAATGTGATGTTCTTGTTGAATAGGGCACTAGGCACTGCATTAGTCTGTCCGCATTTAAATGCGCTGCACCTTCGTCCAGTGATTTCTGAAAGTTCAGATTAGATTTCACCGCTGACTTATTTGTTCCTTCATAGATCCCCAAACTCAAATTGTGCTGTACCTCGGCTGGCCTAATCGCCGATGTCTATTTGACTTCACCCACCCTATGGTCGTTCGTATTTCGGGTCAACTGGTACACACCCTAAGAAATAATTCACTTTGGGCACACCTTACCCTTGCCTATGGTTGAGTATTCATTATGAACGGCTCAGATGGTATAAATACCCCGTTGCTTTGAAGCTAACTGCCGCAAGCCATTTATTCCTCCATCCTTGCGAACAATGGGTTTTCTCCAATCATGGACCGCCGGTGTCTGCACCCATTTATTGTGGTTCCTCACGGTCACCAACCCTCCCACCACTTTGGGGCAAGATGGACTCCTCGAATGCTTGGGAACCGGCCACATCACTACAGTACCCCCCGGCTCTCCTGACTTCCCCCAGGACTCGCTCGCTTTCAACAGACGCTTGCAATACACCCCCGCTGCCATTGTATTCCCTACATCAGCACAGGAAGTGTCGGCTGCAGTTCTGTGCGCTGCCGGTGCTGGCATCCACGTTGCCGCTCGTTCAGGAGGACACAATTACGGCGCGTTTAGTTTAGGTGGTCAAAACGGATCCCTCGTTGTCGACCTCTCCAAAATGAATAAGATCGTCGTAAATGCGAACGGAACAGCTAGCTTCCAAACCGGCAACCGGCTTGGTGATGTTGCACTTACCCTGTTTGATAACGGTGAACGCGCCATGGCTCACGGGACATGTCGTACGTACCTCCCGACCAAGGTCCCTGATCAAAATTAACACATTTATATCAGCGCATGTTGGCAGTGGAGGCCATGCGGGCTGTGGAGGATTCGGCTTCGCATCCAGAATGTGGGGGCTCCTTATTGACCAAGTCGAGTCTGCGGAAGTAGTCCTTGCAAACGGCTCCATCGTACAGACGTCTACGTCTATCAACTCAGATCTATTCTGGGTAGGTGCAGTAACCCACCTATGTTGACCATGACTCACCGAATCAAATAGGCCATCCGTGGTGCATCGCCCTCCTTCGGTATAGTTACGGTATGTCTAGTATCGGTATTATCCGCGTGCCACAATTGATGTTTATCGCCCTAACAGGAGTACAGAACAAAGACACACGCCGCCCCCTCTGAAAACGTCATCTTCACTTACACTTACCTGGTCGATCCCGCTGCCGCCACCAAGATCTTCACAGAATTCCAAAGTTTCTCCAAGTCCTTAGCTCCCCCTGAGCTCGGCCTTCAAGTCTCAGTACGGCGATATTTTCAGAGGGGCGTTGTCCATATGAATCTCACTGGTGTCTACTACGGCGGTGTTGAACATTTCCACGATGTCTTTGACCCACTCCTCTCCAACTTATCTTCCATGCATATCAATCATAATTACGAGAACGTCACGACATACGCATGGGTTCCATCTTTGATTCAATTGTCGGAGGTTGGCACCTTGAACACCTCGAGCCCCATCCTAAAGGGCAGCCACGATACATTCTTCGCAAAGAGTCTGATGGTCTACGAAGACGCTCTTCTAAAGGACGAAGCTATTCAAAGTTTCTTCAATTACGTGAGCCTTGAAGGCGTCCACACTCTTACCGTGCGTATCATCACTTTTACCTCAGGATAGACCTCGCGCTGACGCTGACAACATGTAGTCCTGGTTTGTCCTAGTCGACCTCTTTGGTGGAAAAGGAAGCGCTATTACGGCCGTAGCCAACAATGCCACCGCATACTCCCAACGTAAAGGGCTGTACAACTTTCAGATGTACGCAAGGTCACCAAACCACCAACCGCCCTTCCCAACAGACGGTCTTGCCTTCGTGAACAACATGCTCGGGTATGCTCATCACAGTAACCCTGCAAATAATCCCACCAGTGCTAATCCCCAAAACTGTAGGTCTATCACCGGTAAGATGCCCCCGAATTGGCCTTTCGGCGCGTTCACATGCTACACTGATCCGACGCTGGAACCTAAACAATGGCAATCCCAATACTACGGAGAAAACTTCTCAAAATTGACCACGCTCCACTTCAAGTACGACAGCAAGAGCCTTTTCAATTATCCCCAGGGTATCCCCAACCCTCTGCTCAACTCCCTTCAACCGGATCTGAACATGGATTTTTTCAATCCAACCGTCCAGAAATTCTTGAATGTGTGAATGCTTTTTTTTCTAGTTTTTCAACTATGTCATCACTATATACGATTTCCCCCACTATCTTGCGCTTCTCCTTTCAAATTACATATGAGTATATGTTGCCTTCGATTTGAGGCTGGCTCGTCGGGTAAGAAACTAGATCAACCATTTTGGCAATTAATCTTGTCATGCTGCGTTGAGTACAATGTTGGCGGAGAGGTTAGTGACAACCCATTCGCCAATATAATTACTCGCCATATTGTCTGCGAAATACTTGTAACCACTTGCAGACTGAGATTGGGTGTTCCATTCTATCGACAAGGTAGAGCTGAAGAGGTAAGGTGCTTGAGGGATGGTGTTTGATCATCATCTCAATCTACGAGGACTCCGACCGTGACCATGTTCAGAAATCCAGATCGACCGTGACGGCCTTGTAGTCCGACACACCTCTTGGTACACTGGTGATCACCGCCCTTTCCCCTCTAGTGGGATGCCCGTTGTGTTAGGCATGTCTGCAGTGAAATAGCCCGCTCTCCGTAGTGCTCAATTGCACAAGTATAAGTAATTCTGTTCTAAATCAATGTACAGAACAACTTTATTTCCGTGGTTTTGTCAGACAAAGGAGGTTCTGCGTTTACTATGCATCCATGTATACGAGCTGTTCGTCCGAAGCGTTCATCTCATATATTAAATATCAAGTGTCAATAAAGTGCACGCCTGTGTCAAACCAGCCACCAGTTTGCGCAAGCCGAAAATCGCTCGATTTGGGCATTCGGTGGCTTTCGCGAACTCTCTAATAGACCTCGTCAGAATCGACAAAGAAAAGTCGCACTAGCTCACAAGTAGGGATATGACCGCTGCAACCACTTATACGTACTCTGGAAATGTATCATACATATGAAGTGTAGTAGTGATTTTCTACTTTTGGGTTTGGCCTCGTAATAATCATGTCACAAGGGCCCAAGGGAAATTGTTCTTCATGACTTGGATTCAGAGACGTAAAGACGGGAAGACACATCTCACAAGGCGAGACATGGCGAGCGAGGGGTCGTCACAACGTAGGGAGGATCCAAATATCCAGGGTCGAAGCCACAAGAACCATTGTACAACCACCACCTCTTCCTACGCCCAATACTGGAGGTACGCTTCGAACCTGTTGGAAGGCTGGGATCTCTCTAGTACATCCTCCAACTACTTTAATCACGGAGACGTCTCAACGAGGGATGGAGTGAGCGTCAGTCCATCTTCAAACTTCTTTCCAGTAAGGATCAAGCGCTGACGCGCAGCTGGCGGCTGGGTCAAGTTGATTGGCGGCGCCGTTAAAAACTTGCATGCGACGAAGTTTGAATAAGACATCTACTTGGATATCCAAACCAATGGGCTACTCCATGGAAACTTCACCCTCAGAATGGCAGCAGGTGCGCAATTTTTCTTCTCCGTTATCATCCTCATGTCCATCATTTCAGGAGTTCGTGCATGCAAAAGTGTTGATTTCCGTTATCAACATGCTCTCTGTTATTACATATGGTGGAGGACCAGGCGAAGCTCTGCGAATCCGATGCCCGGCCATCTCGGCGACGACATGGACAACGGATACTGCCCAAGCCACGAACCACTGGGGACATCGCACGAGGCTCACAAGAAGCACCCATCGACATACCTGATCACGAGATGTCCTGACATTCCCAATCTAGTACCTGCATGTCCTTTTTCGATTGTCCATTTCCTCGGATAGAGATATATAATGGCCGGCGATGTATCGACAATCTTACCAATACGCACCGACGATCCTCCTTGACATTGGTCTGTGCGCGCCCTATAAATGACACCGTATGTGGACGAATGGTCCTGTTGCCTCTTTGCTCTATCCCCCCATCATCCCCCCTTCTTCTTCTGCCCCCGTTTCACAACGCCCTCTACAACGCCCTCTACAACGATCATCCAAACGATCTCTTTCGCAGCCACATTACACGACCATCGCAGATCAATTCCGTTAACTCTGCCCGTTCATTACATCCTGGTCCAAGAACGACGCTACGCTTTTCTTTCTGTCGCAGCTCTCCTAGTTTTCATCGCCTCAGCTATTTAATTCCTCTTTCAGCCTTAAATCAAACAACGCTCGTCACTCGCTATTAGTTATCCTTTATTCTTTTATATTCTTACGCCTTTCTCCATCGACCATAATAATGCAAGCTCAAGAAAGTTCACCCTCGACATCCCCAGACCCAGGGAACCCCACATCCTCTAGCCCTTCCCGCCCTTCCTTCGATGGCGAAACCGACCAGCCATCACAATCTACGGACGGCGGCGACATGGAAGCCGCGGTTAGCTTTGGTTCGATGGACGCCAGCCTTAGTGGTGATAACGAGGCCGATACTTCCTGGAATTCGTGGCAATCCAAGGATTCGGACGAGACAGATGTCTCTCATAACTCGGCCAAAACTAAAGACTCGGACCACTCAGCGGTCTCATCGGTAAACACGTTCGCTAGCGCCAGCGAGTCCATGGGCTCTCAAGGTACGCATTGTCTATTTTCCGTATTTTTTGTTCGTATATGCGCGTGGTCACTTCTGCTTGAACTCAACATATATGCGCTATACGGACTATATTTCTACGTTCATCATTAATCTTCTCTCAATGTAATTTACATACCATAGTCACTGACGTCGTGCACAGATGTCGAGGTTATTACCTCCCCTACCGTGTCCCAAGGGGCAGGCTCGCGTGATCAAACATCCAATAATCGTCGACGAAGTGACTCGACGTCTTCCACCTCAGCACAACCGCCAAACCGGTATGCTTACCCTGACTCCTACTCTGAAACCAACCCCTACGTCTATCCAACCAGTTCTGCCCCATCTACGGATCGTCCCAGCCATTCAACCTCATCAGTAATGAAACCATCAATCCCGTCATTTTCTACGTCGCATCCTCCCACAAATATCAAGGACGAGTTCTCCTCCAATGCTGCCTCCAAGCCCATCCACCACACCTCTTCCAACGTTGCCGACAACACTACTGTCCCCAAGCCAGGGATAGCCCTACGCAAGCGTTTTAATGCATCCATCCCAATAATCAATCCTGCTGATCGGAGCGTTGTGCGCACGCCATCGATGAAAACTCACGAATTGCCTCCCATCGAGGCAGGCTCCGCCGGTCCTGATGGCACTCTTCTTGCAGTGGAAGAAGAAACGCAAACATCTGGGAATAGGACTGTCGTTCCGTCGCCTCTTCCGACCCCAACGGACGCCGGAACCACCGAGCGTAGGCTTGAAGACAACCGTCTGACATCTGCTACCAGTGACAGTGGGGAGGCTAATCAAGCAGCTTATTCTTCCAAACCTCCAATCAATTTGAGCGACCTTCTGGCGGAAGCCCAAGCGAGACGCGTGGCTGCTGCCGCTGCTGAACGAGATAACGCTGCATCTGTTATGTCCGCGTCCTCCGCTGAGTCTGGCAAGCCCTCTTCCACTAGTACATCAACCTTCAAGTCGCCTAACGTATACATCAATGGTTTGCCACCCTACTTTCCTGAGGACGAGCTCCTTGCTCTAGCTACACCGTTTGGTGTGGTTCGAAGCGTCAGGAGCTTCACTAGGCATGTCGATATCGGAAACTCGTTGGGCGGCAGTGGCTACGGTGGCAACGCTGATGCAGGAATCATGATTGGTGGGAAGAAGGCAAGTGGGTATGGGTTCGTCTTGTAAGCTTCCCGGTTTCGCTTCTTCGTATTATTCCTTCAACAGTCTTCGACTAGATTCGAAAACGTCGATGCCGCGGAGCGTTGTATTGAAGGATTGAAGAAGTTTAGGAACCTTCATCCGTCCTTCTCCAAGGTACGGAGTTCCTGCATAACTACTATTACCTCTACATATCCGTACATCCAAAAGCAAATCCACAAAATTCCCGGCACACCTTACACTGCCATGCACTCCGATTCATCGCGCCAATCTGCGTCAGGTAAGATGGGTTCGATTATTCTTCCTATACAGTTTCTTACCGTGAGCGCAGGTTCTCAGTACGACGACGACGGTGACTTGGAAGACGAAGGTCCTGACTCATTCAAGGCTAGGATGGAGAGATTAGAGGACAAATCATCGACCAATCTCTACATCGAAGGGTAAGCACCTTACAAAGAATCGGCTCTGAGATTCGCTTACCACCACCGGTTGAACCTAGCTTACCACTCAGTATCGACGGACAAGTACGTATCCTTACACGACGTCTTGGATTGTCCATGTTGATTAGATGTCCAGTTACTTGCCGCCCTGGTTTCTCCTCACCAAATCAAGAGCAGTCGCTTCTTTCAAACGAAGCTAAGCCATCCTCCCAGGATCATAGCGTTTGTCCGGTAAGCGGCCGATTAAACATGTCTTTTTCCCTCTTGACGTCGGCGTCGTGAACTTTGTAGTCTTGAGACTCGTGTTGGCGCTGAAGAGGTCGTCGAGAGGTTACATGGACGCATGGTACGCGGGTGGAACGACGCTGGTAGTCGGATTTCTGTGCGCTTTGCAGACACCAGCGAACAGCGAGAGCTGAGGGTATTTCGATGAATTCATGGACGGACCACCTGCTGATTCTACGATTTGTAGCGAACGGAGCGACAGATGCGCCAGGGCCAGCCTGTGGACTCTTCGGCTAGTAAGCTCACCATAGCGCAAGCAGCCCTACTCAATTTACGTGGTCGGGATCTTCAACCAGCTTTGTCTCCGTCTCTAAGTAGCTTGTCTGGTTCGTCAATGGCCAGCTTAGCAGGGAGACGAGCAACGGCAACATTCAGTGCAGCTCAAAGACCTACCGACTTTACCTCTAATGCCCATCTGGGGTTTCGCCAGGACTATCCCACTGCGATTCATCAGTTCAATGCATCGATGACATCGCCCACGTTCAGTACGAATGGAGGACCATACACATCCGCCCAACTATTGGACTCTCTACGGGGAGGATATGACGCTGAGGATATGAGTCACGATCAAAGGCACCAACGCTACTCCCGTAGTCACTTTGGCGATGCTGAAACACATACCAACGCTATAACAGCTGACGACGCACTGTCCGGAAGATACCCGGTAATCGGATCGGGGCAACGAGTGGATGCCTCGGCGAGCACAGAGATAAGCCCCTTTCTAGGTGCTGGTGTAACCGGGATTGGTATGGGTTTACGGGGAATGGGGATTGGATTTCCGAACCGGCAGCAACGTCTTCAAACTTTTCCCGCTAATGGGTACACCCCCACCGAAGAAATCATCCTACAAGCTCACAGATCGCGCGCTTCTCAACCTCGCTCGACTAATTTCGCTCGGGCCGCACGCTACGGGAAAGGAAACGGGACAGTACGAGATACGGGAGCAGACGCCGGCAACTGGGTTAAAGGTCGTTCAACTCTACCTTCCAAATCTGGTCATCGACCCGCGCCTTCAACTTACGATCACCAAGAAGACGACTTTCACAGCAATTTTCGGCACAATGGTCGCTCACTAAACGACGACGTCCTCCCTGCCTCTTCCAACGACGTCCTCCCTGCCTCTTCCAACAATCACCTCCCCGATAATTTTCAGCAACAGTCAGCACACGGTCAACAAACTCACATGCGGTCTACGACCGTCCCTCACCCCAACCGGTCAATCACCGCTATCAGACACCAGCAACATTCCAGCATCAGTAATCCCCATTCTACCATCAGTGCCACACAGCATAATGTCGCATTGCAAGCGACTACGAATAGTAATAAGTTTCTGAACATGGACGCGACCAACGGACATGAAACGAACACGAATAATTCTATCCAGGTTAGCAAGCAGGGCAATTTACATCACCAACATCAACGCACACCTTCGGACGCATACAAGAACGACGATCGCAGTAATAGCGCCTTCAGGAGAGGCTCCAGAGTGATGAGAGCCGATATCCGCGAACAAGACTCGCCAAACATCTCGCCCACTCTTACCTGTGGTTCACAGACTCCCTCCACCCTCAGTCCGGCCACTCCTTACTTCGGTTCTTTTTCTGCGCAACTCGATAGCCTGCAGAACCATAAGCCTGCCATGCACGGGGGACACGTCGAGATGAAGAACTTGAACGAGCGTAGGGATGGAGGCTTACATTCTGGTAGGTGAAGCAACAATGAACCCGTATGATACGAGCAACAGCTACTTCCGAAGCCACAGTAACTACTGTATACAACATGCATGTTTGATCAATTGTGGAATACAAAAACACGATGTTTTCACGTTCCCCATGCTGTCGCATACCGGATCCATAGCCGAAGCGGACAATGTTCATATCACCAACAGGAATTTGGGGGTTGCAAGATAAATCAGAGGGACTACCTACGCTGGGAACAAGTCAATCACAACTGGCACCCCTGGGTTGGTGACGAGATCCTTGCAGCAGGAAGGTCAGACTTTGGTATATGGGCGACACAAGGCTACGCTTACATAGCTTTTGTTGTCCATACCGAACCCTTGGTGTGCATGAGCACTTGATCATAGATACCGGAGAAAGAGGGGATGAACTCACGAAATTCCAATGAGCCGGTTGCCTTTGTAGTGGAGAACACAGAAAGAGCACGGAAAAACTCTTCTTTCCACGTCTTGATTTGAGCAACGAAAGCTGCAATCAAGCCGTTGTGTGAGATTAGCAAGTAAAGTACGTACGGTAACTTCATCGAAGGAGAACTCGGTCTGATGTCCGACAATCCGCCCACTGTGCTTGAGATTCCCGGAAATCGTTGAACCGTACGCGGCGTCAAAAGTAAACCCTTGATCACCTTCATTCTTGAACATGGGCAAGTCCTGGGAGAAATCGATTTCTAAGTGAAAGGTTTGGCGTCAGCTGTATGGACCGGACTTCGACGTAAGTATCACGAGAATTCAACGCGTACTCGACCCATATGTGGTGCCATTGTTACCCATATACTTCGTCCATGATTGCGGCTCTTGTGCAACAGCCTGTACAGACTTCGAGTCCACTGGCGTTACAGTAAACCTCGTTGGTTCACGGATGTAATCCCTTGAATCCGGTACGACAAATGTCCCGGAGTGCACGAAGATGATATAGACAATGCCTTCGTAATCAGAGCTGGCGGGAGGACTCTCTGTAGCGTAGACGTGTGCGTCCACCCGCCACGAGACGCTGGCGAATGATTTGCCACGGAAATTGCGTCCTTCGAATATATCGAAGCTTTTCCTTTTGACAATGGTCGAGCAGAGGGGGTGGGGGAAATGAGAGGGAGATATATAGAGAAATTTGAATAGATCGTACCGTTTGTAAAAGCTGGTGCCCAAAGGAGGTACAAGGCTGTCGTTGAAAGTACTGTCCATTGAGGGATATTGCGGTAGTAAAAGGTGTGGGGGAGGTTAAGGCAACTTCGAGTTATACCGTCAGATTTATGACTGCCAACGGATTACTACATAGTAGATGTTGAGTAGATGGATAAGATTTCAGATAAGGTCCATGGAAGATTCTGAATGAACAATAGTTGTGCGCATTGCACGGTCGAGCAATATCGCCGGTTGCTTTAAGGAGGTGTTCAGGGGGTTCCAAGGGCGATCAGAGCAACTTTTGCCATAGACGGTCACTAATCCTCATCGCCGCTGGTGAAGGCACTCCACGATTGACTGATAAGAAAGAATTCCGTGCGGACAGCAGACGTGAGGCATCACAAGGTGTCATTCCGCGCAGCTGAACATCACATTGGGCGCCATTGCAGGGCCAGGACAGCTGGGTCAAGCCTCGAGGCTGATATTTCTAGTGGACCATTCCGAGGGTAGATCGTTCACTGAGGTTGATATAAACATGATAATGAGATCGCGAATTCTGTCTCACCGATGAAGAAATCACTCACCCCACCGACTGGTACCCTCTACCACAAGTTGTAAGCATACTGGCTCAGGCTGACTCTTAGTGAGAGGAACAATGACTAATGCTCAGACCACTAGGAAGCGGTTCAACATTTATGACGAGGAGGTCATAGCTTCGAAATTCACCTTAACTTGGCAGGCGGAGATCCACGTATATGTTACTGGCGGTATCAAGCCTGACGACGAGGATTTCGAGGCCAAAGGCGGGGCTATACATGTTGTCGTCTGCCATACTGGAAGTCTTGCCGTCGCTAAGAACCAAACTGGCGATTTGACCTTCAGCTGCGGGATAGATGATGTGGATAGTTTTCCTTACGTGCATCTACCGTTAACAGACGCCACCCGCACTACAGGCGATCCAAAAGCCAGTTCATGTACGTGAATGTTATACAGCGCTATGTAACGCCTCCCGCCGACCCTCTTCCCACCAGATGCATTCGACTTCAAGCAGACCTTCCAGATGCTCAAGGGTAACGATCCTCTATCATATGTCGCGCAGTACTCCGACGACTTCACCTTGGGCTATTATACGGAATATCACACCAACCTAGACGTTGCAGCATTAAAGGCGACGTTCAGGCTGTACCAGAGGGGGACAAATGTACGTATTCTCAGCTCTGTACCTTGTCGCTTGGTGCTCATCAAGGAGTTTTTTGTGGTACTTCAGGCCGGCAGTGTTACGGATCACAACGTCCATGGCGTGTCCGGCTTCCGTTTGACGAAACGGCGGAAACAGATCACAATGTGTAGGCGTCACCCCTTGATGTATCTCTCTCAGTTATAACTCACCCATCATCAGGGTTTTGCATAGAGCAGAAAGGCGAAGTGAGTTATTCACACACAATTCTACATATAGAACGAAGATTTGACCGTGGCTTGTACTTTTTGAAGATCAAGAGCGTCACTATCGACCTAGGCTTCTGAGTTCCTTTTGAAGATGCTGGGCGCGAGCCATCACGGATCGGTAGACGTTGTTAGCGATACAATAGTGCATCACCACTCCCATTCCGCCTGTGTTTCATTCATTCTCAATACTATCGAACTCTACGTGCGGTGGGGTATATACATATGAACCTAAGTTTCCATGCTACACCGCCGTCTCAACCCGAAGAAACTCCCATCTCAGTCAGTGCATCCTCCGTCAACTTCCATAGCTCTTCCTGCCGATCCTCGTCTTCCGTTTCTTTCAGCGGCTTTACGAAGACCCCGAACGGTTTCAAGTAGGCACCTTTATACTTATCCTTTTCTTTGGCAACGACCGGCGAAGCCGCCGCGAACAAGGATGTATAAGCTCCTTGAACTGGTGTCAGCATCAGCAAGCGCGTTGGGAGACCAGTGATGGCTGCGAGGGGGAATTTGTGGGAGAATGTGTCGACGGCGCCGGGGTGCACATTGATGCAAGTGATGGATACATCAGAGGCATTGAAACGCCGTTGGAGAGCCTTCGTCCAGGAGATAAAGCAGAATTTGGTGTAGCCTTTCCAGTGCCTTTAGCTAGCGAGACGAAATGACGGGACGAAGTGACATACAGTAAACAAGGAAGTTGGAAAGGAAACGACGGGTATAATCGGGACTCAAATCTTCTTTAGCATGAAATCGAATAGTAGATGGCGACGGCGTCATCTTGTGAGCTTCAGAGGCGACCTATGTGTTCATGTTGGCACAGATGCGTGGACTCGGCGGGTGACTTACATTTATTATACGGACGTCAGAGTCCGGGAGACTGGCGGTCTCGTTGAGAAGGGGTGTCAATGTTTGAGTGAAAATGAAAGGGCTGAGGTAACTGATGCGCATTTCATGCATGAGTTCATTAATTCATACGGAGTGGTTGGATGAGCTCACTTGACAATGGTGATGATATGCATGCCTGTAGAAAGTCAGTTACGGTGGGAAGGTATGAAGTGTATCAGTTACGGACCATCTGTCCTATCATCTCCGGGCATCCTGTATCGACAGTCAGCCAATGACAATCCACGCAGCATCAGAAACAACCCACCCTCCGGCATTGTTAACTATTCTATATCAGCCTCTGTAACAAGAAATCACTGAAAGACTCACTCAGCACATCCAGTCTCTTCTCTTTCGTTAAGAACTCCTCTGCCGCTTCCTTCGCCAGCTTTGGGTGGCTCAAGTCTACCTTGAACCAAATAATCTCCCCATTTCCCGGTTCAAGACCTTCGGACTGCAGCCGCTTAATCGCCTCATTGGCAGACGACTCGCTTCGCGCGCCTAGATATACTTTCGCGCCTCTCCTGGCGAGGTGTCTGACTGTCTCTAGACCTATTCCACGACTATTCGAGCGTCAGTAAGCACGAGTCTATTAACGGAGATAAGTATATGACTGACTTCCCGCCCGTGACAAGCACAACTTTACCTTGGAGGTCAAGGAGATCCGTTGCTGGATTAAACTTAGAGTTTCCACTGCCCATCGCCGACCAAGAAGCACTGTCAGCACTGAGCAGTGGGAAAGTGTGAAGCCAAGTCTGTCACGCTGGTGTTCCAGCATCACGTGCTGATCGACAGGGGCAGTCGGGCAGAGCAACCAGTGTGCCGTTCTTGTATGTATAGTAGATAACGTCCTACTTTTAAGAATGGTGGAACGGTGAGAACGACGGATAATATTAATGAGTCGCAGGTGGCGCGTAGTACAGAGTATTTGTACATGTTATTATAATGTAAGGCGAGACTCAAATTCCAACACCTACTACCCCCAATGTCCGCTACGCTTGAAGTTTCGATGGACACTCTCAAGCTTGAACCCAAGCCTGACGTACCGACGTGCGTCCTCGTTGTCTGATATTGGTTATTCCTGCTTGCTCAGCGAACAAAGCCTAAGAGTCGAAGGGACTTTTCGGTAGGCTGTCTTTGAATGCAAGCATGTTCGATTGCTCATCATCACTCCTTCAGAAAACTTCCGACCGATTTCGATGGACCTGCCCCCCTGTGTACTGGGAAGCGGAAGGTCCAGGAGCGTATACACCCTTCCGATTTTTTGGGTTCACGTACACACTTGATGACCTGTGTCGATTAGGCGCTGAGGAATTGCCCCGGCGACGATACAAATCCTGAAAGCACGCGCGCCGTCAGCCATAAGTTGTCAGAGGATATCGTCAGCAAGACGCTCGTCGGCACCTCAAAAAGGTTCTAGGTAACTCCGAACATTGTCTAATCCGAACTTCGGACAGATTGGTTTTGACTTGCATCGCCGTTGGAAGTAACTACGATCAAAAGGATTTGGATCTCGCGACGGACCCAGATAAGATTGCCCTTTTCCAGAAGCTGTTTGGCTGGGAGGATCGCAGGCCACGATGGTACAAACGCGTCAAAGATGTATCTTGCATTGTCAATCTCCTTTTCGTTGTTCCGATGTCTTGCCACAGCGAGCAAAAGCTCATGCGATACATCTCTGGAGTATCGTTGTGTCATCAATTGCGTCTTTGATCTGCTCTGTCCCCGTTGTTCGCTGTCTCAATATTATCTTGTTTGCAGTCAGCGGCGAGAGCCACAACGCGTCCGATCGAAGTATGCTGTTCTTGGAGCTACTCTGTAGTCAAATGCAATACATTGATTTTTCTATTGCACTTCGAACGACACCCAGCAACTCATTTTATCATTACATAGCTTGCTATGTGATGTGTACGCCCATCAAGTACGATATCATAACATTGGCACCTCCAAATTGAGTTCGTCCTTGCCAGAGATGGGTGTTGATGCTGTGCTCTCAGTTGATCGAGTGCTGTAAGTCACATCCTGGAGCTCCTTTGCAAACACCGACCGCACATCCTCAATCACTGCCTTAGCAATCTCTGCGCCCTCCGCCCGGCCCCATAGTAATCCTTTTAATGGGTTGTATCTTGAGTAAACCCTCCCTTGAATTCCCGCCAACCTTAGTGCAGACTCTACTCCCAGCTCCTCCGCCTCCTTCACACTCACTGGCAACTTATACCTCATTGCCAGCCGACAATACCCATGCTCTACCCATTCTGGCACCAGATAGCTTCGCCCACGAAGTACCCACTCGATCTCCCTCAAATCTAGCGCTTTCATGATTTGGGCGAGTGCTGTGATGGCCGCATCCCGGGTCTCCGTCAACTCCCACATATTGGACAATGATAACACCGATAACCATTGTCCATCTGCTAAGCCATGGCCCTGGTCTGTGAACTTAGATAGAGGGCCGCTGTGGGGTAGACTGTCAGCACACGTTCAAGCGGAACGCTTAGGCGCTCACAAATGGAAGATCACTTTCAATAATGCTCCAAAGTCTGCCTTCTTTATTCCCTCTAACACAATCGGCTTCTCGTCTGTGATACCCTCTGCGCTCTCTTCTGTCTGTGGCAGACGTAGCATATCCCTAAACACGCCCGAGTTTTCTGCGAAGTATTTGGTGGGAATACGGAAGAGCTCATCTTCAACGAGAAAGACCTTGGTGTCGAGGTAGAAATCACTGTTGCGGTGGCGTGCTACTGATGGCGACGCTGATGCGGATGTGTTACTACTAGCTGGCGAGGAGGCCATGGTTTGTCAGCTGTACGGATGACAGGGAGGAAGCAGATTAGCGGGCGGTGGCCTCTATCTGGTGCTGATATAGAAAAATACTAAACCACGCCGAGGCCTTGAGGTTTTCATCGAGGTGAGTGCAGACTTGATCTGTCCTAGCGCTTAACGATAGACACAACATCCTTCCATACGCTTCACTGGACTGTTAACTAGAACTGACTGGCATGGAAGCCAATGTCGCACGAGTCTTCCGGATCCATGGACCACATATAGGCTATCTCTGGTAGTTGATGTGCTGCAATCATGAAACAATAATTAATGATGATGGTGTAGCGTGGATGTGTCCTAGGGGGGGACAGGAGAAGATCGGTGCAAGTCGCATTGCCATCTCGTCCGCAGACATGATCCTAATATTATCGTAGGGATATCCTTTGTGGATGATGGACTACCAAAGACCTGAGAACAGGTAATTGCTCGCAGCAATGATTTACCAGCCGATGAAAGGAGTGCGAACTACAATGCAGATATATCTAACTGCGCATGGATCTGCATCATATCTCTGTAAGGAAACGAATTCGGTATGCGGGTTCGATGGGCCATGAGAACAGTGGAGGACGGAGGCTGTACATACCGCAGCATTGATTGACTATGCCGCGCCTTGGGTATTGCGGGATTCAGTATTCTTGTTATCTTATTATCGCTTTGTGATCATTTTGTAGTGGTTCGATGATGGTTAGCGTACGGATCTAGCATAGGACACCATAGTTGGTATGAGCGACATTTAGATTTAAGGTGGTTAAATATGGGTTCGTCAGGTTCGTTTGAGTGGTTGGAACGCGGACGAAACCTCATATGTGATTTGACACGATCCGATACAATGAGGGGTAAGGACGATCACATCAAACCAAGTCTTTATTACACAAACTCCTCGCACAGCGATCCTATCGATTTAGAGGAAGGATCAAACTTCCATTCGTTCTATCATTCTATCAGAGCGGTATGGCATGCACCATGGCGACGGTCAGACGGGCCTCGAGATCAGAAAAATAGTATCAAGGGGGAGATTGGAGGAATCGTACTTGAGATCATGGAATCAAGGAAGTTCGGTTTCTTAATTCCTATGGCGTTGTACAATCCTACATGTGCGCGACACGCTCGGAACATATCCTATGACTGCTGTACTTTCAGGACATCTGAGCAATTAAACCTGCCAATGAATTGGTAGCTCATTGGAACAGAGAACAATGATTTACCTGCCAAGATAAGGAATGCGAGCTAGAATATAGACACGTTTACCCTGCTAAAGACTTGTTCGACCGTGGGTTATTACATATCTATTGGCCTTCAGTCCTAGTATGCCCCGACTGTGTGGTGCCGGGATTCTGGCAATGGTTTGGTGGTGACGCGGCGACGGACAGGAGGTGTTCGGCGGTCAGAGACCCAGCTTCCACATATCACTTCCACTGAGGCTCTGTAGACCACGGGATATGACTGTCCTCCGAGGCGGACATGTCCTGAGCGCTGCGCGCGTAGCCCTGATAAATGAGCGTGCCTCGGAGCGGGATACACGGAGGCTCGCCTGTCGTTACTAGCTATGTACCTGCTGTACCTTGAAAGTCGTTGTGTTTAGCGCTAGGCACCTCACCAGTAACTAACAAGTTCAATGAGACGCGAAAAGGAAAAGAAGGGCGCAAGATGTAGCACGGTGGCGATGAGATTCTCGGGCTCGGGGTGAAAATTATGAAGGTATGCTGAACTTTGATCACGACCTTGACCACGATCAGGAGACGATGGCCAACCTTCCAAGTCGTCACCAACGAATCGAATCATTGTACATCATATCGCCAAATGTGGCGACGGCTGCAACCGCTCTGTGTATTTTGAGGTTGGTCTCCATTCAAAGCGACTAACAGAGAAGGGATCTGTCGGTCATGCATTCGGCGCGCGGTCGCGCTGATGCAAATATTGACTGCGCGGCTAATTGGCTGGGTGGATGCCCAAGACTAGGTGAGGCAGAGTAACGTTGTTGCAATCAGCCAAGACTTCGGTGTGAGTTCTCCGACGTGCGATCGATATCCTGGACGTGTGGAGTGGTTGACTTTGTGGGTGGCAGATCAGAGTGTGGTGTGTGTCCAATGAGCAGAGTTCCTGGCCTGAGTCCCGACGCACAGCCATCCGAGATCACCAGAACCTGCTCTGTTCTTTCTTCTTCATTGAATTGGATCGGACAAGAACGGACGCAGGGAATGAGCTGCCCACGTCATAAAACAAAATTGGGACAAGGTCGCGTGGATGGGTGCAACGGAGGCATATGGGCGCTTGGGTGGGGATCGGAGCAGGAGCATGAGGAAGAGCATACTGCATTTCGCATCCCGTCTGCAGGCCTACGTACGATCACAATCGTATTTCGCGACGCGTGCGGAACACGACATAGACACCTCGACACCCGATGATTTGCTTGCTTGCCTACCAATGCAACCAACGCAAGGGATAATAGCAATACGAATACAAGGGAGTCACTGCGCGGCGATCCGCCGAGAAAGGAAATGGGTTCACCACGCGGGTCTGGTGGGCCATTGATCAGTGGGGGCTGTAGATACCATCGGCGCTGATTTGTTTGAGTTTGACGAGATATTGCGTATGTGATGATTGGTTAAACGCAGCGGAGTAGCCTGGACGGTATACGCTGAGTTGTCTTGCGATCTGGTGTTTTGGTGATTCGGGGGTCGGGGCGCGTCGAGGCGCTCACGGATCGGAGGTGTTTGTCGGAGGTTTGTATCGCTTCCGCTGCGCCTCTATGGCCACGGCGTTCAACTGTCCTCCGAGACAGACATGTCCTTGGAGCTGTCCTTGCGTGCATGAGAAGGGCTCGGGTGTGTAATGCTGCGCGCTTACTCAGTAAGCGTAGGCTTGATCATGAATCACGATTAAGTATGTATGATTATGATGGTGGGTAGCCGGCGCAGGGGGTCTTCGGTGTGGGAGGGAATGGCCACAGGTTTGGCGTGCCTCGGAGCGGGATGCACGGAAGCTCGCCTATCGTTACTCAAAATGTACCTTGGATTTATGTACCTTGGGTGCTGAAATGTTTGGCGCTACACACCTCGGCACCAACGAGACGCACGCAGAATAGATAGCGTGGAGGTGGTGGTTCCTCGGGCTTGATGTGAACATTATGGAGTTGGAATGCTGAGTACTAGATGTTAATCAGGCGATAGGGCAGTCAACCGTCGTCCCAGCGAATCATCGAGTCATGGAGATAATCAACCCAAATACGGGCACGACTGCCCAACTACTCTGTGTATTTGCACTGTTCGGAGGTTGTACTGTTCGGAGGTTGTTCGGAGGTCCGCTCGAATCGAGGGGCGCGAGGTGTAGAGGTGTAGAGGGGTGCTCCTATACGTCGGCCACCGGCGTTCGGTCTGACGATGCAGTGACTGAACGACTGATTGATGGGTTGTCCAGATGGAGAGACAGGCTGAAGGTGATTGGGTGGCTGGCTGAGTGGCTGAGGGCGACTCGACGGAGGAAGTTGACCGTGTGTGTAGCGCATGGAGTGGTGGTATGCCATGCAGGTACCATGAGGCGAGGTGGCTTGAGGGCATAGGTATGTAGATCACTGCTGCAGTGTTGATCCCGGCGCACAGCCTCGAGATCACCATCACCAAAATTTCCTTCCTTCCTCCCCCCCATCTCCGCCCTTCCTCCCCTCCTTCTGCATCCGAGCGCCGCATTGGCGCGCAGTCCCCGACGTCACTGAAGATTCGATTTGACGATCCGCGCATTTGGAGGCTTTGACTGGAATTGGGTGGGATTTACCGCAGATGTGCTGTTGAATCGGGGAGATCGTGGCCTTGGCGCGACGGAGGCAAATTAGCACGGAAGCAAATATGTTTTCGTTGGCGCGTAGGGGCGCGTAGCGCCTAGGATACGGGCGTCGGCGGGAGGCGATGGTGAAAATTTGGTGGATTGCATTGTGCGTCCCGTCCGCAGGCCTGCATAGATTGAGTGCTCGTGTTTTCGTATATCTGCGACGCGTCCGGAGCAGGCACCCCAAGTCCTCGATGCCCGATATCTCATTGGCTTACCCTACCAATGCTTAGGGATACTGCATTGTACGTCCCGTCCGCAGACCTACATAGTATGATTGTGTTTTCGTGTTTTCGTGCATCTGCGACGCGTCCGGAACGCAACGCAGACACCCCGAGCCCTCGATGCCCGATGATTTACTGGCGTACCTGCCGATGCAGGGGATAACAGGAATGCGAATACAGGGAAGCGACTGCGCGCTCTATACGCGGGTTTGGTTGGCCTGTAACAGTGGGCTGTACATCCCATTGGCCGTTCATTGATTAAATGTCTGACTGCGAATCGGTACGGTGTGGTGTGTTGGAACTAGAACTGCGCATTTGACAATAGCGAGGGTGAAATTGACTGGAGGTACAGTTGGGCCTGTGACGTCGGGGCTATTGCTGTTCGTTTGTGAAACCCAAGACGGAGGGGAGCACGCGCACGCGCACTGGTGAGGGGACTGGCATTCTCGGACTCGGGACTCGGGACTCGGGATGCTGATGGCGGGAGAGCGATGACGCGCTGGCGGATCGGAGGTGCTCCTCGGGGGTTGCAGGTGTGCATCGCTTCCGCTGCGGCTCTGGCCACGGCGTTTCAATATGCTCCGATATATCCTTGGAATCTGGATGCGGGCGAAGCGAAGGGGAATCGGGTGTGTGACTGCGCGCTTGGGAGCGTGCTGGCCACATAGGCTCACATAAGCAACATGGAAGGAGGGTGTGCCTCGGAGCGGAATGCACGGAGGCACGCTGGCGTATTGGCGCGCCGCGCTTCGCCACCGACGAGACGCGAGGGAACGCGCGTGGTGGCGGTGAGATCCTCGGAGTCGACGTGAACCGTCATCGCTACGAATACGCTGAGGGTTGCGCATGCTCGCCATGATCTCATCTCCCGACTCGCACAGCCCCGCATGGGGTACGTATATGGATAAGCCAATCCAATCCGCGTCGATTTGGCGCGAATCAAATAATCGGAATCGTCGAGGATCATCCGCCCGATTCCGAATACGAGGGTACTGCGTATGTGGATTCGCGTATATCGGGATATTTGGGTTCGGAGGATGCGCGGAGGTCCGCTCGAATCGAGGAGGCGAAAGGGGGCTCCTATACGTTAGGGGGTCGGCGGTCGGTCTGATGTCTTTTACTTGATGCAGTGATGGGTGGGTGATGGGTGATTGATTGTGCAGAAGAGTGGGAGCTGGTGGAGAGAGGGAGATCTGACAGCTGGAGGTCGACGGACGTGCGTGCCCGTATGCAGCGGTGTCGGTGTCAGCAAAGTGGTGGAGTACCAGGGATAGCGGTGAGTGGTGGTGATATGGTGGTGCTGATATGGTCCATGCAGGTACCATGAGGGGGGGGGCATAGGTACATGGATCACTAGTGGCGCACAGCCTCGGATTGATCACCAAAATTTCCCAACTTCCTAGCTTCTTTCTTTCTTTACTTTGCGCAGCTCCGTCCGAGTGCTTCGTTGTTATTGTTGTTGGTATTGTTAGTATTGCACCGCCGGCGGCAGTGAGTTTTAGGTGATTTGCGATCGTGCGGATGGAGAGACGGGAGAGATGAACGCGAACCAGCCCCGTGTTGCTTTGGCGCTTCGTGCAGGAGCCTCGTTAGCAGAGTTCGGGAGCTGCGCGTCTGGCGGGGAGTGATGGTGGAATTTGCGTTTTGGTGTTTCGGGTGTACGGTGTACGGTATCCAGTACGTCGGGCGCAGGCCTCCTTCGTCCGGTAGTGGTTGTGGTTATTGTTCTTGTTGTCGTTACTGGGTTATTGAGCGACGCGACGCGTTCGGAGCGTTTGCCAGTATCGGGTATCCAGGACCCAGTAAACATCAAAGTCGAGTCCCAGTATCCAGTAGAAGGAGGTGTCCAAGTGTGCAAACGTTCACATACGTGAAGTGCGATTTGCTATGCTACAGCTGGCTTGCTTGATAGGGATAATACCAAGAGGATTTGGGGCTGCCACTGACCAGGAAAGGCGGGATGTGGGGGCTGTGCGCACGATCGTTGAGTGATGGATGTGGATATGGAATTGGGTGTTTGGAGCGGGCTGCGCGTGTTATATTCGTATTCGGTGAGTGTTGTTGGCATTGGTGTTATTGTGTTATTGTGCTTAGGTGATGGTGAGTTCGTGATGGACGGATGGACGGATGGTTTGGGAGAAGTACTTGTTCTTGCACAGGTATCTGGTGAGCGCTTAGAGGAAGAGTTGGAGTGATGGATGGACGGACGATTCTTGTTCTGGATATAGTACGGTGGGTGTATGCGTTGTTGAAGGAGTGTACTGTGAGAGTAAGCGTAGTATGAAACGTTCATTGATGCAGCTGGTGGTAAGCGCAAGTGTTTTGGGGATGGGTTCTTTTGTTTGGGTGATGTAGGACACGGTTAGTTGGTTTCAGTCGTGAATGATTCGCGCGTGGGTTCAAACGTCTTACGGTGCTTCGCTCTTGTACGACGATCTTACGCTCTGGAATTACGCGAATGCGGGCCGTCTTGTGGTGGTTATGGCTTTGGAGTGATATGATGTAGATTTGATGACAAGGAAGCAAGAGAGCATGTGCAGACAGTGATGGGATCGATGGGGTATGGCGACGGTCAGACGGATGGGGAGGTCGAGATCAGAAAACGGAAAAGAAGGAAAAAGAGGTGATGGGCGAGATATAGAATCATGGAAGGTTCTTGGATCGGACGAGGAGAGGATAATGGAGGGGACGGGGATGACGGGCTGGTGATCTGGTATGCAGGTCGAGATATGGTATATGATCGTGGCCAGGGGAGAAGAGAATGTGCAGGGGGTGGCGGACGTGTAGCACATGGAGATGCGAAGGGAGTAGGGGGAGTGGAGGTCTGGCAATGAGACGACCGAAGCCGAAGAGAGGGTCCGGCGATGACGGCAATCAAGGCGGGAGTGAGGCCATGGGCTACGCTGAATCCGGTTGTGTCGGGATAAGGCTCGGGGTGTTTGACTGTCGGTTACCACGTTTCAATCGAGCTGCACAGCCCCAGCCTATTTTTGCATTCAATCCCAAAAGTCGCCGAAGAGGGTGGATTCGAAGTTGTCGGACATCCTTCACATAAAAATCACCTCGTTTTCTTCACTCACCCCGCAACAACTCCTCTCCCCATCGTACCCATCCAACGCACTCATGGCCTCCTGGCAATCCCTCCCAGCTGAAATGAAAATCGCAGTCCTCGACTTGCTGGACAACGTCGACGTCCGTGCCTTGGCCGCAACACAGAGATCCATCTACCCTCTCTGCATCCCGTCCCTTTTCACAGTACGTCCCATCATCTGACAATCTCTCTCTCTTCTTTCCCGACCTTCCACACAGAAAATAGTCCTTCGCGATTGGCAGGCGATCGTCCTCTTCCTCCAGAGCGTCCCATCACACTACCTCTCCCACACACGCTCCCTCGAACTGTCCACCCACGGCGATCCCACAAATGCTCCGCGCACAGACGCTGTCCTACGCATCCTCACCGCAGCACCCCGCCTCCACCATCTCGTCCTCAAGCTCGCAGGCCCCCTAGACAACCGCGCCATCCCCTGCTTCGCCCCCATGAACCGCCTCAAGACACTCGCCATCTCCAACTCCGCAGACGAGAATCACCTTCCCATGTGGGTTGATGATATGCCCATCCTTTTCGTTGCTCCCACAACTGACTTTGTTCCGTTTACAGCAGCGAGCGCTTTGTCGTCTCCGTCGCAGCGACCATCCCCCACCTCCAGGAGCTCTCCCTCGACTCCATCTCCCGCTCCAAGTTCCACGTACACGACTCTGAGCACCTCCCCATCTACGTCCCCCTCGTTCTAGGCGACACAGACATCCCAGACCACCCCACCCTCGGCCCCCACCTCAACCTCCCCTCCCTCCTCACCCTCCCGTCCCTCCGCAAGCTCCACATCCACGGCACCCACCTCGGCGACCCCGCCTGGGCCTCCGTCGACGTCCGCTGCAAGTTGGAGGTCCTCGACCTCGGCAGCTGCTGCCACGAGAACGACGCCGTCAACCGCGTCTGCACAGAACGCATCATGGCCGCCGTCGGCCCCACAGTCGACGAGTTTGCGCTGACCACCAGTGTCCAGGACGCAAAGTTTGCCCAGAAAGGTGTGACGCCGCTGCAGAAGCTCCGGAAACTTCACATCTCGCCGTTCTTCCCCGTCGACAGCATCGTCGACACCGTGTCCAACCTCGCCGGCTCGCCCATAGAGAGCCTCTCAGTGCAGTGCTACGAAGACGACGTCGTGGATACGTGCTCGGCGATGGAAGAGTTCCTCAGCCTCCGTGTCGAGCGCGGGCCGCTGTTTTACGACCGATTGAAGACGATCCACGTTACGGTGACTGCGAACGACTTTGACATCGACGGCGATGGCCACGACGACGATGATGGCGACGACGATGATGATGTCAAGGGAATGGGCGCAGCGGACGACGAGGACGCAAAGGAGCGCAGCGAGGCCTTCAGGCGCCTCCAAGAGTTCTGCAACGACTTGAAGCTGGCGAGCGAGGTCGGGAGCCGGGCCGCGTCCGCGACCCCCATCGGGGGCAAGTGCAACGCCACTGGGCCGGCCGCAAATGGGAGCAAGTGCTACCCGCCGTGCGATGCGGAGACGGAGAAGGCGATGGAGAAGGAGGCGGGGAAGTACTTGAATGGCCGTGCGAGGCATGGGCTCGGCGCGCTCTGAGCGCAGGAAGCGTATTGTTCGCCACTTTCCTCTTTTCATATCAGACCAGCCTTGCCCTCCCCCCATAATACCATATATTTCACGCCGCCACGACGCTTCACGCTATTTACGCCCACCTCTCTTCGCTTATCATAGCGCGTACTCCGTCTAGACGCCCCTCCCAATCCACCTATTCACTCACTGCTCATTGGTTATTGGTTATTTACGTGTGCATAGTTGCATGCTTTATCGTTATTGGTCGGGACCGCGCAAGAACTTGTAATACTACTATTTTGTACAGTATGGGCTATCTGTACTTTTAGGCCTTGGGCATGCATCGTTCATTCAGTCATTCATATGTCATATGTTGGGAAGATATTGTGAGAAAGCTTGCTTGAGCTTGGCTTGAGGTGGTGCCGAGAGTAAGACTATCACTTTGCAAAATGATTTTAGGATCCTGTAGACTCAAGATATATATTGTCTTTGAACGATTTGTAACAACTCAGGCCTCGCGCCTGACTTCCTCCCTTCCTGTCCACGTGCGTTCACTTAGACTTTGGCTTCTTATAGCTTCTGTTGGTCATATATTACATGTCTTGACTATCTTATCTTATCCTCTGATAAATCTGAGCCGTTCATGCCTCACGTCACTCTTACATATCGCGGAATCGACAAAAGTCGCGCCATGACTGCGCTGCGCATCCGCGATTGCCGTTAACGACCCAAGGACGACGCTCTGCGCGTTCCAACCAACTTTGTCAGTCTCTGGAAACTGTACGCCTGTCCCACCGGGCCCGGGGTCAGTCGGGCGCCATGCCTCGTCCCCGCTGCCTCTGCCGGCAACGCACCATTGTGCGGCTCCCCCTCACACACCACAGTGTGCTGAGGGTCTACAGGAGTGCCTGGCTCCGGCAGCTGGTCGTTTGGCGCGCACTCCTACACGGATGGGTCGGGGGGATGACGGAATGGGGGTTCTGGTGCGAGGGAGGTAAGTACTGAGTCACTCAACTCCAACTTGGTGAGTTCATCAGCTTGCGGCTCGCTACCACTATACTCCCCAACGATCGCACAAGATTCCTCGACGACCTTGGGTTGTGGTAGACCGAGTGCGATACACCGGCAAAGGCGATTGTGCAGTGACAGTGGTCCTACATCACAAGCCCTCGCGGAACTTGATTGCGGCAGCGACACTCAGGAAGCGGTTGGCGCGCCATACAGTTTCTTCACACCACACGATTAACATCATCCTGATGATATATTCTCGTTATAGCGGTTATTATCAGGTACTGTAGCAATCGTCAGGCCTGCGTCACCGTGGCTCGCCGGTACTGTAAGGGCAACCTCAAGGTGGCCGACAGCGCAGGCCTAGCAGAGGGAGAATCCAAAGAGATGAATAAGACTAACTACAATACATGAGAGAGCTGCTCACCTAGCAGAGGGAGAATCCAAAGAGAACAGGATGGGGATTCTCCATGCTAGGAAGCGAAGTATATACTGTAGTAGCGTGGGAGGAATGAAGGGTAACTGTACAGTACACCAGCCACAGGTACAAACAAATATCACAAGGTACGAGGGGGCATGTGATAATGAAGTGGAAGGGGAATGTACAGGAGCCGTGCCAGCGACCTGGGGGAGTGGGGACAAGGAATAACGAAGTGGGAAAGGAAGATGGAGGTAGCCCGGACGAGCCCCGAAGTGTATCTACGAGTCCGAGTGAGTCCGAGTGAGTCCGAGCGAGTCCGAGGCGTCCGAAGCGCGGGAAGACTTCGGAGTCACCGGACGAGGCTCGGATACGAAGGGAGTGAACGGAAGGGAAGCGGAAAGGAAAGGGGATGAAAGAAAGAGGAAAGGGACGAGGAGGAAGGGGGCAGGACAGGGGGAAAAGGGGAAAATAGGAGTGTCCCCTTACATCACCCCCCCTTCAAGGTTGCGGCGACCCGACGCGAAGATTCCTGCCTGCCGCGCCATGAATTCACCAACCCCGAAACTCCGGATTGCTGCGAGAAGATGTCGAAGTACGATTGCGCAGAGCCCGGAGCCTTCCGACTACGCCAACGCTCCCAGGACTGGTCCAGTGCTGCAGGAGTCATCCGGAGAGGTAGAGCAGTCGTCGGATTCATCGGACTCGTCCGGAGTACGCGTACTGCATCTGGATGACGATCATGGAAGTCCTTGACCTTCCGGGCAGCATGCTGGAGGTTGCTCGTGGGCTCCCAGGAGTCGTGCTCGATACCATAGCCTCGCCAACGCACCAGGTACTTCAGGACCCGACCGAACCGTCTGCTATTCCGGACCTCTTCTACCTCATGCTCCTCTTCTCCGTCAACGAGCTGCGGAGGTGGCGGAGCAACAGGGCGTCTACCCGGGATGGGGTCCGGAACGAAGGGAGAGAGTTTGACCACAGGGAAGACGGGATGGAGACGGGATAAGCCCAGAGGGAGCTGGAGCCGGTACGCTGCCTTGCCAACCTTCTGGACGACCTTGTAAGGACCAAGTCGTGCGTGTCCGAGTTTCCGGGAGGGTCGGGCAAGGTTGATGTCCGACGAGTCCAGCCAGACCTTGTCACCCAGTTGGTACTCCGGAGCAGGAGTCCGACGCTGATCGTAGTAGCGCTTCATGTCGTCCTGAGCCTTGACCAATGCGGAATGAGCCTCGTCGACTGCGGACTTCATCCGGTCTACGAACTCGTTTGCGGACTCCATCCGAGACGGTGGTTGGTGAGGTTCGAACCCGAGACGAGGATGACGGCCGGTATCCAGGAGGAAGGGTGACTGCTGAGTGGACGCATGGACCCGGTTGTTGTACGCAAACTCCGCCATAGGCAGGAGGCGAGCCCAGTCGTCCTGACGCTCTCCGACGAAGATCCGGAGATAGGACTCGAGTTCCTGGTTGGTCCGCTCCGTCTGTCCGTCGGACTGGGGGTGGTACGCAGTGGAGGCAGCCAGCTTGATTCCGAGCATCCGGTAGACTTCTCGGGTGAACTCTGCAACGAACTGCGGACCCCGGTCGGACACAACGGACCGAGGGAGTCCATGCAGCTTCCAGACATTCTGCAGGTACAAGTTTGCGGATCCGAGGGCAGACACTGTGGTGTGAGTTGGAATGAAGTGGGCGCGTTTGCTTACGGAGTCGACCACGTTCATGACAGCATCAAACCCATCGGACTCCGGAAGCTCGACGATGAAGTCAACACTCAGCCGATCCCAGCGTTCATCCGGAATGGGAAGCGGATGAAGTTCACCCATGGGCGGATGCCTTTGGGCCTTCGTCCGGAGACAGAGGTCGCAATGGCGGGTGTAGGATCCGATGTACCGGGACATGTTGGGCCACCAGTAGCTGCGCGAAACGAGCTCTAGGGTCTTCCATCTGCCGGCGTGTCCTGCGACCTTGGTGTCGTGGTGCTGAGCTACAATAGTCCGACGCAAGTCTGGTGAGTCCAGAACGTAGATCTTACCCTGGAACATGAGGAGTCCGTCCGATTGGGACCATTCCGCGCTTCGGACTGTCTTGCGACTGCCCTGGGTCTTCTTCAGCTCCTCTGCCGCCTTTGCCACTGCATCTTCAAACTTCGCATTCCGCACTCCAGTCCGGATAGCCGTGAGGATATCCTTCTCCTCCCCTTCAAGAGTGACACCCGTGGCACGGACAGCAAAGTAGGAAGGCTTGAGCATCACTACATCCTTGTTGTCATCCTTACCATCCGAATGATCCGAGAGAGCGTCCGGTTTACCCATAGTCCGACCCGGACGATGCTGGAGAGTGAAGTCGAAGCGGGAGAGGTATAGCGACCAGCGGGCTTGACGACGGTTGAGCTTCTGGGCCTTGATGAAGTACTCCAGGTTCTTGTGGTCCGTCCAGATCTCGAACGGAGTCTCTGCGCCTTCAAGGTAGTGCCGCCATTCTTCGAGCGCCCGGATGATTGAAAGCATCTCCTTGTCGTGTATTTCGTAGTTCCGCTCCGCAGCCTGTAGACTTTTAGAGTAGAATGCGACAGGATGCCATTTACCATCATCCGGATCCAGTTGCGACAAGACTGCACCCGTAGCATAGTCCGACGAGTCCGCTTCAACCCGGTATGGCCGATCCTCCTTCGGAAAGACCAGAACGGGCTCCGAAGTGATCAGCTCTTTGATCCGAAGAAACGCGGATTGAGCGGAGTCGTTCCACTGCCATTCCTTTGCGCAAGTGAGGTCGAAGAGAGGCCGAGCGATATGCGAGTAGTCCTTGATGAAGCGGCGGTAGAAATTGACGAACCCGAGGAAGGATTGGAGTTCAGTCCAAGTCCGAGGGGTTGGCCAGTCCGCGACTCCGGAAACCTTCACGGGATCCATCTCGATCTTACCCTCGGAGATGACGACACCGAGATACTCCACCTTGGTCTGCTCAAATTCGCACTTGTCTGCTCGGAGGAAGAGCTTGTTCTGCTGGAGGATCTCCAGGACACGCCTGAGGACCCGGCGATGCTCTTCGCACGTCTTGGTGTAGATCAGAATGTCATCCAGATAGATAATGACCACACCTTCCGTAATGAGCTCCCGGAAGAGGTCGTTCATCATGGTCTGGAAGGTAGATGGGCTATTCGTCAGTCCGAAGAACATTACCAACGGCTCGAAGAGTCCGCGCGTAGTCCGGAACGCGGCCTTCCACTCGTCACCCTCCTTGATCCGGATGTTGTTGAAACCCCACCAGACGTCGAGCTTGGAGAAGTAGCGAGCGTTCCGGAGTTTATCCACCAAGTCCGAGATGAGCGGAAGTGGGTACCGGTTCTTGACCGTCATGCTGTTGAGCTTCCGGTAGTCCTGGACCAAGCGGAGCGATCCGTCCTTCTTCTTAACAAAGAACACCGGGGCGGCCATGGGCGACTTGCTGGGGCAGATCCGACCAGTCCGGAGATTTTCTTCCAGAAACTCGTCCAGCTGTTTCTGCTCCGCGGGGGACAGCGGGTAGCACTTGGTAGAGGTCGGTTCCGCTCCGTCCACTAGCTCAATGGCGTGATCCCACGGACGCGGCATGGGCAGTTCATCAAAGGACTCCTTGGCGAAGACGTCCTCGAATTCTCGGAGGAAGCCCGGGACTGCGCTGTTCCGAGGATCGTGGGGTTTGTTGCGCTGGAAGGCCAATGCGAGACGCTGCGAGACCGTCTCCGAAGCTCGGACGTGTTCTTCCCGAAGACTCTGAAGGTACTCCGGAGTCGGAGGAGGAATGGTTGCGAAGATACGGTCGCCCTTCTCAAGTTCGGAGTCATCCGGAGTTGTGGCCTCATCGTCCGCGTCGTCATCCTCACAGTCCTGAAGCTGCGGGAGCTCGTCCGAGTGCAGTTCCTCGACCATTGGCATCGGACCCATACGACACTCCCGGAGCCGTACGGACTCCTTGCGTCGGGTCAGCTTGTCATGGCGGAACTCCTTCCGGCAGGTATCGCATCCGGACGGACAGCGGCTCATGGTCACCTCCTTTGTCTGCCAGTCAATCTCGGGGTTGTGCTTCCGAAGCCAGGTGTATCCGAGGATGATGTCCTGCCGTCCGATGTTAGTGACCGCGAAAAGCATCCGTTCCGTGTGATCCTTGAACCGGAGTACAAGGTCCACGACTTCGGAGATGGATCTGTTTTCATTTGGTGATCCGTCAACATTGAAGACCGGGATCGGGGCGGACAGCTTGCGCCGGGTGAAACCATGGGCATCAGCGAAGCGCGGATGCATGAAGACTCCGGTGGCTCCGCAGTCCACCAGGGCCTGCAGTGTGCATCGGTGTTGTGTATCCGTGCTCTGCACTTCAACGGGTATATCTAGCGAGCACCTGACGATCCACCACATCTTCGGTTGGACCCCAGGTGGAACCAGGTGGGTGGGTGGCATTCACCTGGTGTTCACCTGGACTCACCTGGCATTCAAGTGGCAAAAAGGTGGATTTTGGTTTGGCTGTAATGGCCCAGAAATGCCACTTTTTTACCACTTTTGGCCACTTTTTTACCAGGTGGACACCAGGTGAGCCATACTGGATGAGTGGTATCCATGTGATGTCCATGTGGTATTCACTTGAATTTCCACCTGAACACCACATGAATGCCACCCATATACCAGGTAGACAAAGTGCTAGTATTGAGGTGGGGTTCATCTGGCATTCATGTGGACATCACATGGCAATGTCATGGCCAATATGTTATTTTGTAGTGCTGTTATGATTTTATCTTATTTTATTGTATTTTCTATGATTTTCTATGAATTTTTAGCAATTTATTGTATTTTCTATGATTTTCTATGAATTTTTAGCAATTTATTTGAGTTTCTTTGGCATTTTCTGGCGTAATTTCCGCTTTGGGACAGCCAGAAATGGATTAGCAACAGTTATCTAAAGATAAGTCATTTTCCTCGGACGGGCGCTTATTTGGCGCTTATTGACGATTATTAATATTCTTTTTCTTTTTCTTTTTCTTTTCTTTTTCTTTTTCTTTTTGTGGACGGGCGCCTATTTTCGGCAATCAGCGCAACACCACGTGCATGTGACTGCCGTGCCATGCTGGCACACGACACCTCTATCTTCTCAACCACCACCATCCCCCCTTCTTCTGCCTTCCCCCCAACGCCCCACCACAGCAATATGCCCCCACGCAAGCCCACTTCGACGCAGCGCAAGAACAAGGAGGAGGGGACCACAATGTGAGTGTGTCCCCCAGTTTTTTCTTTTTTTTTCACTGACACTGCCCCCACTTGTGTCCCATGCCCTATGCCCACGTCCCCCACTTTCACACCACCCACGCCTTTGCCCTTGCCCGGACGCTCGACGCCCCCCATGCATCCCCACACCCCCGTTTTCAACGACGACGACGACGATGCCCCCCACACATCTCCACACCCCGTTCTCAATGACGACACTCCCCATGCATCCCCACACCCCCGTTCTCGACGACGACACACCCCATGCATCTCCACACACCCCGTTCTCGACGTCGCCAACGATGATGCACGCCCGCACCCCATTCTCGACGACGCCCCCCACGCACGCCCGCACCCTTACACCTCACCCCTACCCCCTGTCTACCCCTGGCCCCTGGTCATCAACATGTACCCCTGATCCCCCCCTTGGCCCCCATCCACAGGGCTTCTACCAAGCCCAGGTCCACCAGGTCCGCAACCAAGGCCATGCAGCATGAGCTCATGTGAGTTTGTCATTGCCAGTAGTGTACCAGTAGTCAGTAGTCATACATCATGAGTAGTAGATAGAATAAATATAAATAAATTCTTTTAAATCTCAAATAAATTAACAATCAATTAACAAACCTTTTCTGATAGTGTGGACATCCCTGTAACCAAGAAGAAACAAACCAAGGCTAAGAAGAACAAGAATATGTGAGTTACTGCCTGTATCCCTCTGTTTGCTTATGCTCATTGTCCGTAGCACCTCTGCCAACCGTGATGCAGCTGATGAAGAAGCTAATGAGACTATGGTAGAGAATTTGACTGTGTAAGTCTTTGCTTGTCATTATTTGTGATTGTACAACTCATCTTTTCGCACCAGTACTGCTAGGACGCTTCAGGAGAGTGGTGCTCCACTTGCACCACCTGCTCGTCGAGTTGGGACTGGAGTCACCTTGGCTCCAATCACTCCGAGTATCACCACGTCTCGCATCAGGCGTGAAGAGCCAGAGGACATACCCCAGATCGCCAGCAAAGATAAAGGCAAAGGTAGAGACCTCACTAACTTGGGCTCATCAGACACAGAGGAGATAGATGAAGGAGAAGACGACGAGGCTGAGAAGTCTGATGAAGAGGGCGACAAGGAGAAAGATGCTGATGCTGGTAGCAATGGCGATGAAGATGGTGAGCCGAAGAAGACTGACGATGAGGACGACGATGAGGACGATTCCGCTGAGGTGCCCATGCATGCTGACTTGTCAGACAACAACGACGACACCATGGAGGTTGCCCCCACCACTCCCAAGCGCCCTGCCACCCCCGCCAAACCCACCACCGCTTCCAAGCGCAGGGCCAGCACTTCGCCCACCACCACTCGTCAGATGGGTAAGGGTTTGCGCAAGGGCATCACCCATGCCAGTGGTTCTTCCCGTCGAGCTTCTCCCTCTCCCACGTCTGACGATCTTGAGGATTTGCAAGGCGCATCCCGCACCATGGGTGGTGTCGCTAGAGGCAAGGCCATGGGTATTGCCCTCAACATGGCTGACTTTGGTGAGTTCTCTCTTTTGCTATCAAGTTCAATTCTGACTTGATATTCAGACACCAACATGGAGTCTGATGCCCCGCCTGTCATGGGCATGGTTCATGTCTTCAAGAATGGGGCATCGCCTCTGGAGGGTCCCACACCTCTTGCGGTGAAAGTCCCCATCAAGAACACTCTGGGGCCTGTCCTCACTGCTGCTGCCAAGAAGATGGTGGCCCTTATTAGTAAGTTTCTTCTTTCTCCTTCGCGTTTTTGACTTATTGGTTGCCAACAGGCTCTGACATCCTTCTCTGGGATGCTAAGACCCTCATGTGGGAAGTAAAGGGCCCCTACGCCATTGCTGTCGACGACAATGAAGCTGCCATTTGGGATGATGAGAATATACTCAGAATTGGAATTGTATGTAAATTCCGACTTGACTTGAAAAAATTCTGACACCATTTCAGCAACCATCTGAGGTTAACCTCTCCTACCTTCTGCCTCCCTCCCCCTCCATCAACTCCACTTCTGCTTCCTCAGCAGTCTCCTCCATCGCGCCCTCCGCTTCCATCTCCGTTGCTGGCACCTCCACCACTCCCGTCAACAGCCTCATCACCGCCTTCCCCAACGACCCTCTTCTTCTACGAATTGCTACTCGTATGGAGGTGCCACTCCATATGACCAACAGCGGCAAGGGTAATGGTGGTCTGGTCAACATGTATGCCCGCTATCAGCTTGCTGTAGGCGCCATGGCCAAGTGGAACAGGCTCACCACTCCATGGGATGGAGCTCCTGTTGAGGAGGCTGTCCTTCGCTCCATTTTCATCAAGAGGACAAACTTCGGCACCTATGGAGCCCTCTTCAAACGCTGTCTCAAGTTCCCCATGCTCATGGACATGTTGCAGAACCCCGACTACGACTTTACGTCTGAGGCTCATACGAAGGTCTGGGGAGGTCGTGAAGTTGGCAGGATGACTCTGGGGAAGGTTCTGGATGAGTTGGAGGCAGAGCTTGCAGCAGAGGAGGCAAAAGTCGTCGCTGAGAAGGCCAAGAAGGCCAAAGAGGCAAAGAAGAAGTGTGCAGCTAAGAAGGCTACAAAGTAGGTAGCTTACTCTTTGTATTAGTGTAAATGCAACAGTCATTTCACTTGTTCTTTTTCGTCTGAACTTCAATGCATTTCAACAAATACTGACTTGCCCAGTTTCTGTTTACAGGGTCTTTGGATGGTGCTATCCGTCCTTTTCTTGCTAGGACTCCTTCCATGTGCCACCGCAGCTCCTCTGGAGGACCCGTTTCCCGACATCCGGTTTGCTGACTTTGCCAAAGTCATCAAGCTGACCTTTGGTGAGAACATCAGTCTGGCCACAGTCCTGATGCTCCTCTTCAGCATCACCACCAACACCGACATTCTCAACTTGCATGGCCAGCAGAGGGCTGTGAGTAGTAACAACCAGGTCGTCACTAGCTGGATGGCAGCCTTTGTTTGTGCCATCAAAGACAAGCTTCAGGTTGATGTCTCTGACGTCCCTGGTGACTCTGATGATGATGATGCTGGTGCTGGCAATGTCGATTCAGACTCTGGGTCCTCTGAGGACAATATGGATGCCTCTGACAATAATTCCAACTCTGGATCTGATATCTCTTTCTGGCCAGCGACAACCACAAATCGTGTTCTGCAAAGAGCCAGACCACCATACTTGGTAGAAAAATCGACTCTCTCTGCCACTCTCTGGATCTCTCCACGCATAACAATAAATGCCAGCTATGTCGCAAACTCCTGTCCATTTCCACTTCCTCCATTTGGCCTATCATCATCATCACCCCTCCTGTCATGGGCTGCTCTACTGCTGGCTGTCATGGCCATGGTCTCACTCAATACCTCTGTGAACGTGATATCTCCAAAGTCACCTTGCTTCATGGAAGTGAGTGCTTTGAGAAGGTTCCGGTATTGGCTGGTAGATGTCCCAAGTGCTCCACCATGTTCTGTGCAGACCATGAGAGCTTCATTGACGACAATCGACAACTCGCACTCTATCTTCCCAATGCCAAGTACCTCAAAGTTGGCAAGCAGGTCTGGGTGGATCGCATTGTCTCCAAGGCTGTCATGAATGCCAACTACAGCTTCCATGCTTCGACAGCAGCAATAACAGAGTTCTGGAACTATTCGTTTGTCCAGCCCAGTGGAGCTTCATTCACTCTCACTCATAGACAAGTCTGGAAAGCCTTTGTCTTGGAGTCCATCCGCCTACTTGCAGGTTTCAGCAACTCGACCATGATCTTCATGGACAATCTGAAGATCAGTGAGCTTGTGGCCGCTGCCTACTTGTACCTTGGAGATGGGGGAATCATCCGCAGCGCAGTTGGCCATTCATGCGATGAGTGCTGTCATGCATTCAAAGATGTGGCTGACGTCATTCCCAACCAGGATGACAATCCCGCTGCTCTTGCTGGTCATGATGAAAATCGTGATGTGCCTGAGTATGCAGGGCCTGCTGTGGCAGCAGCTGTTGCAGATGCTGTTGAAGTGATGTGCACACTTGTTGTACAAATGTATAACAAAGTTGCGCTATACCAAGCGCCTGGTTCCCACGCATTGGGGACCACCCATAGACACTGCCAACACCCATGGGAACGACCTAGGTCATCATGGGATGACTGGTGTTGACAGGATTGCTAAAAGTGCGCAAGCACTGTTTAGCAATCTGTACATACTTTACAAGCGCACGACTCCCACGGTCAATGCAACGTTCCCACGTTCAGCGCCCCATTAGTAGGTCTGTTGACCTCTATTGTGACGGCCGGAACAGGCACCGGAACGCCTCGGTCTCAGCAGGGAAGCAAAAGGAGCGAAAATGAAACATGGAGCCATCATTAGAATGATGTCTGGCATGTTCCCAAGCTGCTCCGGAGCTAATCAAATTCGGACGCGATTTAGTGGACACCAATCTTCACGCCTCGCGCAGAACAGTACCCGTGGGAACCTGGGATGGTCATTTTCCTTACATGTCTAGAGTAATAGATGTTAAACTATAGGCTATTATAGTTTGATCAGAAGCTTGTAGAAGCGTCCTAATACACTCTAATTGCCTTGGTAACAATCACTAATGATGTGTTGATGCAATCAATCAATAATATGTAATGATTTGCGCTCTATTGACTCTTTGTGTCTATTACTCTAGACATGTATGGAAAATGACCATCCCAGGTTCCCACGGGTACTGTTCTGCGCGAGGCGTGAATATAGGTGTCCACTAAATCGCGTCCGAATTTGATTAGCTCCGGAGCAGCTTGGGAACATGCCAGACATCATTCTAATGATGGCTCCATGTTTCATTTTCGCTCCTTTTGCTTCCCTGCTGAGACCGAGGCGTTCCGGTGCCTGTTCCGGCGGTCACAATAGAGGTCAACAGACCTACTAATGGGGCGCTGAACGTGGGAACGTTGCATTGACCGTGGGAGTCGTGCGCTTATAAAGTATGTACAGATTGCTAAACAGTGGTTGCGCACTTTTAGCAATTCTGTCAACACCAGTCATCCCATGATGACCTGGGTCGTTCCCATGGGTGTTGGCAGTGTCTATGGGTGGTCCCCAACGCGTGGGAACCGGGCGCTTGGCATAGCGCAACTTTGTTATACATTTGTACAACAAGTGTGCACATCACTTCAACACAACCCCCTGATGCAACACTTGGTGGACCCACGTATTGGGGCACCCACAAACAACCCCCTGGCCCAATACATCCTCCTATCCCACCAATCCCATCATCTCCCTCAACTTTTCCACTTGTGGTTTGGCCAGTGCTTTGGTGAGCAGGTCTGCCGGCATTTCCTCTGTTTGAAGATAGACTGGCTGGATGCGCTTGCAATCAACTTGATCGCGTAACCAAAAGAAGCTCAAGTCCAGTTGCTTCATTCTGCCATGGTGTTCGGGGTTCTTTGCCACTCTAATCGCTGACTGGTTGTCCATGTAGAGCGTGGATGGTGAAGTTGGCTTGTAACCAATTTCCGAGAGGAGGTTCTTCATCCAGCATATTTCTTTACCAGCAGCAACCCCAGCAACATACTCTGCTTCAGTGGTTGATAGAACAACCATCTGTTGCGCTTTACTGCTCCAGCAGACCGCTCCCAGCCCAATCTTAACCAAATAACCACTTGTAGACCGCCCTGTCCCTTTGTCACCACCATAGTCTGCATCACTGTACGTGACGAAGATTTCATCTCCTATGGCAGGATCAGGTCCATATACCAACTTCATATCCATTGTGCCCTTCACATAGCGTAGCAAGTGCTTTACAGCCTTCCAGTGGATCATGCCTGGGTTCGAGTTGAACCTAGCCAATGCACTCGCAGCAAAGGCTATATCAGGCCGGGACATTGTAGCCAAGTACAATAAGGAGCCAACAGCACTCATGTAGGGGATATCCACCATCTCTTGTGCTTCTTCATACGTTTTGGGACAGTCATCTGTGGTCAACTTCATACCCGGAGCCATGGGAGTCCCCACTGGTTTGCAATCAGACATATTGAACTGCGCTAGCTTATTGACAATGTACTGACGCTGCGAGATGTAGAGTTTGTGGTTGTCCCAGTCTCGTGTTATTTCCATGCCCAGCAGATACGAAGTCTCCCCCAAGTCCCGCAACTTGAAATGCTTTTCCAGCTCAATCACAAACTTGTCAAGAGCCTCCTTTGATTTCGAAGCAAGAGTGATATCATCCACCCACACTGGGACTATGATTCTGACAGTGCCATCATCATAGATGTAGAGCTGAGGGGTCAGAGTAAATCTTCTTGAAGCCCATTGAATGTAGTGCTTCACCCAGCTTCTCACTCCACAACCGAGGTGACTGCTTCAACCCATACAGAGACTTGTTCAATTTGCAGACTATCCTTCCTTGACCCTTGGTTACACCTTGCTTAAATCCCTCAGGCTGCTCCATATACACCTCAGCATCAATATCACTGTTTATGAATGCCTGTGAAATGTCAACTGAGCGCAAGTGCAGATCATCTCTAGCAGCTAGAGCGAGCACAGTCCTGATGGTAGCGTGTCTCGATGGCGAAGCAAAGGTCTCATTATAGTCAAATCCGGGCCGTTGACTAAATCCTTTAGCAACAATCCGACCCTTGAACCGTTCAATGCTTCCGTCTGCATGATACTTGACCCGAAAGACCCATCTGACTCCAATTGCCACTTTTCCTTCTGGCAAAGGTTCTAGTGTCCAAGTCCCATTAGCAAGCAGCATGTTGTATTCAGCTAGTGCAGCCTCATGCCATTGTGCAGCGTGAGGTGACCTCATTGCCTGAGCATAAGTCTCTGGCTCGACTAGCTTGCCAACAGGACCAGCCTCCAAAGCTTCTTCTTCAGACTGAGAATCATCATCATCTAAAGCAGGAGTTGGATCTCGCATTTCCCAGACGTCCGGAGTTGCCTCCCTGGCCTTTGGAGGTGCAGCAGGAACCTTCCACCATTCCCCTGGAGGTCTGATGTCGCGTTTTGGTCTTCTTACAGCCACAGGTCTATCATCGACTTCAGCTTCATCATCACTAGTCATCCACACGAGGTGCAGCTCTTCTGCGACGAGGACGAGGTGGGGGTAGTCTCCTCTGGCTCTGGTGTCTCATTATCATCCTGTTGCGCTTCACCCTCCACCTGTTCTTCTTCTTTCACATTATCATCATCAACAGTGTCATCCTCACTGCTATTGTCCTCATCGTCATTATCAACTGCAGGCAAGTCTATGAACCCTTTGCTGAGCATCATTGTCTTAGTCCTTGGATGGTGCCTCTGGTGCGCTCTGCTGACTGGTTTTTCGGAGGAGCTGGTTCTGAGAGGTCGTGCTCATCAATGCCCTTCAGAAGTTGGACCACTGTAATGTGTAGCGCTCATCAAAGTCTGCGCGTTCACAGATGATGACCTTCTTCGTCTTTGGATTGTAGAATTTCCAACCCTTGTACCCATCAGGATACCCAATGAATATGCACTTCTCCATATGCGAACCCAAATGCTCCCTCTTGTCCTTCTGGACATGCACATAAGCAACACATCCCCATACCCGCAAATGCCCAACATTCAGGTTTTCGTCTATGCCACACCTCATATGGCGTAGCATGAGCTACTGAAGACGTGAATGCATCGGTTCAAGACATGAACAAGTGCAGCCAAACACTCAGCCCAAAAGGCCTTTGACAATCCAGCCTCATCTAGCATTGCAGTGATCCGTTCACTAAGCAGTCTGTTTGCACGCTCAGCCACTCCATTCTGCTGTGGTCTGTTTCGCACTGAGAACTGCCTTTCTATACCATGCTCCTCCAAATACTTGTCAAACTCCTTGCTCATGAATTCACCACCCTGGTCGCATCTGAAGACTTTGATATGTTTGCCAGTTCTGGTTCTCAGCCCATGCTTTGAACCGCTTAAAGGCAGCAAAGACTTCGCTCTTCAGCTTCAGTGGAACCACCACCTTCAGCTTGGAGTAGTCATCAATGAATGTGACCCAATATTTCTGACCAGAGTGGGAATCAATGCCGACATAGTGAACATCAGAGTGTACCAATGCCAACAGCTCATCAGCTCTGTTGGCTGACGAAGGAAATGGATTTGCATGCATCTTCCCAGTCAGACAGGGAATACAAACAGGATCTGGCTTTGCAGAAGAGTCCAGTGTCAATCCAACCACCATTTCATCCTTAATCATCTGCTTAATTCCAGTCATGGTGTTGGTGGCCAAGCCGTCTATGCCATAGAGTCAGATCCAAAGGCAGAGTGGACTGCAACATGAACAAATTCATTTGTAGTCTATTGTACTACCATCTAAATAGCCTATACCAGCATCATTGATTGTAGCACAGAACAAAAGAACATCATTACGAACAAACTCCATTTTCTCCTTTGTGATATGAACATTAAAGCCTTTATTGCGAGTCAAGTACAAAACAGCAAGCAGATTATTGCACAATGCAGGAACATAGAGTACTCTAGTGATCTCCACATCTCTAACTTGTCTACCATTAACTACAGGTCTGAAGAGCACATTTCCGACGCCCTCACTATATACAATGGTGTGATCCGCTAGCCTAATTGGCACTCTATATGTGGTATAATTGCGAATCCATTCTTTGTGAGGTGTCATATGAGAAGTGGCCCCTGTATCTGTATTCCAATGGGTATCATTAGAAAATGCAGCGCAAGCTTCATTCATAGAACGAGCACTTGCCTGACCAGCAAACTCCGTCGCAGCATCTGCCTTTTCCACTGCCACTTTGGCATTGCTCCCCCCAGATCCACTTTCTTTGTTGCTAGCAATGACCTTCTTCAATGCTTCGCAATCCTTCTTCCAATGACCCTTGCCCTTGCAGAATGAGCAGGTGTCTGCATCAACTGTGGGGTGACCTCTGCCCTTTCCATTGTATGCCCCACCCTTCTTTCCATAACCCTTGTGACTGGCTCTATTCGCTTGCTCAGTCTGGCGCTGACGATTAAGCTCTTCGCTTCGGAATGCTTGGAGTATGGTGTCTTTGTCCAGCTTTTCCATTAGCAACAAAGAAGCTGACAAGTGCTTGTATTCATCAGGCAAAGCCCGAATCAATGCCATGCACTGTAGCTCTTCGTCTAACTGCTCAATGGTAAAGCCTGTTGGACGCAGATTTTGGATATTAGCCATT